GCGCGATGGATTGGCACAATGTACGACATCTTGCTTGGATGGGGGGATGTCTGAGTGAGTCCCTAGTTTGCTTTTCCAAGGACCACCTGCGGGGAACGGACAACGGACGCGGCCCTAGCCCAGAAGCAGGACAAGAGCTGTTCGCATGAGAAATTATCGATCTCAACGCAGCATGTATATCTGCATCCTCTTGTCCGATCGGGAGGTGGCAGGGTGGATGGCTGATAGGATGAAGTTAGGAATGCTGGCGTTGGCTGGGGTATTGCGGAACTTGGAGGTTCGTCGGCGGGCGCGTGGATCTCGCAGAAATCTGATGACGCTTGTTTGCGGACTCTCCGTCTTAACTCCGCCAGCCTGCTACCGTACTACTTGATTTTATCAATCTAACATCATTAAACAATTCATTACAGAAAAACGGTCTCTGGGAAATATAATTTATCTTATATTAAAATGATACTCGTCTCCGAAAAAATTGAGTTGCAATCATAGAGACGTTCTGTCTCTTACAGCATCGTTATACCGTCTATCTCATCCATATAATGGTCAGAACTCCTTTTGTGGTCGACCGTCAGAGGAAGCAAAGCACTAGACATACAGAGACCACGCCAACAAAACCAAGAAAATCGGAGTATATGTGCAAATATAAACAAGAGCGGGTTAGAATGTAAGAAAGTCATTGCATGATGAGGGTGGTAAAAGGAGTAAGCGAATCATGACCAGACATCCTCTTGGTAGCTACCACTACTACGCATATGCTTCACCATCTCCTCTCCCTTTTCAGCAGGGAGACCCCGCTGTTTCGCAATGATTTGACCGAGCACAAGGTTGACTTCACGAGCCATGTTCGCAGCATCACCGCAAACGTAGAACGTCGCCTTTTGCTTGAGCAGGTCGCTGACAAGCTCGGCATGTTCGCGGAGTCGGTGCTGGACATAAACCTTCTTCGATGATTCACGGGAGAATGCAGTGATGAACTTCAAGTTGTCACCAAGTTGGTCCTGGAAAGTCTATAAAATGGAAGAATCATGATTAGAATAATTCAAAAAAGTTATGCAAGCAAATCGCAAGAGTACACATACCTTCCATTCATCCTGGTAGAGGAAATCCTCATCGCGGTTGCGGCAGCCAAAGAACAAAACAGCAGGGCCGACCTTCTCGCCCTTAGCAGCCAAAGCAGCACGTTCCTGAATGAAACCACGGAAAGGAGCGACACCAGTGCCGGGACCAATCATGATAATGGGTCTCGACGGATCAGAGGGCAACTTGAAGTTGGAGTGACGGACGTGAACTGGAACATGAATCCCATCGTACTTGTTACGGGGACCGGTGATGGCGTAAGTCTGGCCGTGGGGATCGGGCGATGGGTCACCATTCTGCTTCTGCTTCAGAGCAAAGAGGTAGTTGGTGGTGACACCCTTGACAACATGGGTAGCACCGGGCAAGCGAGTGGACTCCACAACAGCGGTGATACTGATCTTGTCCTTTTGGACAAGGGACGAGGAGGAGATCGAGTAGTAACGGGGCTGGATCTTGTTAAGGCCCTCAATGAGCAGAGAGAACGGAGCGTTAGTGAAGGGCTTGGAGGTAATGCTCTGCAAGGCCTGGGCGATGTTGAAACATTGGTTGGTGATCTTCTCGTGGAAGTAATCCTTGTCGCTACCGAGACGCACGATTTCCGCCTTGCTTTCCTCATCGGGGGCAAAGGCAGCAAGAGTCGCGACGAATTGACGAGAAACCGGAGCACAGACTTCCATGTAGTAACGAACGGCGGCATCATAGGTGGTAGGAGTCGGGATAGGGACCTTGGCGGTAACATCAATGCCCTTGATGCTGATAACCGAGTCGCGCTTCTCCTCGAGACCGAATACATTAAGGAACCGATCCACTTCAGCGCCTGCGTTAGTGGGCCAAACCGCAATGTGATCACCAGTCTGATACGAGAGACCGCTTCCAGCAATACTGATTTCCATGTGCAAGCAGTTGCGGTCCTTGACAGTAAACAGCTCACGAGACTCAACAATGGGTGCGATGTAAGGGTTGTGCGCAGAGAAGGGGCCCTTTGCTTCACCGTCAAGATGTCCCTTGGTAGGTTCACCGAGGTAAACGGATGTGTCATCTGGGGTCAGGGTGTCATCTTCGGTAACGTTGAAAACCGGCTCGTAGGAGGCATCGCGCTCCTGCAGGCCCATAGACTCGGAGAGCGCGGCCCACATGGGTTCCTTCCATGCCAAAAAGTCTTCTTCCATTGTACCGGCGCCATCATCACCCTCACCAGCAGATCCAATACGCTGCGCACCGAGCTTAGTGAAAGCAGTGTCGACTTGGCGTACCATTGCATTGTAGTGTTCATATGTGTTGTTACCCAGACCGAAAACGACGTACTTGAGAGCAGACAGTGGCTGATCGTCGGCAGAACCGCCACCTTCAAAGGTCACGTCTTCGCCGGTGAGGAACTGGTAGAATTCGACAGCGTTATCGGTAGGCTCACCCTCTCCATAGGTAGCCAAAACGAAAAACGCGACCTTGTCGTCCGGGAATTTGTCCAAGTTCTCATAGTCGTACTCTTCGAGATCGGCCACCATTGTCTTGAGACCGAACCGCTGAGATCCTTCTTTCGCCAACCTCGAGGCGTAGTCCTCCGCCGTTCCAGTTTGAGATCCGTAGAAAATAACACAGTTCTTGCCAGTTTCGTCCATCTTCTCGACGATATCTCTAGACTTGCCGGCCTTGGCCGCGCCGTTCATGGCAGATCCGGAGGAGGCATAAGGGTCTTTGGCGACAGCCCAGAAGGAGCCCTTGGTGAAGTAGGCTACGCTACCAGCCAAGAGCACCGCGAGGACGACCACATCGAGAGTGTCGAGTTGAGCCATGGTGAAATTCGTCGACGTCGCACCGGAAACACTCGGTTGTCGAGCGAGTGACCACCCGAGATTAGAGAGAGGGAAGGGGAGAAAAACGACACACCCCTGATCACTGGACCGGCCTTGGCAGAGACAAAGACCCTAGATCCAATGCTGTTGGAGAAAAAAAGAGGGGAGGGTGAGGGGAGAGACAAGAGAACGAGGGCAAGCCCAAAGAGAAGGGGAAAGGACACGCAGTAAAGAAGCGGAGAGAACGTCGGAGTGCAGGTGGGCGCCGTGGTGTGATCCTCGCCTTAAGTGGTCCCCATAAGACGACTCGGAAGACGGAAAGTGGAAGTGAACGTGATGGGGGGCAGAAAGCGGTGACTGAGGCAGCAACGGCACCAACCAAAGTCCCTGTTTCCCGAGGCCGGCTGGACGTCAGGCCGTGGCCGTGACCAAGAGTGCGTGTGCCTGTGCTTTTGCTTGTCGGACTGACCGACACCACAAATCCGAGAGAAGAAGTAATTGAAAAAGTACTTTGCACTAGATATGGGGTATGTACAGCAAGACAGGAAAAGTAAGACTGAGACAGCCAGTCCATGCTTCAGGCTCGGCACCGCTATCTATATATGCGCTGGCAGTTTGCCAGCGGACCCCACGCTCGACGGTGCTGCTCCGGGGCTCGGAAGAGAAATTCGGGCACTTCCCTCCAGGGTGAAACTTGGAGGTGGCGGGCGGAGCGCGGTGCTGTTGGCGGATGGAGGCGACAACAGATATCGCTCTGGAGCGTTGTATGGGGAAATCTCCCGAAGAGGCTACCGAGCACACTCCCACACCGTAAGTAGCCGAATTCCGCCTTTGACTCCCAGACATTGACCCAGGGTTCGTGCTGGGGATTTGCCGCATCTGAGTGCAGGCTATTTTCTACAATCTAACCCATGGAGTAGACAGATACTGGCGCAGTTATCTGATCTGAGGGCGAGGCCGACAGACGATCGTCCCTGGATTACGTTGATCGCGGCCGATGGTCGTTCTCGCAGAATCAGATAAGCGTCCGTTGGAGAAGTGACGACAGTGCCGGCGCTCGTTTCAGCATTGTCTCGAAGCGCGAACTTTCCTCGTCCTCCCGCGTTTGTCGAGGGCCGCTATTCCGCTCTCGCCGTCAGCTGGATCGATGGAGTTTCATGGAGGCGAGGAAGAAATCCCGTGAACGGGATTTCTTACGGCTTGTGGAATCTGGCGGGCGAGGACGGATTCATTCCGCACGGCACCAGGTCCCAGCCCCGGACAATGGAACCTAACGAGGAAATATCATGGCATTGGCGTAGACAGCGCTGTGGTGTCGACACTCCCGGTACATTAATTTATTTCGACTTAATTCTCAGATATAAAGCATATAAGACGAGCAACCCCGAAGTTTAAATATCTTCTCGCGCTCTAGTGCTAGTCGACATTATACATATATATATATATATGTTTTCCTTCAAACGTCCAAAACGAACACAGCAGCATAGTCTTCTAGATATCACCAATTCAATCAAATATACGGAATAATGCCTCTTATACCTCGTTTTTCTTTCCGGCACCTCCTATATGTTTGGCGGAAGCTATAAACACTTGGAATGCTAGTAAAGATTGTGCACTTCTCGGACTTGTCGCCATAAGCCACGGGCCTGTTTTCGCATTGAGACAACGAATACTCTTGTTTCAATATGGGCAGCGGGAATAAAAATAGATAGATCTTGGTCGAATTCTTCATTTAAGTTCGAACCCCTGGCAGACGGTCTTCCAACTCCGCATTGAAATAGGAGAAGGCATTACTACTAGGAGGATCATGAGCTGCAACTAGGACCGGAATGTGCGTGTCGACAATGTCAGTTCAGTATGCTACGAAGACAGACCCTAGTACACAGTACACAGTACTGGCACTGTATGCAAGTGCTTTGACGCTGAAGGCTTTTGAGAACTATGCTTGCGCTGGCAAAATGTTTGGACTTCCAAATTAGGCTTAGGCCAGCGCTGCTTTTCACTCCGGGGGCCCTGTCCAGTGCGTGCACGGAGCAATCGGGGCGTTAAGAAGAGCAACTAAGCCCGACCAGGCACCGACTGCTTGGAATGAGGCAGAAAAATCCAGCCAAATAAACAGACTTTGCCAAGCCCGCCCAGTTTTCCCTACAGCTCTACGGATTCTATGAACGTCTCATTCCACATTTTCACGCATTGGATGGGCATCAGCTTGTTCAATCGAATGGAGAAATATATATTTTTTACTAAACCTCTTCCAAGACAAAGTACAAACTGTTCTCGGGCCTGCTACGGAGTAGATTAGGCAGGGCGATAGATCAGTGACAACTAGGTAACGGGTAGTATATACCACTAAGGTTACGCAGTGAGTGAATGAGTGCCATTTAGACATCAAGAATCTGCTCCGCCGCATTCTTAATCGCACCCAGAGCAGCAAACTGAAGTCCCGGCCCAACACTAATTCTCGAAACACCAAGAGCAGCAACTTCCTTGGAGGTAAACGCCCCAAGCGACACGTTCACTCGACCCTCAAATGCCTCTACCAGCTTCGCGATCTCTTCTTTCGTAAGTGACCCAGGAACCGGCCTATCCATGGGCCCCATGACAAACACAGTTGTCGCACCAGCAGCAAGGAATGCCTGGCCACGCGAGACAACCTCGTCAAGCGCACCGCCGTATATAAGGGCGTCGGCCCTAGCATTGACCACAAAATCAGGAACACCCAGGGCGGTCGCGGTGGCTAGAACCCGCTTGATTCTATCAACCGCATCGTCAGGGCTATAGAACTGCTTTTCCCCCTTGTCAAAGTCCTCGAGGTTAACGCCGACAGCGCCAGCTTCAATCACTTGTTTGATGCAGTCTTCGAGCTGTTCGCCGTATCCATCTTGGATGTCGACGGTCAGTGGCTTTCCCGATTCCTTGATGACGGATGCGATTATCTTGGTGGCTCTGATGTTTTCTTCGAGGGTTAGAGCGTCATCGCTCGTGCCGGCGGCCTCGGCGATTGCGTAGCTTGCTGTTGCGATGGCTTTCGAGGTGGGTAGTGATGCGACTGTTTTTGCGGAGATGCCGTCGTAGACATTTGCAAGAACGACAGGTTGGCTTGGCCTGTGGAAACTTTTGAAGGTCTTTGCGGTGATGTTCAAGTTGGAAGTCATGATGGAGGATATAGTTGATAACAATAACTGATAGTGTGGAGAACGCGGAGAGGTAAAGACTGTGGAAAGAAGGTCGTTGACGGGAGGGAGGGGTGAACTTTATTTATCCCTGACACATTGGAACCAAACACGAGGATTCCAATTTTCTTGACGTGGCTGGACATGGATGTTCCAGTTTCTTTGTCTTCGATTGTTAGCGTCCTCGGTGGTGTGAGGTGTGATTGGACATATACAGGAGGGGACGGCCACCGAGTAGTTGGCGCTGTCACCCTGCACGGGTGGGCCCGTCCATTCCCTTTATGATGCATATTAATGCGCAGAGAAGATCTTGTGTTTCAATATTCAGCTTAATAGATTACCTTCAATGATAACCTGTTACTGCGCGCAGATATTTCTCAGGCTTCTAAATCCTATTAACTCTTAATCTAGTTTTATCTGACAGAGCTTCCTATTCCTCACCAGCCTGTTCAGCCAATGCAAAGGCAGTCATCATATTTAAGAGGAACATTAATACATAGTAGATAAAAGTCTTGTGGTTCAAGCCAAGACAGTTTATATTTAGTGTATTCCGTATATTCAGTATATTTAAACGGTAATGATATTATTCAACTCAATGGAGTGCACCTTCAACAATAACCTGTTGCTGCGCAGAAGTACCCTCAGGCTTCCAAATCCCGTTGAGTTTCAATCCAGCCTTGTCCAACAGAGCTTCCCACTCCTTACCGGTCCGTTCAGCCGACGCAAAGGCAGTCATCATAGTCACATCGCCAACTGCAGCCATCCACGGGATATCAGTCTCGGGCATGGCTTTCTCATGGATCAACACCAACGAATCAGGGCCCATTGCTTCACGGAGCCTCGATAGGATTTCCACGGCCTGCTTGTCCGGCCAGTCATGGAGGACAGTGCGGAGGTAGTATGCCTTTGCGTGTTTAACAGGCTGTTCGTCAAAGAAACTATGGGGCTTGACCTCGATTACACTCGGGAGATCTGCGGTCTCAAGCACGTGTGGTAGATCCTGGAGAACAAGTCTTCCCTGTAAAGAAGGGAATTTGTCGTGGAAGGCCTGGAGGTCCTTCCCCCGGCCGCCACCGACATCCACGAGAACAACATCGGAGGGAGCCTGTACTTGTAGTTTCTTTTCCACTGGGAAAAATTCCGACCAATCCTTCTCGTCGCGACGGTAGGGCGAGGCCATGACTGTGTCAAAGGCGTTTTGGTAGTAGGGCTTCGATGAGAGGTATCCGAAATATCCGGCCTTGGAGCCGAGGGCGAAGTTTAACGGAGAATCATCGATATCGTCTGGATACTTCCATCCTTTCTGCTTGAAATACTCGGGGAGCTGGGAGACGAAATAAACGAGGTGGGTGCTGAACAAGCATCATGTTAGTCGCACGACTCTCGATAAATATAGAGAGCCGTTACTTACAAGAATATCACCGCTGCAGACATCCAACACGACGAGGTGTAGGACTCTGTGAATCGCGTGGGGGAGAAGGTGTCGGAGGTATGTTGCTTGAGAATATCCAGTGGTACAAGCAGCTTCATGATCCGCACTATTTCTCATCAATACCAAGCCAGAATTTGAGTAGAGAGTAGGGAATTGTATACAAACTAGCTTTGGATCGGCCTGGACATCTTCAGAAAGCTGGCCAACGCGCACCTTGCCATCTGGACTCTCAGAGGAGCGCTTGATGATGGAATCAAAGAGCTTAAGGTCTACAGCGAGACGGACAGCGATGGCTCGGTGGAACTTGAAGATAACAACAGTTAGCTGGACTGCGTTCGAGAAAGAAAGTATGGCAGATTTACTGTATAAAGAAGCCCGAGCGTCTTATCCAAGGGAGATTCACACTGACTCCTCAATCGATCGCAAGCTTGGTGAAGCTCAGCTCGCTGCTGGGGATCGAGAGCCTCGAGAGCGCCAGAGGAATTGACCGACTTGATGGATTCGATAAGCTGAGGAATGTCCATGATCGCGGTGATGCAATTCAATATCTTTGGAGATCCACACGTGCGATCGCTTGGAGCTCTCTAATAAGTAAGGGAAACGACGAAGAATCCAGGGGGAAGATCAGAGAAATGAATGCAGCTGCCACTGCATACAACTTGGCACTTCGCACATGGTGAGAATTACGAGAATAATGATGAAATAGAATAGTCAACGCATGTAAGGACGCAGTAAGGGTGGTTCCATTCTAAGATTATGATAGATCGCTGTACATATGTACCTGGTGCGTCTTTTTAAATACGTACTGTAAATTGTAAGTACTCGATACGGAGGAGCTGCGCCTAAATTGGAAGTCATGAGGTTCTTGATGGAATTGCATTACGAAGGCAAGAGGATTTGATTGTTGCTTCCACCATAATGTGCTCACCCCGATAATCGCGTCCTTGAGACAGAATAAGATACAATTGATACCAAGTTTGATAGAGAATCAAGTCTCAGAATGGGCCTGCTAGCATATCCCAGATCGAACCATGCACGATTTCCTTCGTATTGGAGCTTCAATGCACCTCTGAGTGCGATCGACAAAGCGCAGTTCTGTATGCAGTTGAAAAGACGGTGAAACGTCACGGCTGGCTGGATGTGTCAGCTACTGCAATGCCAGCGTGTATATTGCATTGCTCTCGCCGGTTACACCACGGGACATCCAATCTCAAGCTCCAGGTGGGAACCCGAATGGGGAGGAAGCGCTTTTTACACCTGGCAAATAAGAATGCCTGACCGGGAATTTGCATGATCTCCATCTCCGACAGACTAGCTTATCGCCGACAGCACTAGTTCCGTTAGCTGCAGCACTTTTCGGTGCCTTGCTAGGGGTTTGTATTGCAGATCGCAGAGGACTCCATGTGCCAAGGGATTTATACAAATCGCAACCGTTACTTGCTGTCTTGTAAAATCCAGGTATCAAAGCCTAGAATAGCCTAGCTAGGACCGAGTACGGTGAATCGCTGCGTCGGTTATTAATGGGCTGCTCAGTACTCGCGAGCTGTCCTTGTCGAACGTCTATGGTCTTTTCTGCTCCACCATAGTTCCTGCTCTCCCTTCATCTTGCCAAGCCTCCAATGTCTTTCAATCTGGAAGATGCGATATCAAAATATCGACATTTTGAACTCAACCCGACTTATGTCTTTTTTGGGCTGGTTATCTTTGTGATATACTATTGGTGGGAATCTACAAGACTGAAGAATCCATCTCGGCTGCCAGTCATTGGCAGACGATGGTATGAGCTGGGCAATGGCAAAGCTAAACAACGATACCTGGATGACTGCCTTGGCCTTGTCCGGTCCTGCCTGGAGAAGGTCAGTGATTTCCTGCTTTTGAATTGTCACCTCATCTAAAATATTATATCCTTCTAAAGCACGGAGATGCTTTCTATCTCTATACGGATTCTGCGTATCGCTTAATCCTTTCTCGTAAATACGTCGATATGATCCGCAATGAGAAGCGTCTGAATTTCATCAAGGCCCACGCAGTTGTAAGGAAAGACAAAGCCTTCCGGCGAAATAAGGGCTAACAAGAGAATAGAGAATGGACAATGGTGTCAAGGGCTTCGAGCCATTGGCATCAATGACAAGCGATAAAAGGATTGTACATGCCGTGGCGAAGCACTCGCTTAATCGCCATTTAGGTCTGTTCCACTGAAATCTCGAACTGTCCAAGTCTAACTGTACGGATGACAGGAACCTTTATTCAGCCACTTAATGAAGAGTCCGACTATGCAGTTCGTCAAGTCTTGACTGACAATCCTGGTATCACTCTACCTTGATGAGTTGGATGAATATTAGACTAACTGACGAGTCAGATTACCACGAGATCATGCTCAAAGACTGTGTTTGGAGAATGTTTGCACAGATAATGTCCAGGGTATTCATCAATGATAAAGACTACTACCGCAATCCAGACTGGGTTCACGCCAGCTCGGAGTATGTTGAGCTGGCAGCCGTGGCAGGATTTGAGCTTCGACGATTCCCAAAATGGGCAAAGCCATTAGCTGCGCCTTTCTTCCCTAATTGTCGAAAGCTCAGATCGATTCTCCATCACATCAACACTCTCCTGAAGCCTCTGAAAGAAAGTCTGGACCAGCAAGGCTTGGAAGATGACCCCAAGAGCCCGCTAGAATTCCTGTATAAACAGGTCCGCAGCCAATCAGAGGAGCTTGGGCCTATGTTAATCGCCCTCTGCCTGGTGTCGTACGATGGAGGGGCCGAATTGTTCACTCATGTTCTTTACTCAGTCTTGGGGAATGATCAACTTGTAAAGGACCTCCGTTCGGAGATCATCAATGTGGTTGGAAAGGAGGGAGGTTTCAACAAGAATGCCCTACAGAATCTCGTGCTCATGGACAGTGCCCTGAAAGAAGCACAGCGTCTACACCCCGAGTCCGTCCGTGAGTCTACACACCCCAGGAATAAACATATAAAAGAAACCTGCTAACTTGACATCAGTTATGCTGCAGCGAATCGCTGTTGAGGAGGTCGTACTACCGGACGGACTTATCATCCCCAAAGGAACCCCCATGATGGTCTCCGGCGCCCACATGCTGGACGCGTCCATCTGGCCCGACGGCGACAAGTTCGACGGCTATCGATTTTATAATCTACGCAAGAAGGCAGATCCCTCCGTGAGTCTGGCTTCATACAACTTCACCTCAACATCCCCGGACCAGTTCAGTTTCGGCCACGGATCCCAGGCATGCCCTGGGAGGTTCTTTGCGTCGTATATGCAGAAGATCCTCCTCTGCCATGTGATAATGAAATATGACGCTTCGGTTACCATTCCGGAGGAGGGCGCGAGCTTTCAGCGCGGACAGTCGCATGTTGCCAATCCGGGGTTGAAGGCGCGTGTTAGAAGAAGGCAGGAGGAGATTCAACTATAAAGATACGAATGCTCAGGCTTAACTAGATATGTCGTACATCCTTTGTGATGTTGTCTCAATCTTAAAAGTACTACTATCTTGTTACAATTCGATACAAATAGAACTCTGTGTCTACCTTCTGATATCATGGTATGACTGTATGTTTCTTGAGCAGGTCAGTGACCTTACTCGTTAGTAGCCACATATAGTGGTGGATTATTGGTTTTCTGCAAGCCCAGCACATCTCGTAAGGCAACTGAAATTTTCGTCATTCAGGTCAGAATGACATGTCCGGTCTGTCTTGTAGCGTATGAGAGCCCACAGCGCAGCACAGGACTGTAAGGCCGAATACGAAGGATGACCGGACTGCTTGAATACGTCTTGATACCTGGATCCACCCCCGGTGGGACAAATTACGTCGTTGCCGCTGCAGCAGTGCATGGCAGGAAATATTACTAGCCGGTTTTATAATTCCAGCAGCTGAGCATCGCACCTCGAAGGCACTGGCACGCGGCTGAGTTTCCTGTTCTTCCAGAGCCGAGGGCTCGATGTTTCCCCGGAGGATATGCAAATCGAAGTGCCGGACCATATCTTGGCCCTCCGCCGGAGCGATGATATCTCGGAGGTGGAGACGTACTTTGCTCTGAGGCTTTCAAGGGCTTGGTTGGCGAGGCGCTTATGACGAACGGTGTATCGAGCTATCCGGAGGTTGGGATACGGTGGTATCCAGAGCTTGAAGCTGAGGTGAGGAAACAGCAGCACGCGGCGAAGAAGCTGGAGGATGCAAAAAGCTGTGGGTGCGTGAGGGAGTCCATAGCCACGTTTCTGATTTTCAAAATTTCAAAATGAAAGCTATTTTCATCCGGATATCAGCTTGCTCGTTTGGTACACAGACTTGTATTACACTGTTTGCTAAAACATGAATCGCCGTACCAATACGTGGATATTGTTCAATACAATGCAATGCAATGCGGGAACAGAGTAGCGACGTGTCGTATTATGACAACAAAAAGCATTGTCTCCTCTTGCAGAAATAAACAACAACTCGTGTTCAACAATGGAAAGTCCGAACAATAGCGGTCAATTAAAATGGATAAGCCGGGCTCTTGCAGCTGTCGATCCCAGAAGGATGGTTGAGACGACGATGTATGTCCAATGCGGAGAGAGATTCGGTCTCGATGAGGACAAGTATCCTGAGTGGAGAGTGCATTTCCTTCGGCAGTGATGATCTCGCATTTCTGCAGGACAAGTGGCTGCTTAGTGCTTCCTGAAGGAAACGATTGCTAAGACGCCACCTGCAGAGATCGCTGGACGGTGGCTGGCTGTGCTCACAGATATGAGCTTGGATAATAAGCGGTGTGGTACAAATCTGCAAATCTGCAAATCTGCAGACTGCAGAGATGCAGAGGGTGTGCTCTGTCTGATATATCAGATTGCTGCCAGTTGCCTGCATATTGCTCGTGCAGTGGGTCAGGTATGGCCCACTCAGATTGTGTGCTAAGAGATTAATTCCCCACCGATGCAAGTATGACTGCAGAATTCGGAGTTCAAATCCATTGTTTACCAAGGTTCAAGTGGGGCATTGTTGGGAATCAACAAGAGAGTCTGAGCTCCGGTCACTGACAAGATCTTGTCTCTGGCTGAAATTGATTTCTGTTTGGAAAATCTGAATCATTTTGCTTCAGGTTTAACAGTGAATTGGCATATCTAGTGATTCGGCCTCAAGAAATAAGACACAAAGTACCGGTTCTCCTCGCCATCAAATGGTTGGCTCACTTTATGGACCGGCGAGTGCACACGGAGGCCAGCCTGATCCTGGAGATAATTGGCAACGTTGACCAACACACAGTCCGGCTTGGGGTCAACCCACAACCACTCCTTCGTCTCTTTTGTCTGCATCATACTAGCCCATTTCTCGCACCAGAGTAGAGTGATCGAGCCGCCGTCGGTGTGGGTAGTGTCGGGCACCTCTGTGATGGATGCCTTGGTGGGACCAGAGACAAACTTTAATCCAGAGTCGCTCTGGCCGTCGGGATTGTGCGCGTTTTTCAGAACAGAGGCTGTATCCGGACCAAGGTTTTCGGAGATGCTGTCGAGGACAGTGCGTGTTATGGTGTCGCAGATGCTGAGAAGGTCGAGGGTCGGCTGGGCGTGTTCTGAGAACGGGGCTGGTAAAGCGATACTGTTCTGTTGGTCTCGAGGGATCTGAGGTGATTAGCATTATATGCGGGAAAGCTATAGGCATACTTACTTCGAATGATTCGATGCCCGCTTTCTTGTAGCTATTGCGATACCTGTCAATCTGGCTGCCACGACTGGACTCATCGAGGAAACATACCCATAGTCTACCCCCTCTCGGAACGCCTTCATCTTCTCGTCCAGAGGCTTGGAAAAGAACTCATGAGAGTCACGATAACAGCTCTGGAGATACGCTGAGATCTTCTCTGAGAGGCCACTGTCAAAAGCGACGTAGAAAAACCCCTCTGACCCCGCGGCCTTGAAGAGCTTTGCCGATTCAGCGGGGTCTTTTGCAATGAGTTTTTCCAGTTGGATCACTTCGAGATCAGCGACATCCAAAGGTTGATTTCTGACAACCATAGTTGTCTTTGTGCTGGTGGAAGTCGTAGTTTGAGACATGGTGAGCTGGCTTGAATCTGTGCTGGGGGCCGGGTGGTTGTTTTCGTGAGAGTTCATACACTTAAAGAATGACTGAGTTGCACGGGATTTCAAATATTACCGACTCCAGGTAATTAATCATTCAAAAGCAGTATTTCGTCACGGCGCAGAGATGGCCGGTATTGGGTACTGATCAACAGGCAGGAAGCCCTGACCCTGCCGATGGATGCAGCAGACGTGACAAGACAACGAGCTGATTACCAGCCATGCATGAGGATGCAGGTCATCAAGAGTTCCACTGCTGTTTGTGGAGCGGTCCCGCGAGTTGTCACATTCTGCGTATTTAGTGATTTCCTCCTGCCTTTGAGGTGATGATCGGTCGTCGGTTTTGGTTTTCTTCGTTTGCTGCCAAAGACAGAAGAATTGCCTGAAGAAGTCATTCAATATGATGCCCCCCATTGATCTCCATGGGCCTCCCCTTCCAAACCCAGATATAACCCTCCGCGAGGTGTTTAACCAGAACGTGCTGAAATACCCGGACACCGTGGCCCTTGTCAGTACCCAGCAACCCCCCACTCTCTACGGAATCCCGAGCAAGCCCCTCGACAGCGCAAAGCACGAGGCGCACTATCTACGATGGACATACCAGGGCCTGAATCGCGCCGTGCAGCGATTCGCGGCTGGTTTACAAAGTCGAGGTTTGAAGAAAGGGGACCCGTTGGTTCTGCTCATCCCAAACACTGCAGAGTATGTTATTGCGACCTGGGCTGCGTACCAGATCGGGTGTGCCTACGTTCCACTCAACCCCAAGGGTCTATCGAATCCCACAGAGATGCGGCATATGCTACAGATTGCGAGGAAAGGCTGCCAGTCTGATTTCCTGGGCGTCATAGCCGGGACATCTGATATGTGTGCGCAGATTGAAGAGTTGACCTCGGGGTTGAACTGCATGAGGATACTGGTCGAAGGAGATATGAAGAAAGGGTGGACACCTTTCAAAGAGCTAATGCAGAATCCAGCTTCAGAAACTCTATGCAGAGACGACGACCACCACCTATCCCTTTCCGCCGACCAAACAATCTTCTTCACCAGCGGCACGACATCTCTCCCCAAAGGCTGCGACATGTCCTCGACATACGGCCTTGCGGTCGCAGAACGCTGGAGTCAAAGCGATGTCCCCATGATGCCTGGAGACCGGGCACTATTCACATTGCCCAATAACCACGGCTTCGGCTGGCTCTGTATCATAGGCCCGTTCCTCAACGCCGCCACAGTCGTGCTCCCGGGCCCGAGGTTCAGTCCAGAGGCCGTGGCCAAGGCGATCCGCGAGGAGCAGGTTAGCCATGCAGGACTAGTGCCGACTATGCTGCATGCCTTGAGCAATCTTCCGGCTGCGTCTAGGAACCTGAGCTCCCTTCGGCGAATTGTAATGGGGGGCTCGGCGCCAACCGAAGAGGTTATGCGGATCTGTCTGGATACCTTGGGTGCGTCCGGGGTGGAGAATCTCTACGGAATGACTGAGGGGATTCTCGTCTCTTCTGGGGTAGTCAGTCAGACCAGTGGTATTATCAAAGATGGACGAGTTTCTATTGGAACACCACTGCCAGGCATGTCTGTCCGGATATACACCAAGGACAGCAAAGCGCCCGCTGCAGTGGGAGAGATTGGCGAGATGCACTTCACGGGCCACAGTCTGATCAATGGATACATTGGAAAGGTCGACGATAACTTCTACAGTGCGGACGATGGGCGTAATTGGTTCCGCACTGGCGATAAAGCTTTCATTGGCAGCGATAACCGTATCTACCTGGTCGGTAGATACAAAGACACCATCATCCGCGGAGGCGAGAACATTGAACCGTCAGCCATCGAAGCAATCTTGGGCCAGATCCCTGAACTTCATGTTCTTCAGCCTCAGATTGTGCGTGCACCAGACGATGTTGCCGGCGAGGTCCCCGTCGCCGTTGTGAACCAGGAGGTTGAAGACTCCACGGCAAACAGGCTCAAAGCAATTGTCTTGGAGCGAATGGGAGACATTTATGTTCCAGCAGAGGTGGTGCCAGTGCAGACTCTAGGGCATGAATCATACCCAACAACCATGGCAGGGAAGGTCCAGAAGACCAAACTGGAAGAGCTGGTCAAGGTACACTGGGAGAAGCGCCGCCAGCATCTGCAAAACAGTCGCAGGATCGATGGGCCGATATCAGGCCCTCAAGTGATGCAGTCGCTGTGCACGATCCTGGAAAAGGAGAAAGGCCATCCCATCAACGAGTCTGTTCGCATGATCGAGCTGGGCGTCGATTCAATCATGTCCATCACAATCCTCAAGCTCGTCCAGCTCGAAACAGGAGTATCACTGCCGTCGTCTATCTTCTTCACCCAGGCCACATTCGGTACAATCTGCCAACAGATCAGCGAGATTTTAGACACAGCAGACTTTGCTGATTTCACGCCCGCCATGGAAGACCCGCCCATCGATCAATGCTTCACAGTCCTGATCCAGGGAACCCCCAGACCCGGCGTCCCCTCCATCTACCTCACCCCCCCAGGCTCTGGAAACCCCCTGATATACAAAACGCTGCCCAAGTTCGCCAACGACCGTGCAGTCTACAGTTTCGGATCCCCATTCCTTATGACCAAATACGAAACCTGCTGGACGGTAGAGCAGACCGCCGAAATCTACACAAACACCATTCTCAAACTCGACCCGCAAGGCCCATACATCCTCGGCGGCTGGTCCATGGGATCAGCAACGGCATACGAAACAGCATACCGGTTGCAAGAGCACGGAAAACAAGTACTGGGGATCTTCATGTTCGATCTATCCCTGCCCCGCAAACCAGCTTACATCCCCGAACTCACCGTTGAGCTCTTCCAAATGATGGGCGCCTTCGCCCCGATTCGGCGGGAAGGCCTGCCTGACGTGGAAGTCCCGATCTTTCGCAAGAGACACCGAGTCGCGGCCTACTACGCAAAGATGAACTATGTGCCCCGTCCCTTCACCGGCCCTCACCGGCCACGGATCTTCGTCATCTGGGCTGGGCGTGGCGATTATGAGAGGGTGACGGAAATGGTTGTCGAGGCGACGGAGCTTCTGAAGAGAGAAGGGCCTGACACAAAGATTCAGGTTAGCCAGGATTGGCTCCAGGCTCCGCGTAAGACTTTTGATGCTGGTGGGTGGGATGAGATGGTGGGAGCTGATTATGTCGAATGGGGAGTTGTAAAGGACGGAGACCATGACTCGATTGTGGAGGACAAGGAGCTGGCAGTCATAACGCAGGGATATATGGAGAAGGCGATAGCGAAATGGTTGCAAGAGACGGCGCCTGCCAATGGGTCAAGTTGACCAACCAGTCGTTCTTAAGTACCTTGTCTATGTACCTCAGCAGTTAGTTCTCAATACGCATCCAATCTGAGACCCACCTTGCCTTTCAATCCGATTGTAACTGGCGAAATGTATTAGTATAAGCCGTAATATGGGCGCTTCGGAGCTGACAACACGGGTGGTTGTTGGATAGTTACTGATCACCAAGGACCAGGCAAACCAAGTTAATCAACAAACAGAAGAGATGGAGAATTTGGTGGAAATGTTCTGACATGTCAGGCCCACAGGATCGCCGTGGAGCGGTGATCGGAATTTTATATCGTGGATTCTTGACAGATTTAAGAGACAACCGTGACCTTCAGTCTCTTAAAACAACAAGAAAGCGGGGCAATAGGCATGACCGGTCACCTGGGATAATAACAGGCAAGTCACTATTGATAGACAAGGCCTCTGCGCAAAACACTCTGATAACCCTGGTATTGGATGTTTTGTACTAAGGGCAACACCGAGCCATCCGGGTGCCCCTTGTCGTTTCTCGACTGACCACTTAACGGAGCCTCATAGAATTAATTTGGCTTTTTTCTTCTAGTCCCCCTTACATATGTACCCCCAATATAACTAAGCACGCTTTTAGACAACCCAATACAATAGCCTCCAAATCATACATGTTGTGCCTCGTGCATAATAAATGAAGTATGCTTCACTCCGGCTAAAAACATTTATCTATCTCTGCCTTCGCCATCCCATATCCACGCTGATAGTCAGCATGGCGACCGTCTCCAGCAGGTATCTGCTGCAAACAGATCTGCAGACATTGGTATTGCTTCCTCACCAACGCCGCAAGCCGCTCACTACTCTTCGGGCAGAGTAAATGCGGGTTCGAAAACTCCGATACCGTCTCTTGCAATTCGAGAAACGCCATGGACATGCCGAGCAGGACTCCGAAGTTCTGCATCGGGCTGGAGGCGAGTTTGAGCATCGTCATGGCGAACTCGCACGGCCAGCGGGAGAGGAGGCTATTTAGGTCTTGAGGGGCTGGGAGGGGAGAGACCCGACGGAGCATTTCGAGACCGAAGTCTACGAGTCCGCCGTTCTCGGTTGTATTGTAGTACTCGTCTTTTCCTGTGACGATGGGGTGCTCTGTTTCGAAGCCGGATTGGAAGCGGAGGAAGCGCACTATGGCGCAGCCGGTTGTGTCGGTTGTTCGCCCTGGGGCGTACAGAAATGATTCCAGGAGACAGCACTGTGCGAACCAGAGGGGTAGTAAGGAGGATATATTGAGGTCTGTTGCTATGAGGTCGCTGCTCTCCAACAGCGTTTCAGGAAGGCCTCCTAGTTCGGTCTTGACAGGAGCTAGACCGTTCACCTTGTGGGTGTCTGGCTCCTTGCAGAGGGATCTCGATCGTGGCGCCGGTTCAATAAACGAGTAGTAAGAGGGAACTCGGTTATGGACCATGGAATCAATCCAAAGCTCAAGCGTTTCGACTTCGCCTTTGGTGAATGAGCCGTACATCCGCCCTCCCCACCGTAGCTCTTGCACAAGTCTGCTCTTCTGGCTGTCACCCGGATATATCCATGGCTTACACGAGCTCAAACATTGCATAAATTCTTGCTGCCATCCTTCGACCAAGAAAGCTTCAGGATCCAGCCAGTCCGCCAGCAATCGGTCTCCGATCTTCACCCGGCTGCCGCAGTGCAGTCTATGGGCCGCCTGGAGCTTTGAGCGGAATATCGCAAGGACTCTAGACTCCAAACCGACGTTTGAATCGGCATTGAGTTCGGGGAGAATGTTGGTTGGCTGGTTGCCCTTTTTGATTACCCACTCGCTGAAGATATACCCAGCCTGGACTCTCTTCCAGCCCACCTCAGCGGCGACCTCTCCCTCCGTCTCAGCAAGATGTTGGATGTAGTCGACGACACTAGTCATGGCCATAGCCGCATGACCGGAGTGGCTATTGTCGATTGAAACATGAAGCAGAAAGTAATATGGGTTGAGATGAAGCTCGGGCAACTCCTTTGCGGCCTGCATGGTATCCAGTTGCAGGGCTTCGAAATGCATATTAAACCCCAGAATTTCAGGCACAAACTCATGCGGAAACAGCGAAATGAGCAGCTGCGCCACTGCTGCTCTCCAGTACTTCAAATTTCCCAGCCTGTATCGCGGATGCAGAATCGCCTTGGTTGTTGGCGAGGGCAAATCCGGCTCAAACGCGCCCAAAAGGTCTTCGAAGATCTTAACATGGTGTTGCTCCGCATTGCCGTTCCCCAGTTCCTCCGTGAAGACCTGCCACGCTTGCTTCACTATGGATCTTAACGCGAAAGGCATGGTGATTTTGTTGAAATGGCCTAGCCAGGCCCCGTCGACCAGCTTCAGCGGTGCCATTTCACGCAGTCGTTCTTCTGCCTTGTGCTTGTTTTCGAAGAGCTCGCGCGGGCCCCCCAATTTCCTTCGATTGATATACTCATGATATTGGCTGGTGACATTGTCCTGTTCCCTGTCAAGAAAGCGGGCAAGCTGCTTCTCGTCGAAGTCTTTAATCGACAATATGCTGCTGCTGCTTGGAGCTTTGACGTAGTCGTCCAATGCTTGAGAAAGCAGAGTTAAAAAGGTCTGGCGCCCCAGAGGCTTTGTGTCAGGGAAGTCCTCCAAGTTCTGGAGCTTGAAAAAGAGCTCCTTGTAGAATTCCAACTCTCTCCGCGCTGTCCATTTGGAGTCTTCGGCGGGATTTGGCCTGAAATGGCTGCGGAATTTTACACGCAAACCATTGGATGCGTCAAGCTTCGGAGAGGTGTCCTTGTGAGGCCTCAAGTAGAGGTATGCAATGGCACTAGTACATACTATCGCGATGACACCGCAGATTAGAACCTGACGATCCTCAATGTCCAGTTGAAGGGCAAGGGGCATTGCGAAGGTGTGTGGTGGGATGTTGAATGGGTTGGCTGGGGTGGCTGGGAGCTCTCGAAAACTTGGTCAACACGGGGATCCTGTTTGGGGCTCGGTATTTGAACATCATTTTGCAGGTTGTCTTGGACGATGTGCTTGTCCTGCACTTGTTTTTTCGGCTGCATGATTGTTTCTCGGGTGGGAATCCTGGATAACCGACAGACAGCCGCCAAGGGTGGAAAAGGATAAGGCGACACGGAAACAAAAACAAACACGGAAAGATGAAAAGGGACTGGATAGCGGATGCAAGGCTTCTCCTTCGCTTCCCTTGTTGGCTTGCAGCTCCGAGCTGCTTACGTGGCGTCAATACGGGTATATCGATTTCACAGGGGCTGCTCTTCTGCAGGGGAGCGCCGTCTTGGACGAATTACACATAGTTGACGAGCATCGGGATACTTGTCGGGGTCAGTGATAGCAAAGCCGAGTCGCAGAGTACTGAAACCGTTGGTATGGGCGATACCATCTCGGTAAGGACCTTCTTGTTTGAGATGCAACGTCTCACCGGTCAAGAGCCGAGCTATTGGCAGAGGGTCAACGCTCAATATTCGGGACGAGACGGATTGGGCATCCTCACTGGACATTGAAGGAGACATTCGGCCAGCACGGCTGGCTGAGACGAGGCTAACCAGATCTCTGAAGGAAAACGAGTGGCCTCCACTGCTTGGGGAGTCCGGATCTGCAGGTGACGAAAGTGCATAATATTATTGTTAGCTGCAGATCACGTCTTATGTAGGATGACGGCATGAGAAGCCGACTGAAGATCAATGAGAAAGCTCTGGCGACAGCTTGAGACAGTGCGCCCTCTAGCGACTGTATAGGAGCAGGGTGACTTATCGGCCAGTTGTTCACCACCGCTGGGTATGTCTCTGAATCCCACGCAAGGTATATATACATAACAATTGATCCCTTGAAGTGCATTCGACGATTGATTGAGTTTCAGAAAGCTGAAGCTCACTCAGCTTTCAAGAGCCGACCCACAGGAGGTGCCTGTGCGAAGATCCGATCCCCGATGGAATGCAGAAGAAATGCATTGGAGCTCTGACCCATTTCGCCGATCTTCCTCCAGCCGATCTCGACTGGTACGTCCCGACGGTACCGTACGAGCCCGTGGGGCCCGAAATACAGCTTATTTCCGTATTTTGCAAAGCCTTGACCCACCCTGCTCCGCCGACACAATCGCATTGTGTTACACGAGATCCTGACCTTGCGTCCGATTGCTGTCAACTGCAAGTCTCGAAGTGTCTTGTGTTTTTGTGCAGACTGTGAGCTCAGCCAGCCACCCAAAATGGCGGTCTGCTTCGTCTGTATCCTGCAGTCACACCGAACAACTGCAGGTAGGGCTAAACTCGGGGCTACTCCAGGCTTCCAGCTGGCACAGGTAGCCCCATAAAGCGGGGCTCTCCGGTCTTGGGGGTATCAATACAGTGAACTTCTCTGTGACGCCACGACCATTTTCCGAAGGAACCTGGAGAACGAAGGACAACGAGAGAAACATGTAGGCATTCGTTCTCAATACCGCTATCATTTTCAAGGAGATTATCTGAAGGAAATCCCAACCCACAGATCTCATGGCACAATGACAAAAGGAAGCAGATATATCCGAGAGTGGAATGACGATGCCAATCCCTCCAGTCAACTGGGCGACGACACAAGGAAGCTCCTGGCCGAGTACGCCAAGTTGGAGGCAAAATCAGGAGTCATGGAAAAACATGTCATACAAATTGTCAGTTACGAACCCTTTCAAAGGGTTCCTAGGCGGTATTTAACCTGATCTCACACTCTTTCTGTAACTTAGGCCAAAGAAGCATTCGGAATCGAAAGTTTCCCCTGTTTTCAGAAATTCACGTTTCTCCAATTCTATCTCTGCCGATCCCCGAAATACCAGCTCATCCTAGAGGAGATCAAAGCCGGTAATCTGTTTCTAGATTTGGGCTGCGGGCTCGGCCAGGAAATCCGCCGCCTCGTGTACGATGGGGCCCCGTCCGAGAACCTCATAGCGCTGGAGCTACAACAAGGCTTTGTTGATCTGGGGTACAAGCTGTTTCAGGACAGAGAACACCTCAAGTCCAACTTCCTAGTCCAGAGCTTCTTTGAGGACACGCCCGAGATCATGGGCCTGGCGGGGAAAGTGAGGGTCATCAACTCCGGGATGTTCATGCATCTGTGGGATTGGGACGCTCAGGTCAAGGCGGCAAAGCGGATGATCAAGCTGTTGACGGCAGAGAAAGGGGCAATCATTGCCGGTCTGCATTTTGGCTGTCCCTCTCCAGGAATGTGGAAGGCCGTGAAGGATAGTCCGATGTTCATACACAATCAGTACTCGTTGAAAGGCCTTTGGGATCAGTGCGCGCACGAGACGGGGACATCTTGGGACTTTCAGTGTGTTGTTGAAAAGTCCGAGGATTGGCAGGATCTTGACCCTGAGGCTTTGAATCTGAGGTGGACGGCAGTGAGACTTTGATAGTATGACAGATTAATACCTCTAAGACTATATAATCAACGACCAGGTTAAATAGATTAATTCCTATTATTAGCCGGCAAAACTATCATGCCTTCATAAAATATTTTATAGGGTCTTTGTATAGTTAAGTGTTTGTATTTAGCGAGAAGTGTAAATGTTGATTCGTCTTTCTATTGCATTATATGCCGACACAGATTAAGAGAGCATATAGTGGTTTATTAAATATTGCTATACAAGGCCTATATATATATTCTTGAACTATTAATGTGTGAGCCTTTCTGCTGCAATCCTATCGTCAAAACTTCGTTAATAATATAAATAGAGAAGTATCTTACTACATTTGATATTAATAGGGATGGTGAAGAATCGTGCCTTTACTAACATCGCTAATGTCGATAATAGCCACTAAAGAGCGCAATTCACTTCAAACACGTATATACAGCTTCTTCAACGTAAACTGGTCTACAAAAGGACCTAATCCGCAAGATCTGGACAAGATGAGAAACACTCGAGGCGTGTGGTTTCTTCTATAAGCGCTTACTCTGAGCTTTACGTGGTTAGGTCATACTCGCGGGCGAGTTGAAGGACATTGGGTTTAGGTGTTTGGGATTTGAAAAGATCGTATTTTGTATTGTATATCATGAAATTTCAACGAGGCAGTATTAAGTTAAGTAAGAAACAGAACCAGAGCACTATATCCAATTCCTATTTGATAACCGTCATGACTAGCTTTGGTGTAACATTGGCGCAAATCGACTCCGCGTTCCCAGCGTCCGGGTCCATCTCCTAATTTTCTAAAGTAAAGTTCCTATTAGCATGCGAAAGGTAAATAGAAAAAGCAAGGCACTTACAGTGGATTCCTTCCAATGTGAAGAAGATGGACCTATCTGACGTTGACGGCGTCAACTCCAGACCCAAGTCCGGTGTTCGAGACACGAAGAGTCCAGAGGCAACTTCTTGGAACGTGAAGGGTGCCGTGTTGTTTTCCCTCACAACCCGATAGGTTACCTGGGTTCCTTCAGGATCGAGCTTGCATGTCCTGCCCTCCGAGCATAAGAGAGTCCTGTTGGAGTCTCCGGCCGTGATGACAGCGACATCATCAGGGTAGCCCGTAGTGTTGAATGTCCAGGCCTCGGTTTCGGGGTCAGTCGGGAGGCCAAATCCCACAGTTGTCTCGTCGCGAACGTCGTGGAGTAAGGTAAATGTGCATTCGCCGATGGTCTGCTTGATTTTGTCGACGAAGACCAAGCCGTGGGCTGTGTGGGAGAGGGCGGCAAGAGCGCCAGCCAAAAGAGACAATCGCATCATCATGGTGTCTGGTAGGAGGATTTCGACGAAAAGTTGAGATATGTGAGTAAAGGGATGGGAAATGGATGCAGCTCTTGCTTTATAAGTATCAGAATCAGATGTGAAATAATACAGTGAAACACTGTCATAGACAAGGGACGGCGCTGTAAGGCTCAGGTATAGAAAAAGCAAGGTACACAGTCCAGCTTGTCACCTGCTATGAGATTGATGTTGATCGGTGCATGGGTTCGCATCTGTACTACCAACGAAGGAAAATCATAATCACACTACATATACCAAGCTAGATTGAAGGTCATGTCTCCATGTTTACCATGCTACCCTCCGCTATTGTTCGAGAGCTGGACCAGCTAAAGGAGTACTCCATTTGCACATGCAACCAGGCACTAAGGTAGTATCCAAGAACCCCTCCTTTGACCTGGCTTGTTCGCCCAAATGCACCAAACTGGGCACCTTACATGGGTAATTTCCTTCGACTGTTCCCCTGGAGGAATTCTGCACGATCGATGATCGGCTCAAAGTAGTCCTGCCTTGCAGGACCCCCTTTCCTCAGAGCTGGACGAGGCGAAGGAAAATTAATTCTCGAAGCGGTCTGCTATTTGGCAATGATCACCTGTCTCTTCGCTCTCTCCAGTCGGCCTCGGTTTACTCCGTATCTAGTGCTGACAATAAACTAGCCACCTCGAGAACAGTTCCACCCCGCCTTTGCCGGAACTCAATATTCTTGATGCTTCTATGGGCTGTCGGAACCGTCCTAACCTCGCAATGGGGAAAGAGGAGAACCCTGTACGGATGGTATTAGAGCCCGAGAGAGCATTATCCATATTAAGTAGCTTGTTGGTTATTTTTCGACGGCGCTATAAAAGTATATTTTAGAATAGTGTTTTAGGTAATTTTTGTACGTCATGAGGAATAATATATATCGAAATGTTTATAGATTGTTATGATTCGACCATAAAAACACCAGTCCTTGTTGCCGTCCTTCTACAACTATATATATATATATATATATATATAATTTAACCTTGACCGGTTTGTATATAGGATTAGGCTTTTCTCGTAAACCCTTTTCTATTTTGCTTTCATTTCGTAGGCCCGCTGTATTCTGGCAATAATACCATGTCAAATCATTATCGCCATCCGGAGTCTTTTAATGGGATACCCACAAGCGGGGTTCCCGTTTAGGCTTCCGTCGTCCCAACCGGACCCGCGCGGGATCGGGAAGAAGATTGGTGGGTTGTACAGGCTAAATTAGAGTTCGACCTATCAAAGGAACTTATCTATAAGGAAGCCCGGTATTAAGTTCCTTCAGTTACACATGCTTATCAGAGGAAGAAAAGCATTGTATAGCAAGAATACGGCAGTACCAAGCAATGCCCGAGCTATTTTTTTGATTTTTCAGATGGTAGTTACAAGCAAATATGTAATCGATGTAATTCAACAACGCAGCAAACAACGAGTATATTTCCAATCTGTAGCTCGTTTGCTGTCATAACATCCTTGCCCTGGCAGACCATCAGGTGTCCCAGGTATATCAGGTATATCATATCAGGGAGGTTACAATTTCTCGACCATCCTACCAAAGAATGAGACAGGAGGGTTGAAGAAAAACTCTCCACCACGGATCTTGATGAAGCCGGGGAAGTCACAGCGCTTCTTCTTATGTGCCGGCGGCTCGTTGTTGCTGTCCAAAGCGTGGGGGTTGCCGTCCTCGTCCAGGCCGTAGAGGTTCGCGTGCAATGTCTTGTCGCTTTCACTAACGGCGCCCTTGATGGGTTGAGCCACAAGGACATCCTGGCCTGAACCCCTCATCGGGAAAGAATCATTGTTGATCCATCCTGCAAATGCGTTAGGGCTGAAGGGGTGAGGGGGATTTGGGATATCTTACTGTCCATAATACAGGCATAACCATTCATGACATTGCTCTGGTAGCATCCGAACAAAAGACCGCGCTTCTCGTCCTTTGTGGCCTCACTGTAGTCAGACCCGTAAGGGATCCCGCGGCGCATAATCAAGCTCTTGTCCTTGTTGTGTGCCGACTGGCCGAAGTTGTTTCGGGGGTTTGACTTGCGGATGTGCGATCCGTAGGGGCACCTCAACTCATCAATGGGCTCTTTGTACTCCCAGTTGTTGCCAAAGTCCCATTGCGGGCCATTCTTGTCCCTGGCAGGGTCCTCCTTGGGGAAGTACTCGAGGGGTGCACCTAGAATTGACATGTCAGTAAGGCTGGAATGTCCAGTTGTCTCGAATAGAATGCCCACTTACCACTGTGCCATCGCCCAACAAAGCGTGCTTCCAACTGATGGGGCTTCAAGTTCAAGCCCAGCGATTTGTCCTCTGCAAGCTTCTTCGCATGACTATTTCGGGGTTAGTCAGAGGATAAACGAGGGAACCAGGAAAGGAACTTACTCTCTAAACTTTCCAACGTCCTGCTCCATCTTGCGGAGAACGAAGTAGCTGCCATTCTTCGCCCACTCGGGCTCCCACTGTCCCACATCTTCATTGAACCCGTTGGTGCCGGGGTGGTTCATCACAATAACACTGTCTGCATTAGCTCAGGATCATTGGAATAGGGGTTCATTCTCCTTACCCTGGTCGGCATTTGTAAGGAAGAGACAGTGCCGGGTCTTCCTTATCCCACCCGTCCAACCTAGGCTGAGAGATGGTATCCCTGAATCCGAAGCTAAACATGCAGAGATTAGCAATGCTGTAAGTTCCTTCCCTTTAGGTAGGTCAGCAAGCTTACTGCTCGTAACCCTTGGCTTCACCAGTCCGAACACTTCCCTTAAGGCTGTAGATGTGTTCAATCGAGTCGCCGAGCATCTTCGAGACAAGAGCCTCCCCCTTTTCACAGGAATCCTTGTCACCGCAGATAATAAACACGCCATGGATCGTCTTTGTGCCCTTGATGTGGGCAGCCATCCAAGGTTCATAATCCTCTACAATATCGCGACCTTGGTCAAGGGCCAGCGTGGCGGCTCCATCGCAGAACTGGCGGTTGGTGAGAGTGTTTCCTCTTCCGAGGTCTTCCCTGGAAAACCATTTCAGCTAGATATAAATAAAACATCAGCATCAATATATCCCTGGTCAAATATAGATAGATAGGGGTAATGACGTACCGTTTGCATCCCCTTTGGGCTGAACCCCACGTTGATTCCAGCCTCAGGCCCAGCCTGGTGGGGATCCCGGTTCTGGGCTCTTTTCCTGAGCGCATCTTCGGCGGTGGTGATCTTGTTTTCATCCACCATGGTCTTGACCCTCCTCTTGAAGTCATCGGGCTTTGTGATGCTGAACAAGAAGAACGTTTCATGGGACTTTCCAAGACCAGGCCTGTCCAATGGGTCAGTTAACAAGTCATCTAGCAATGAATATGGTGTTGTTATGGCCAAACCCTACCAGATGTCTCCCTGGAGGTCCTTCAAGACTTCAGGTGGGGGCGCCATTTTGACAGGTGCAGTAATGCAGTGTTCTGTTCAACAAGGTGGAAGATATCAGATCAGACTTTATTTCCAAGAGAGGTGACAAGTCTGAAGAGTACAGTCATATCTGGGAAGTATTTGAGAGATTTTATAGTGCAAGGTGGGGTAATTGCCCCAAGTGACATCCTCCACCGCACGCCGATAGAGATGCATGCTCGATTGATGGACGCATGTCCTCATGGCTGCCTGAGCTGACAGATAAGAAGACTTGACATCATCGCTGTGTCGCGATTTCTGCGCATCCCAGCACTTTGCAGATGGGAGAAGGTCATCATGTAGTACAAGGGATGCCGGCTAGCCCTATTTGAAATTGTGGATCGATAAGCTATCCAATGTGATATTTTTGTTTAATAATGCAGACAACAGGGGACGCGCGTGACAGCGGTGATGGCAGTGAGTATGTGAGCGACCATATAAGGTAGACATGCATACACAGGAATGCCACGCCCGCCTACCTGATTATCCCTGCTCTGAGACTGAATAGCTGAGGATATAATACACTGAGCTAGAGCAATAATGCTTTGCTTAAGCAGGCCAATCTGGAGGCATTTGAGTCTGGGCCATGAGCTTATGCAGACCCATGGGTAGGGCATAATGAGCGTCCACAGAGTACCCCGTGCCTGAGGCAGAAGAAGATCCCCGCCATTCTTTCCCATCTACTCTTGCTGTGGAAGGGGTCGGACGGGAAAAAGAAACAGCGACAGTGACGCAGACGATGGGTGTGTCAGAAGCCCGAAATTGCTTCTTTGCCGGTCTCCTTCTTTCCTTCTTTCCTCCATTTCATCCAATACTGTGCTTTCTCGCTGCAGAACGATGTCATTGCTTCCCTGTAAGGAGAGGAGATCTTGTGTAACGAGTTCAGACCGCAGTGATGTCTGTCCGGCGCCCGCGCAGAACGTGCACTCCGATCCTCACTATGCTGGAATTGGAAGCAATGTGATACGTCATTTGGAATTCTGTGTTCAGAAAAGGGTTTTTAGCTTTTTCTTTACACAGCTATAGTGTAAGATAACTGGCCCAGTAGATATTAATTGCAGCCGGAGAACGCTCGTGACACATGCTGGGGACTGTACGGAGTTTGGGTTTCCGCGGCCCCAATGGCATTGTTGCTGGCGGCGCTCGAACGAGGATCGAAGTGAAATGCCTGAGAAAAGTGCGTATTAAGGAACAATGCATACCGCATGAATGAGGAGAGACCCTCGGTGTATCCGTGCAGGGTACACTGCATAACTGTGGGGAACTCATGTCGATATGGGAGAGTGTTGGAAACCTGAAACAATTGATTGGATGATCCGTTAGCGTTCATGCAGTATCATATTCCTTTTTTTCTTTTTCTTTTTTCTTTTTTTGTCATGACTGATATTTTGAAGGATCGTTGTACGACGCTCAGCTGCAGTCAAGGAGGAAACCCCCACATATGCATGTAGCAAAGTGCTGTCTAAGACATGTATCACATTTCAGGTTCAGAAATCGGAGAAGAAGTACCCCTCCTTATCCTCCTCAATGTCGTGTAACATTGAAGATCGAATCACTACTGTACCGGATCCTCCTTACGTATTTTTGCAGGCTGGAGGAAGAGGCACGGGCATGACCAAAGGAGCTCATTGCAGCTTGCAGTTCAGGCAGTCCCCCCGGAGATCGGAATGTTTGTGAGTGGGCACTCTTCCTCCTTTCCCAGAAAGGCCATTGGATGATCAGGGATAGTCCAAGATGGGAAGATTACCGTCTTCCTGCGAAATGGCTGGCTGTGGTGAAGGAAAAAGCCCTTGCAGACCGGCCATGCCAGACTGTTATTGGCCAATAGACCCTTACAGTATTGTCATGCCAGGTTTCTCTTACCAAAGGAACCCTTACAGTGCAGTTGAACCAGCCATAGTTCGGCGCAAAAAAGCAAATCTACCGTGAGAACTGAGAATCTTTTAAAGGCGACGCAGTATGCGCAATCGAATAGACGGTATGCAGCCTTCTCAAGCAGATTCTTTTGCCTGCTGAACCATTCGGACAATTTGTTTGTACAAGTGTTCAACATGAAGACTGCCTGGACTATCGGTGTCGGGGCCCTGTTGGCCTCGGCTGTCGACGCGAAGGAGGACTCTATTCACGGCGACAAGCTGTACAATGCGGGCAAAACGCCTGCTGTCGAGCGCATTGGAGACAGCGAAGTCGCGACGCTTGACCAGCCCAAGCCAGCTGGCAACAAGATCAATGCTGCTGACATTGATGTCTTCTGTTCGTCGGAAGTTGAGGCCCACGCCTGCTCTCTGGTTCTGGACTCCAATGTCGGTACATACTGGAAGGCAGACGACGGTCCAGAGGAGACCATCACGGTGAACCTGAACGAAGAGAAGAGCATCAGTGGGCTGGTCATGATCCCTCACCAGGGCGCCAACTCCTTTATCCAGAAGCACTCGGTCTCCGTCAGCCAGGACAACGAGACCTGGACGGAGGTTGCGTACGGCATGTGGTGGCCTGACGCCGCCGAGAAGATGTCTACCTTCCAGCCCGAGAAGGGCAGATACCTGCGCCTTACCATCTACGAGAGCACCGGGTACATCGCAGAGTTGGATGTGTACGAGCACGCCTATATCCAGCCCGATCCCGCCAAAGGTGCCTGGGGCCCCACCATCGACTTCCCCCTGGTTCCTGTCTCTGGAGCTGTTGATCCGGCAACTGGTGACTTGATTGGCTGGGCTTCGTGGCAATACAACACGTACCTGCAAAACTCCGGGTCGAAGACGCAGACGGCCACCTGGAACCCTGAGAAGAAGATTGTCTCGCAGCGAGAAATAAGCGAGACCGGCCATGACATGTTCTGTACTGGAATCACATATGATGAATTCGGAAATCTGATCATCACTGGTGGCAACAGTGCGTACGACACCAGTATCTACAACACCACCGCCCGCGAATGGAAGAATGGGGCCACTCTCGACCTTGACAGGGGCTACCAGTCATCGACAATCCTCTCCGACGGCCGCATGTTCATGATTGGCGGTTCGTTCAGTGAAACCACCGGCGAGAAGAACGGCGCCGTCTATGACCCCATCAAGGACGAGTGGAGCAATCTCGATGACGCCAGTGTTGTCCAGATGCTCACTGAGGATGAACGCGGAGACCGCCGCGACAACCACGGTTGGCTGTTCGGCTGGAAAGACGGGTATGTCTTTCAGGCCGGTCCCAGCAAGAAGATGAACTGGTACGGAACCGCCGGGCCCTCCGGTTCAACAACCTTTGCCGGAAACCGCAACAACGAGCAATGGGGTGATGCTATGTGCGGAAACGCGGTGATGTTTGATGACGGAAAGATTCTTGCCTTCGGCGGTGCGCTTGATTACGTCGGCAGCGATGCCATCGCTGATACCTACCTCATCAACATCGACCAGCCGGAGACCGAGGCAAAGGTCGTGCGAGCGCCTGATATGGAGTTCGAGCGTACTTTCCACAACTCAGTGGTTCTCCCCGACGGATCCGTGTTCGCAACTGGAGGACAAGGCTTTGCGCAGCCCTTCAACGAATCCACTGCCCACACCGAGTCGGAGCGATTCATATACGACGAGTCCAACCCGGCCGGTGGTTCATGGGAGTCTCTCCTCCCTAACACCGTTCCTCGCGTGTACCACAGTATCGCCCTGCTTCTCCAGGACGGCACCGTGTTCGCTGGTGGTGGTGGACTCTGCGGAAACTGCACTGCAAACCACTTCGACGGCCAGATCTACACGCCCCCATACCTGCTGAAGGAGGACGGCACTCTGCGTGATCGCCCGGAGATTGTCTCGGTAGAGCCCGCTTCCGCTAAGCCCGGTGATCGCATCAAGGTCACCACAAAGGGCGATATCAACCCCGCCGCTTCCTCCATCGTCCGCTACGGCTCGGCTACCCACACCGTCGATACCGACCAGCGACGTCTTTCCGTCCCCTTTGAGAAGGACGGTGAGGACGCAAACAGCTACACCTTCCAGATCCCTGAAGCGCCTGGTGTGGCCGTGCCTGGGTACTGGATGTTGTATGTCCTGGACAGCCAGGGTACTCCCAGCCACTCCGTGAACGTCCGAGTGTCTACCTAAGACTGCCTCTTCATGGTTGACCGGTGCAATGCCGGTTTACTGTCAAAATTATATGGTAATTTGTTGATTATTGGTAATGTTTGATATCAAGTTAGCTAGGACCTTCGGGTGTGCTTGTGCTTACTGTATTTTACTTCTTCGGCCATCTCTATGCAGTGGTCTTTTATTTATTCCAAAATTAAGTTTCTTTTTCCCAATCCTCTTGCTCGAACGACATGACCTAAATTAAAGAATATCGAAGGGTCGAAAACATCCGCCTCGTTGAATATCATCACAGCTGTTCAAGCACCCGTTCCCTATAGAGGCCCCAAGCATATTAAGAGACTTGAATTCACAGGCAGAGTTTAGCAGACCAAAGATGTACTTCAGCGACGGTCAAGATAGGCTCACATCCCAGCCCTGGCATCGGAGTTCTTTTGATCCATTTTTCGACTGCCGGTACCACCACTTCATCAACCGCTGGGCACCCGCGACAAGCGCAGCTAGACTGGGTTAAAGCACACGAGAGTCTCTTTTGTGACAGAATACTACTCCGGTAGATATTAGTAGCCAGGGTTCCTCGCGAGCTGGTGGAAAGTGACCAAATCATGTCAAGCTTTGCATGAATGCCGAGGAGCGATTATGTTCAGCTGTTGTCTTTATGCTGCACACGCGTGTTGTACATAGAAAATTAGCCCAACACGGTTTAGAGGCGCGACTCTATCACGTGAACTAAAGCGGTCAGTGCCCGAAGCTTGCGGTGCGTGCTCCTGAGGAACCAGTGTGTGGCCCGGACTCTGAACACTCACTCATAAAGCGGCGGCATCAGATAGACATTCAATGATAGACTCAGTGTAGAAGAATCCTAAAATTGGAGCGAATTAAGGAACTCTTCGATGAAGCTAAGCTTAATTCCCCTGTCATGGGCGATCAGAAGCATGGCTCTTGATGCGTAGGCAGTCTGAAGCTCAAGCTGTATTCCCAAACCTAGAGAATCCAAAACCGGGTCAGAAAGAAAACAAAGCCTCGCGGTCGCGTCTTCACCAGAGCCGGCAACTTGGTCGGCTTGGGGGGCAAAGGGAGAGGATGCGCGGCAGGGGTGGCTCGTGCTCCGCTCAGTCCACGATCGACTGAACCTCAAAGAAAAGCTCTCAGAATGCTTGACCCTTTAGGCTCGTCATTCCCAAACTCCAACCTCCCCGGACTCTAGGGAAATAATGAACTGCTTTCGCGTGGTCTTATTTCTGTCATTAGCTCTCGGAGTCGTGGGCTTTACCCAACAATGAATGCCTGAACTGCAGGACGCAGTTCCCCCAGTGCAACAGTATGTCGCCGACCCCCGACCGTTTGCTTGCCCCCACTGCTCCCTGCATACGACTTTCCAACCCCCCAAGCCTCGCGACCTCGTCTTTTTTTTTTGGAGGAAAAGCAGTCCTCTAACACTGGCGTAACTCTAACCTGGTGCTTGTGTAGTGGCATCCCATCACAACATCAGAGCTGGCCCCGTCCAGTCGCCGCCAATGCCCCTCGTGCCTGACGACCCAGCCTCAACGTCGCACCATAACATCTCATCTCCACCAGAGCGCCTTGTCACAAGGAGCACTCCCTCGTCCACGGTCCATAGCCGGGAAACCTCCGCCGTCCGAGGACGAGCACTTGATCCTTCCACACTAGCCCCTGCCGCTCTCCAGCCCCAGGGCAATCGCCGCGGTCACTCACACTCCAAGAGTCCTGAAACGGCATCTGTGCGCCCAACTCCTGCGAACGATGCCCCGCTGGAACGCAGACCATCGAACTCATATGGCCACCACCGACAGACCTCGATCGTCCATGGAATCCAGCACTCCCGAAACCCCAGCTTTGCCGCGTCGACCACGTCAACGAGCCCTTTGAGCCCGGAACTCATTGCGAGCCTCAGCCGCAGCGGTGGTGTCGAACAAGAAGTTGCTGGACTGGGGAGGCTGGAATATCCAGATATGCAGATGCTCTCAAGTCACCAGAGCCCGCCGGGGGCCGGGCCTGCGAACCACACTCCGCCGGGGATGCTGAGTACAATTGAAGACCGGGATACTGACCATGTACCTGACAATACCAGCCCAGTGAGCGTATCTCACAGAAGAATGAACTCGACCGGAAAATCATGGCGAGAACGCTCTCACAGTCGTTCACACTCCAGGCACATCCAGAGCGAGTCGAAGACCGTTGGTGAATATGCGCTGCATCATCTGTTTAACTCAGTGAGTCGAATCGGCAGTCAGCCCAGGAAATTTCCTAATGATTGCTAATTGCTAACGCGTGTAACAAGTTTGTCGGCCAAGCGGACAACAAGATCAACCAGGCTATCATGAAATTAGATAAATCCGATGCCCCCGTGGAAGAAGTGTGCGGCCCTGGCGCCGATCCGAAATTCGACCAATTGATATCCGCTCTCGGCCATATCGCGCGCCAGAAGCCCAAACCATTGATTGATACAATTATGTTCTGGCGAAAGGCCAAAGGTGATGCCGTGCTCGGAGCTAAGCATGCGGCGAGCCAAGTATGTCGAAACCAAACCTTCGCGCGAAAAGCCCTTTCCCCATGCTAACAATATTTCGCCTCGTTTAGTCAAAACCACCTTCTGAGAATGGCCTACTTCCCCGCCGAAATACCGAGCCAACCCAGGCGTCCCCCGATACCGTTACTCCTACAAGCCAAACTCCGAGCCCACTCCTTTCGCGGCATGATGATATCCTCCTGACCGAGCGACGGGCTACCGTTTCAGTTTACTTAGTCTGTCGGGTTTTGATAGAGATCTTCAACCAAAGTACGCTGGAGTCCATAACTGTCGACATGGCAGATCGGCTGGAAGATATAGTGTTTGGACAACTTAAGACAGTTGATCCGGATCAGATCGCTGCCTCGCCCCTTCGAATGGCCAACTGGAGAATCTACTCGCAACTCCTTGGCATCATGAGTGAAGAGAAATTTACAAGCGTCACCAACCGTTTCCTACAAGAACTTGATCGTTACCAAAAGGAAGAAAATGCCCGAGGAGTATCGAGAGAGGGAGACGCAAAGTCAGAGCTTCTCATCTCTGGCTTGAAACATATCCGCATCAAAACAAGTCCCGATAAATGGCCTAGATCATGCGACTTCATGAGATCGCTGGCGCGATTATTTGTCAACGCCCATGGCCAACGCATCAAACAGACATACTGTAACATATTCGAGAGGTTATTGCTTCCCGTCGCGGCCAGTCCAAACTGTGATTTGAACCTTCCCAAGTGGAAAGAGTTCCTCGACCTGGTGCATTCTCGTCTTCCGCATATGCTGACCAAGCCGAGGCACTGGTCTGCAGTCTTCCCGCTTCATGTTCTGCTTCTATGTCTATCCACAAAGGAAAGCTTCTCGTCTCAATGGCTCTCGATCATCCAGTCTCTTCCAGCCAAGCTGAAAGATCGCCCTACAAGGGGCCCGGCCCTTCAGGCTATGTGCCGCCTAGTGTGGACATACTTTTTCCGCTATTCCGACTCTCCCACAGTGACTCTCCGAAAAGTTGAAGAGGTGGCCAGGGTAGCGCTCCCGGCAGGGAAAAGAACATACCTCAGTACCGACCCGGCAGTGGCAGATCCTCTAACCCAGTTGGTACGGATGATTGGGTTTAAACATCCCGATGTTTGCTTCCGAAATATCATCTTCCCAATGATCAATTCGGACCACTTCACATCTTCCGGGAGAGACATGAAAATCGAACAAATGGAGCCTGAGAAGATGGTCATCGGGATCCAATCATTCCTTGCAATCGTATCGGATCTGGAAACCTGCGACCAGCTATGCCCACCTTTCCCTACCGGCTCTATTCCTAACCCTTTCACCGACCCTTCGGCCTCAGCGCACCTCTTTCGATCCCACTATCTCGTAGATCCTAAACTTCCCGGTAGCTTGGAAACGCCAAATGAAGAGCCCTGTCGCCCTGTTAACACTGCCAGACTCAGTGACAACATCAGGAGTCTATATGTTCGCTTTTGCGAGATATTGGGAAATATAACAATATTGTGCGATAATGCATTTGGTGGACAAGCTGCCTTGGATGAAAAGTTCGGTGGAACTACCCCCAAGACACCCATCACAGAGGCGTTCAGTTTTGGCCGGCGTGATGACCATATCAACGCGTTGGATCAGAAGCAAGGCTTCTATGACTTGCTTCATGTGGCCGTTCAAGCTCTTCCCCGCTGCTTGTCAGACCATATCCCGTTTAACTCGTTGGTCAACTTGCTGTGCACGGGCACTGCCCACGTTCAACCTAACATCGCCTTTTCTTCTGCTGAATCCCTGAAGGCTATAGCGAGGCAATCGCATGCCCAGCAAGTGACGATGGGATTTGCAAGATTCATTTTCAATTTTGATGCCAGGTACTCCACGATGTCTGACGAAGGGATGCTTGGGCCGGGACACATTGAGTCTACATTGAGACTCTATGTTGAACTTTTACAAATTTGGATTGAGGAGATCAAGCAGAAAACCAAATCCACTACCGTGGACTCTGGCGACAAGAATGGTTCAGTGAGCCGTGCATTACACCTTGATCTCTCTAGTGTCCTAGCCCAAGTCGAGGAAGTTGAATCCCATGGCCTCTTCTTTCTATGCTCGCAATCACGGCGGGTTCGATCCTTCGCTATAACGGTGCTTCGACTCATTACAGAATTTGACAGTGCTCTAGGGAAAGAGAACACTAGAATCATTAGAATACTCGAAGCCGACTCCCAACAAATCCTGGACCTGAATGACGAGCATCTGACTGTGGCCGAAAGGAGCCGCATCCAGAAGGGAAAACGAAGAAGTGCTTCTCAGAACACCCTCATCGAGCTTTGCAGCAGCGAAGTTTCCTACGACTCGACGCTGTGGTCGAAGGTGTTTCCCAATATCGTCCGTGTTAGTTTTGAAACTTGTCCTTTCGCTGTCACCCTTGGACGAGAAATTGTGTGCGCCAGACTCGTCCACATGCACAAGGCCATCACCGCTCTGGCAGAAAGCCCGCAGAACCCCCAGTACACTCCCGTTGACACCGCGCAGGCAGCTCGTTCGGCTAGGACAAACACAACCGCGGAAATTCTGATCGAGCAGTGGAAATTATACCTGGTCATGGCGTGCACAACGCTCAATAGTGTCGGGGCACAATCTCAAAGTCAATTAGCCAACGCTCAGCACTCGAGGAAGGCGTCGAAAGGGGGGTCACAGTCCGCCGACAAAATCGGTTCTGCTAGGAGTCTCTTTGCGTTCGTGATCCCTTTGCTTTCTGCCGAACGTGCCTCTATTCGAAATGCGATAGTGGTCGCGTTAGGGTCTATCAACAAGAACCTTTATCGAACACTGCTCGAGTCATTGCAGTACGCTGTCACAACCTGCAACGAGGAAGCCAAGATCCGAATCGGAACACACCATCGAACACCAAGTAGCCCGAGGCGAAGCCGCAAGACGGATAGGTTACGTACAGAGGTGACCCACGTGTACAAGCTAACCTCGAAGTTCTTGAAAGAGCCCGAAGTCTATAATGAGGACTGGATCGTTAACAATCTCGTCACATACGCCAAGGACCTGCGGATATTTCTTAGTGACGTGGGCGTTCAGAATGACTGGGAGTTTCAAAGTCTCCGCTTCCACTATTGTGGACTAATGGAAGAACTTTTCGAGGGCGTCAACCGTACCAAAGACCCGTCCCGATGGATTCCTTTTGAAGCACGCAAGTCCTCGTTTTCACTCATGGAGGATTGGTGCGGTTATTCTCCGAACCAAGCTCAGATATCCCAGCGGGAGGAGAATATGCGAAAAATTGCCATTGCTCGGCGTCAAGAAGTAGGCGGGGAGCTAAGAGGTGCTTCCGCAGCAATGGAGATTGAAAAGAGGAACCTGCGGGCCGCAGCGCTTGGTGCAATGGCATCACTTTGCGTAAGTCAAGTTCTCTCAACATTCACTTTCTAGAGACTAATACTTCATAGGCGGGTCCAATAAGCATTACCACGGAGAGCGGCTCAGTGCTCCAATTTGATGTTGGACGGATGCTCTCATGGATTGAAATCATTTTCAATACCGTCAGCGATAAATGGCATGCAATTGGCCGACGTGCCCTCCAGAATCTGATAATTCACAATAAGGAGCACTCCTACTTGCTGGAGCGGTCAGTTGAGATGTGCTATGTGACTGAGCGGCCAAAATCCTTGGAGAGCTACTTTGAAGTAGTCACCGGAATTCTTATCGAGCACACTGACTACCCTTTGGGCTTCTGGAGAATACTGGGAGCTGTCCTAGTAACGTTGGGTAGCCCGAAGCGAGAAATTCGCATGAAGTCCGCCAAGCTGCTGCGAATTCTAGAGGAGCGTCAGCAGAAGAACTCGCGGCTGCAAGATTTTGATATTAGTATATCTGATAAGACTACGGCAGTCTACAAGCTAGCACAGTTCGAGACGTCGAAACGCCTTGCCCAGCAGCACTCCGACTTGGCGTTCACCCTCTTCTCCGAGTTCTCTCTGCATTTCAGAAATCTGCGACCAGACAGCCAACGAAATCTGGTTGCTGCGATCCTTCCATGGGTGCAGACCATAGAGCTACAGGTTGATCCTAATGGTGGACCGACGGCCAAATCATACATGCTTCTTGCCAACCTTTTTGAGATTACTATCCGCTCAAGCACCATACTCCCGAACGAGGTCCAAGCTTTATGGCAGGCGTTGGCCACAGGGCCACATGGGGGAAATGTGCAACTTGTGCTGGACTTCGTGATCAGCCTTTGCTTAGAGCGTAAAGAGCAAAACTTTGTGGAATATGCCAAGCAGGTTGTGGTCTTTCTTTCGGGGACGCCTGCAGGGTCGAAAGTAATCGAGTTCTTCCTGATGCAAGTAGGACCCAAGAATATGGTACAAGAAAGAAAGGACATAACCCCTGCGCCTCCGGATGTCAAAAATCTACCTTACGTTGCCGACCTCGCAACGGTTCTCCCCGTCGGCAACAAGCAAGCTGGATTGTCCCTGGGCCAGGTTGCGCTCATTTTGCTTGTGGATCTCATGGTTGCTCCAGTCACACTCCCTCTTCCGGATGTGGCCAAGCTCCTGCATGTTGTAATCATTCTCTGGGATCACTATACGCTTACCGTGCAGGAACAAGCCAGGGAAATGCTTGTCCATCTTATTCATGAGTTAATTGCTGCTAAAATCGAGGACCACGAGCCGGCCGGAAGCCGACAGTCCATTGAAGATTTTGTGGAGTGCATCCGCAGAAGTGACCCCAAAGTAGTATGGGAATACGAGGATAATCACGACAAGGAGGATGACGAGGACGACAGCCGCGTCCCGCCCTCAATGTCTAGTGTTACCCAAGCGGTTGTTGACTTCTTCAGCCTTGCATATGAAGGCATCACTGACCTATGGGCCAAAGAAGCCTTGAACTGGGCGACCTCGTGCCCAGTTCGACATCTTGCATGTCGCTCTTTTCAAGTATTTCGCTCAATCTCTACGTCACTCGATTCGAGGATGCTGGCGGACATGTTAGCTCGGCTATCGAACACCATCGCCGACGAAGAGGCCGACTACAGAACCTTCTCTATGGAAATTCTGACAACCCTTAAGATCATAATCAGCTCCAGAGCACCATCCGATTTGTTACGCTATCCGCAGTTGTTTTGGACTACATGTGCTTGCTTGAACACTATACATGAGACAGAGTTTGTTGAGAGTATTGGCATGCTAGAAAAGTTTATGGATAGGGTTGATATGAGCGACCCCATGGTAGTCACGGAGCTTATCAAGGGCCAGCCACCGAAGTGGGAAGGTGGTTTCGATGGCATTCAAAATTTGGTCTACAAGGGTCTCAAGAGTGCACAGTCCCTTAACCGCACTCTCGACATTTTACATCGGCTTAGCGGCCTTCCCAACAATGATCTCATTGGTGACGGCAGCCGGCTTCTCTTCACCATTCTCGCGAATCTATCCCACTTCCTCCACCAGTTTGACGCTAATGTGGACGACCCCAAAACTCTTGCTCGCGCAACATTGCTTGCGCGCGTCGCTGAGGGTGAAGGCTGTCCTCGTCTTGCAGCGTCTCTCCTCGGGTTTGCAAACGGGCAATACAAGGCCGAGAATGACTTCCTAAATCATATAATCACTGGGGTCAAGTCGTATTACTTCCCTCACCTCGATGTTCAGAGCTTGACCTTCCTCATGGGTTTGCTTACGAACGCAACCGATTGGTTCCGCCTAAAGATTATGAAGATACTGTGCGCGGTGATTCCGGAGATTGAGATGCGCCGTTCCGATGTGACAAGCCATGGGCCTGACTTGATATCGCCTCTTTTGCGGCTCCTACAGACCGACCTTTGCCCTCAAGCCTTACAAGTCATGGATCATATCATGACCGTTTCGGGCAACCCGATGGAGCGTCATCATATCCGAATGAGCATGGCGTCATCCACTTCGTCAAGAGCGATTCGGAAAGAATACGAGCGGATCCAGAGCCTTTACGGAATTCCGGAACCTACAGGATGGTCCATCCCAATGCCGGCCGCTCAGTCAGGTGTTACGCGACATAATGTCCATGCCGTCTTCTACACATGCGCTGAGGTTGACCGCATGGAGGCACAGGAAACCGCACCATCTGAAGTTGAATTCCATGCAGACGAATACAACGACAACTTCTTAACCATGCGAGCCGACACCATGCAGTCAATTGAAACACAGCCGGACGGCAACATGGGCGATATTGTGCAGAAATTAGATAGTCTAGATGACTTTTTCGAGGACACGGAAACATCTCACCCAACGCTTGATGCCTTGCCGGACATGGCACTGCGTGGCTTCGCAGGTAGTTATGTGGATTCGAACGCAAGTATCTACGACCAACAAACTGCACCGATCTTGCGCAAGTCTCTGGCGCGAACCGCTTCATCCTCCTCGTTTCACAACGGCCTAGTTGACTCTCGCCCTTCAAATATGCGCTTTGACAGTGTTGGAATGCATTCTGCCGGCACGCCGACACCTCACTCTTCTACTCAAACACTACGCCCCGTGTCTCATACCCGTTCCGTTACGTCGCCCGTCAACCATGTTTTTTCTCCACCACCGGCAGGTCCACAGTTTTCTACTCCACAGATAGGAGCCCATGAGCCTACTTTCCTCTCCGATGATGAGATAGACGAAGGTTCATTTGATTTCGATGAACGGTTGGTCGCGAACAAGCACCCGGTGCATCATATGGCCAATCAGCAGCGCAGTGCAACCGATGGATCGTCGTCGCTGGAATCAATGATCCGAAGCGGGATGAGGCGTCTCACGGGAAGTACAGCAGCGAGTCGGGACAAAGAGCGGCAGCGTGAGTTTGTCCGTGCTCAGCACCGGGCCCTCGCCCAGACGGCGAATTCTCCACGAGTGCCGAAGGTGCCTCCGGAATACCTTTCGGGATCAGCAAGCAACCCAAACTCACCGGGTTAGCTGTGTGCCGATAGCTGGCCTGTTGGCTATCTCTCGTTTGCTTTTCATTTTCTCTTTAGAACAAGCCCACCTATTTACTCTCCTTCCAACGAGTGTGATGGCTGTGCTGCCAGGGCGTTTTATGAGGATGTGATATTGGAATTATGCATAGTTTCATACCCATGTTTGACTAAAATTTAGCGTCTCATAATAGCTGGAGTCTTTCGTTTGCATTATACACATCTATTTGGACAGCCTTAGATCAATATACCAGTTTCCAAAAAAAAATAGACACCACGTGACTCTCGGCCTATCGGTTCGTCGCACTGTTTCCAAGGCTTCCCCGCATGGAGACAGTGGAGGGGCCCTCAACCGGTCGCAGATCATCCTTCTTGGTTGCAGTCCCCGTCCTTCTAACCGATGGAAAGCCTCGGAAATCGGCGGGAATACTCGGCCAGGAACCTCTGCATCACCCTCGGGGATCTTTGCGGGCGATCACGTTACAGAAGCTGGCCCTCAATAATATCCTCACAACACAACCACAACTCCCCTCACTCCTTCTCTTACTCTGCACACCTCACCTAGATCTGCGCTTGTCGTTGAGAATTGGTTTCTCCGCACCTCATCTAATAAATTCTCAATTGATTTCTTACCTGCGGCCGAGAGCATCTGAAAATGAGTGTATCGCGAGCTTTCGCCCTTGCGCGGAGGGGTACTGCTCCCAGGTCATGCCGCTCACCTGCGCAGCTTTCCCGATTTACCAAGACGTTCTCGACCAGTCTACGACGAGATGATACCTGGGGATTTATTGGGCTGGGCCAGATGGGTATGCTATGCTTGCTTCATTAGTTTCAATTTCCAATCCTTGCCAAAAGAATTGATTTTGGCTGTGACTTTGAACGCTTGCCGCTAATTTTATTCTTGACAGGCTACAACATGGCCAAGAATCTACACGCAAAGATTCCCCCGACGGATACACTTTTGATTCGTGATGTCAATGAGGAATCAACGAAACGCTTTCTTCAAGAGGCGAGCGAGACTGCGAAAGGTGCGGGCGCTAATGTTTCCACCCGACCCAAAGTTGAAGCTGCGGATAGCGCGAGAGATCTTGCGGAGAGGTCGGTAAGTTTAACGTGTTTTGCTCCTCGAACCGTGGCTGCTGGAAGGTAGAAACGTGCTTTATATGGGCCCCACTAGTATCTCTAGAGCCGGCCCGCGGACAAGAACTGTGTAGAAAATCAAACGAGTTGAAATTGGGTTTCTAATGGGCCTTCATTGTTTAGAACGTGATCATAACCAGTCTCCCGGAGCCCCAGCATGTCAAGGATGTTTTCCATTCCATGCTTCGTCAAGGAAAACTGCCTGCATTGGACAAGGAACGAGTGTTCATTGATACCTCGACAATTGACCCAGCTTCTAGCAAGGAGGTCGCAAGCGCAATCCATACAACTGAGCAAGGACGATTCGTTGATGCACCAGTTTCCGGCGGCGTTGTGGGAGCCCGCGCCGGGACCCTCTCTTTCATGTTTGGGGCATCGTCTCAAACGGGAGAACTTGTGGACCGTGTCAAGGCCATTCTACTTCTCATGGGAAAGAAGGCGTGGCATATGGGTGAAGCAGGGACAGGTGTCTCAGCTAAACTAGCGAACAACTACATCCTAGCTATTACCAATATTGCGACGGCGGAGGCTATGAACCTCGGGATGCGTTGGGGTCTTGATCCTAAGGCCCTGGCAGAATTGGTCAGTGCCTCCACTGGCCGGTGCTGGCCAATGGATGTGAACAACCCCGTTCCTGGTGTCGTTGAGGGAGCACCAGCCTCGCGCAACTACGAAGGTGGATTTGGGGTCAGTCTTATGAACAAGGACCTGCGGCTCGCTCTTACTGCTGCGAAAGAGTCTGGTAGTCCTCTGGCGCTGGCTGAGGTGGCACAGATTATCTACAACGTGGTAGAATCGGAGCATCGGGGCAAGGACTTTTCTGTGGTGTACAAATGGCTGCAGGATCAGTCACCACCTCAATGATGGTATTGCATGATCATATTCGGCGTTCTATTATACTTGCAATATTACCCTTCTTTGTTAACCTCCGTTGTAGGGCTCGATATCTTGTTAGTTACTCAGCCCATCCCATTTACTTTGTCCGTTATAGTGCCCTAGATTGGATATCAAGCCACTACTTGGTAGTAGCTTGTTGGATTAACTAGGTGTCTATGGATATATATGCAGCTGGATTATGCTCGCCGTATTACTATTCAAACAAAAGACATGAATCTGGCACTGTGCCAGTAGAAGAAATTATCTGATGGAAGATTCCCTTGTGTTTATGGCGACGTTTCCGTGACCTTCTCCCCCTAGAGACGTGAAAGTTGCTCACAGTTCATTGGTATATATGCACCCCACACTTCACGACATAAACAGACCTGGCGAGGCCTTAACTTTAATAGTTCAAGCTTTTCCAAGCCTTTTTTCTGTTACTCCCACAACTTGGCCTATCTTCAATTTCTACACTCTTTTCCGTATCCTTCTCCTCGTGTCCTTCTCCTCGTGTCCTTCTATGACTGTCCTCTCTAGAGGCATCACAGTACCATAGAAGCACCTTCCTCGTCTTGCTCTTTCCCCACTCTACGGAGGAGAGAGCTCTTTCCTTTCCGGTACCCTCCCATCCTCCTCCCTCCCTCTCGTTCTTCCTCTGTTGGGGCTTTTCTTCGTTTCCTCCATCTCTTCCTGTTTTCATCAACTTCATCATCCCATCGTCTCTTTTAGCTATTTCGCATCCCTCACGTTTCGAATTTGCTACCGACTTACCCTCGCTAGCCGGATTCCGTACCTTATTTCTCTGTTACACTCATCTTGAGGACTCCAACCTCGTGTTGACGTTCGTTCATCGGTCCCCATTACCACCTACTTTGGTGCCATTCTAGCCCTCATTCATCTCGAAAATCATGTAATTCTTCCACCCTGAACATCCATGGATATGGACACCCCGTGCTAATTGAGCTGCCTAGCTTCTTCTGGCTTGCCAGTGTATTTCAGACGCCGGGTTTATCGTCGTGGTATGAGATTTCCTCAGTTCCCTCTGGAAAGGGTGCTTGCACCTTCTATTCACCTGTTTACCCCCATTTGTTCTGGCGTATTCACTCTGCCTCCCTTATCACTGGCTTGCTAGGATCACTCAATTCTATTCGCAGCCGTAGTTGTACTAAAAATTGCCACAGAATTGTTATTTCAGGTACCAAGCGATGTCTACTCAGACCCAGCAGCAAACCGCCCCCGAAGCCAGTCAGATTCAAGCTGGCCACAACGGACAGTTTACTCATAACAACCGTAGTGCATACGCACCAAGCCATCAGCAAGGCAATCGCCCTGACTTGGCTTCACTTTTTAGTGGCATGAACATCCAGAATCAGGGCCCCGGTGGCAAGTACAATACCCTCAAAGGAGGCTTGCCAGTTGCCATGCCTCCTCCTTTGGAGCTCGCTGGGCCTCGTTCCTACAACAACCAGCTCGTCCTTCTGCCTAATGGTGGAGTTTTCCCGGGAATTCCTCCCGTCTCTCCAGTCTCCCCATACCCCCAATCTGCTATTCCTGGACATGATCAGGTGGGCCAAATCCCGTATATGCCGAGCGCCATGTATCCAGGCCTCGCACCTGGCTGCATCCCAGCGCCTATGCAAGGCTACCCCTTCCCTTATCCTATGATGAACTGTGACATGCAGGATCCAACTGGTCATAAACGAAACCACTGGATGACTAACGATGATCAGAAGACCGCGGGCCATTCAATGTCTGATGGTGGTACCCAAAGTGACTATTATGGTGCTATGCCCAGCCTTGATGGTTCCGGCTTGTCGAACTATACGATGAACAGTCTTCCTCAGGGAGGGCAGGCTAACCTGCAACTCCAGATGATGAAGACACCTACTGGGTACATACTACAGGACCTCGAGAGCTTGGTTCAACAGGAGCCTGCAATTCCACGGGCTGTTCCTGCTATGTGGACCAATCCCACTGACCTCACTCTTGCCAAGTGTTTGGAAAATCGCGAGGGGATAACCAATGTCTACATCCGAGGCTTCCTTCCGGAGACCACCGACGAGATGTTGCATGCTTACGCCGGCCGCTTCGGTAAAATTGACCGTTGCAAGGCAATTGTGGACTTGGATACTGGCCTCTGCAAAGGGTTTGTCGTCTTTCCCCCAGAAATATGCCGGGATTCACTGACTGTTTTCCAAGCTTCGGATTTGTCCAGTACTATAATTTCGAGTCTTGTGAGAATTGCATTCGAGGATTTTTCTACCTTGGCTATCAAGCCAGCTTTGCCCAGGTATGTATAGCATGTCGAGGTTAATTGTCTACTAAGGACTGACAAGTGCAGAAATCTCGCAACTCGCGCCTGAAAGACCTGGAGGATAGGTCGTCCACCAATATCTACTGCACTAATATCCCAATCGACTGGACCGAGGCGGTACGTCAAGAGTCTTGCTCCTTTGCCTACTCAGTAACTAACCTGCTTTCATGAAGGACCTTCGCCGACACTTTGAGCCGTACCGTGTCGTCTCGGAAAAAATCAGCCGTGACGAAAAGACTGGGGTTAGCAAGGAGGTTGGCTTTGCACGGTTGGTGACCGAGACATTCCCCATATCCCCGATTCTATGTCGACTAACTCTTCCAGTTTTGAAACACGCGAAATCGCAGAGAAAGTCCTATCCGAGTACCACAATGTCGTTGCAGACGATGATGTTAAACTACTCCTTCGATTCGCCGATACCAAGGCCCAGAAGCTTCTCAAGCAGCAAAGCAACGAACGTCGCGCGTATCGCGCTGGAGAGTACAATTATTCCGTCGAGGTTGTTCAAGGCTCGACTCCATCTCCGTCCATCCATCGCCTCCAGCAGGCTGCTTCACATGTCAGCCCTAGCTCTCAAGTCAGCTATGTGTCTCCAGTTGGCGTCGGCTCTAGTTGGACCCCAGCAACGTCTATTTCTCCATCGTAAGTGTGAGGCCCGTCCCAGGTGGTTGCCAGTTAGGTTAATGGTTCAAGTAGGGCTCCCTTGTCGAAGAATCCAGCGGGGAACATGCGGTTCAATTCGTGGTCTTCCAAGAACAGTCCTGCGCCTGGTGAAAGCACCCCTATGTACCGTGGACGACTCGCGTTTTCTAATCGTCACAATTGGACTGATAACGTATCTGGCGGTTCTTCCAAAACTGCTCTCCCGAGCACCCCTTGTGCCGAGCCTCGTTCGGAAAGGTCTAGCCCCCATAAGGAGAACGTCAAGGCTGGATCCTTGTCCCCCATGTCGTCGCGCAGGGAGATCATCGTGAACTCTCCGCGATCCGTGATGTAGCGCAAATAGGTTTCCAACGTTTGTCGTCCCGTTTTTCCGATTCCGATCCCCAGGCTATGGGCGTTCAAACAAGTTGCCTACGACATTCGTCTCTGCTGTTTCCTTCCAGAGGTTACGAAGGGTGAGAAGCATGAGACAACAGGAGATTCCATCACCACAAAAACATGGCCTACGGTATTCTTTTTAGCCTTCTGCACAACATACTCAGAAGCTTACATGTGTTACCGCTGGTCTTCAGATCACGCCTATTTCTCTCCTATTGTTCCGCTATCTCTTCCTTGACCGCTATTCTGGACTTCTTGAGCTTTTGACGTGTTGTATGAGAATATTTGTTCTTGATTTTCTTGACGACATCCGAGGTTCCACGAACCGAAGGTGATTTCATTCAGGATTCGCATGTGTTAACAGTTTGTTTTTTGATGGAGAACTGAAGATGGCGAAAACAAGATGCTGTTATTTTCTGTATCTGTCTAGCAGTGTATTCTCGATTTCTTTCCAGCAAAACAGGCTGCTTAGTCTAGCATTAACGAAAATGTTGCAGCAAAAACAATGCTACTACCGTAGTTATGATAAAACTTGGCAGAATTTTTAAATCTTTTCTCATAAAAAGGACTAGGCATGTGTGTGTAATCTGAGGAAAGGTGAGCAAATGTTATGGCGAGTCTTCATCAATTCCTTTCGCTGTAATAGCCTGCTGTATCTAGCAATGATTAAGAATGCAGTAGTAAGTGAAAAATGTTGAACATAACGCCAACTGTATGATGTCTATGAATCGGTCACGATTGACGTGAACAGCAGGGGTGTCTGAGCAATATAACAAATGCCTTATCTCTAAACGAAAAATCCATCGTCGATGTGATGTCTCAATAGCGGCCTGACCGCTCCAAATGGTCGTCTATAAGTTCGTACGCAGGCCCATATTCCTCCTTCACCGGATCCCATAGACTTGGGTTTGGATGCGTATTTGACAGCCCGCCCAGGCTCGTATAACCCTTATCATAGAGGGAACAGTACTCCAGTTGCAGATGGCGAAGGAACGCCCAGATTTCAGCGTAACGCCAGTCAACAACGGGATGAATTCGCATAAAATCGGGCCAGCCGCTGTCCGTGGGGTCGAAGTTTGTCAAGTTGGTGCCATGCGGGTCCGTCCGCCTCATGCCGACAAAGATAGCCTTCACCGAGGGGTTCTTGTCCAGGTAGTCCTCAAACCCCGATTTAAGGGTTGTCTGTGCATTCTTCGTATATCTTACCAAATCTAAATGGTAGATCTGTTTTGACCAGTTGACGAAATCCTCCATTTCCGTGAACGGGTCGGCCTCGGCGACGTACATTGCGGGGATTGATTGGCGCTTTGTTTCGTCGATTGGGAGCTTTGAGTTGAGCGCGGCGAGGAAAAGAATGAGTAATACGAGACAGTCTTTCCCGCCATTGTAGGAGAGGGCGATTTCGTCGAGGGAGTATTTTTGGAGTGCGTCGTCGATGATGTTGAGGGAGGTGCGGGTTTGGTTCTGGACGCGGGTGAGGAGGGAATTGGGCTCGTGGGATTCGGCGAGAAACGCTTGCAGTCGCGTATGACAGGATGTTATTACAGAGGTGAGGGACGTTGCGTGGTGCGATGGTATTGACTGTGGGAGGTATGAATGCGGTGGTTGTGATTCGGCTGCAGATGACATCGCGTCGGCGGTTGTGGGTGGGGAAAGGTTGGGAACAGGGTCGATAGATGCTACAGGAGGAGCTGGCATATCAATTTAGCAGGCCTTCAGGACATTGCAGTCTTGATTGAGAGAATGAGGAATGAGGAAGGCGGGAGTTGGAGTCCGTTCGGGGAGTTGGGGGGAGAATGTTCTGGTATGAATCTCCGCCCCGCCCTCCCCGCAGTCCGAGGCTGCTGCTTTCTGACTCAGGCCTCAGCTTCAGCTTCACTATCCCGGACACCGCCAAAATGTGCCCGACTATGTTCTTGGTGCTAACAAAGAAAAGAGAAAAAAAGAAGAAAGCAGGTGAAAAAAACTCACCGGCGACGTTTAACTACGGAACTAGTCGTGACCACGGCGGAGGGCTTCAGGCTTTCAGCGACCATGCCCCGGGCTTAAATACTGTGTAGTCGGGCAAGTGCTAGGATGTAGGTACCAAGAGTCCTCCCTCAATGGGTTTGTGTCCCTATTGCCATTTCTTACGGCCTAGGCCCTGGTGCTGTTCGCTCTTTCTGCATCAGTCTCGACGGCTGGGATCAGCCACCATCTGTTACAAGGTGACTGCGTGGCCCTGTAACTCAAGCTCTTCACAAAATCCATCCTCTCCCAGGCAGTATTTTGCATTGCTATCAAGAGACTTACGGGCACCTGCTGCGAGATTGTGCAAGACTTACTACTCCTACCGCTCGTCCTGCTGTGCGCCGTAACTCTGCCTATCGATCTTCTATCCTATCAAAATTCACGAACCGATCTCATTAAAGACATCTTGGCACTGCTTGCCTGCAGGGCTCCGCCTCTTGGTCCTGGAAACCTTACCACAGGTCAGTGGTAGATTGGCTGGCTTCGCTACAGTGTCGCGAGAATGGCAGAAGGCCATCGAGCTGCACAGTTCTGCCCGAATCAAGCTCACGCCGCCACGACTCGCCGATTTTGGCTCGATAGTTTATCGTAATAGGGCTCTTATGCGCTACATATGGCTTTGCTTGGAACTTGAAGAATATGGCTGCCCAATGTGCGCGCCTCAGGGTATGGATATTACCGGGATCAGCGACGCAGACAACGCCTTGATTACCGCAGTATTATTGGATCTGTTCTCAACTCTCAGCACATGGGAATCGAAAGGCAACTTGCTACTTGATATAAGCGTCCACTCTCCCAGCGACTCAGAACACTGGTTCAAATATCTGACCTTTGAACCTGATATCTCTTCGGACGAGTGTGGCCGATATCCGTGTAAAGAGCTAACGCTGGTCAAGCTTGACGACCACCAGCACGGCTGGGCTGCTGGCAATCGAGTGTCCATCCCTCCAAGTACTGGCATCCACAAAGTCTTCGATGAAATTATGGGCGAAGGACCATTTTATAATGATGAACAGGAAAACCAGTGGTGGCAACAACTGCCCTTAGTCCCGGCGGTAACAGGTATACCTTTACGTCGACAGGGCCGCCGACGATGGAAGCCAACGGCATTGGCACAGATGTTTTCACGTCTTCCACAACTCCAGTATATGTACGAGCCCTGGAGAGAATGGAATGATACTTTTCAGCACTGGATGGACGAATGTGAGTGTTTCTCTGTTTTATATTGCTTACCACTAACAATCTACCAACCTTCGTATTCGATAAAGCTTTCCAATCGCTTTTTGAGTCACTCGCTCCTAGCCAACTACGGAGGATAGCATTATTCGAGAACTTCAATCTACAGTATTCAATTAGCTTTGCTGATGGTGTTTCAGAATGCGAGGCCATTCGAACCCCTGCGTCTGATGTCAGCCAGGCAGTCGCCAGAGCCAGTCTCAACTTTGAACACCTCTCAGCGTCGTTCATAGTAGATGCGAGCTATTTCTTCGATGCTCGCGAGTATCCCTGGAGGTGGCCCGCCTTGAATTCGCTTGTACTGACTTCGCGACTACTGGCGCCTGATGAGAGTCCGGTCGAAATTGATAACATGCTACGATCAGCAGCAGCGGCAGCCATGAAGATGCCAAGGCTTGAAACAATGGAGATATGGAACGGGCGAGAGGGATTGGCGATGCTCTAGATACCAGCTAGCTGGATGAGGGCGGCCTGCTGTGATAACCTGCAGAGGAACATGGGAATTCGTCCTGAGAACTCCTGTAGTCCAGGCGTGGGAAGGCGTGTCTAAATTGCAGCAGATTCGGATGGAGCACAGAATTTATAAGGGAGTGACTAGTAGCTCAATCCCAACCAGCCGCTTGCTTTCTGGGTAGGAAAAAAGGATTTCATACTTGCCTAGGTAGCTCTTATTTAGACAAGGTGGTATACACCTCCCATATCTCACCATTCAAGACATAATTAGTCGGTCCTCTATGCGGCATCATAGATAGGTTTTATCGTCACTACCTTAAGTATGTACATGCAGAATCTCGCTGAATAATGACAAAAGAATACACTGAACAGAGTGATCACCCCAACAAGCCCGTAGCCAACGACTCCAGATCCTCCAAGGTCTGGATCTGTCCCTCTCCGGAAGGCTTCTTCTTCTTTTCCTGCTTGTACCAGGGCACTGGCTCTGGTTCCTGAACCTTTGTCCTCTTGCTTGGGCGTGGTTCCTCTTCTTCTCCTTCGGACTCAGAGTATCTATCAGCCATGTCATCGTCCTGGTCATAAGGAGCCAGTTGAGCAACGGCCTCTTCTCGCTCCTCTTCAGCCAAAAGTTCCCGCTCTCTCGCCTTCCGCTTCTCTTTCTTCTCTCGTTTCTTCTGCTTAGCAACAGCCTTATCCTCCATATCAGCGACCTGTGTGCGCTGTGCCTCCTCAGCCAAGAACCGGGCCTGCTGTTCCTTGGCATCACCGCGAGCCTTGAAGGCATCCTCGTCTTCCATTTCGTAGAGCTCATGCGCGTTTCCTTCGTCATCGTAAACAAGTTTGGTGCCCTTGCCCTTGAATTTGAGCAGTTTCTTCTTGGACTTGAGCAATTTTTCGCGGCGCTTAGAATCGACAACCAGTGTATCCTTGTCGCTAATTTTGACGACCTTGGGATCTTTCTTATCGCCGTTTTCTTCTTCGTTGTCGTCTTCGGATTCGGATGCATCGTCTGAATCAGACTCGGGGCTAGCTTCACCGTCAAGTGCTTCGTCTCCAGCTTCAAAGCGTCGTTTGACAGAGAGGAAGTCCTCATCTTCGTCTGCGTCGGCCGTGCCCTTGCTGGGGTCGGCTATCGTACCATCGTCGTTAATAAGTTTCGAGTAGTGATCGGCCAGCACGTCTTGATTCCGCCGCTCGAACATCCTGTCGTACTTGGTTCGGACTTCCTTCTCCTTGGGCTGCTTCTTCTTTTCGCCATCTTCGTCTGAGTCTTCGTCACCGCTAGACAGGTACGCGGTAGCTCGAGAGGCGTTCTTCCGTTCCTTGGTGTCGTCGCCCTTGATGAACTTAATTCGAGGAGCACCGGGGAGACCAAGACTGCCAGCAAAATCCTCAAGTTTTAGTTCCTTCAGATTGAAAATTTCCCGGTCTTTCTGGACGTAGACAGACTTCACATAAGAGATAAATGCTTTCTGGCCGAGATACTTCAGTTCAGGGTCCTTGAAGCACATATTCTGCAATTGGTGTTTTATACTTTGCTGCTTATTCGCCTTGACGTTTATTCGCTCTACCGTGACCTTCTTCTGTTCGAGACGGCGTAGCATCCCCTTCTCCTCGCTAGGATCCAAGAATAACACCGCACGACCATCGCGTTCGTATCGCGCCGTCCGACCAACACGGTGAATGTACGTATCTGCGTCTTCAGGGCAATCCAGCTGAATAACCCAGTCTACAGCTGGGAAATCTAAACCACGAGCGGAGACATCGGTGGAAAAGAGGACGGCGTGCTGCGCCTGCGAAAATCGTGTCGTGATATCGAGACGTCCACCCTGTTTCTGGCGGCCGTGGAGATGTAGTAAAGGAATACCGGGTTGCATGTGTCGGAATGATTCATAAACAAAACGGACTTGCTTCCCTGAGGATAAGAACACAATTGTTTTCGATTTCAGGTTACTCCGGATAAAACTCCAGAGTGTGTCGAGCTTTTGAGCTAGCGGTGTAACAATGTAGTGTTGCTGAAGTTTTGACGGTGTCGCAGAAGAGGCAGCTTCGTGGACAGCCACATACTCAGGATCCTGAAGACTCAGACGAGCCAGATCAGAAACCTTTTTTGTTTGGGTCGCACTGAAGAGTAGAGTCTGGCGCTGTGGCGGTAGATGTCCTACAATCGCATCGACAGTTTTCTGAAAGCCCATATCCATAATCCGGTCCGCCTCATCCAACACCAGCATTTGCAGATTATGCGTCTCGAAGAAAGCCGTTTGGTCCAAATGCTGCAGCATTCGACCAGGTGTGCAAACGAGAATGTTCATCCGCCCTAATCTTTCCTGCTCCTCGCGCAAACTCTTCCCTCCAATGACCAGCCCCGCAGAAAAGTTATGATACCGGCCGATCTTTCGGAGGACCTCAAATATCTGAATCGCCAGTTCGCGCGTAGGCGATATAACCAAAGCACCTAGTCCATCGTGTTCGGCCCATTGTTTTCGGTATAGATTTTCGAGAATAGGTACCAAGAATGCCAGTGTTTTCCCGCTTCCCGTCTTCGCGGCGCCCAGAACATCTCGGCCCTTGAGCGCATGACTGATCGCACGAGATTGAATATCCGTCAGTGTCTTGAAGTGAGACGAGGTAAGGCCAGAGACCGTTGGTTCCGATAGGGGTAAATCGGAAAATGATTCGAATTTTCCCTTCAGATCGAGATCTTCGACTCGTTTCACGAGCGACGAAAGATCCTCTTGAACCCGCTTGCGCTTCAAATTCCCGGTCCGATTGGATGACTTTGCATGTTTGCCGTTTCGAGGCCCGTTTGAGTGAGCCATGGCAACCGACAGATAATTGACAGTGAGCTGGTTTGGATCTCCGACAAATTGCAGACAATGGAACCCAACTTGGTCTTCAACAGAGAAACATAAATATGGCGGTGAAGGAACTTTTTTTTCTGCCGGGCTAGCAACTGCTGAGTCAGCGCGGTGATAAGGCCGATCTTGCGATAGCGTCACCTTTAACGTTGCGAATCGCGATACCCAGAGGCTTAACGAACTAATAAAGGTTGTTGCCGTGATTATACCACGGCAACCTGTGGTATCATCATAATTTGATCTCGACTATCTAATTTCTATTGCCCAATAATATCCCGATATCACAATGTCGGACGACGAGCAAGATGCCCTAGATGCCCTTGAGCGAGAGGCCTCCGATTTCACCAAGGTGAGTGCATTGCCAAATCGATGCCAATTGCTTTAATTGCCGCTAATCTAGCTAGGATGCGGAAATTGATCGCATCCGAAAATCATTTGTTTTAGATGCGTAAGTCCCGAAAAGAGCCTTTCCGCCGAATCTAGAAACTAATCTCGTGCACGCCAGCTACGCGGTCCTTGACCTTCAACCCGGAGTGACGGAGAAGGACATAAAGATACAGTATCGAAAGAAATCATTACTTATTCACCCGGATAAAACGCAGAACCCGGGTGCGCCAGATGCGTTCGATCGTCTGAAGAAAGCCCAATCCGCCCTGATGGATGAGAAACAACGTTCATACCTGGATGAATGTATTGCAGATGCTCGACGGCTCTTGATTCGCGAACACAAGTATACATTGGACTCGCCGGAGTTGAAGACTGATGAGTTCAAAAAGGAATGGCGGCAAAAGACGGTCCAGGTATTGTTAGAGGAAGAGGCACGAAGGCGAAGACAAGCCAAGGCGAAGCTACAAGAAGAGGGCCGGGAGAGGCGGAAAGAGGAGGAAGAAATTGAAGAGCGGAAGCGGAAACGTGATCAACATCAGGCATGGGAGGATAGTCGCGATAAGCGGATTGGGAGCTGGCGTGATTGGCAGAAAGGACAGAAGAAGGACGGCGAAAAGAAGAAGAAAAAGATGAAGGTCTTGGGATGATCTTATGTTCAACCGTGAAGGCTATGCATTTGAAATTGCGCCAGCCGACTATTCATGATCTGCATGCAAGGGTCCTTATACTGCGCCTTTGTCACTGCAACCACCACGAAGCACTGCCAAATGGTCTCTACTCCCAGACCAAAGTCTGTTTCTACTCATTTCTGACTGGCAGCCGGTTGTTCCATCTGCACCTTGGCCAAGATGACAGTGTCAGTGCCAGTAACTGAACTGGTGAAGATGCATGATACTTATTGTAGGTTCAATGTAGGCAGGAAATGTCATAAGAATGATCATGACAAAGACTTCTCCTCTTGCGGCTGCCCCGCAGGTTCGAGAGTAATCTTCATTTTGAATGAATATATAGTCCAGTTTTGACTTACGTGACAATGGTAGTAGAAGTAGACTGGATCCATTGGAGGTTATGGTATCATCACAACCTTTTGAGGCTCCGATTGAGTAGCAATACCGGTTTCCGAATTAATCACTATGACTTGAGGTGGCGCAGCGATTCACCAGATTGCTTTTAAAGCACGGCCATCGGCCACCTGGGGTCTTTCAAGGAGAATCACGACCCCAGCCATCTCAGTCCTCAAACCAGCATCTCGTCATTCCCCAGCTGCTTACCTACCTGACGATTGTCACTTAACAGAATTTTGCCGTTGTGCTAAAGTGGTCAACCCTTCTTCACAAGAGCTAATTCTGACCGATTCTCCAGGCAGTTGGTGACTCTCTCCTCTTCACGTGCTGCTGGATGATTGGTAGACAGTAATAGTACAGCCACCACAACACCAAGACATCGCTTTGCCCGACCCCAGCAGCTAGCGCAGCACCTCGTGTTCAGTGATTCAATCATCCAACGCGAGGCAGACTCCCTCCTACTCGCCAAAGATGCCCGGACTTTGGGCCACTGCGCGCTGGGCGTTTGTCGACAGCTTCCTGTCCCCGCCGCCGACAAACAGCCATGATTCCCAACGCCTTCTCTTCCCGAGCGATGTCCATCCAACACCCTGCCATTTTAACAGCTAAAGTGAACTCCTATTTCATATCACGCCTTTTTAGTATCTAACATTCGGGCTAGAAACAGAAACAATGAGGAAATTCGTCAAGTTCCTCGGCGGGGAGAAGGGAAACGCTGGAACTTATCATAGCGTCTGGTCCCTTCCAGCCCCGGAATCAGGCTCAAGAGCAGTCGTCACGAACACAAAGGAGTCTCGTCAAAAGCTGTCTACGAAAAAGCCGCAAGCACCCCAGCATATCTCGAGTCTTAACCAACCGTCGTTGGCAGAGCTCAGCAGTCCGACGACGTCCACATTCTCAGCGCGTACGGAAGCAACATCCATTGCGGAACTTTCAGCGTCGTCGGACGCTCAGGTTTCGGAGCTGCATGCGTGGACTCCGGATGCTCATCCTCTGCAGGTCAATTCTCCGAGGAAGGAGATTGAGTGGAACGAAGAAGAACAACCGCAGCCCAATTACACTCGGGTGTTCGTCGATGAGGATGATGAAATCGCCAACCCTATTTCTACGCCCACGCTTCCTCCAGCCTCAACGCCTCCACCAATATCCACGCCCAAGCCAAAGCCTGATCCAGCCTCGGACCTCCTCATATTTTCTGACACAACTGATGCGATTCCTCTATTCGGCCGGCAGTTCGGTATAGCTCCGACATCAATAGTGCGTGAGCAGGACAAAGCGCCGGAGGCGGAGCCAGAGCCAGAACAACCAGAGCCAACACCTCCAGGCCCAAAGGGTCCGCAGGCGCTCTTCCAACAAGTTGATGAAGAGTTGGAAGCACTGTATGTCGGCTATCTTAAGAAATCTGGTAAACAGAAGTCTTCTTCGGACCCCGCGAAGAAAGTGAAACGATGGCGGTCCAAATTGGAGCATGCACCAGAGGCATGCATTATCTGTCTTGAGCCATTTGGACCGGATGGGGTCAAGGCACCGGATACGCTATCCGTCGCCTGCCAGCACACACCGTCGGTTTGTTATATTTGTCTAGCGAGGAGCATCAAGCACGATCTTGAGGCCAAGTTCTGGAACGAAATCAAGTGTCCAGAATGCAAGACGCTGTTTATCCACGAGGATATTAAACGGTTTGCAGACGAGGAGACCTTTATTCGGTATTTGATCCTTCTTTTATAATATTCAACAGGAACTCAGAAACACTAATATCGCTTAATCAAGGTATGACAAATTCTCCTTTCGGGCTGCGGTCTCCGTCGACAAAAATTTCGTTTGGTGCCTCGACTGCCCTTTCGGCCAACTCCACGAACCAGGCGCCGACCAGCCGCTCGTGCGTTGTCTCAATTGCAACTCAGAATCCTGCTTCAAGCACTCCATCAAATGGCACGATGAGTTCACATGTGACGAGTATGATGCTGTTCTCTGGGATCCGGATAGTTATAAATCTATCAAGGAGAAGAATGCCGGCCTCGCCCCGGTGGAGCGAGAGTATATGAAACGGAAGGAACTTAGCCGCGCAAAGAGAAAGGAGACTGCACGACAAGCGAAGCTGCACGAAACACAGAAGAAAGCGGCGCGCAAGAAGCAACACGAAGAGGCCTCCCGGTTGCGAAAGGAGAGGAAGGCCGCTGAGGCCGAAGCAGCGCGGGCACAGAGCCAGCCGGAAGATGAAGACGATGGACAGGATACAAGCGAAGATGCTGTACAGGATGACTTCAGGGAGAAGATCGAAATGTTGAAGAGGCGGATGCGGGAGGTTGAATTGTCGGTGAACTTGGTCGAGGAGATCGCAAAGCGTTGTCCGGGTTGTCAATGGCCAATCGAGAAGAACGAGGGATGTGACCATATGACCTGTAAGCCCACCTTTCTTACGTTCCTCCTTCCTTGCCTTTACCTGATCTTTGATCTGTTCATGGCCACGTACCGGCTGGTTGACCGATACAGGCATCAAATGCAGAAAGGAGTTTTGCTGGGTCTGCCTTGGCCCTTGGTCCTCACATACTGGCCGGTGTCGGCCCCAGCCATAGGCAGCTCATAGCCTTTTATATTTGTTTTCTCTCACTGACGATTTTTTACGAAGGTATCAAATGCCGTCACGAATTCTGCTGGGTTTGCTTAAACGACTACAATGAGATCAGGAGAGTAGGGAACTCGATGCACAAGCCAGATTGCAAATTCCATACAGACAATCTACCTATAGCATAGCATAACACACCGTAATGAGATAGCCGCTTTCATATTACAACTTGGAAGGTCACCCATTCTCTAAAATATCCCAGAAAAGAACCCTGCTGCCGGCTTCCTACTCGCCTTTTCCCGATTTAGCCAGCCCGCCAGAGCCCCCAAGACATTAATAGGTTCTTTCTCCCCTTTCTTTGCCGGCGCCGCCATGTTCTTCCTCCTCTTCTGATCAGCAAGACAAACCAGAACTGCCGGCCTGGTCAAAGTCTTCCCCTCCGCCCACGAATCCGCCCTCAACTTGCGAAACACCAGTCTCGGCTTCAAATCAAACACCCACTGCACCTTCAACGGCTCGCCATCCTCGACTCGCGGCCTCTCCCTCAAGGTCTTCCTCGTATTCAGATCCACAAACTCATAACTCGCAAATTTCTCCTTCACACCAGCCTCTTTCTCAAAGATCGCTACTGGATCCAGGAGCTGCTTATCGTGGTACGTCGACCACTCGAGTGTATACTCGTCGAAGCACAGGTGCATCTTGCGGGCGAGTTTACACGCTGGCTTGATGACGGTCTCGAAAAAACTCTTTGCAAGATGTTCGTCTGTGTCTGTGGCTAGTACGCGGAGCATCTTTGCCATCTCGCAGCTTATTTCCCACATGCGGTCTTCGGCGTATGCGGAGAAGCCGGGGCGTTCGGCTGCTGCGGTGTATGTTTCTATGCGCCAGTGGCGGCAGGCACGGGTGTCTAAGCCTGGTTAGCTGGTAGGCCTCTTAGGATAAGGGAAGAGGCATACCTCGTCGCGGCTGCAAATCCCTCATACTACGCTCAACAGTCATAACAAACTGTCTCTCTGACGGGGGCAGAGGACAGTAAAAGTCCTGCGAGAATATGACGTCGTTGAGAAACCGTAGAATGGCAGCTTGGATATTATCCATGTCCGTGTTTGCAATATCAAAGGCTGCCTTCCCCGCGGGCGGGATCAAGTCCATGAGGTTCTGGGTGTCTTTGAGGCGGAGCCGTTCTTTGCTGACCACCATTTCGTCGATGGAGTCGCCTAGGTTCTGGTCGACCCAGTCTTCGACGGCGGCGCAGAGCGCTGTGAATTCCTCGACAGCCTCTGGTTCGGTGAGCGTTTGGTGTCGGGGTTGTAGACTGAAGACAAAGTCTTGGGCTTCCTGGAGATCGGACTGGAGCTGGGTGATTCTGGTGCGCAGCGCAGCGTTCTCATCTTGGAGGAAAGAGATAGTAGGAGGTTTGAGGTCGGGGTCGGGGTCGGGCTTCTGAGATTCATTGTTCTGCCTTTTGTTCTTTTCGGTATTTTCCTCTTTGAGATCAATCGGGATAAGTGCTTTGGGAGGCGGTTGTGGTTTGGATGACTCGGTGGTGGTGGTTGGAGTAGGACTGAGAAGATTAGAGTGCGACAAGCAAAACATCAACTGAAGACTCACGCTTCTTTCTTTTCAACCTTCTCCATCTCCGTTTTCTCAATTTCCACCTCCTTCGAAGGACCAACGACACCCTGCTTCTTCTTCAACGTTTGCGGCGCCATCACAGCGTCAACTTCGTCCATAACGTCCTGGTAAAGCGAACTGTGAATCTGCTCTTCCTCAGCAAGGATGAACATCGCAAGAAGGCCACGAGTGAAGCGCAAGATCACCAACTCGACACGACCGCGGATCCACACAATAGAAGAGCAGTGACCTCATTGAGGGGCAGTCTCCATGCCCGGGGCACGGAGAAAGAGGCGCAAGGCAGATTGCAGAGTGCCCGGGGCACGGTTCCTTCTCACTAGTTAGGGCTCCCAAGCCTCTCGTATACGAACGTGGGCGCTGCTCGCCGACTTTCATTGGAACGCCGCCCGGACACGAGGCTCTGCGCATGAAGTAAAAATAACGATTGGTTTATTGAGCATTATCGATCGGACTTGAGTCAGGAGCCAGAGCAAGATTGGGTGGGGTGAGGGGAGAGATGATAAGACATGCCATACAAACAAACGCCCGTTGGTCTCACGGCTGAGGCTGCGGGTTGAGCAAACGGCTGTCTTTTCTTGGTCTTCTCATCTTTCTTTCCTTTATTCCTCTTCTTTCTTTCATTTTGCTTTCTTCTCGCAAAGACTCGCAATATGGAGAAACAATTCAGTTCCCTCTCTGTCGACGACCGCAAGCTCGTTATCGGCATCGATTTCGGGACGACCTTTACTGGCGTCGCGTGGGCAGAGACCAGACGGGTTTGTCACACCAGCTTCCCTAACAATACCTGAATCAGGTTTCTTGACTAACATGTTACTGTCTTTATCTACCTAGGCTGATCACATTTCCGTTATCGAATCATGGCCCTCCCACGCCGGTACGCAAGAAGGCATCAGCAGCGTCAAAGTGCCTACAGAGCTACGATACACCAAAGACTCCGGCGGCGAGAACGTGGAATGGGGATTCCAAATCCCTGCATTGGTCGACCGATACCAGTGGTTTAAACTGTACCGTCCTCATTCCCTTCCTCGACCACCCCATGAGAAGTATACGCAGGCTAAGATGGCTTGGTGACAGCGGTCTCGACGAAAGCAACCCTCTGGTCTCAACTAAAAGCTGGGGCGACAAGACCCCTGAAAAGCTAACAGAGGACTATCTTTCAGCGCTGTACAAGCAAATTATGTACACGCTCGAACAGAAACTCGGGGCCGCGCTCCTCCGCACTATCCCGCTTGAGTTCTCGCTCACCGTCCCTGCAATTTGGACCGAGGCTGCAAAGGATAAAACACTCAAAGCTTGCCAGAAGGCCGGATTTATCAAGAACAATGAAGATATCTCGCTTGTATCAGAGCCAGTACGAAAACCGTTTTCCCCTTCATTCTTTTCTTTGCCCCCCCTCTCCCCTTCAAGTACTAACTCATCTATAGGAAGCAGCCGCAATCTACGCAATCCAAGGGCTAGACCCTCACGGGCTCAAAGTTGGCGACAGCTTCGTCCTCTGCGATGCCGGCGGCGGCACAGTCGACTTGATTTCGTACAAGATTATCGCGTTGACGCCGATATTGCAGGTTGAGGAGGTCACGACGGGGACTGGCGGGCCTTGTGGTTCGACATTCCTGAATAGGCGGTTTGCGGATACGCTCACGCGCAAGCTCGGGAGGGAAGACGGATGGGATGATGAAGTTCTACAGGAGGCGATGGAGAGGTTTGATTCTGTTGTATGTCCTCCCCCTTTCCCTCCTCCTCCTTCTCCTCTCCCATTCCCTGCCAGATCGATGCATAGATGGTTTTTTAACTATGTTTGCGTAACAGATCAAAAAGCAGTACTCACCAACCATCGACGGCAACCAAGGCTACGTAATCCCCGTCCCAGGGCTAGCCAACAACGCTGAACTCAACATCCGGCGCGGAAAGGTCACGCTCTCGCCGCAAGAGATGTACGAGATCTTCGAGCCAGTGGTTCTCAAGGTCATCAAGTATGTACAGGACCAAATTGCCGCGTGCGGGGAAACCGAGATCCGCGCTGTCCTGTTGGTTGGTGGGTTCGGACAGAACAGCTACCTGAAGGAGCGGTGCCGCGATGCTCTGAAGAGCGTGGAGGTTCTGCAGCCGCCAAATGCGTGGACGGCTGTTGTGCGGGGCGCGGTGATGATGGGGTTGGCGAGGACAAATGCCCTCCGGACGGTGGATGTGGTTAGTAGGAAGGCCCGGAAGCATTATGGGGTTCAGCTGCATACGCCATTCAAGGAGGGTAAGCATGATGAAAGCAAGAAGTATGATTCCTAATCTACCCACCCACTCAGTTCACTATTTCCCCTGCGCTCAAGCTATATTAGAAGCAAAGGCTAACAAGAACTCAGATACTGGTGCGCCCGCCTCGGCCACTACCGCACACATGCAATGTTCTGGTTCCTGAACAAAGGCCAAACGATCGAAGAAAACAAGCCAATTCCAATCGACTTCTTCCAAGACTTCGCTGTTAGCAATGGCAAGCCGCAGATGATGTACACGGAAGTCTTTGCGAATGCCGAGGACGATGATGCGCCTATCCACAAAGGGCCCGGCACAAAGTCACTGGTGACACTCAAGGCGAACCTCTCGGTCATTCCGCAGACGGATTTGGAAAAGACGATCCGCCGCCGAGCGGACGGGAAGAATTATTACAATATCGATGCGGTGATTGAGGCGACTTATTCGTCGGCGGAGACGCGGTATGTGCTGTCTGTACAGGGGAAGAAGTATGATTCGGTTAGTGCGGAGTACGCATATTAGGATGGGATTTGCTGCATTTTCGAATTCAAGCATTTTTATATTTTTTTTTGCTGTGGTTTAAGCTCAATATCATTACATTACGCAGATTTGTTTGGAGAACAGGAGCTGTATGAGAGCACTAACATCTCGCGTAGTTCAGCTCTGGTATACCTATTGGTAGGTCTAGATCGCATCAATCAAAGCATATTTTGTCGAGTCTTTGTTTCAGCCAGTTCTTTAGAACCGATTTACTTATCCAGCACACCACAAAAAGGTGCCCGAGTATTGTTCTGGGGGTGCAATGGATATCACTGATACCACCTTAGGCAAGGCTAGAAAACGGCGAGAATGTAATGAGCCGGATGGGGGGCGGCTGATATGCTTCGATTCATAATGAGACCAGTGGAAGTTTGCAGTCCCCGCGCAGCCACTTCTTGACGTACGCGCTGTTCCGTCACACCGAGACTTCAGTCTTTCGCGACGCCTCTCTTGTGTCAGGCTGGCTCCAATTTTAGAGGGATAATGGTGCCGAATGGTTCCATTTCCACCTCTCAACCTCGATAAATCGTTTGCGGTCTTCCTATTTCTGTTCGCTTCTTATCTCGTAGATATAGCTAGACTTCTAAGACCCCAGCAGGGTATGGAGGCTACGTCGAATATCAAGCTGTTGTCTTAGTCGGGTATCTGGTCCAGCGCACGCGATTTCGCTGATAGCCAAAAGGGCAGGAAGTTAGGGCATGAGAATTTCCAACACCCGCCCAAAGAAGGGCTGGGTTAGTTGAGAATGTCAGAAAAGGGTATCTAAGATGGGGATTGAGTGGGCATTTATAGGCGAGCCGTAGGTCGAACTCTGCGTTATTTACTCGGGGTTCAAATGGCGTGGTTAAGGATATGGCGGTAATGATGTTATTGAGTGGTCACGACGTGAATATATTTTCGTCACGTTGGGCCGGGATCTTTCAATTTGGGACGAACCCATAGATACGGAGAATACGGCAGTAAATGTCGAATAGTCTTATCAGTGACAGGCACAGCGAATGTTCAGGTGAGGAGTCTGATTAGGGCTAGGTACCAATCCGAAACAGCCAGCCGGTCCAGGACCAGATCATGCACGAAAAGTGAAAGAGAGAATACATTACATTCCCGGGCAGTAGTAATAGGAATCCAACGCTGTCTAAGTATGAATGACAATGAAACAAACCTCAAGTCCTGCGAGGTATCCTTGGGAAATGCAACACGCCATGCAATGAAGATCCGGGCCAAATCCCAACGCCAATGCAACTTCCAGAAAAATAAATGACAGTATATAAACCCAGACGGTGATGAAAGAAAAAAGGAAAAAAAAAAAAAAAAAAAAGGAAGAAGAAGAAGAAGACAAAGGAAATCATAACAAGAGATTGTGGACAGGTAAATGAGTAGTATACAGCCAATCGAACAAAGTGCTAGCTGACCTGTCAGAGATAATTATTTAAACAAAGGAAATGTACATCAGGATCGTCAGTCGTTGTAGACCCTGCTACAAACATCAATATCCAGATTAATATGCATTTCCCACTGTTAAAGCGGGAAATTAAAGTCCTGAATGGGGGAGGATAGGCGTGACGAGAGCGTTTAGTCGTTGACCATGTCATCCAGTGCCATTTTACGGCGCTTCGCGGGCCTCGACGAGTCTCCATCATCGCCTTCGTGCTCGCGTTGCTCATCGTATGTGCGAGGGGGTGGCAGTCGTTGCGACTGAGCTTCTGTAGGAGACAATGCGCTGAGATGGCTCATTTGACCAACGTCGGTGACAGGTGGGCGCATTTGGTTACTAGGGGATATCGGCTCCATAAACCCTGTCTGATGCTGGCGAAAATCTTGGGTTTGTTGATGCGATGGCGACCACGCCGCTGTATAAGGTTCGCTGGGTCGGGGTGGCTGAGGGTTGGCTACCGGCGAAGGATAAATAGGGGGAAGTCTGACCGGGGACTCTAACAGCCCCTCACGAGGGTCTCTCTGGCCAGGTCCCTCGCCCATTGACATACGGTTCCCAATTCCAGTATGTTCAGGGTAAGGAGAAAATGGGACACCGTAGGGTTGGTGATATTGTGGTGGTGATGCAGTGGGGTGCATTGGCGGGTTTGGGTAAGATGACATTGAATGTCTACCAACACCAGCAGGCATACGGCCAGCTACCAGAGCCGGGTTGTAACCTGCGGGAACAGTCATATAGCCTGGTGGCGTAACAGAAGTCATTGATTGAGCAGATCCGGAAGAAGAAAATCGTCTATGGCCCATCGTCCTTTGCGTTGTCAGTGAAGGGTCTATACCAGGTGGATATACCACGGCCGGCCATCGTTGGTGCTGTACTGGTGGTCGTCCACTCATCATCGCTGTTTGCGCGGGATGGATCTGAAGATCAGTCATAGGCCGAATTTCGCGGGAGGAGGTCGCACGATGCATCGGGCGTCTCGCGGCTCCGTGGTCCCCTGGTTGTCCCCTGTGATCCATCTGCGTTGCATACGTTCGGATTGAACCATCTTCCGCTTTCAACGGTGGCCGCCCTCGCTTCTTATGAGTGACATCGACGCAAGTTTCCTATGAAGCGTACTATGAGCCAACCCTACTCCAACGAACCAATGGCGGTAAAATTAGGTTTCTGAAAAGAGAAAAAGAAAGACTTACAGCTTTACCAGATAATACACATCTCCGGCACGGCCGGGCCGGGTCACAGCCCAGATGCTTTTTCTTACAGTTGACACATGCCGATGCAACGTGAGCCTTTGTTCGTCGGGTGGTCTTTTGCGGCAATGTATGAGACGCAGGTGCGGTTGCTGCAGCCCCAAACGTTGGTGGCGGATACGCCGCCGTTGAGGGCTGTGAGGATGACTGTCCTGTAAATGCTGGAGGAAAATGCGAGGATGAAAATGGCTCGCTGAATGCGAGCGACTGCCGCAGCGCCTCGTCTGCCGGTGCTGTTACGAGGCGCTGCAACGCAGGTTCTCGAGCTGCGTCAGGAGACGTCGGAGAAAGGATAGGCCCTGCGGTAGTCGCTGATGCTGCGCCAACGGAAGTGCCAGTAGCAGTCGTTACCGGCTTTGGCAGGTCTGGATGTCCAGGCCGCCTCACTTTTCCTAGGGTCTCCAGCGGGTCCTCTGCTGGGACTGAGCTGGACATAGAGCAGGGGAGAGGAAGATCCCGAGGCGTGAACCGTCGAGCATTTGCAGATCGAGGCCGATTCAACAGATGCCGCTCGGGGCCTGGGAATCGAAGACGTCCGAATTCTGATGCCGCAAAGGAATGGGGGAGGACGAGAGATTGCATCTGGTAAATGCCGATGGCACCGTCTCGTTCTTTGTTGCGTCAGGTCGAGAGAGCAACAGAGGCCTTCACAATAATAGAAGACTGGGTGATTCCGATCTAGAGGTGGGCAGCATGTCTGACATAGATGGAGTGTTTCGCTAGACGACTCGGTTGTGGCGATGGATGTGCTGGTCAGTCGACAGTCATAATTAGGCTCGCACGGTTACAGCGTGAGGACCACAGGAGAGCTTATAATCAGCAGTCAGTACTGGTTCACTCTCGGAGGAGTCATAAAATAGGACGCGTTGATCAGCACCGGACAGCCAGATCGTGACGGCAGGGTTCCATGGCTTCGATGGTTCCCAATCCGGGACGATTTATTGCAGCATGGTGGGCGATCACTGGAGAAGGGGCGAAGAAAAGCAATTAATGGGAGGAAAACGCATGGGCGTATCTTACCTGGCACAGATTTGGCGACTGCAATTTTCTCTTTCCCTTTTTGATTTGATTTCCCTTTTTTTTTTTTTTTTTTTGACTTTTTCCCTCTGCCCTGTTTGTTTAATTTTTCCGCTGTCGAATGGGGTGGGCGAAGAGACGGTGAAGTATACGGGAAGTAAGGCGTCACGTAAAACCCCGGTGGGTTCGCACACCCTTATAAATTCTCCCAGCGGAAGACAAGGTCACGGCCCGTAAGACTCAAAATAAAGCCAAACCGGAGAAAATCAAAGGACGATTTAAAAGAAGAAGGAGAAAAAAGGAACAGGAGATTTTCTCCCTCTAGCGCCGGGTCCTTGAGAGGAGGAAGAGTGCCGGATTCCTGAGTTTGGACTATCGAAAGAGCCCGAGGCCAAGATGAGATCAAGGGAACCAGAGGGACCAGGACTCCAGAAGCTAGAGGCGCTTATTCTCCCGGTTCTGTCGTACACCAGCTGTGAACTCGAATAGGCTAACTATGATAGGAGGGAAGGGGTTGAAAGAGGCAGTCAGAAGCCTGCTCGAGAGGGCGTTAGTGTCGCTGTCGGCTGCAGGTTCTGGCAAGGCTTAGATAGACTTCCTTTTTCCGCGATCTCCCAGCTTCACGGAATGGGCAGGGGAAGACAATGGGAGCAGGTGGGAGGTGGATAAGAAGATGGCCAGTGCGACGGCGCGCCGACGAGCACTGAGCAGGCTAGCAGGCTAGCAGCCGATAGAGCTGATCTCCATTGCGTCGATCATGATGGGGTGATTGCGAGTCAGGCGTGGGAGATAAGCAGGCAGATGGGGAGCAGAACCGAAGGATGGAATAGCTCCAATCCCCCGGGGAAGGAAAAAGCAAGAAAACCAGGGTGGTTGCGGACCTGCGGGTGTTGAGAACGAAGAGCTGGGAAGAAGAAGTGAACATGTCAGGCGAGGAATAAGCTCAATGCGGAATGATGCCAGCTTCCCCTTGTCCCCCCTCCCTTTGGCGAGCGGCTCCTCCTGCGATTTCCCACTTTCCGGCCATATTAACGCCATCTGCCCAGGCATTTCCGCGTATAGTCCTAGTGGGCTGGATGACCAGCTCCGGGGTGGGCCACGGCTGAGGATCCCATATGCTCCGCTGGGTCGGAGCCGGGAGCTGTCAGTGAGCCAGGCCTCCGAAAAGAGGCATACCAAAGACATGGAGGGGGCAATGGAGGGCAAAAAGGGACACCAAGAGGGGGCGATTCAGTCCCTCGGTCAGGTCTCCCAATTTTCATGCACATCTTCATTTTCCTCAGGCTGTTATTCGGCAGACGCAAGCCAGGATCGACGCCGGCGGAGCGTCACCAGTAGTAGTGCCAATAGTCCCTTGGCTCGCTGGCAGAGCGTCCTTCCCAATTAAGCTTGTCCTGATCTCTTTGGTCTCTGGCATTAATTTATCCTAAATTGCTAGTGGAAATAAAATAAATAAAAAAAGCATCACAAAAATTCGGAAGCAGGGTGCTGTGTGATGTGTCGCCTGGATCATACAGCACGCACGTCCAATCCACGCGACTGGATCTCTATACGAGACACCGGGAGTTCGCTCCTCTGCGATGCTCTGCTGGTTCAATCTTGATCATCGGGCCGGAATACTGCTGGGACGGTATCGCGATTAACCCGTCCACTTTGTGAAGGAGATTTCTCATCGCAACAAAATAGACGAGTAAACCGCGCGAACGTGGGAGCTCGGAGGGTGAAAGCCAATCCGGAACACGAATCTCATTCGTTTTTGGGCCTGAATACTGATGGAACGAGAGCTAATAATAATCCAGTAATCCTCTGGTCGTTTGGGCTTCCCCCTCTTCGTCGACGAATCTTGCTTTGCCATCCAAACTCGCCCCGAAAACTAGTTCAGGTCCAAGTCGACTGGAACCTCATGCTCATACCTCCTCGAAGGGAAAAACAAACAAGATACGCCGGGGTAAAAAAAAAAAAAGGAGATGCGAGACAGGGCACCCCGTCATAAGAATTAAGCAGAAATGTCGCCCATTTGTGACATCAACGTCCAGTGCAGCCATTATCCCTTGATCCAGGATCGTTCCAACGTGCATACTTAGCAGGCTGGACGGGTCCACTCTACATTTGTTCAATAAGCTTCAGCAACTCTCTGTGACGCAGGCTTTGAGCAACATATTTTGCAAGGTGGTTATTCGGCCCTTGACGAATGATGCCAACGCATCCCGCCGAGCACAGGAACATTTGGAATGGCAGGTCGCATTTCTCCGCAATACGTAGTCGGGCCTCATGCAGAGTGCTGGCTCACCCCACCCATAAGATTCACACCTCGACAGGGCAGAGTACGCAATTGCTGGCTTCTTCTCTTGACAGTGTTAAAAGGCCGCCCACATGCACCTCAATGCTTGCACGCTGGTATTTTTGCATCCTTGGTGGGTTAGGTTGTTTATCGCGAATGATCTTCGTTGTGGCCCTGTCAGTTGGAAGATCCCGCAGACCTGAACTCCAAGCGGATTCCAGTTCCGAAGCTTCGCCGGGAGGAACCCTAACTCGGCGCTTACTGTCCCGCAGCAAACAAGCAGCCAAACCAAAGACGAGTAGGTCTCCGTCTCTGGATGATGAAATGGGGCCGGATAATAATGTCAAAAAAAAAAAGACGTGACAAGTTGTCACTTTCAGATGTGGCTGCATCTCCTGCATTCTGGTGGAACGAGCCTAAGTCAAGTTGGATCACCTGAGCTCCGGACGATTTGCCGACAGAGTGGGAATTGGAAATATTCCGTCACTCCCGTGCGATCAACCCAGTACAGATATCCACCGGCTTTCGTCCGATGTCGTCCAGGAGTCAAGCCGCATGACGAAATGATGGGGAAACAAAGGAGTTTTCGGGAGAAGGCACGAGTGTGTTGTTCGAAATAACGGGCTCCTTATCCACAACCGCTCGAACAACGTTGGTTGATCATTACTCCGTATCGCGGTGCGAATTATTCACAACGAAGAGGGGTCCATCTTATCTCAGCAACTAGCTAAATTCTGGCGTATTGGTGTCTGACCTCGGGGAATTCTCATGATACATGTGACGATGTGAAGTCTACCATTGGTCTCTCTGTGAAAAGGAAGGCCAATCGAAAGCTCGAACTGGAAAGAAAAAAAAGGAGCAAATTTTCCAAAGGATGTCCTTGCGGCCAATGGTTCGCGTGCAAAGGCGCAAAACGCCAACACGTCCGCGCAGCCGGTAAGGCAGCCAGCACCCAGCACCCAGCCTCTCACTGACGAAAGGGGAAGGGAGACAGAATGAATGCTGGCGATTGAGAGAACTCCATTCTTGTGCAACATACCGCACGCGGGGCCATCAGTAAGGGGGTCGAGAATATGTTTCCTGTCAAGTGCTCAAGCTGTCACTGGCCAGGAATCCGAAAAAGCGGGAAGGGTGGTTTGGGCGAATTGGACGGCCGAGACCTCGCGCTGAGACGACGATCCCAGAGAACGGCCAGCGGTTCATGCAATTTGAAGGATGGGGCCGAACGCCAGCACGATGATCTGCCATCTTGGGGCCTCACAATTGTCAATAGTGCAGCGCGCTAAGTCTGACTTAACCTGAACAGGTAAAGAGGCGGGTGGAAAGCGGATGGTGAAGGGTTGATGCTGGAGATGCCATGGAAAAGAGACCAGTGGCAGTGACGATGTGACCAGAGAGATTCTGGCGCAAGCTCTATTCGAGGTTCCTGCGAGGCCATCCCATCCATACCTCGAGAAGTCAGTCAGAATCCAGTCGCTCGATCAGCATCTGCTGTTGTGCCACCCAGACATCCAGATCGGAGGATGTTACCCCAAAGGGGCAGCAAAACGGACGGCTTGCAGCCTGGACATCACAGCAGCGCATTATGGGTCGTCGACTCGTCGCAGTCAATGAAAAGCAATCGACCTCAGACGACAGCGTAATTGAAGGGTTGAGGCAAGACGAAAGGGACTTTTGCCGACGGGAAGCTTGGTGGCAGCCTGCGTTTCCCACAACGGGCCTAGCGAGTCCCGTGCACGCTCCGCGTTGGGCAGCGATTGGCGGCACTATTGTTCTTCTGTCGCCGCACGACGAACTATTCAAACACCAACTCCCAACACCGTCCATGGATCATTTCCCCTCTCTAAGTTCAATCGTCAGTCCAGCCGCTCCAGCGAGGGCCACTTCCGTCGGAAAATTTTGCAGATCCCGTTTCTTTTTCTGCGGTTCGTCTTGGTTGCTTATCCGTCACACTCAACTCTCAGCTGCCCAGCCCATCCAACGTGAGCTCATCCCCTGAACGTTATCCGAGCCAAAACCTGGTGAAGATGCCACAGAAAACAACGGAAGTCGCCGCGTCTCTCTGTGTTTATGGACAGGGGACTATCCGTCTGGTAGCACACCCGTGAATCCTTCCGACACGGTTGCTTGGGAGGAATCCTCCGAAAGTGCCCTGCGCAAAATGCCCTCTTCAGCTCTGTAACGTGCTTTACGCCCTATGTTCTGCTGTCCGACAATCTTCAGCCGTCAACAAGTAGTATCCAATTTGAGCTGTACGATTTATTACCTGGGAAAGTCGTAACTGCCGCATAACTGGCCTTCCCACAAGCCACAGTCATGCCAGCTTCGCCGTTATTGTACTACACTGCAATGGTTCACGGTCACTGTGTCAGTGGGAATAAATATCAAGGTCGATTACTCGATTGTCTATCTGCCTGTTGATGACCCGGGCTCGCGAGGTTCTATTGTTTTGCAAAAACAATGTCACCTTGGAATTTGGAGGGACACAGCAGGGATGGTAAACTATGGAAATTCATAACCGATTTTCGCTCGGGTACCAAGCATGTATCACTCGTTGCCAGATATCATCGCCTCACCAGATACGACTACCCAATACGCACTTTTTATCCTACCGTGCTTGCGCGTCAACTACCTCGAGCATGCATGCATGCAAGGTGGCGTCCTATATATGAGCCGTGAGACGGCCGACGACTGTAATGGCAACCTTAGCACCCAAGAGAAAATAACCTCCCTCAACTGTCATCTTGCATGGTGAACTTCCGGAGGGCAGGATCAATTATTGCTCTCATAACCCCTGGACAGGTTGCCGGACGTTCTGATATCCAACAAACACATCTAACCGCTCACCAGAGGTTTATTTGGACGCAATTGCACAAAGGTTGGCAGCATTATACAATAACGGCTACTGTCCAATTGTTTTGGTATTTGTTTGACAGCATTAAGAAGAGAGGTTGTCTCAACGTGGTTCCCGTGGTGCTGTACAACCATACCGAAATCTTGCATTCAGGCTTGTGATGGCCTCTTATTGCAACAACAGACGTTGCGGTATGCGCTCATGAACCGCTTCCATGGCAGACTGTGAGCGATTCAGTCTCTCTTTTCTCGACATATTGTCATGTGCCACACGCGAGGGCGGCTGGGTCTTGCAGCCCTTGTTTCTATCGGTGTGCTTTGCAGAGAGAAAGAGATGCGCCACGTACAGCAACGCATTAGATGGTACCAACACCTCAACCAGGCGTGACACAGAGCCGGCAATAAAAAAAAATAGAGTGGCCTTGTTCAACAAGAATATGGGCTCTTTATCCCGAGATGGAGACCAACATAGACATACCTTGCGTGGGTAAACTTTGATTGAAAGCCCGCGAGAAGTCGGTGAGTATGTGACAAGTAATATACTGTTGTTGCCTTCTCCTGCCTTACTTTTTGATATCCTAACCGTTGCCAATATCCCCTTGGAAATGCTAACCTATTTCCAATTATCGTTTTTGCGTGTTTCTGCGATTCTGGATTTACAATTTACATCCGCAGTCGGATCCGGCTCGGTCCGCAAATTCACATCCAGTCAGCTCCCTAGCAGTGGGAAAGCACCATAGTTAGCTCCGGAAACATGTCCGAGAATCGCACATTATGGTCAATTTTCCTATTTCCCGGGCTTCTCCCGATAGCCAGATGCTGGAGACGACGACTAACTCCTTGGGTACTCAGTGGGCATCAGCTGGTCTCTACTGATGCACAGAATAACCTGTAGGTATTCCTGGCTATGATTTCATTCGCGCCTTACAGAGCGCGAGATTGGTGGAAATCATTAATTCAGAAGACCCAGATCTGTTTCTTCGGTGTACTTTTTTATTACTTCTCGGGGCTCGCAAGTCATCACCGCATCCAAATAGGGTCCAGGACTGCAGGTGGACCATGAAATCAATTTATCTCGTCGATCTTCGGCGTATGCAACTTAATCCAACCCACTGGCCATGTCAACCGGGGATCAACGCTTAGAGAAGCTCAATAGGGCTCGTTCATTCAGTATTGAGAATTTAGATGTCCAACGTCGTCTACACAGTGCGAATTGACCACAAAATTGTGTACTATCATACAGATATTTTAGAATGGAGACCGCCGCCTTTGTTTCTCCGGTGACAAAAGAAGCTCCAAGTACTTGCACGATCTCTAGCCTTCGGCTGATCCCAATGCCATGGATGATCAAATTCCGGCAAATTGGAAGTGGACCGCATAAAGCCATAACAATCGATGTGACTCGGAGAGGCGGATGTGATACGTCCCCTGTCGGAGCCAATATTATGTCTAATAAACCCCCTTCATTGGATAAAATTCAGAGAAGGCACTCGATGGGCCCATTGATTCCTTTCAGCTACCCAGGCGACCATTCATTCTCTTGGTGATTCTGTAGCTTTTGCGTCTGGTTGGAGAATTCCGGATCCGTTGCTTTTTCCTCTTCGCTCCGTCCGATTTTGGGCTTACTCTTCCCAACAGAACCATCTTGGTCCTGCTGGGCTTTTGGCGTCCACGAATGCTCCAGCGGGGTTGGGTTTCATTCGAAAGATGATTTCGGTGTGGCTTCTCTGCGACGACTTATCGAGGAAGGTCTGGTCAGCCGAACTGAAGCACGATGGGAAGCTGAGCTTAAACTTCGTCTGCAAAGTTGTCTTAGACAGACGTAGTCTCTCATAAGAGGAAGTTATTTGTATTCCCATTGCTTCGAGTGTTGCTCCTGAGATTTGTAGATTTGAGACGAAGGGTATCTCGTATTTTGATTTTGGTGGTCTATATACAGGGTATGCATGTTTTGGGATGACACGGGTTGAAACCACAGCAGTTGCATACAACTATCTCTTCTTCGATGGCCTAGCATTCTTCTCCCGTCTCCTCTGCTTCAACTTCCTCGCCTTCCGAATATCATCGGTATTCTTAATCTCGCTCTTCCCACCAGATGAAAACCCACCAACCTTGCTGGCAGCTCTCTCCTTCGCAGCCTCGCCCTTCTTCTTCATCTTCTCGTAATCCCCACGTAACGGATCCGCAGCCTTAGGTGCCTGGTCCCTCCGATGTCTGAATCTCTTCCCACCCATTCCCCCATTCCCAAAGTCGGACGCAAGACCAGGCGTCTCTGCCTCACCAACCCGTGGCAATCGTCCAACCCTCTTACCCTTCTTCCACGCATCGAAACGTCCACTGCGGAAACTAGCCGCTATCTTTGCACCACTCTCACCCCGCACTAAACGTGTGCCCTTCGAACCGTCCTCGTCGTTTTGTCGCTCAACGTACTTCTTGTGCCGCTTATCCCAGCGCTTTAGCGTGCGGGGTTCACCGAACCCACGACCGCCTTCGTCGGCTTGCAGGTCCATCGTTTCCGTGCGTGTGGCCGATGCGAAGTTAGCGTTCGTGCCGGAGTGCACACCGTAGGCTCGATCTTCAGCTAGGGTGTTGTTGGCGGGGGTGTAGGACATGAAGTATTCTGGGTTTTGGAAGGTCGAGGTAACTGTGGCAGAGGTGTCGTCCGCATTGCTCTTGGTAGAGGACTTCTTGTTGTTGCTATTTGACTGGCCGTAGGAAGAGAATGTAACTTCGAGTTCTGACTCTGAAGCCATGGACATGTTGTCTGGTACGTCGTTCTCTGCGCCTGAGTCTGGGAAGGCGGCCTCATCGGCCTTATCTACCCCGTCAATTTGCGATGCGTCGTCGGCAGGCTTTGCAGTGAGTTCTTCGGCCTGTGCGCGCTGCTTCTTCTTGTTGTCAAGTGTATTCCGGACCCGCTTGATGGATTCAAGGGCTTCATCTGGTTCGCCGCCCTTACCACTGCCCTTACCGGTACGTCGGTTCTGGACTTCGAAGATTGTTTCTTGTGGGCGATATCCTCCGATACGTGCAAGCATCTTCTCGCGTTCGACTTCCATATTGGTTTCCTCGCCTTGGAATAGAGAGTGGATGGCCGTCCAGCCGTCTGAGGCAACCACTTGTTTTGCTCGCTTAGCACTCTCGAGCGAGGCGGCATTTCTCGTGCGCATGTAAAGTTTCTCTCCCTTCCCAGCAACTGTGCGCTGACCAGCAATATCTCGAACGTCGCCCAGGACCCTGGTTACCCATTCGCAGCTTTGCGAGAGGCCGTCTCGAGGCAGGCTTCCGACCGCGACATCCTCAGCGAAGTTGGCCTGATTCGCGGAATCGCGACCGAGAACCAGCTTGCGGCCCAGGAAGAGTTGCAAGTCAAGAAGATAGGGTGCATCTGCATCTCGGACAAGACTGTAACTCCAACCTGTCCTTCCGGCACGGGCTGTTCGACCGACTCGGTGGACAAAGATCTTAGGTTGGGACGGGAAGTCGTAGTTGATGACGTTGGCAAGGATAGGAATATCGATACCTCTGGCTGCAACGTCTGTAACCACAAGGATATTGGAGATACCCATTCGGAAGTTCTGGACCTGGATCTTACGGGCTGTTTGATCCAAGGAACCGTAAACATAGGAAACTGCGAATCCAGCTTCGCGGAGGAGCGAGTAGAGGTAATCTACATGATGCTTTGTCGCTGCGAAGACGATCGTGGAGTGTTTCGTGGGCGACTCCTTCATGTTTACGGATCGTTCCATCTCTGTTCGCTTGCGCTTCTTGTTCTTCGACTCGTCTGGGCCACCCTCGCTGAATTTTCGTCTCTCTGAAGCCTCAGTTGGCCCCGTAGGCATCTTGATGACCTCGTGTAGGACGTAAAGCAAAGCACCCTCCTTCTCTGCCGACTTGATAGAGAAGAACGCGTTCTGCAGATCCGGGGAAATTTTGCTCTCTGTATCCAATCGAACGAGGGTGGGGTCCTGTAAACCAGCCCTCGCAAATTCCACAAGGGACTTTGGCAGAGTAGCAGAAAATAACAGGGTTTGTCTCGTAGTGGGCAGCCCATGAAGAATCTCGGTCAATTGAGCTGCGAAACCCATCTCGAAAAGTCGATCAGCCTCGTCAAATACGACGTACCGGACGCTCGACAAATCCAAATTCATCTCCACCTTCAAGTGCAGGAATCGACCAGGCGTTGCAATAACAATATCCGGGTTGCTAGCCATCATGCCGAACTGCTCCTCCAAACTATCACCGCCAACAAGGAGCACAGATTTCAGGTCCGTCCCCTTTCCCAGCTCCTTCACGACCTTGAGAGTCTGTAGCGCCAACTCACGCGAAGGGGACATAATCAGCCCGCGAGCTCCAAACTTCGTACTATGAGACCTCAACTTCTCAATCATAGGAACCACAAACGCAGCCGTCTTTCCAGAACCCGTCCTAGCCATACCGACCACATCCTGATCCTCCATAATAACAGGTATCGTTTTCCGCTGAATCGGCGTCGGGACCGAGAATCCTTTCCGTGTGATAGCCTTTAGTAGGTTCGCATTCAAGCCCATGGCCTGGAAACCACCGCCCTTCTTCACCGTGCGGCCCTTGAGGTTAGCACTTTTGCGGTTCGCAGACGTCTGCTGCTCCGCGATGAATGCCTCGTCATCTTCATCCGAGTCGCCGCCGAGAAAATCGTGATTCTGGGCTACCGGCGCCTTCTTGCGTTTCGTCGTTGATTTTGTTTGCTCGACTTCGGAATCGCTGTCATTTTGGAAAAGCGCGCCTGTTATGTCGAATTCATTCTCCGATAGGGCCGGAGAGGCCGCGCGGGGAGCCATATTAAATGCTATCCCCTCGAAATACTATTCGATTTTTTTAGTTGCCTTTCTATCTCAGCATCAACTTTTTTTCTGATAACGGTAAAATTCCAAGGCGGTGAAAATCCGGATCATCAGTAGATCCGGATTGATGTGCAAACCGTGCAAACAAATCAAGCTCCCCGCGACGCGTCCACCCAGCGAAACACGTCCCGAAGAGGTAAAATGACTGCTTCCACAGCTTGTCGATATCGTTACGCGGTTTGAGCTTCACGCATATATTCGAGACTCAGACACAACAATGGGTACTTTCATCCCTTTTTTAGCCCAATCAAACTGCTAATCAGCCATGTAGACTACGGCTATGGGGGTGCTTCATTCGGAGGTGGCGGCGGTGGCTTCGTGCCCGGAGAAACAACCAGTCCATCTGGTGGAAGGGTACGCTCCTCTTTCGACCATTTTCCTTCTTGGACCTTCTTTTACGGCTTACTATCTGTTCAACTGTGTTTTGGAATTTGCTAACTCCAAGTCTACTCTCCAGTCAGAGGCAAACAACACAACCCTCCGCCCAGTAACAATCAAACAAATCCTTGATGCCACCCAACCCTTCCCCGAGGCCAACTACACAATCGACGGGCAAGATGTCTCGAGCATCGTCTTCGTCGGCCAGGTTCGCAACATCAGCACGCAGGCAACAAACGTCACATACAAGCTCGATGACGGAACGGGCGAAATCGAAGCAAAGCAGTGGGTTACTCCCAGCGAGGACATGGACACAACGGACGACCTGGGCAAGGAAGGGAAGGACCGTAATGGTGTCGACGTCAACGGATATGCGAAGGTGTTTGCCAGACTAAAGTCGTTGATGGGCGACCGTAAGGTTCTTAACGCGCATTGCGTGCGGCCGTTGACGGATATCAATGAGTTGCATTTCCACTTCTTGGAATCTGCAGCGGTGCATTTGTTCCATACGCGGGGCCCACCGCCGAGTGCCGGAGGTGCTGGTGGAACTGGTGCTGGTGCTGGTGCTGGTGGTGATGCGGCGATGGGGGGACTTGATGGGACGGGTGGAGCGCTCCCAGCTATGACTCCAGTCGCGAAAAGGGTGTTTAACCTGTTGAAGACGGAGCCGCAAACGAATGAGGGCTTGCATGCGCAGCTGATTGCAGCGAAATTAAGCCTTCCTCCGTCGGATGTGGTGGGGGCAGCTCATGAGTTGATAAATGCTGGGTTGATCTTTTCGACTATTGACGATGACACTTATAGTGTTTGGTAGATTTCTGTCATCCAAGTATCAAATGAATGATTTCCACGAATCTTATACCGGCTGAATCAAAAAAAAAAAAAAAAAAAAAAAAAAAAAAAAAAAATTCTTACTAGTATCTTCAACATCTACAACGATCTCTATTGATTCATAGATATCTTCATGTCCTGTGTCCCACAAAAAATCGTATCGCACTTGCAACAATTTTATCCAAAACATTCATGTCATATCTCGTCAACATAACACGTACACATGGGTGTAAATTCCCTCATTAATAGACTTTTCTCTTCACGCCGCCGCGTTTCTCCGAACAGCATCCTCGACAGACCGGTTCCAATCCGTATGTGAAAGGAACACTCCCTCGATGAGAGATACAAGACCAAGAGCAATGGCAACACCTGACCAAAGCCCGAAGAGCTCCCATCGCAACCCGAACGCAGTCCCGAAACTGATAGGCATGGCAATTGCATAGTAGCAAAAGAGTTGCACGTATCCTCCTATTTCCTGCCGGCCAAGCCCACGAAGGACACCATTACATGTGGCGGCTAAGGCATCGAATAGCTGGAAGGCCGCACAGAGGGGCAGAACCCGTGCTACGAGCTCGATGACTTCGTCCTCGGAGGTGAAGAGACGCGGTATGTAGTAGCGGAATGCGGAAACTAAGACCATGTTTAGGAGGCCGACAAGGACAGCTCCCCACATTGCGACCTTGGCGGTTGTTTTGGCGGCATCAACGAGGGTGGCACCGATCAGGTTGGCGATACGTGTGCTCGCGGAAATAGATAGAGTGAAGGGGATCTGGAAGGTAATGGATGATACTGTCGCCAGCACCGACTGTGCAGCCAGTGGAGTAGTTCCAAGGTACGAGGATCCCAGTGTCAAAACTTCGAATGCAAGACACTCTGCCTCTACCATGAGAAGGCCTGGGAGAGCGAGACGGACCATGGGTCCCCAATTACTCAGAGCGCGTCTGCTCAACCCATTCCAGCATTCGGAGCCGTCGATGAAATACACATAGAGGCACAATAGCACAGGCATGAGGGTGTCAGTAATGGCCACAGCGATAGGTGCACCAACGAAGCCCCATTTGAATTGCTGCAGTCTCTGTTAGCCGAGTTTCGTGAACTACAAGTTTCCTCATCAGAACTTACCCAAACAAACAGCCAGTTCATGAATGCATTCAGTGGGGCACATATCAGCAAGACATATAAGGATGCAGAAAAGATACCCTGGGCCTGTACATATCGTTTCCCACTCTCAAACGCAGCATAACCTGGAGCTCCCAGGGCAACCACCTTCAGGTACAGACCAGCCAGATCAGCTACGTCTTTCTCCGGTACTATGCGGTTGAGGATCCTATCGGCGAAGAACCAGAGTAGGGCAATTGGAAGAGTGATGACCCATAAGAAGCAAACCATCCGCTGCATTTGTAATCCGACCAGCTTTTTCTTCCCAGACCCAAAGGCTTGAGCACAGAGAGTATCTAAACTTGTCGCCAACCCTTGGTAAACTGCGAGCAAATATATCAGCATCCTAATAACACAATTCGAAGAAAGGAAATTTGTATTCAAGGTACATACCTGCATAACCTGTAATACTGGCGCTCATACTTGCAAGACTAACAGCACCAAGCTCCTTCTTGCCCAAGTGACCCAAGGTGAAAATGCTTGCTACAGTCAAAGAATATTGTAGCAGGAAGGTGACTACCAACGGGGCAGCATTTTTCCCAATAACGTTTGCTTCACGTTTCCACGTCGTATGGATCAGGCCTGCAGTAACGGCTTCCTCCCATTTGCGATCGATATTCTCAGCATCCGCAGCGTTGTACCCAGGGCCGCCACTCTCTCCCCCACCAAGCAAAGATGTGGTTTCCTCTGCAGGTGCGCGGGAGGTACTTCGTTGGGGCTTACCAGCACTGGCCGGGTCAAGAAAGTGGTTATCAGTAAGGAGCTCTCGCTCGTCCTCGATCGCCTGCTCTCGATCCCTCCATGACAGCCCTTCATTTTCCGGTTTATGCGGCACCACGGTCGCATGAGACACTGTGGTGAAAAAGCTCGGGCGCTGATAAGAACCTGCTAATGAATGAGATGCTGTGCGTGGATGGCTACGTATAGGCCGGACGGTCGAATCTTCGGAGTACTCCTCATCGCCGGTGGAAGCCGAATCTCCATCATCGGCATACTGCTCCAGATCGCGCGCAATCACACTCTCAGCAAGCGGGTCTGCGGAACGAAAGCGGCTGTGGAAGGTTCGGTCTTCCGGTGCGCTGGCCATGATGAAAGGCCGCTATACAATTTTCGTGGGGTGTTGGAGGACTGGGCGTACGGAATTATCGCGGGGTCCTCCGCCGTGACGCAATCACAGCGGTTTCTGCGAGTGCAAGACGAATGCTCGCAACGGGAGCCAGAGGAAAGAGTAAAAGAGAAAGCAGAAACAAGGTTGATGAGGAGCATAAGTAGTCTGGATCCTTGCAACCCACTCGTGCTCAGACTTTGCCTTGGAACCTCATTTAGCTACTCCACTCACAATGACACCTTGAAATACTGCCATGACTCACAAAACTGTCTCAGCAGCGTACCACGCGCCGGCTGGAGTCATTGTTTATCCAATACAAGCACCAGTGAACTCCTTCTAAAATGAAAAGGTTCATCATTGATGTCAAAGGGCGCAATCCTGTTTGTCCATGCAGTTGATGCTGACCGAAGAAAAGATGCCCCGCAGATCGTCTCCACCATCCAGTCTGAGCTCCGAAAAGGTAAGCTGGACCGGGGGAGGGGTGAGATCAACATAGGAGCTTCTCGCGCAATTGGCGAGACACCTTCAACCGATATTAATCAGTTGATCTCTCCCCTCAGATACAGTTGCGCCGCTTCCACAATGCTCTTCGGAACGCGACATGCAGAGGCAGACTGAAAAAGTCGAAAATCCCAAACTGGATTAGGCCAGGATACGTCATCACGTGGATGCTCTGCGATCAGCTGCGAGTTTGGAGCGACTGCAAAAAATCACCCGATTTGGAGCAGCAGAACGAGGCCACCTCTCTGTCTTCCCCAGCCAGAAGATGCGACTTCGCAGAAACGACACCCGGGGACCGTATAGCAGCGAATCTCCGGATCAAAACTCCCGCAGACCGCCGATATAACCTACACTCCTGCCCGCTCACTATTAATACAGCATGCCAGAAGCAGCCACACCCGGCACAGCCGCCACGCGACCGCCATACAACCCGGTGATTAACCCGGTCCACGCAAAACCAGTTCTAATTGAAGAGTACACTCTCTCTATCTCATTCTCCCATATTCGTCGGATACAAAACATGTCCTAACGAGTGGAAAACAGGCATTTAGAAGACAGCCAGCACATCTTTCTCACTCGGCCATGGTTCGGTGCTCTTCTCTTCGAAAACGCCGCCTCTGATGCACGCGACCACTGCGCCAACGAGCGCACCTTCCTCTCCTGGCTTCGGCTTTCGATGTACCTCGGGATCGTCTCGGTGGCGCTTATCATATCCTTCCACTTCAAGACCGAGCCATCCAGGATAGAAAAGCGGATGTCCCTGCCTATGGGGATTATATTCTGGGTATTAAGTTTGGTGAGCCTTGGGAATGGGCTGGCAAATTATATTCGTACGGTGAAGAAATATAGTCGGAAGGCCGCGCTTGTACAGAGTGGGTGGAAGACGCAGTTGACGTTTATGGTTGTTGGTGGGGTGATTCTGGGGAGTTGCATTGTGCTTCTGGTTACGGATGCACATAATTATTGATGATCAAAAGTGGGGAGTTTGCTCAGGCAGGCAGGACATAGGAAGTCGCATACCGAATTCATATATTTCATGCCCGAAATAAACTGCTTATGCTAGCCAATGCATTTGGGGGAATAACGCCGCTATGTCATCAATATAAATCTCCATCTCTCCGTCTCTTTCTTACATACGACGAATCTGTGTCTCGCCCTTATACTGATCCAAAGAAGCAGAGCCGAGGTGGCTCCACCACTCAAACAGCATCGAGTTGCAGATGAGCTTAAACCACGGGGTAAACTTCAAGTCTGACTGTTTGAACATTTCCTTCAGGTCTGTCTCGGAGACATACCGCGTGTCGCGGACCTCGTTCAGGTTAGGTTCAAGGTCGACATCTGCTTCGATAAAAAGGATATAGTCAACTAGAAACAAAAACAGAGATGTTAGCGACTGCAACCCATTATAACATACAAAGAAGGCAAGGCAGGTTTTCGTCCTACCTTCATGCTCTCCCCACTTGCCATCACTTGGGGCCTTGTAGTGGATGCGAGTGAAGAATTCGAACTTCTCAATCGGAACCTGCTCCGGCTTGATGCCCAGCTCGTGGTTCAGCTTGCGCTGCGCTGCCCGCTTTACGCCTAGAATGGCAGCATCGAGCTCCGATCCTGTCTCTCCGGGAATGCCGAGAGGGTGGGAGCAGCAAGTATTCGTCCACAAGTCGGGGAAGGTGATCTTCTCGGAGGCACGCTGTTGCAGAAGCAATCGCTTCTGGGAGTCGAAGAGGAACACGGAAAAGGCTCGGTGGAGAAGGCCGCGGTCGATGTTTGTCATTAAGTGGCCTGCAGGTAAATCAAGGGGTAAGCCAATTGCATTAAAGGTTAAAAGATCTAGAGTCAAATTGCGGGGAGGGTAAAATCTGGGGCGGTGGATGATGGGATATTTGCATACATGTCTTCTTGCTAGCACTCCCAATGGGCTTGTCATCGTCGTCGAGAACAATGCACACTTCATCCATCAGACGAACCTGCTCCTCGTCGTACCCAGCAAGCTCGTTGCTGTTCGCGACGGACGAAGTAGCCGCCGAGGGGAGGACTTCGCGGGCAAGTGAAGTATCGACGTCGGGGAAAAGGCTCGCAACATTGTCCGCCGTAATTCTGGTGATGGTCTCTGTGGCACTCATTATGGGCAGCGTAGTATATTTTCAAACCAATAACTTTGTCTTTCTCCGACTTTGGAGTTCGGGGACCGGGTTGATTTATTTCGAGCGACCCCCCCTCTGGAGCGGTGACTCCCGGCAGAACTATTCTCTAATCTACTCTGTAGTCCTGGGAATATCTATATCCAGTTTGATTTGAATCGTCCGCTGCGGAATACGGCACGCTGGCTGTTCAGCTGATCTGTGCTCGGAGTCCGACCACTGGGAGCAAGGGGTATTTCTTTTTCTGCCTCCTCATTTCCTCCGGCTTCGGATGTTTTTAGGTGGCTTTACCTTCTCAACGTTGCAGAAATATAATACGCACGCTAAAAATGCTCGAACACATCAGTCAGTTCAATGGAGGACATAATAACATGGTCTAATATTTTTGAAATGTATAGTGATGTCCATATTCTCACAATTGTATCCTTTGCATGGTCCTGCCATGTTGATACCATATTCTAAGCCGTTATGCCATCCCCTATCTAAAGGTTTCGCCAAATTGGACTGTCAGAGCAAACAAAGGCTGGTGGTACAGGAACAGAAATCATGTGTTGCAAATTGCGAATCAAGCAAAAAGCCTCCCTAGAACATGGCTCATGAAATGTACAATGCTAGCCTGAGATGAGGATAGCTGAAGCAAGGCAAAGCTAATGGCCTTGTTTAAGTATCGGTGGCGTGCGCTTCACCAGGGGTTTAGATCCGCTCGACCCCCTTTTATGGTAGACAGTGTCGGCTGGGAGAATGACTTTCTCCGGCTCTCCAGGTAGAGTCACTGAATCTCCGACCACGTCTGCATCCATCTGATGCATGTCTACAAGTTCAAGCATGTCAGCAATGTGCATTGTTATAACCGCAAAAACAGGAATTCCTCTAACATACCTTACAAGCGTATCCTGGCGACTGAAGCGAGCACCACATTGTTCACACGCGTACTTTCTAATCCCTCGATGAACCTTTTTCCACACGTCAGCAAGAGCCAGAAAATATCACGGCGGACACTCTCGGATACATACACTATCGATATGCCTTTTGAGATCAGTTTTCCGGCCCAGGGACTTCCCACAGTCTTCGCAAGGGAATGACTTTCTCGCGTTAGGGTCATGTCTCCTCATATGCTCCCGACAGTTTGAACGACGGGTAAATCGAGCCCCGCAGATGGTACATTCGAGTCCACTCGCAGGCGGAAACCTCACTTGATCGGGCTCATGTGGTTTTTCATTATCCGTGCTCCATGGGGGGATTACCCCAACTGGAAATGTCGATGTTGTTGTCGGCAAACTAGGATCGGTATCATGGCTTATTACTGTAGGTCCTCTTGTATCGTCTTCAGAGCTTTCCAGCTTGGGTAAAAAATCGTCCGTCTTCCTGTGGTGTGCCACAGGGGCAAAGAGAGGCATGGAAGTAGGTTTTGTATGTTCCACATACGAGCTGTCGTTATAATCGGCGTCGGGGTCTTCTTTTATGGTGATGTCAGGTTCTGAGCAAGGGGTATTTGGCCAAAAGCTGTACGGATGTGTGTTCATTGTGTCTGGTCCTGCTCGAAATTCCAACGCCGATCCGCGACTCGATGAAGTGCTCATTGCTTGCGGGCCACAGTAACTGAGAGGTGATGCAGAAGTCTCAGATCCGGCGTAGCGCTCGTAGAATGTCCCTGCCGATGTAAGGCTTGTAGTATTCAACGAGCACCCGAAGGAGATTGTCGCGGGTATTGGTTGGGCCCAATCTGCGGTACAACTTTCCGATGACGGATATTGTTGCGGATAGCTGGTAGAAGGCTCTAGGTCACAGTATGATATCCCCAGCCCATGGCTCTGTGGTGGAAATGGGGAAGTTGGGGCAATGTGTAACGGGTTCGAGTAGACAAGACGGGCCCGCGGCTCGACATCACTGGAAGAAGCGAAGGACGTGGAGGTAGGGAAATTCCCAGAGGGGTAACCCATAATTATTGTCGTAAATTTCGAGGGTATTGACGATAAGTAGTAGATAGAGTAGATAAAGATAATAAATATCAAGAACAGCCTGTGCCGAGGTGTTATCAAAGCTGTCTCTGCAACGTTTGAAAAGTGATATCTTTGCTAGTGGAACAAGCCAGAAAGATAGATATATGCAGTATAAAATAATATGAATGAGTGATTCAAGAGGAGGGGTGTCTTGATATAAAAAAATGATTGCCCGACGGCGGTACAAGCCAAGCAACTAGAAGAGAGGTGCTCTATAGGAGCAGAGTAACGAAAATCGTAGGCAGCCTCCGGGCCCTGCCTAGCGAGGCAGAATTGCAGAGAGCTTTATGCATGGGTGTTTCAAAAACGAGGGAAGGTTGTGGGCCATGGCTGTTGGGAGAAGGGAAGGGGAAAGTACCTGGGTGCTGCACAGACCGGACCGGACTTGCTGCAATAAATTCTGCAATACGGAGATAGGCGCGACATGCTAGAAAGTGTGCTTAGAGAAATTAGCGCCCAAGGAGTGTGACTGGGTCACAATTTCTCATCCATCGATGCTGGATTTGGCAGGGGGGGCTGCGCAGGCGGATGGAGTGACTGGAGAAGTGGTCACTACCGACAAACGATTTTGTCCGAAACGACAAGGCACGCCCTCTCGATGGAGGGGGCGAGAAGAGAGAGATAGCTGCTCCCAGCGAGGGGGTCATTCAGGGATCTTTGCAAGGCAATGTGATTTGAAAGAGACCCAGTAAGCTCCACGGAGGGGGATTCTCGAATCATGCCGCGATGCACCAGACAGAAACAGGCTGCAGGGAGATTGCTCGAGGGCGCCTGGCATTTTCCGATCGTCGCCCTCTCCGCTGAACACCAGCGCAGAATTTGTTTCCTACTTTTTGTTGAATCAGGCATAGTGAGTGACCCGGCACTCTGGTACCCTAGCTTGGCAAAGATGCAGTGCGTGTCGCCAGGTGTGATTGGTAAACACAGCCGCACCGTTAGGAGGGCGGAGGGCAGCTAAAACAGCGCGAGAGTTGCAGATGTTGTAGGAGGGCAAGGCGTTATCGAGGGTTGCTCGAGCGAGACTCGAGAGACAATGGTTGTTGGATAGAGGCAGGTTGCGGGAGTTGAGAGATGTTGGGGAGGGGAAACAGTAAGACGACTCGGGAGACGATCACCCTCCGCGGCCACGAAGCGCCAGGCCAACCAGGCCAACAATTGATCGCCCTACAATCTTATTTGTCTTATGGTTACCGCTAGCATAAGCAGAGGGTTATAGTTGCTTATTATTCCTCTTTCTTCAGTTGGTTATTCTGCTGCTGCCATTGGTCTGGTGTTCTGCTACTGCAGAACACATCACTGGCAATCCTGCCCGACAGCCAATAACTAACACTGCGATGAGGTTCTCTTTGTCCGATGTCTCCTCTTCGTAGACTGCCACTGGCGGGAGGTCCAACTCGTGGTGTTGATCGCCATCGAGCTACGTATATACATGTTAGCGCCCCCAAGAGGGCAAAGGGGCGGCAAAAGAAGGTATCGTGCCGGCGTGGTCAAATAGAGAATAAATGTACACATCTTTGCCGATGTGCCGTTGCAAAGTATCTCAATCCGTCTGCTGAGGCTCTGGACAAATTAGTCCGCGAGACCCCTCCCTGTCTGGTCCGCCAGTGGAACCATATATGCGGCAATTGTGTATAAATACGGACCCCGGAAGGTAATTAATATTCTCGTCACACTGTGGACATTTTTGATGGTATCCATACTCCCAACGTTACGGAACTCAGTTGCGGTGGGGGCTGTCACTGTCGATTGCGGTGATGGATGCCAACTGCGGCGGCCACCCGCTCCATTTGGCCGCGGAGTCGTTCCATCTCGTTGACCATATCCACAACTTCTTCGTGCCCGGGTCGCTGTTGCCCATGTTCCGTATACCTTCTAGTCCTCGGGGAAACCCGACGAGGGTGTGAGTCAATTCCAGGAAACCCTGTTGTTTGGTGGCAATATTGCCTAGGATGATCCTGGGCCATAGACGTTGGGCGACGTGATCGAGTCCGCGGCATGTTGGACGAGGCCAGGCTGCCTTTCCGCGAGAAGAGGCGGCGGCTTGACTCATAGGCCCAAAGCAGCGCAACACATGGAAGGTGTGTTGCTCTGAGGAGAATGATGCGCACCTGTCTAATATCCTCCGCTGGTAGAAAAAGCCGCATTGGACGGATACAGAGCAGAGGAATGAGATTCTACAAGCCCAAGAACGGCTTCCTGTTAGTGACAGCGCCTTAGGGCTACAGGGCAAGTATGTTCCGCACTCACCAACGGCGGCAAGAAGTATGTTAGTCTGTTCGAAGTACTGCTCTCTAGGACGTAGATAGCCAGTCTATACCTTAATCAGTGGCTGTGACATTGACCTAATGCAAGCTTTCTTCACTAACTGGAAGAGATATTCTTCTCGGGCGTGAGAGATTACCTGAGGGGGACTAGATTAGCACCGTAAAAACGCCTAGCTGAGAGCAAGTATACGCACACCTTCCAAGCTCATACTCATCAAACTGACCAGTGACGAAATCAACAACAAACTCGTCACGGACACAAAAACAAGCCTAGATCGTAACTGTATCAGCTGGAGAACAAGAAGTGTGGGGCCTCGCGGCCCGCCTCGCCGGTAGAACAGCCGTGGAAGCGCCCCAGCCTCAGCGCCCAGCGCCAAAAGCTGAAAGGCAGAAAATTCCGAAAACAAAGAGAAAAACAGTGGATTAACCGTATGGGAAATCAAAAACGTGACAAAAAATGTATGCGAGCGGTTCATGAGGGCGTGCTGTGGCGCAGCATCCGCATTAATTTTCGAGCACTCACATCAAACCACATCCAAAGAACGGGGAGATCTTTGGACTAGCGCGTTAGCTATCTTGCAACGAGAGCCAACCATTTTGACAAGACAATTTATTTGAGATCCTCGCATGATGGTCTGGCACTTACATCGTAGCAAATGTCCTGTCAGCCAATCGATTCAGCCACGTCAGTAGATGCGACTCAGGCGCTCGGTTCAAGTATGACGCACAAAACCCAGGTAGTTAGATCTGCCTCGTGTGGCGAGTTAGCAAAGCGGTCGGTACCAGGATATTTTCACCGCCATACCCAAAGAACACATTCACTAGAATCCAGGACATTTTCTTTACTGAAAAGCGGTCACGGGCGAGCATAGTGAAGGTTGTCAGGAACCCTAATACGTAGTGTCAAGATGTCAGACGCTTGTCTCAGCCAGACTTGAGGTACGCGACGATCCGCTTACCCAAATATAGTATGATAATCACAGGAGTAAACCGGAAAAAAGCTTTGGTCTAGATCGCGTAAATCAGCCTTGTTTGTTGCTACCCCGGTGGCGGCCATAGTACCATTTCCTTGAGGACTGGGATCTATCGTAGAGCGAATCTGTCAGTTCTAACTTCAGAGTATGCGTCACACCCGCAGGCAGTATGCGGCACCTACAAGGCTTCCGAAATAGGGATTCAAGCTGACGAGAGAAAATATCCTGATGCAAACATCATGTTCTGAGTCACAATATCGGAAATGCTCTGGTTGGAAACATACCTTGGCACGAGAAACAATGCTTCTAGAGAAAGTATGTCAAACGACAGGTCTGTAATGTACCCGTCCTTTTGGTTCAAACCAACAACCCCTAGAAGATTCATTCAGTTAAGCCATACAATATACTCGTGAGTTGTGGCATTTGATAGGTGGGGAATATTCAAAACGGCCCTGGAACCATCTGGGTACCACATTTCAGAGAGCCTGACTAGAAGGGGTCGTTGGATGTGACTGGCAAAGTCACCCGGCCTGACGGCCACAACAGATTCAGTAAGATGGGAGCTTACTTGTGATGACGAATATAAGCCCGGTTCCGATTATACACAAATCCCAAATGTTCCAGAAAGTCATCTGATAGAACAACATTCCTGAGTCGACCACGCCGCTCAATTCATCGTAAGCAAAAGCTGCAATCCAGACATACAGGATGGCCTCGAAAAGGCCTATCGCTGTTGGATTTCTTTCAATCAGGACCGCATAATAAAGGAACAAAAACGAAACAAAGAATAAGGCTTCAAAAGCCTTTCGATATACCGGTACTCTTAAGCGAGAGTAGGGATCTGCTGTTCTGTTGAACGCGTGAGTATATAAACGTGCCCCCGTAGCCTAGCCAAGATGACCGAGAGGCCACAACCCATACCTTTCATTGAAGATCTGTGGTTTCTTCGTAGAGTGCACGCTCAGTGAGTCCCAAAAAACAATCTCCCCATTCCACAAATCGTTTACCACATTTTCGACCACCTTTTGGCTAAGGAGTTTCTTCGCATAGGCAATGGTAGCGATCTCTAGGGCATTCAACCCAAGAAACATGGATAGTCCGCCACTAGAATTCGAACTATCCAGGTCGCTATGAGACACCTGAGGGCCACTTTCGAGAGAGTCACCACACAGTCCACCGCTCTCGAAAACATTATCAAAGGTGAAATTCGATAAAAGCGGGGCGGTTTCATCCATCAAATTATTGCTATCTAATGGGGGAACTGCAGAGGTAGGCATCGCAATGTCTCCGCGGTCAACGCTGCTCGTATGTTGGAATGGGGCCCTAAGTGCTTCGAGGAGATTTTCGATCAATTGATGCCGATTAAGGCGGCACAGAAACTGCCAGGCAACATATTCGCACATATGGCCTCTCGTTCCATTTGGGTCACCGTCGTATTCAGCAGCTTTATCAAATTTCCACTTCAAAATCCTGCGACAGGGGTTCAGAAACACAATCATGGATCATCGCTCTAGATCAGCCTACATTAAAGCGGGCACAGTGCAAGGATTATGCGAATTCTCCACTAATGAATTGACAAGCAATTTCAGGCGTGGATCTGGGGTGGATTTTATTTCTTCGAATGTACACCATATTTCGGACACTGACGAAGTAAAAAAGCTAGATAATGCGGATTAGAACTGCCCTCAACACGGGGGCTGAGGCTTCTGGATCATTACCTGTGCAACTTCTGGATCACATCAACGAGCAGCTCGTCGTGTTCAATAGTTGGGATATCAAAACGCTCATAGTCTACCGAGGGAAGTAGCGACGTTGTAGATTCGTGTGCCATTATGGAAGATCAATCTCCAACGGGGAGTTCAGCAGAAGTTACCACGAGACGCAACACTGAAGGTTCACCACGAGGGTGCCTTTTACTCCAGGTAGCCTATTAGGATATCTACCTAAAGTAAGGCAGCCCTCCGCCTGAGCGAGAGGGACGGGAGGTTTCGATTTTTCCCTTTTTCGCCGTAGAAAACACGTCGAATTTTCAGGTCCACAACGATGGTCTGACAGCTGTTAGCTCACTGTTATAGATAAAATAACACGACCGAGATGTCCAGGACAAACAAGTGAGGGCCAACTATCAAGCCTACCGATTATTGGCCCAGAATTCTAGAACGAAACATGGGTGTTGAAACTTAGGCTCCCGAGGATCTACCGGGTCACTCGGGGCCAAAACAACAGTTCTCATCGACGTACTCGAAAGAGAGCGTATAGCTTTGGTGCCGTACAACTCGAATATCAATAAACTTTGGAAATTTCACCCCCAAAAAAGGTTAAAAAAGCACTCGAGTATGTCGAGAAACGAAGGTTGGCTGGTGAAGGAAGATAAGCCCGCCCTCACCGCCTTGACAGCATGTGATCCGCGCATCCATCCTCCGTCCGCCCCTCTACGCGTCCTTGTCCAATTGTGATCTTCGATCGTGCAGCTCTCTGTTGGGGAAACGCTGTGAGGTCTTTTTCTGTGGTTCGCCGTCAGCTGGTCTTGACGTGCATTCAAACGATGGTCGTCTCCTGAGTTTTATCTCTATGTAATGAAGACGCCGCGACACTATGGGTCAAGGCTACTCCCTCACGACCCTTTCTGCGGGTTCGGCGGGGATCGATATCCCCGAGCTATCGGACCTGACATATGAGAAGTCTATGGGCGGTGGCAGGTTCATGAAAAGTATCCGAGCTAGGCAAAAAAATGGCTTAGTTTTTGTAAAGGTAATCATGAAGCCTTACCCAAGCATGAAGCTGGAGCCTTACGTCAGAGCCATTATCCGTATGTTTCATGACCCCTATTTATCATAATATCGCGCTCTAATATTCCGGGGTAGGCGAACGTGACCTGTTATCAGATATTCCAAATGCTCTAGGCTCTCAGAGGATACTGGAAACAAGCATTGGTGGATACCTAGTGCGCCAGTATATCCACAGCTCACTATATGATCGGATGAGGTGCGGGATATGAACCCCAAGGCTATAGATTGAGTAATTCTGACCTATATAGCACCCGCCCCTTCCCGGAGGACATCGAGAAGAAATGGATCGCTTTCCAGATTCTCTGCGCTCTCCGAGACTGCCATGCGGTTGAGGTTTTCCACGGTGATATTAAGACAGAGAACGTCTTGGTCACGGCGTGGAATTGGGTATATCTCTCGGATTTTTCCTCTTCATTCAAACCTACCTTTCTTCCAGAGGACAACCCCGCCGATTTCTATTTCTACTTTGATACGTCAGGGCGTCGAACATGTTACTTGGCCCCAGAGAGGTTCCTCGTCGCAAACGAGGAGCCGGGGAGTAGAAATGTGAACTGGGCCATGGACATATTCAGTGCGGGTTGTGTTATTGCGGAACTATTTTTGGAGTCGCCGATCTTCACGTTGAGTCAAATCTACAAATATCGAAAAGGCGAGTACAGCCCGGAGCACAGTCAACTAGCCAAGATTGAAGATCCTGAAATACGTGCTTTAATCCTGCACATGATTCAGCTTGATCCTGAATCCAGATATTCGGCTGAAGAATACTTGAACTTTTGGAAGATCAAGGCATTTCCAGAATACTTTTACAGTTTCCTACATCAATACATGTCCCTTATGACCGACCCTTCCTCTGGCAGGACACAGGTGGAAGCCGGATCAGCAAACCGAGGTGAAGCGGATGACAGGATAGAGAGAGTTTACCTAGACTTCGACAAGATATCTTACTTTCTGGGTGCAACCCCCAAGGCCAACAAAAGCCGCCCCACGAGTATCAGTTCTAGGCTTACTGGGAACACTTTCCCTGTTGAGCTTGACCTGCCGCATTATGAATACCAAAATTCGAAATTTCGCGCAGGATCCGATGATGGGGTGTTGATTTTCTTGACGCTCGTCGTCTCCAGTCTCCGCAACACGTCCAAAGCATCCGCTCGAATCAAGGCTTGTGATATTCTTCTTGCATTTGCGGAAAGGGTATCTGACGAAGCCAAGCTGGACCGCATTCTCCCCTATATCATGATTCTCCTCAACGATCGCACGGATTCTGTGAAAATTGCCGCGATACGTGCTCTTGCGGGGCTCCTGGAGATGGTTCAGGTCGTGTCTCCGGTCAATGCATATCTTTTCTCAGAGTACATCTTCCCTAGAGTACAGCCGTTTGTTCTCAGCGCGAATGTGCATCCCAATCCACCCGTTCGCGCTGCGTATGCCTCCTGTATTGCATCACTAGCACATTCTTCACTCAGATTCCTTGATATGATGCAAGCATTGCGGTCTGACACACGCCTGCCCACGTTAATGCCGGCCGGTTCTGAACCAAGATGGACCGAGGACGCCACTTACCATAACCTTTACGACGTGGCAAGGATGGATCTTCTTGACTACTTCGAAGCTCACACGAAGGCCCTGTTGACCGACAGCGATGCGTCCGTCCGTCGTGCATTCCTAGGATCAGTATCCAGCTTATGTGTTTTCTTCGGCAACCTAAAAACCAACGAGCTAATCTTGAGCCACCTCAATACATATCTGAATGACCGGGATTGGATCCTCAAGTGTGCATTTTTTGAGGCCGTCGTGGGTGTTGCGGCCTATGTAGGGAGCACAAGCCTGGAGCAGTATATCCTACCTTTAATGGTGCAGTCGATGACAGACCCGGAGGACTTTGTTGTTGAGAGGGTCATTCGCTCGCTTGCTGCCATGGCTGATCTTGGTCTTTTCCAGAGGTCCACCACTTGGGATCTCCTTCATGCTACTGTTCGCTTGCTGGTCCATCCAAACTCTTGGATCCGAGAAGCATCTGTCAGCTTCGTTGTCAATTCGACCAAGTTTATATCTGTCGCAGATAGATATTCTATCCTTTCGCCGCTTGTTATGCCGTTTCTGAGGGTGCCTATTGTGGAGTTCTCCGAAGGGGATATACTTGATGCTCTGAAAGCTCCACTCCCAAAGACTGTGTATGATTTGGCGTCAGTGTGGGCTTCAAATACCGAAAAGGGCCTTTTCTGGAAGTCTATCAGTCGGCACGGTACTTCAGCTTTAGGTAGCGCTAATGTTTTGGCTCCGAAGAAGAACCAGAAACTCTTTTCCCTAAGCTCGCAACCCAAAAATGAAGAAGACGAGTACTGGATCGCGCGAATGAGGAATATTGGAATGAGTACAGATGACGAGTCCAAGCTGGTCGCTCTTCGTGAACATATTTGGAGGGTCTCGACGCGCCAAACGAAAGAACTCGAGAACGGGAAATCCCCTTTGAATAATGTTGTTGCTTTGATTGATTATGGAGTTACGCCTCAGACGGTGTTCTTCGATAGAAGTCAAAACGTTAAGCCGCGGAGGAACTCGCTAGGGAGGCCTCCAACAACTCGAGCCGAAGATAACAAGCCACATACAATCACGGATGCACTGCTTGATGCTTCAACTACGATTGACAACACGACAAATTCCCGACGGCGACATCCGCGCTCCAAAAGCAAGGTACCACGAGAAATCGGGGGGGGCTCCGCTACTCCACGACAAAATGCCGTTGACATTCTTCGTGCTGAGGAGTCACCCAGTTCCTCGCCTATCGCGTCATCCCCGAGTGCAGCACCGGGATCTCGACCAATGTCGCCCCCTAGCTCGGATACGGAGCCCAGGATCTCACAAGGTAGACGAAGCCCTGGTCAAGAGAGCTCATCAACGGAAAGGGAAAATCTCAGTGTGAAAGGATTATCCGCGGGAGTGCAGAAGAAGTCTAGCGCCATAAGCTTGCTTAACCGTAATACCGCAAAAGCATACGCAGAAACAGGTACCAGCTCAGCGAATGCCTTCGGCAAAATCGGTGTTCCACACCAGCGAGATGCAACCGAGTCGGCCGCCTCGCCTGCACCCGGTGAAAGGAAACCTCTAGAGCAGCAAGTGCGGCAGTATCATGCCAACCACTCTTACGGAGGAGACGATCCCACTATTCTCAAGCTTTTGGACTCGGTTTTTGCAGAAAATTATCCTACGGACTTCTTTGATCTTGGCCCTTACGTTAAAGAAGTGGATAGTCGACGCCCAATAACGAAAGCAAACGATCGCGATGCTAATAAGGTCTGGAAACCAACAGGGACACTCGTGGCCCTATTTGGCGAACATAGTGCACCGGTGAACCGAGTGGTTGTTGCCCCGGATCACTCATTCTTTGTCACCGGCTCTGATGATGGGACTGTCAAAGTTTGGGACACGACGCGCCTAGAAAAGAACCTGACCCCTCGGTCACGTCAGACTTACCGCCATTCTAATGAAGCCAAGGTGAAAGCTTTGACCTTTGTTGAGAATACACATACATTCGTCAGTGGTGCTACTGACGGTAGTGTCCACGCGGTCAAGGTTGATTATCACAATGTCAACGGCACGGTGCGGTACGGAAAACTGCAGCTCGTGCGCGAATATCAGCTATCCACGGCAGACGATGGGTCTCCCGAGTATGCTACCTGGCTTGAACACTTTCGGGTAGATGCGCAGTCTACGCTGCTTATTGCGACGAGCTTGTGTCGAATCATCGCTCTGGACATGAAAACCATGCTACCAGTCTATACATTGCAAAACCCTATCCACCATGGAACGCCTACAACCTTCTGCTGTGATCGCAAACACAACTGGCTTCTTGTGGGTACAACACATGGAATCCTCGATCTCTGGGATCTCAGGTTTCAGGTCCGGCTTAAGGCATGGGGTTTATCGGGCTCCGGTCCAATTCACAGATTGCAGGTTCATCCGACCAAAGGCCGTGGCCGGTGGGTGTGTGTCTCAGGGAGCGGCAGTCACGGGAATGAGATAACGATTTGGGACATCGAGAAGATCCGATGTCGTGAGGTCTATCGCGCTGATTCTCTCGGGCTCAACAACGCGAATTCCAGAGATACGTCAGAGAATCAGAAACCCAGGCAAGCTCAACTTAGTCAAAAGGACTACGAAGCATGGCTTGTCGAAGGAGACCGTCCAGAAGGTATGCTCAGCCGTTTTGCAACCGAGGCACCAGGAACCACAGAATACCCATCCGGCCCGTCACCCACGGGTGCTCCATCGGGAATCTGCACTTTTGCCACTGGATTCGACTCGCCGGACGACGGAAAGGACAACAGCATCCGATGCGGCTTCATCATCTCAGGCGGCTGTGACCGCAAGATCCGATTCTGGGATTTGGCTCGCCCCGAACAGTCTAGTATTGTCAGCGGACTCGACCCCATCTCAGATGGAGGGATGACGGGGACACCACGCTACGAATTATCCCAACCAGTTGCGTCGCTTCTTTTGACCACCGAACACCTACCCAACCCTGCTACCAACAGCAACGGCAGCGGCACCAAGGGGGGTAGTAAAAAGAGCGGAAGCGGGCGGTTACCGCGGAGCACGGTGATAAGCCTCCAGCAGCAGCAGCTGTTGAAAAGTCATCTAGATTTTATTCAGGACATCGCGGTGCTGCGCGTGCCGTACGGCATGGTTATAAGCGTAGACCGGGCGGGGATGGTTTATGTTTTCCAATAAGATAGGGATAGCGATGCACAATATAATGAGAAATTTTAACGGTTATGGTACCTAGTCTTTGCTGGTCTTGTTTGCACACATTTTCCGCGGCTCGCCTGCGGGACGCTGCTCCTTTCAAGGCGCTTAGATAGAAATAACTACTCTTCTGAGGTGTTGACGGTATAATAAAATCTCAATGGAACAATACCCCAAATGAACAAAATAACATGGCCGTACTAGGATTTTCATCCCTGAATAAATGCAAGACGATGTTTCAAGAAGTCCATCTCAACCCCATGGCTCCTCAACATCAACACCAAAGTACACTCCGCACTCACATAGAAACAGGAACAGAGAACAGGGATAACCAGCCCCTCGCCGGTGTCTCCAGCAAACCGCTTAGAAGTGTCCATCCCCAAAGGCAAAAATCGGAACCTTATTCATTGCGATTCATCACAGTCAACCAAGTCAGGTCAACTCCTGTCTCGCCAACTCTGCTGTCCTGCACACGAGTCATAATCCCGGTCTCAGCCTTGCATGCGCGTGGCATCTTGCTCCAGTCGAACTTCGTCAGCCTTCTATCCCAACCTCTTCTCACTCCTCAGTCGTCATCCATCCAGTGCCAGATGTGATCTGTCTGAACTCACGTCAATCAAATAGCGGGTCATCAGTCATCACTGGTCAGCCGTGCAGGCCGTTGGATTTTGCGGGGACGTTGGAACTTGCAGTGACGAACCTGAGTCGTTGAGCCTAAGAATACCTAGTACGGACCGAGCATGGGTAATCCCCACGGTACCTACCGGTACCCGTTCTAATATGACCTGTCAAGGGATGATCGGTGGGTGGTGATCCATTACAATAATGTATAGAGTTTAGGGTCGGTTTGGGGTGACAGGTCACGATCAAGGATCCGGGTGAAACAAAAACGGCTTTTTGAGATTGGGTTGAGGATGTTACTGCAGGATTGGTTGGGTTTCTGGCCTGCTGTTTGATGCCCGGGCCTGGTCTGTGTATCTATGCCGGCATGATGGTGTTTTTGCCGCGAATGTTGTGAGAGGCAAATATGGGTTGTTTATATTCCTGAGTAAATTAGTACTGGAGATATAGCGGGAGTTTATGGGAGTGTTGTGTAATAATTTGTCAATGTTTAAACTGGTTGATGGGAGAGCATCCTCGTAACAGTGCAGATATATAAATCGCGCTACCTAGAGCAGGGTAAAAGGACACAATCTCCAAGAACACATCCAAGAACAAAAAGTTAATCAATCATAACAAAAGGCTATGAACAGCATACTTTTTACAAATTCTAGATCCGGCATTTTAGATATTTATTTCAAACTACTCAGGGCCTAAAGTGTAGTTCTACAGACAACCACCAAGACCAAATTAACCTGATACAGACGCGTTTCATACCGTCCAGTCAAGGTTCACCCCACTCCGTTGGATGAAAATTGACAACGAAATAAACCGGCAGTTCGTGCTCAAATTCAGTACTACCTTGCCGTTTCCCGCTTGGCAGGCCTTTCTCCTCCCGCCGGGTTCACTACCTTGTAAGGTGTGTACTCCCGCCGCAATCCCATTCGGCGGACAAGTTAAACGGCGAAGATGCGCGTCATGGGCAGAGGCCAGACTACTCTGAGTACAGAGTACTACAAGATTTGGCGGGCAGGCGAGCCTGTTTGGCGGCTGCAAGGCCATCGTTTGCCACAACTGAGGAGGGAGGAGTGAGCACTGACAACTGAGGAGGGTCACGGCTCACGAGTGGGTAGCTGCGGTTGACGTTAGCGAATTGGGGATGGCTTCGAATTCTGTTGGATTGCTCTGCAGGACTGCCATTCAAAACCCCGGCCTGGTTGGGGGAGCTATATTCAAACTCACGGGTAGACGCAGCACTCATGGACGATCGCTTTGACACTGGTCGACCTCTGTTTGATATTGGCGCACCAAATGGCCGTGGATTCGACTGACACATGAGATGCGAACAGAGAATCCCCAGTGGTGGGAGCATCGCGTCCTTGGTAGATCTTGAAATAATACATCACGTTGCCCAAGTAGGTCGATTGCAACGCTTTGAATAAACACGGGGAGCTCCTCGACATCTACGGTCCTGCAACCCGGTTGAGGCTTTCTGGGGGCTTGGAGGCTTGGAGGGCTGTGCGTGCGTATCCGGCGCTAACTGGACGGCACTGTTCGCATTATTAATGTCCGATACCTCATTGACAAGAGTCTTTGCGATTTATATCCTGACGGGGGAGGCACTGTCCGTAAGTTCTGTCGATACAACACTACGGAGCACTATGGTTGACATTTCCAGCCACTCGGCCGGAAATAACCAGGGTAAAGCAGAGTCTCCAACTCCAAGTGAAGTCCAAATGATTGAAGGTGTCTCGGACCCGCAGTTTGCAGATATGAAACTGCCGAGTTGGAGAGAGGTCCGATCGGCGGAGACAACGAGTTTGCGCACAGGCCGTGGAATCGTGGACTGTGGGTGATTTGAGATTCCTGGAGATGCCTCATTGCCTCGCAGTCGCAGGGTCTGAGAAATTGATATGCAAGTCGTAACAACAGGTCTTTGTGCGATCGTCTTTATAACACTATTGATTAAGTTTAGAATGCAGACCTTGAAAATTGGGCGAGGGATGAAGAAAATCAATAACAGCACAGCAGCGACTTGAGTGGTACGGTCGGACGGATCTGAACCAAATAATTAAAGTGCGATTGAGACGTGGGCGACCGTGGACCGTGGACGAGAGTCGAGGACAGTCTGGACGCTGACCGTCAACAGTGACAGCGCAAGGAGCCGGAGGCCGTCGACTGTGGTCCAGGACGAGATTACAGTTATGCTCCGGTGGCTGCAGAGTGCAGGCAGTGAGGCGACAGGATTCAGCAGGCTGCCTCGGGACGGGAAGCCATGGTTTGGAGCAGAATGTTCCCAGAGCGTGCAGCCCGAGTCGATAAGCTTCGATCTCTCGATCCATCGAATCTGTGCAGTGTGATCGGTCTGAGTTGTCACCGAGCCGGCGAGTCGCCCTCTCGCAAGTCGCAAGCTGCTGCAGGGAGTTCCCAGGTCCCAGAATCACAGAGCCACTACTGCCGGCCTGTGGGTGACCGACTGCTAAATGGAAAATAATGATCAGCCCCTGAGCCATTCACGTTGCCTCCTCCTTGTGCTCGGTTTCAGATTCCCCAACCCCTGATAAGCTCCAAGCACCAGGCTAAACCTTCTTGGTTGCAAAATTTGTCACTTGTCCACTCGCTCAGCTCCTCCTGGCGGACTGGCTCGCACTGAACTCGTGGCGATCTCTCGCGTGGAAGCTTCCTGGAATGCCTCGAGTCCACTGTTGATGAAAATTTTGACTGCACTGGACGAGGATGGTGTACTCATTGAGTCATTATTCGTTTATCCGTAGCCAGACTGTCAGTTTCCATATTGGAATACTCAACCTCCGACTGCTCAGGAGAATATCCCGTGACAGTGGCTCTCTGCGCAGGAACAAACAGACGACGACTCCGCAGCCTAGACTACTCCTGTCCTAATGCAATAAGAAGGCGATTACTCTTTCCATCACCACATTTATTAAAATCCGCCCAGATTAATATCCGAGCCCCTTAGCCTGTGCTCTGGAGTCGCCGGCTGCTGGGCTAAGCTGTTCGGGGACAAGATTGACTTCGTGCCTGCCGTGTGCTCCTCTCCCCCTGTTCCTGTTTTCTGTGCCTGGCCCAGTCAGTCCCGGTCTTGTTCCTGGCCCAGTCCCAGTTGCAGTTCCGTGCTCTCCGCCCCCTCTTCCATGCTTCGTCTTCCATGCTTCGACTCCCTCTCTCTTCCTTACCTCTTCCTCTCCCTTCCTAACTCCGGTCATCCATTCCTCGACGGCAGCCAAGAGAGGTATCGCGCCTTGCTTCGTCTCGCTGTTCGATACTCTCTTTTTTGACGTGCTCGCTGGTCTGGCAGATGCTCTTCGCGTCTGTTCATGTCCTGTAGTAGCCGTCCCCGACAGCCTTGATTTGCCCGTCATTCTCTTTGGCTGCTCCTTTTTCGCTCTTCGTCCTTCCTTTCTGCTTGTCACTCACTCCCTTTTTCCGCTCAGCAGTGCTGCCTCTCGGATCTAGATATCGTTTTTAAAAGCGATATCTGATAAAAAAAAAGTCCGGCTACTTGCGAAAGCCGGGGCCCCTTGTACAACAATCCTTTACACATCCCCCCATATTCAACCGCAAGTATGGGTCCGTCTCTGAGAGACCACTCTTTCTACGCCCGCCCGCCCACTCGTGAACGGCCATCGACCCGCGACCAAGGGGAAAATTCGCTGGTCGTTCCTAGTCGCACCTCTTCGCTACACTCCCGTATCACACAACCGATCCCTTCCCAGGCCAACTTAAAACCAGCACAGCGAACGCCGAAAACACTTACCCATGCGTATATGGTATGCGGCGTGGGCCGGGAGCCCTCGCAATGGGTCAAGGCACCTACGCCTTCTCAGGGGAAGATTGGACATATGAAGGGTGCAGTGGGCCAGTTTTGGTTGCCAGAGATCTTGGGAAGCAGTCCCCGCCTGGAGCAGGACAATGAAATCGCAAAGGCTCTGCATTCAGCAATGAGGGTGTGTATCTCCGCAACAAAATGGGTTGGGGAAAAGAGAAACTAACAATTGATAGGCCTGCTTTCCTCACGATGTCGAGATTTGCACCGGCAAAAACCAACCACACTGCGTTCACCATGCTTTCGTTTTACAGCAGGATTCTTCTCACACCCTTTACGGAATTGCCCTGCGCGTCTGGTCCCGTGCTGATGAAAAGCGAGCCGAGACAATCCGTGAACTGCGCAAAAAGACCGAGTCTGACTTTTACGACAACCCCGAAGAGACTTACTGGATCCCATACTGTCTGAGCTTCCTCTCCCGGTATCCATTGTACGATTTACTCGGCGATTATCTTCGTGGAATGTGGATCCACTGGAACAAGGCTACCAATCTCTTCCACGCTGAAGAAGTCTCCCGCATTCTCAGCTTCCCCGCGCCCCGCCTGAACGACCTTGTTCGGATCGACATGAAGGATTATGCCCTTTGCTACCAATTCCCATCGTCTCCGACGGGCTTCCAGAACTTCTCCATGTGGCCGTTGTTCACGTGTTTGTCAATCCCTAACATCGTTGGTGTCATCGAAGCCGCTGTTTCTCCCACCCGCCGCATAATTTTTGTCAGCCATTACCCGGCTATGCTTACTATTGCCGCGGAAACCATTCGTTACTGTGTTCGCATTTACGAGTGGAGCGGTCTCTACGTTCCAATGGTTCATGCCCGCCATATCAAGGATCTCGTCCAGGAACCCGGCCCCTACATTCTTGGTGTGACTGCCGAGTGCCGAACACTGTTTAATGCCCCGTCCGATGCTCTTGTGGTAGACTTGGACCGCAACTTCGTGCTGACCTCCAGTCCACCGAATGTTTTGAACCCCGGCCAGCGCACAAAGTTCATCAACCGCTTGACGCAGGCGTTGAACGGCGATGTTTCCCCATCTGGTGTCCCCAACCATCTCCGCTCTGCGTACGCTGGCGGCAAACTTATCCCAGCTGGACAGATCATTGTCATGCGGGGTGAGGTCGAGAGCATTGAGGAACCCACGTGGTGGAACCAGGACTCCGTGATGGGAGTCATGGACCACGTTTGTGAAAAACTGGTAAGAAACCCGCAGGAACTAATTGAATCGTGGTATACTGACTTTTTCTTAGGGACGCAACACCGGCATGAAGGCCATTTTCGGTGGCTCTGTGAAGAAGCCCCTTATGACCAAGGTCTCGATGCGTCACCTCAATGAAATTGTGCGTGAACGTAACCAGTACTCTCGTGATGCCATGGAGGCATGGCAAGACTTTATCAACCTTAAGGGCCGCATGGATACCGAGATTGGCAAGGTCACCAAGCGCAACAACTTCTTGGTTGAGGAGTTGGAAACTTGGAAGCAACAGTTCCTCAAGTTCCAGGCCTTCGCTGAGCAGCTCACCAAGGAAACCAGCGAACTCAAGGTCAAGATCGAGAACCACAAGCGTGAGAACCGTCGCCTTTCTGGCCTTATTGATCAACAGAAGGACGATGTCGCTCGTCTTACTCTGCGCCTTTCTGGCACTGAGAAGCAGCGTGACGATGCTCTCGAAGCCTTGGTTCTCCAGCAGGAGATCGCAGAAGAGCTGGAGCGCGAGCGCAAGCGCAACCAGAAGGAGCTTGCTGCTTTGCAGCATACGACCACCTCTCTTGCACGCCAGCGCGATGATGTCCAGCGGGTTGTCCTGCACTTGCGTAGTCTGATTAATGGCAAGGCTCACCACATGGAACACCTTGTCCGCTCAATCGGCAGCGCAGCCGACCTCAATGAATTAGCTGAGCGGGAAGCTGCTGAGGAGGAAGAGGAGACTGAAAAGCGCGCAGAGTCCGTGAAGGACCGCAAGGAATCAAAGACAAAGGAATCCAAGGCCGAGAGCGATTCCTCAAATGGTGTGTCGAACTTGAATCCAGACATGGAAGAACATTTACTGAACATTGGGCAAGGACAACGCAATATTGCGCGCCTCAGCGTGACTGATGTCGCGGATCGCTACCTGCGAGACAAGACAGATGCCATCTCGGACATTATCCGCAGCATCAGTGAGCAGTGTGCCGCTGCTGTCGAGGGGTTGCAACTTGCCCAAGATGCGGAGGATGGCGATTCTGTGACTGGAAAGTCAAACCAGGACGAGAACCGTCTTGAAGCTGCTCGGGGTCTGTCAACCCCCCGAGAGGGCAGCGAAATGGGTGACAGCGAGAGCAGCACCCTTCACCCTGATGGCCGAACAAGCGTTCCCCCTACTCCTGACTTGATCCACAACCGATCAAGCACATCGATGTCGATGGTCAGCAGCTCAACATTCCCAGAGAGGTCTAGCCAACAGTACGGACCGGGTGAGATCCCAACGCGGATCGTCGAGGATGACGACGAGCATGCCCATGAGACGGATGGCATGAACGATCAAACCGAGACTGGCACGCTTTCCAAGCAAGCCAGCGAGGACCTCATGCGATCTACTCCTCGCATGCTCGCGTAAATATCTCCCATCAATCGATGATGCAACGGTTGATTTCGACGACCTCGACACGACATCTGCTCCGCATACAATATTGTCAGATCTAGAGCGAGTTGTGACCAATCTTGTCACTATTTTTGGTTTCCAGTCTTGTTTGCGCCTCATTTTGGATATTCCTGCCCTCGCAACGTCTGTCGAAGATTTTTTCTTTCTTTCTTTCTTTTTTTTTTTTGGACGCTTTTTTGCTTTCTTTGGAGGAACTTATTCTTGGAACTTATTCTCATTTTCGCTTTATTGAAGGCTGTCAGGCTGACGGCCTCGCTTGATTCCCCCCACGCTTCGCACCCGTTGTTGGGCGATTTATTATTTTTTATATCTTCTATACTAGAACATTCATGTTCTAGGGCGTCTTTTGCTTCGTCTTGAATAGATCAGCCCGTGGCCTCCACATTCTGGGCGAGCCTCTCCCTCGATATTTCCTATCCGTCACCCCCAAATTCCTTTTGTCGATTTTCTTCGCGATGGAGCTGCTTTGAAAGCTGCCTGGCTGTGCTCGAGAAGTGCAGTCTTGTTTGTCCCGCCTGCCAGAACCTGCGGGGGTGTTTATAGTTAATTGATATTGTTTGTAAAACTTAAAGTTTGACTCGAAAATTGTCCCTATCGTAACGTAGTATTCCTCCTACGTAGTTCAGTCGTAGATTTGAAAATCATGCTATCTTCCCAGGCACATAAGGATGCCCAGCACTCAACCCACCACAAACTGCCCATGCCTGCCCATTCACGTAACTGCTCTCATCACTTCCAAGGAACAGCGCAACCCTCGCAATCTCATCTGCCACAGCCCCACGACGCAACGGATTCAACTGCCCAATCTTTTTCTCCGTCCCCCTCGCCCTCGCAGCCTCATACATCGGAGCGGTCATCCCCGTCTCCACAACACCAGGGCAAAGCGCATTAATCCGAATCCCCGTCCCAACCAACTGGTACGCCACAGTCTGCGCAATCGATACAACAGCCGCCTTACTCGCGCTGTAATCCGTCGCGCCCGCATTCGATCGCAATCCAGCCACCGACGCAGTACAGATGATACTCCCACCGGGATACGGCTTCTCCTTACTCGTCTTCAACATGGCCTTACTAGCATGCTTCGCGCCCAGAAACACACCAACGGTGTTAATCCTCAGCGTCTCCCCGAACTCGTCCGCGGAGACATCATAGAACGGCCGGTTCGAGCCCGAAACGCCGGCATTCGCGAAGAATATGTCGAGTCGGCCGTACGTGGAGACCGCGTGCTCAACCACGGTTTGCAGCTCCGCTTCGTTTGCGGCGTCGAAGGCGCGCGTGTGGACGTCGACGCCCGGGTATAGCGATTTGAGCTCCCGCGCGTGTGTCTCGAGGTGCTCGGAGGCGTAGTCGCACAGGTAGACTGCTTTGGCGCCGTTGTGGGCGTATTGGTGGGCTGTTGCGCGCCCGATGCCGAGGGGGGAGTTTGTACCGGTTATAATGGCGACTTTGTCCTTTACTCGGCTGTTATGGCATGGATGTTAGATTGGCTGTCTTTGTTTCTTTCTTCCCCTAGTTAAAAGGCTATTTAGTCGGGGATTGGCAGGACGTACGGTCCGACTGAGTCGCCTGCGACCTGGCGGATCTTGGGGATGTTCTCGAAGGTGCCTGCGTCGGGGATGCCCTCGACTAGCTGCTGGCTGATGGCTTGGAGGCGTTGACGGGCGGTTGAGGCCATGATGGACGGGGTGAATGTATAATTATAGATGCCGGACAGGGTACGGAGGCGAGGGAGAGGAGTTCAACAGGGTGGACGTGCAGCGGGCGCCCCCTCTTTATACTCGAAAGCTGGTCGGGTCAAAGCTGGGGTCGGCTGTTGCGGAGAACCGAGGCTGAACTCGCCCTGGGTGGGGATGAGTAAGCCTTGTTTACAGTTTACCTAGGTCTGATCTGAGATCGGTGGATATTATACCGGACGATTATTATTATAATATTTCTTGCTATATAGTAGTAGTTGCAGAGGTCATTGGAATATTGGGTTTTTTGAGGTCTCGCGTGGGGTGGATGCTAGAATAGATCGGGGCAACTCAAATCCTCGAAGGTTGTAGATCCAATGGCATTGGTGGTTACTTCTCGAGAATTTTCGACTTGCCCTGCAAAGAGTAAATTTAGAAGTGAATCTCTTGCTGCGCAGAGACAAAGAAAGCCAACTCGAAGCTTTCAGGCCCAGACGCCGTGGGAAAGGCGGTCAAGTCACATGCAGCCACCACGTCATGACGCTCTGTGGGAGTCTCTCTTGGCTTCGGTCCATCAACATTCTTGTGCACGCCGGCCTCGATCTCCTTCTTTTATGCCGGCTTGACGCTTCTCCTTGATCGTCTTTGTCTGATTTCTTCCCGAGTCTGTCTTATCCCTGTTTCTTTGGTCTCTTTCCGCTTACAGCGCGTGCACCAGCCTACCCTGCCTGCTGTAGTTTTTTGTCCTACCCACCCTCGCGACACCCAACGGGACCCCGCGAGAGCCGCCCAAAGCTTAGAAATCTCGCCCCCAACAGCTGAGCGATATCAAACAAGTCGGGATCCGATTCTGCGACGGTCGTCATTTATGCAAGATACATCCGAAGCATTCATGCAGCCCGCGGCCATCCCTTCCTCCGTCTGCTCCACCCCCCTCCCCAGTCATGGCGGAATGCGATCATCGTCTTCGCCCTCCGCAGCGTCGCTCCTCGTCCCAGACGTCTTCCTCGTCGCGCCACAGCCAGAAAGCTAAGGCCATCCGAACCAAGGCCCAGAAACGCCATTCTGCTTCTAATGCAACCGAGTCCGACACCGATCTGACCTCCTTTCCGTCCCTCTCTCCGGACCGTTCTCCGCCGGGGTTCCTAGGCCAACCGGTGCTGAACCGCGCTCTGACAAGCACATTGTTGAACGGGGCCGAAGGGAGCGAAAGCAGCAGCACTATGGATCATACCAGGGACCGGAGATCGACGCTGGCGAAACTCACCACGAGCTCACAGAACTCTGGCCGTGCGGCACTGTTTGAGGATTCTGCTCCGGTCCGCGACTTCCCTGGCGCGCTGCATCTCGCAGATGACGCGCATGTTGAACGCTTGATTACCAGCAATGGTGCGGTTAAGTTGGTGCGTCAGTTTGCGCGGGACCTAGCGCAGCGCGATGCCGAGATATCTGCTTTACGCCAGCGTGCTGGTGACAGGGAAAGAGAGCTCAAGAGGATGCTGCGCGAGGCGTCGGTATCAAACAAGGACATTGAGCGTCGGCTGTATGCATTGGAAAACTCACAGAAGGATGAAAGTGACCAGGGAAATGACCCAGATCAGACGGTTAAAGGCCCGAATAGGGTTGGCGGCCTCATGCAACAGGCGATGAGTGATGGCGTTGGTAGTAACTCTGAGAGCGAGAATGAGGATGACCTTGATACTGCTGTTCAATCTACGATTCGCAGGCCCTTCCAGTTGGAAAGCGATGACAAGTCGGGAACTTCGAGCGTTGGATCTGGTGCTCCGAATCGGAGACGGCAGGGGTCTATGCGCAGTTGGCAGGAATTCATCTTCGGTAGCGCCGCGGGAAGCCGGAAAACCAGTCGAGCCAGCAGTATTATGTCTGATCTTGGAGAGGATGAGGAGGATGCCACCCGTCAACGAATACCCTCCGGTAACGCGTCAAATCGTCGTAAGCCACTTGACGACCAGTTGTTCCAGCCTGTAGAAGGGCAACCTGCCACAGACAATTCAAGCACCCATTCACGCAAATCTTCGAAGTCGGTCTCATCTTGGACTGTCAAGCTGTTCGCGGGGAACCAATCGAGCCGTGATGAGAGCCCGGCTGATAATAATCGTGGAAGAGCTTCTTCAGCCAACCGGGAGAGGACTAAGGGGCCCCCACCTGCACTCCCTGCAACTAAACATGGCATGACAGCGGTGGCAGCGCTGAAGCGAATCAACAGTAGCGCGAGCATGCCAACAGGCCAAGGAAAGTCGAGTGGCTCAGGCACCGCACCACGGTCAGGACAGCTTGGTCGGAGACAGCCAGCTTCCAGTGTTTCGCAGGGAGCAGCGGCAGACACGTCGACGACGAACCCTACCAATCTCGGACCGGTTGAAATGGACGCGATCCTTCCCATGGAATCTCAGCCTCCAACTCTTTCACCAATTTACAAGAATTACTTGGGTGGGGATCTTCTAACAGACCGTTTCGGATTTATTTATGACCAGCGTCGCAAGAGAAGGCAAAGGGAGGCCAGTGCTTTGAGGAACAACGGAAACCGACTAAGCATCGCGGAGACTCTAAATACGTTCCGAAGTGATACCTCTGATAACCACGATGAGCTTGACGCAAATGAGCATTTGCCTTCCGCTGCCGAGTCTTATCGTTCCTCTGGCCCAGGCTCCCCAACCGATCCGGAGGCCAGCGCCCAGCGCTGGCAAGACTACTTGACTGTGCCGTCTGCACCGACAGAGTTGCTCTCACATACACCTTCAGCTGGACCAATTGTATCACTGACTACTGCGGGTGAGGAAGTGTCTCGCAATAATGGAGTTGCTGTTGAAAAAGGCCGCTCGGTTTCCGTTAACTCGAACTCTCAGCCATCTGCTTCCACCTCTACTGTCGTCGCCGATCGCCCGGAGTTTGCTGGGTCGTCTGCGGACGAGATCGCAGCCCTTGCATCTGGAGCAGAAAATGAACCTGTCAAGTTGCTTCTTGAACAGCTGACCGAGCTTCATGATTTGCTGCAACGCGAGAGAACTGTTAGATGGAATGAATTCTTGCGCAAGGTACGCGCCGAACGCCGGAAAGAAGGAGAGGCCGCGGCTGCGGCTGCGGCGGCATCAGACCGGCCATCGAAGGCTATGAACATGCCCGAAGTATCGCTGGCCGATGGCGAAATGGTGGGGATCTCTGGCCTAGGCAACAAGGGAAAGGTTGGTCGTGCGAAATGGCGAGAATTCCGAGCTCTCGTCCTTGGTGGGATTCCAGTTGCGTTGCGGTCCAAGATTTGGTCGGAGTGCAGCGGTGCGTCGTCGATGCGCGTGCCCGGGTACTATGATGACCTTGTAAAGGGAGTTGGAGGTACTGAGCCTGATTCGTCAGTCGTGGGTCAGATCGATATGGACATCAACCGGACTTTGACCGACAATGTGTTTTTCCGTAAGGGACCTGGCGTTACAAAGCTGAAGGAGGTGCTTCTTGCCTACTCCCGCCGGAACCCTGAGGTGGGATACTGCCAGGGCATGAACCTCATTACCGCCTCGCTTCTTCTTATTACGCCTACCGCCGAGGATACATTCTGGCTGCTCACTTCTATGATCGAAGCCATTCTGCCACAGCACTACTACGACCACGGACTTATGGCATCTCGAGCTGACCAGGTGGTGCTGCGGCAGTACATTTCCCAGGTCCTGCCAAAGCTGTCCGATCATCTTGAAAACCTAGGCGTTGAGCTCGAGGCGCTTACCTTCCAGTGGTTCCTCTCCGTGTTCACCGACTGTCTTTCCGCCGAAGCGCTGTATCGCGTTTGGGATGTAGTCCTTTGCCTTGACGTATCGAGCGCAGTGAACAAGAATCCAGCCGCCGCATCAAATCCCACCTCATCAACCGCAACCCCGACTGGCACTCGCGAGAACACAAACAAAGCCGCAACCAAGGATATGACTTCCGGCAGCGGAGGTGGAAGCACATTCCTCTTCCAGGTTGCTCTTGCGCTGCTCAAGCTCAACGAAAACCAACTCCTAACCACCTGCTCCACGCCCGCGGAGCTGTACACCTACATCAACCACCAGATGACCAACCATGCCATTAGCATCGACGGGTTGATCCAAGCAAGCGAGGCACTCCGCAACGTCGTCCGGCCCGAAGACGTCGTCGCGAAAAGAACCGAAGCGCTGAATGAGATGCGAGGATTCCAATCTACTCCCGCGCAGGCCTCTTAGACAAGTAGACGAGCGTACTGCGACTTACCATCTCATTTCCTTTCCTTTTTATTTCCCACTGTTTTGTTTACTTTAGAATGGCGGCGTGGCAGGCATATGCATTCATTTCCTTTTTTCTTTTTGTCGGTTTTATCTCTATGATACCACCTTTTGCCTTGTCGTTCCTTAGCATAGCATAGACCGAGACTTTCCTTACTCTGGTGTTACTAAAGATTCCTTCCTTCACTTGTTCAGCCCAGCGATGCTTTTCTGGCCCATTTCAGCTCTCTAAAGCAAACTGGCACACATGGTCATGCAAATACAGATACCCGGTTAAAATTAAAATTTTTCTCTGATCAAAACTACAGAATAATAGCTGGAGCATAGGAAGAGGCAGTAAGTCAGTCATTCTGATTATGGCTATTCATATACACTACTAGTACTAACAGTCATAATGAATATCCCTTTCTTCTCTGCGTAGCAATGTACCGTGTCATTCATGATCAGGAAAAAAGAACTGGACTACAGTTAAGTAGAAAATAAAAATAAAAGAAAACCACCACCCCTTACAGCCTAAGCCCAACTAGAGCCTACAACCTACAGCCTCGCAAGGTTAACAAACTCGCCGGGGGCATGGTACTCAGGGACCTCCATCTTCAGCGCATCACCGCTATATCCTAGGTCTTCGGCAGTCAGGACAGCGCATTTCTCGCCGATGAGGAGGGCGGTCTATTCATTACACGTTAATATGCTTGCTATCCATTGCACGTGGATGTAGGGTAGGGAGAAACGTACGCTGAAAGTATTGCAGCCCACATTATCAGGGCAGATGGACAGATCGCAGACCTTCAGGCCCTGGACGCCGTGGACGTTCAGGCGCTCATCGAGAACGCCGCCGTTGGGTGCGATGCTGCTGCCCTCGCGTGGAGCCATGCTGCATGTTCCCAGCGAGTGCCAGGTTGTTTCGACGTGGCGTTGAACTGTTTTTGTTAGTTATTTAGGGCTTAAACCTGGTATGAAACAAGGGTAAGGTATGGTAGGGACTTACCCCATTTCTCGATATGGGCGATGTCTTCCTTGCTGTACTGGAGCTCGTCGCGGGCCTCGAACCTGTTGGAGTTGAGGGCTGTTGAGGATGTTTGTTTGCCTGGGGTTAGAGGGTTGGACCAGGAGCCTAGCAGGATGGGTTAGTTTATATACAACAACGCTAGGGCAGGTAGGTAATTAGGGCATACCGTGTTGAATGCCCGCAGAAAGGTGGTTTGGACCAGCGTACGACTTGGTAGTGGCCAGGTCGAGGTCCTGCGCGCGGGCGTTGGAGTTGTGGTTGAAGTGAGGGTGCATGCCTGTTACTTCTCCTGCGTACGAGTTCATGCGGCGAGCAGTCTCGCGCGACTTGATGTATCCCCAGACCATGGCGGCCATGTCGCGCTTGTCGTTCATGAAGCCGGCGTCGAAGTCGGGTGCGTCGTATGGGTCTGCGGATGTAATGTGCGTGGAGCCGCGGGAGAAGGGGTATTCCTGTGGTCTGTTTAGCTACGGTATAGAGGGAGAATAGGTGGTTTGGTCTTGGATTGCATACCAGGAAGTGGAACATGGTGAAGAACTTGCCCGGGGGCATGAGCATGTGGTCTCCGAAGAAGCTGTCTCTTGTTAGCGCGGTGCAACCCCCCCTCCTGCTGGATTGATATTGAATCACTCACCCAGAGATGACGGAGTAGTGCATCACCGGCTTGTCGGGCTTGTTCCTGAAGTAACTCTCGTACCCATCGACAAAGTCCGGAGTCGGCCACTTCTTGAACTCGTCGAGTTCCTGCTCCGTCGGACGGATCTTGACACCGGCTTCAATGCCATTAGTAGCCAGAGGCCCAGTGCCCTTGATGTTCCACTCCCCAAACACCTGCTCCTGCACCTTAGGGTCTCCGCGCAGGAAGTCATCAAAGGTCTCGACGTCCGGCTTCGCCCTGTAGGTCGAGAAGGTCAGGTAGTGGTCCTGGAAGTTGCGGCCTACACCGGGCAGGTGGACGATGGGCTTGACGCCAGCACGGCGAAGCTTGTCAGAGTCACCGATACCAGAGCGCTGGAGGATCAGTGGCGAGCTGAGGGTGCCGCCGCTGACGATGATCTGCTTGCGAGCACGGAAGACCCTGCGGACTGGCTCTTTGCCGTCGACGGGCTTGGTTGGCACGGTTGCAACGCCCACGGCACGGCCGTTTTCGATGATGACCTTGTCGACCTTGGTGTTGCATTGAAGGTGCAGGTTGGAGTGCTTGGCTCGAGTGCTGTGGACGTAGGCGTGAGCAGCATCGCTTCGTCGTCCTATACCGAGACGTCAGAAACAGTTCCGAATTAGGGCAAAGTTAGGGCAAAGTATAAAGTGCACTGACCCGTGTCGCGGTTGATCCACTTCAACCAGTGCTCAGCACCGTGACTGCTGCATATTAGTATGAAGCAATTATTAAATCAACTAGAAACATACGCTGTCTTCAAATCCTGGAGGTCATCCGTGGTTGGGATGCCCTGGGACTCGGCCGCGCGGAGGAAATCCTGCGCAATCGGATAGGTGTAGTTGCCGAACGAGACCTTGATGGGGCCGTCAAATCCATGGATATCGGGGTTGTTACAGGCACGCTGGTACGTCTCGTGCTTCTTCATGAGAGGAAGCAGTTCCTCGGTCTTCCAGCCCTTGGCCTGGAAGTCGTCGTAGTCTGACGCCGATGCTCTGGTGTACATCTAGGTTTGTTAGTAATGAAGTCAAGTGTAGAGTATTGGGCTACAGGATAAGTACCATGAAGTTAATTGAGCTTCCACCACCGAGGATGTTCGCACATGGAACAATGGCCTGGCGTCCGTCCAAGTGCTCAGATGGGCGCGAGTGGTAGAAAGAAGCTGTCTTGGAGTCGAGCTTCATGTTGACTGGGTAGATACCAGGACGGTAAACCCTAGAAGTCGTAAGCAGAGGTCTTATCAACCAGTCAACTAATCAATTGAGGAACCCTACCATGGGTTGTTGAGGTTACTCTCGCCAGCCTCAATTAGCAGAACAGAGAGGTTGTGGTCGAGGTTGGCGAGGCGCCCAGCAGGGACACAGCCCGAACTGCCGCCACCGCAGATGATGATATCGACCTCCTCGGGGATAGTCATGGTACCGGTTAGTTGAAGACAGATTCCAGTTCCCTCTTCCTCTTCAAACCCCAAAAATAGAGATCCAGAGGTAGATAACCCAAGGAATCAAGCTGCAACCCCGGGGGTTCACCCGCCTTCTTATATCAATACTCTCTCTCCACCCACACCTCGATCCTAGTTCCTCTTTCTGCTTGATCCCTACCAGGGAGTCAATAATATTCCTATGTTACGCACAATAATACTCACCCCGCACGCGGGGAAGACAAAACAGGGCGGAGGTATCCAGATCAAAGCGTCGAGGGCTAGCCAGACAATACCCATTTGGACCCAGATCGCCACCCCTGCACGCCGGATCCCCGGGGGATATTCCCAGCCTAGTACCTTGGCACAACTGCTATAGCACAATCTAAGCAAAGCTGATGCGGAGAAACAACCGGGGATGCGGGAAGATATTCCCAGGGATATAGCGGATTGGTGGCAGTACGGATACTTCATGCAAGAAGCTATGATGGTAATTGGAGATACAGTCTGGGCGCAAGCCTGCCTCCTCATCCTTCTCATGAATCTCCAATTCCTGGCCTGGGCAAAGGGTATATCTTCTCCGCTTGAGGTGAGCACCCCTCTTATGCTTGAAACGCGGGTTGTCGTGGAGTGCTTGTATGTATATTGCTATGATATTGGCTCTCCGATGTATCCATAGGATGAAGCACATATATCTCCTTCCCAGCCAAATATATAGAGCAATTCCACAGAGAGAAGACATGACTCTGGGATAAAAGCTGGTTCCTCTTCTCATGATATCCAAACAAGATCTAGAAACCATGAATGGAAAGCTGTAGTTCACAGAGTAGGCCAAGAAGTAGACCTCCACGCCACAGGTGGAGAAACCCCGGCACTAGATCGTCCTTGCGGGGTTACTGTTAGTATACTGCTGGTCTTTATACATGCATCTAGCAAGGATCAAACGGTGAGACCCCACAGATAGTACAGCTTACGGCGCGGCTTGCCGTGATATAAATAGTCGGATATTACAGCAGGTCTGTGCTAGACTAATGCCTTGGCAGCTGTGACGATAGACGACAGCATGAGACTGCAAAAGTAGCAGGAGGACTACGAAGAGAAAGGAGACCAAAACAAAAGCATGCACGAGACGCCAGATGAAAAGTAGGGAGATGCACCATGATTCAGGCAAACACCAAGACGATTCGGATTAGGGCTTACAAAGCGGGGAATTGGGAGCTGCGGAACCGCAGTCTGACTGACACTGCGGGGTTGGCAGCTGGCGATCCAATCGAACAACTTCATCCGCCGTCCCAATTAGTGCTCTTAGGGCCTGGCAGCTTCGCGCTCCATGTACTCTGCGAGCACACGTCACCCGGCATCTCCATTCGGCCGGCGGCGGATCTTCCTGCTCGTCGAGTGGTCTGGGCAAGGCGAGAGCACTGTTCAATTGGTCCACAGCACCCAATGGGACTCACCAACTGCACCCTCATCCAGGAGCTCGTCCAGGGCAATTGCTCAAGTATGGATGGATAAATATCGACCGTCCCTGTGATGGTGGCTGCTCAGCAGCTTCAGCCTAATGTACCCCTCAACTATGAACCCACAGAGTTCTACGTATAGAATTTCCCTCTCGTCTGGATTGATACACGTCCACTGCAGTTGCATTCATCCCCGTCTTCAGGGGTTCCAAGCATTGCCTAGGCGCGGAGTTGGATGGGATCCCCAAGTCCATCCAACCTCAGTGGTTCTAGTATAGGTGTCTAGCGTACATCTTGGTGCGTATCACATTCCCAAAATATTCAAGAGGCTTTTCCGTCAAATTGCTTGAGGTATAGAATATATAAGTTGAGAGAAAAGAAAAGAAAGTAAAAGAAAAAAGAACAAGGGGGAAAAAAAAAGACACAGGTGCGGTGGGCAAAGGAAATTTATAATTGAGAAAGAGACATACTTTAATATGTTTGGAGAGTATATTTTCATTAGGGATTGGAGGGTATCACTATAGAATTGGAAATATGCAACCGAAAAGGGAGATACTGTAGATGGATGGGAGCGGGTAAAGCTGATTAATTGCATTACCTTGGAAACGCTTCTGGGAGCCAGAAGCGGCTGCTATCAAGGACCGTGTTCAGGTCGATCGGCTCCATCGTCGGGCGTAAGCCCATGTTCATGACATCCCGAGCAACTGCCTTGATCTGGCGCATGATGGACTGCGAGATCGCCCATGTGTTGGCTAGGGTCTTAAACACACCGATGGTTAGTGCCAAGCGATCACGACTGGGATCTGGCATCTGTCCTGCTTTGACGGAGCAAGCTGCGAGTTGAACCATTGAGCTCATGGTCAGGGAGCATATGAAAAACGGGGTGTGTTTTATCACCGGCATACGGATGGACGCCAGCGATGAGATTTCTTTAGCTGCTTTGACGGCTTTCATGGCATGGGAATGGTGGGAAAATGCTGGGATCGAACATGGGCCGTGGTGCCCGCAAATAACTTCGGCCGCAACGGCGGGGGAAGAAAGTAGATCAGAGCGAGGAAAGTGGAGGTAGATCGAGGTGCCGTTTACGACCATTGTAGCCTGAAACATCATCTCGTCCACGGTTCCGTCTGGACGTAGAAGCTCGGCCTTGGATTCCGGAAGGTGATGGAAGAAGCTTGTGATTCGTGCGTCAATAGATTCCACTTGGTCCTGCTGGCCCTCCACAAGATCTTGGATTGCTACAACGCGCCCCAGAATCCGTGCTGCTTCAATTCGATAAGTATAGGAAGAAAAATCCCGCTCTTCGTCTGCAAATACGCGCTCATCAAAGTGCGCGATCGTTGGAGGTGGTGGAGGCGCTAATCCATCCTGGTATATCCTCTCCTCACATGGAAGTGGCACCTCAATCGGCACGTTATGTGTCCGCGGCGTTGGCTGAAGCCCAAGCGCCGTTAACATAACTTCAATGATAAACAGCTCCCACCATGTACGTCTGAAGCACTCCTCTCTAATAGGATCACCGTTGCTCATGTCGGCAGCGAAGTCCCTAGTATGAAGACCAATTTCAAAGGCCAAGTCAACTGCACCGACGAGGCATTCACCGGCCGTATTTCGTTCATTCCGCGAATGAAGCACAATCGCCAGTAGCAGAAGCGCCTGCAGCTTCTCTACTGTCCCGTCTTGCTCCAAAACAGACGCCAGGATGTTGGGTCGATAATTCTCGCTAGATGCAGCTGAAGTATAATGCGCCCCAATGAATTTAATGACTTGCTCAAGGAAAAGTGGAACGCGGTTTTGATAGAGTGTACGAACAGGAGGTAAGATCGGATGGGAGGGGTGAAAGAATTGGTAGTAAATGTCGACGAGGTACCCGTCATTGGAAAGCGAGGAAGACGATTCAGGCGTCAAGGGTGCATTTTTAATGACAACTTGCTGCGAAGCACTCTGCTGGTCGACGAACTGGGGACTACTCCCCGAAGAGTTTGACGCAGGAAGGGTTGCCGTGGGCACGTAAGGATAGGGATTTAAGGAGTTCCAATCAACAGGGACATCGTAGAAGCCAGCAAGGTTTGGATCAAGTGGGTTTGCAAGATCTGCTGGCAATTGCTCTGGTGAGGAGGGGTTGGCCCGCCGCTTTTTCGAAGGGCCTTTGTATCCTCGTCGCGACGGAGTATACTGGCACTCTGAGCCCGTGGCCGCGCAGCGGCTACACACAGGAGTTGCTCCATCGCACTTAAGGTGCTTGTGGCGGCAGAGAAGACAGGCAAGGAGAGAGGGGCCCGAAACTCGTTGCTGGACGAAGGCCTTTGAGGAAACGAACTGCTCGTCCATCTTGATTTTTGACGCCGTTCTGGATGCAAAAGCTCCTAGATGGTAAACTTGTAGCAATAAAAGAGCCGGTATATATGCAAAGAGCAGTAACCCAAAATTGAAATTGATCTTCCCTCTTGTGCAGGAAAATGTTTGACCGCTATGAAACCGTTGAGATAAGCGGAGCCGAAACAAAAATGCGGGGGGATGCACAAAAAGTCAAAGGCTCTAACGGTCGCAACTGAACAACAGTTGCAGCAATTTGAACAGAGAAAACGAGGAGAGAAAAACGAAAGTTTGAGCCACGATATTAAGCGGCGAGTAGATCGGATTTGCTCAGGAGGCTGTCACCAGCCAAGTTTGTAATCGGGCCGTTGCAGCACCCCTCTGACCCTCTGTGGATGCGACTAGCCTTGAGGTTAGACAAGATTCTTCAAGAGAGACACGACAACGGTCTTGAATGGGCCCAGGCGGCAACGGCAATGGAACGTCCAGGTGACGATCTCGATGGTTATTCGATGAAAGTGATGATGCGTTGCAAAGGTCGCTGGGTGTCAATGAAGGAAGCTCCCCGCCGTTAGAAATAATAATGCCGGAGTAATGCGGTTCGATTATCTAATTATACCTTTGTGCCACGCAGCTCTCTCGTGCTACCCGATTGGGACACACCTCTCACGGCGGGCGTCGACGACAGGTATTCATCCCTTCTGCTACAATCGTAATCCACTGCATATTGCAATTGGCCGTGTTCCTCGGTGATTATTGACACGCAGCTATGTAAGTAATTTATTGGCAATCGCCTACCTTCCTGCCATCCTCCAATCCCCATAGCTAACTATCAACGTGGCATCCAGCGTTCAGACTCAGCCTCCTTGACCCAGACGTCCCACCGCATTCCGTGTCATCGTTATACTCTCGATCATTAACAGGTCGCTCTAAAACACGCACTATCCACAATGATCACAGACAATGACCTCCACCGCCTCGCCGTCTTCCTCGGCTCCTGCGCAATGATGTTGATTGTTCTCTATCACTTCCTGGAGGTTAATGCTAAGGAGGATGACGATGACGCTGCTACTGCAACCAAGAACTCGAAAGGTGCCTCGATAGACTCGGCTACTCGCACATCAGCTACGGCGACCGCAGGGAGCTCGTCAGCGACTGGAGGGGGTACGGACCGATAATTTATTCTACAATTCATTCTGTGTATCTTATCTTGGGCAATCAATTCGATAAACTTTGTGTCTGGTTGGAAACTGGGCACGTTCTGAGCAAATGGCCGTATTTACTGACTCATTGTTTCGGATATTGGTTAATATACAAAGCTAATTGAGGGCCCAAATCCCTTCGATAAAACACCCACGTAATATCAACGCCTGGACGCCATTTATTGCGATAAGAGGAATCCAGAACCAACGCCATATAAGGTATACTACACTACCACGCTATGCAGGTAAACAGCCGCTTCAAGATTGGGACCGAACTTCATAGACATCTTCGTCGTCCGCCACCCTGGGATTGCGCAACGGAGTGGCTAGTTCGCAGCCACCCGGGTCCAACCCGACGCCAATATGCTCCTTCAGTCGCTGTACTGCCTTAAATATCTCACCAGCCTTTTCATGCTGGGAATAATGTCCATGAACTCGATTGAACGCGCGAATCGAGCGGTAGTCGGCAGGGAAAATGAGGGAATCCTCGTTTCCAGGCTGGTTAGATTCCGGAATGGTCAACGGTACTGTGTTTGAGCTAGATCCTTGGTCCACTATATCCAAACGCGGGAACGAAAGGTTAATAAATCATAAGTCTCGTCGAATGTACTTGTTTAATGAGCTTAAAAAGCAATCATTGTGCTTTCTCACCACTTGAAGGCACAGCTGGCCCATCTCCCAGCTTCCATGCAAGAGATTCAAGATGCTCTTTCTTCACGTGCTTCATCAACTCCGCAGCCGGCAAGGTCGCCGTGAACGCGCAGCCCTTCCACCCACATGTAATTTGATACGAGGCGTGGTTCTTGAACAAATGTTTTTTGAGCAACTCGAGGTTGTGCAGTTCAGATTGACAATTGCCCCACCGACACGCATAAACAGGATATGACGAAGTCGGTGTCTGCGGTACAGCTGCGGCTGTAGCGGCTTTCGGCTTATTGGTACTGCCAGGGGGCCTGCCGCGCCTTTTCTTCTCCATTGACTGCGGCGTACTGGGAGCCGATGGTTCAGACTTAGGCTGCTGTACGGGTAACGGCACTGGCGGGTTTGGAGCTGGAAGCTGAACTTGTGGCTGTGGTTGCGGTTGCGGTTGCGGTTTCTGTTGCGGCTGCGGCTGCGGCTGCGGCTTTGGCTGATATTGGGACGGAGGATGAGGCTGCTGAAATGGAGGCTGCGGAACCCCGTGTTGATTCTGGGTTGTGTTGCTGCCGACGGGGACAGGTGGTGGTGGGGCTATTTGCTTGGTTTGCACGGAGCCTTGATTGGGATGACTGGGTGGAACACCAGCCTTGGCTTTGAGATCACGTGATGGCTCGCTTGGATCAACTAAATCCCATCTGAACGTTTCCAGATCCGAATTAATATCCACGGCGGAAAACACATCCCGGAGGCGGAAGAGATGATAATTTAAAGTGGCCTCTGTCGGGTGACGGTTGGACGTAATCAGGATATCCCTCGCAATCGTTTTCGGGTCGTAGGTAACTTTCTGTGCGGCTTCTGACTCTTTCAACCGGCTCACTATATCCATACGGCGTTTCAGGTGTGTCCTATCTGCAGGGTTCTCGGGTTGAAATGTGTAGGCCACAAATTTCCCCTGAGGACCATGTGCCGGTTGGGTATGCGGTGCTTGTGCCATCTGCCGCTGCGGTTGTGGAGGCTTTGGCAGCACAGGGTTTGGAGCTGCTTGTGTGGAAGGAGGGCCTTGAGGTGGTAAAGTTTGTGATACATTATGTGGGACAGGTGGTGTGGCAGATTGTGCGGCTGGTCGTGGGACAGGGAGTGATAAAGGAGACTGCGTCGTAGGTCGTGTGGAGCTAGGTTGCGATGTCGTTTTTGAGCTGGGACCTCGTATTTGCTGCGCAGACTGCGGGGACTGGGACGCAGATTGCCGCGCGTTTTGTGAGAGAGTCTGGGGTCTGTTCTGCGGGGAAGGATTTAGCGGCCTAATCTGTGTATCTAAAGGTGCGACAGTGGGCAGAAGAGCTTGTAAGGTTGTTGGGGGCGAGGGATATTGGGCGTTGTGTCGCGAAGTCCGCTGCGCCGCTGCCTGTGGGCCCACACTTGACGGACCCCGTGGAGGAGGTTTGAATTGAGCTTGCTGGCCGTGTTGAGGCATACGAAGCGTCGGTGCTTGCGATGTTGCGGGAGATGAAGTACGCGACGGTATTTGTGACTGTGATGCAGGTCGTGTCTGAGACGGCGCCATATGTTGCGGACCCGTACGATGGGGCTCCTGGCGTGGGCGCTGTGCAGTAGGTGGCTTTGTAGTTCGCGGCATCGGGGGATTGGGAGTTTGCGAAGGAGAGGATGGGAATTTGCACTGTGAGCCAGGTCGATAGTTCTGAGCGGCTGGCAGCGCCTGCGCTTGCTGGGAAACTGACGCAGCCTGCGGTACAGATTGCAGAGGGGGTTTTGAGGATGCAGGCGAGTCTACCCGTCGCCTTTTAGCTGACGATTGTGGGGGTGAAGCAGTAGGCAATGGCAAACCCGATGTGCTTTCTAGGTGTGATGCCGGTTTTTGATACTCGCGAGCCGGCGGTGGTCCCCACCGATATGAAGGGTATTGTAGGACGTCCTCTAGCCGCACATATGATTCTTCCTGCTGCTGATATGACGGATAATACGGGGCTTGCGTAGTAGCGTTATTCGGTTGTGTTTGTGGAAGGTTGGTGTTGGAGTTATAGAACGGGCCTCTCCACTGAGAATTCGAATTCTCCTCGGCGTGAGGGGCATGTTGAGTCAGGTTCTGTGGCGCGTAGTGATGAGGCCAGTCGAGCCACGGAAATTGCTCATCAGCCATGTTTAAACAGAGCTCGTTCGCCGGAGGTAAGGAGCCGCTGGAGGTTGTTGCGATGACGACTCAACGAGCCTGCGGAGGGCGTAGTGTGTGGCAGGTGTTGGGCATTATGTTCCCTCAGCGCAAACAAACAGTCCGAAATTTCTCGCACATGGCCTCCCGCACCTCATCCCCGCAGAAGCGCAAAATCGCGCGACAACTTCCAGTCCTGCGCAGATAGTGACAACGCGACAAGCAGCCGGCCACGCCTTAGTCAGCCATGTAGTATGCGGCCAACTATGGAAGGCGGTCAGCTGTGAGGAACAGCCAATCATTATGTTCCCGCCAGCCCTAGCCTAAGCGGGTCCCGACATCATGTGACGCACATTTCGACCTGCCCACATTTTCGGCTAACATCGAGCCCAATTGAGTGAAAAAAGAAGTCCTTCGACGACAACCGACGACAACACCACGACCCTTTCTCCAGAGTCCGGTCAGATATCGAAAGGAGGCTCTGCAAAATGGCCGTCACAAACCAGGGTACGTTCTACGGAAATTTTCACAACTCGCTTTTATTTTACCTGTTTTCGTGCGCCGTGATTTGAGGTTGGGGACGGTTTAGAAAATGGCGACAGGACGACATACACCAGAAAAGCAAAGCTACGGGACAAATGCTGATGGTTTTTCTTCGAATAGCACTCCACTCCTCGCGCCGGAAGTCGCGCAAGGCGCACTTCAATGCCCCCTCCAGCGTGCGCCGTGTTATTATGAGCGCACCTCTGTCCAAGGAACTCCGTGAGAAGCACAATGTACGCCTACCATCCGTCCCTCCCATCCCTCCAGAACGATGATTCCCCTCTCTATCCTACGCGGATCAAGAGTGATTAAAAGAAAAGAGAAGGACGGGGGGTCCAGGAACCGTTTTGATCAGAGGGATTGGGAAAATAGCCGCAATAGAACCAGGAACTGACGGGAATGATTTTAACAGGTCCGCTCCATCCCCATCCGCAAGGACGACGAGGTCACCATTGTCCGTGGTACCAACAAGGGCCGCGAGGGCAAGATCACCAGCGTCTACCGTCTGAAGTGGGCCGTCCACGTCGAGCGTGTTGTCCGCGAGAAGTCCAACGGCCAGAGCGTTCCCCTCCCCATCCACCCCTCCAAGGTCGTCGTCACCAAGCTCAAGCTCGACAAGGACCGTGAGCAGATTCTGGAGCGCATCGGCAAGGGCCGTGAGGCCGTCAAGGCCAAGTCCTCTTAAGGGACTGGAAATGGGACTTGCATTTTGTGTTTCTATGGATGAATGGCGTGGGAGTACAATGAGATCCTGAATCTGATCCTCTTAAATGAGCAACATCAAAAAGAAATATACCTGCTACGACCAGAACAGACCATGACCTCCCACAACCTAACAACACCCTTATGAATGAAAACAAAAAACGAGAATGTTCAAAAAAAGAAGAATATTTTCCGTCTTCTTCCCTTTCCTCGACCCAGCATCAAGCACTGGCCCAAACGCAGCACGCATTCTCTTTCCCTATTCCATCCCGCTTCCCTAATGCCCACCCAATTTCCCCTCAGACCCCTCGCCAAATTATCTCCTCATCAATCCCCATCCATGATTGGTGAGGTATTCGATTGGCGTAGAAGGAACGCAGAATCTGTATTTTCGGATATTACCTGCCTCGCTTGCAGACTCGCACTGAGCTACTCACTATAGCAAGGACGCTGCGAGTTTGAGAGTGAGATACATGCCCATGTAGGCTGTAGCTGTAGGTATTTCATTGTAGATTGTTCTATTTTATGGCTTCTTCAAATGAGATACATGTTTTTTTGTCAGTGTTCGATTTCCAATGAGCCTTTCTTTTTTTTTTTTTTTTTTGTAGTACTGAAGGGTCCTCCAGTGATCCGGGGTATCTAAGACTTAATATACAAGAGCGAAAACAAGTTATTACCTGCCTTCTGGCAGACACCCGCTGTATCATGCTCATGGATCAATTGATATCGTTACAGAAAAAAAAACGTGGGAAGAAATATGCGCTCCTCACTGGACTCGCCAAATCCATTAACCACAATCTGTCCTTCATCCGTCTAGGCCCTCATCACCGTATCCTTTTCAAAAGCTAAGACCTCATAAAGTGGGTATCATTCTCAACCAACACATCTTCCCCAACCCGGTAATCCGCACCCCATTCCGACAAAAAGATAGACCAGGAACACAACCACAACCCCCAAAAGCACCATCAGCTTAGTATTCTTCCACCACATCCTCCTGCGCAGACCACGACTTCGCATACGGAAATCATGCGCACTCCCACCCAACCGATCCGTCTTATCAACCAACAAGTCAATTCTTTCCCCGCGCTCCAACACCCTCTCGATATTCTCGGTCATTATATCCCTCACGCTGTCGATCTCCTTCCTCGCCGACGCGAGCGAATCCGCTGGCGGGGCCGTATTGAAGGTTTGCAACATTGAGCGGAGCTCCGAGTTGAAAGCTGCGCAACCGTACGCTGGCAAAGAGGCAAAGTCTGTGTTGGACGGCGGGTATGTGGCGAGAAACTTGCGCTTCATCTCGAGGAGGTAGGCGAAGGGGATGCGGCGACCTTGTTCTGCGGTTGCGACGACGATGTAGCTTAGCGGAGCATAGGAAGACGGCTCTGTGGTTGAAGATTCGGGAGATCCGGTGGGAGAATCAGAAATATAGTGCACGAAAAGGCGCTCGTGGGTGTAGGTGAGCTTTTGGGATTGGTCATGGCTGATCTTGGGGAGGATTATGGAGGCTAGAGATGAGGCGGAAGTTGATGAAGAGCCTGGAGCGGAGTGTTCGGCGAGGATTGTTGTGCGGTGTGCTATGCAGGAACTGGTGATCTGGTTAGTTGGTGTCTATAGAAATCGATGATGTGCTTGGGCACGGGGTTCAAAAGTGGGTGACCTTACTAGAGCAGGAAGTTCGATGGCTTGGATGATGAAGCCATGGTGGGCGTACTTCTGATCACAAATAGATAACCGCTATGTCTAGACCAGTCGTAATGTATTCTTGGGAAAGATAAAGAAGAAGCTAAGGATATCAAGGTCGATGTCAGAGGAGTTTCGTGACGTCGACCATGCCAAGATCTCTAGTACCTTGTTGGTCACGTGCAGCATTCCTTCCCCGGATTGCATACAGCATTCATTCTTCCTGAAAGAGTTAATTGATCATAACTAGACAATTCATTACTGGCATTCAGTCATTGTATCATTACATCATCTCATATTATTTTAGGAACCATGTATATGTAAAGAACTGACTCATACGGCCGCTCTTGTCTCCCTTTTTGGAATATCCTGCACCTTGCCCTCGTCCAGTTTCATCTCTTCGAGCTCACTAAAATCACTGATATCGGCATGGTCAATAACAACGGTATCATCACTGTCGCTGTCACTATCAAAAAAAACATCGTCGACATCATCTGCCGAAGAGTCTAACGCAAAGGAAAGCTCATCATCGACCTTCTTGAAATCTGAAGGGTCGGCTACAATCGCGTTGCCTGTCTCTGACACGACTTCTGAGTTGATAGATACGACTTCGCTAGCAAAGCCTTCAGTGGCTCTATGTGATGCGCCGTGCAATGTGCTCTCGAGAAGCGACATAATGGATGGGGCAGTTGATGGTGCGGCGCTTCCGGTGTGGATAGAAGGTCCCGGAGCAGAAAATCCGTCTGTTTCGGCGAGCGGTATCTGGTCGGCGTAGACCCCTCCGGAGCCATCATCACAGCCTCCGGCCCACAAAGGAAGGTATCTGTACTCGCTTTCTGTAAGAAGTGTGAGGGTATCCGTTAGGTCGTAGGACATCACAGGTCGACGAGGCGCTATCATTTCCCTGGCAAATCCTGAAATGTATCCCTGAACTTGTGAGACAAATTTGGACAGTGAGAAATATCGCTCGGGCATGAATAGTTTCCCGTCGTGTTGGGCCGTATGATCGTTTGGTTGCGCAGCCAAAGAGTTGAAGAGACAATTGAATGCATGCGCCTTGCGACTTAGCTCTGCAACCGTTACGTATCTGACAAGTGCGTTGTGCTGATCTCGAAAAGCCCCCATGTATCCACCCAGCCTAGCAAGGGAGCGGTCTCTAGATGGTCCAATGTCCTTTTCGCCATCGATCTCATTAAGCTTTCTTTCACTGAGAATAACCCAAAATGTTCTCGTCATTATGTGCGCCATGAAAGGCATAGAGCTGTAAACGTTCAAATAGTCACTTGTAGGGTAATCCCCGCTCAGCTCAAGTCTGTATTTGCTTGACATCCAAACCGTGGTGTCCAGAGAAAGTACCATGAAAATAGTCGCCCGGACCCAGTCTTTCAAGGTTGCGATGAGGTCGTTCACTACTTCCTCCTCTGGTGGGCCATGGGGAGAGTAGAAAACTCGCCGAAATTCAAGTATATTCTTCAACCAGTGCATATCGTCCCCGATGAGTTGGACGAATTTCTCAATGATACTACCTAAAAACGATTCACCGGCATACTGCACCCGCTGCACATCATCGTCGTCCAACATTTCCCGAGGTCGTCCATGGACAGTGGTAGTCTGTTGTTGCTTAGGAATGGGAGTACCGGAGTTGCGCAGAAGGAGCAACGCCTCCTCTCCAACTAGAACACAGAATGCATCCTGTAGAAGGTAGTCACACCGAATTCCCTTCGCGATTCGATAGGCGATTTCCGGATGAAGCTGAATGAACAGTTTGTTCTCCCCTTCATACAACCACAGCGTGACTCGCGTGCGAATATCCCGCAGGGCTGAGATTTCGTACAGCTTTGCAACGGCAAAGAATGTCCAGAGCTTGCATGGGGTATCAAGTTTTGGATTGAGTCCTTCCAACACCTGCAGGACATGGATAATGCCTGCACGGTGCCTCGCGGGCGAGTACTCCGCAGGATAGCCAGAATGATTTTTATCGTCACCGTCACCATCGGATGAATGTATATCTACCCCAGAAACACACTGAGGAGGGAGATCCCAGCGATCCCGCGCGGCAGCCCATGTCCTGATACCAAGAGGGCAGGATAATTCGGTCAAGTGGAGGACTGCATCGTCCTCAGTCGAGGGAGGAGTGAGGTCAATTATGTACCTTATTCCCTCCGGTAGCCCTCCACGATTCTTGATATTTCGTTCTTGTACTTTTGGATCGAATAACTGTCTGAGTACAGCAGAGCCTGTTGCCAAAAGCTTCCAACTATGGATTCTATGACCGATAGACTGGGCACAACTGGGCCGCAAGATCCAGGCGGGTTTGTAGGATGGGGTTTCGATAAAAGCCAGTGTGTCGGCATCCTCGAAGAAAAGGATGTCTTCAATCTCAGAGACACTCATTATAGATAAACAGCCTTTCTGGGTGCAGAGGCCGGCGGGAGGATCTGGTATCCCAATGTTTGTGGGGCAAGGCTGTTGTGAGGCTCAAATAGCGGGGAAAGTAAGCGAAAACAACGGTTTGACCAAGGACACAGAAGATATCAAGATCGAGATGGTTTTCTTTGTTAGCTGACAAAGATGATGGGGAATGAGGGATGAAGAAAGATTAGAGATGCAGGTGAGGCTGAGGAGGTGGTTGATTGATGCGGTGCCCGGCCGCAGCTGGAAGTGTTCTTGACGGTATCGATAGATTTTGTTCTTGTAAGCAGGGCTGCAGGGAGCTCTCCCAGTTGAGTCACACATCAAGCTGCTGCCTGTTTTCATGTGACTTAATACTATATTATTTCTTCTTGTTTTCCTCTGGTTTTCTGGGTTTTAGTGACTGGTTCTGCATCTCTATTAGGAGCAGCATCAAAGATAACAATCATACTTTATTTCACACACATTTACACCTTTTGTAGCCTCCACATTGGCCTGGGAGGACTTGGCAGTTTACTCTATCTTATAGAGTGGATTACTGCCTGATTCTAGGGGGCCACCCAGGAGCAGTACCAGCAACATCGCCGATCTCTGGCTGGATATTTAGATCAACTTTAGCCAACCAGGGTATTCTACTAAATTGAAGGCGTGGTCATGACTCTCATTAAGCATACAGTATTATATCTTGATGTCTAGCCCGAACCCGGTCTAGAAAAGCGATGAATAAGCAATACTATGTAGTAAACAGCCGCCCAGTTCAATGTACAACAACAGTAAAGAACAAACGCCTGTGGTTTGCTACACGGCCCAAGAAAGATAAAAATAAGAAAGTAAAAATAATATTCGATCATACATTGTCCTCTTGGTTTGCCTCCGACTGATTCTCGGCCAGGGTTGGCTCCGTGGTTCGAGTACCATCGCTCGTCTTGCTCTTCCGAGACCCAGGAGGTTTCCTCTTCTTTTCTGTCCGCCGTTTGTCTCGCTGGCCAGCCCGCTGCTCATCAAGCTGGCTTTGGTTGCGGGTAGACCGGAGATCCTTCACTTCTCGGATCACCTCACGGAATCCTTCCTCGATATTATTCATCCGAGCCAACACAAGCTTGCTAAGCATATCCTGGCGTCTGTTAGGACTACCACTGCGTCGGATACCGCCTGTTGCGTATGCCATTTGCGTAGTGAAGCTTGACGGTGCACCACCGACGAATCCGTTGGCAATTGCCTTACCATCTCCCAGGTCTGAGCCAAGACCCTCAAGTGCGGATACTTCGTGTCGCCAGGAGCCGTTACCGGGCCCCAGGAAATGTCCAATGTTCGGTACAGACCTAGGATTAGACCTAAATGGGTCGGCATTCGGGCTTCTGCCGTCGTCCAGGCTGTGTCTTCTTTCTAGACCATTTCCAGGGCCAGAAAACATGGAAAATGATTGACTTGGCATGATTCTCGGTACAGGTCGGATTGAGGGTGCATCCGTATCACTTTCCTCATCGTGGCTGGACGGTATGGGGTTGTATAAAATTGTAGCTCCAGAGGGGTTTCGCGAATGGTGGCGGGTGATCCGGGTGGGGCTGTTTTTGCGAGACTTGCGTATTGCTGTAGAAGGGCGTGAGCTGTAGAACTTTGGGGTGGCTTTACCCTTCGGCGCAGTGCTGGCTTTGGAATGGTCATCGGAGTCCTGATGGTTCGATTCCTGTTCAGCCAAGGCGCGGTTGTCGTCGCTGGTAAGTTCGTTGTCGCCTTCAATGTCTGTTTGACGCGAGAGGCGCCTTCTTCTCTGCGGTACGAAGTTTCTGCCATTACGTGGCGTAACAGGAGAGGAGATCGCGTGCGGTACGCGATCTTCAGGGTTTGAAGCAACTGACTCCGTGAAATTACGAAGACTTCGGGCTTGTTTTCGTCGAGGGGGTAGACGGCCCTTGGGCAACCGCTCGAGTCGATCAACTTCGTCGGAATCTTGCTCATCGGGTGGATTGACTGGCCCGGATCCCATCTCTTGCATCCAGTTGTTCACAAGATGGTTGCTCTTTCTTTGAATAGCCCTGACCGGGCTCCGGCTTGGGTTTCCGCGGAAGGGTTGTCGGAAAACTTCTTCAAGAGCGCGATCCTGTTGAAACGTAGCCACGGACGGTGCTCGAACAAATCGGGTTACCCGGGAACTCAGAGCCCTGAATCGAGGCTGAGGCCGATCCTCAACTCTGGTTTCAGAACGTAAAGGCGAATCAACAAGGTCAGTGGAGTCGATCATTTGAGGGCAGAGAATCAATTTCTCATAAGCACAGATGGTGAACAGAATAGGCATGTGTGTGATCTTTATTATAGTCCGGTTGAGGCGCATATACTGCCTGAAAGGGATCAACCATCGGAGAGGGGTTATTAACCAAGCCAGAATGTTCGTTGGTGCCACATAAGAGAAAAGCGCATCCGACTTGACCATCGAGATCGCATTGACAGCAAAGAGGAACAGGTGTTCCTGATTTGCATTCTGTACAATTCTCATAAACGAATTTGTAAGGACTGTTATCAGTATAGTGACCACGACAAAGTGGCAAATGAAGAGAAACATCGTCAAGATTACCCTCCCCAGAAAGTTATATTCGTCCCAAAGGGTCCATGCAGCGGGAGTAAATCCCATCAACATCTGGAACAAGGCATACGCGACTGATGCAGGCGATTGATCTTGACCACTGCCGAAAGACAAGGTGAAGGCCACAAAAAAGCCGCTGCACGCAATGACGATCAGAACAAACACCGCAACCAGATCAGATGCCATTATCCTGAATGCGATCAGGAGCTGGGAGAAATATCGATAGTGGTCAAGTATCGAAAACAACCGGGGGAACAGAAGAACTGCATTTGCAGCCAGGACATCGTACGCCCTCTCCGCAACGGCCTCTTTGTGAGTATACGGCATGAAAGCGCCGTAGAGCCGCATGCAGTAATAGCAGAATAGGAGGATAAGGATTCCGAGATCGAAGATGTTCCAGAAGCTCATGAGATAAAGGCTAAAGCCTTGTTCGTTAAAACCAACAATCTCATCGAGCATAAACCCGGCACTCCAAAGCCAAAACACAACTTCCAGGGAAGAGATTTCTATACTCCTCTCTTGTAAAACGGCAAGGAACAGTCCAAGGAGAACGGCAAACGATAACGTGGAGAGGAACTGTCTGTATCGTGGTACTCGTAAGCGAGAGAGCTTGAATAGCGAGGCATCGCGTGGATCATAAAGCGTTACTGATCGCCGGAGACTTGATGCATCGGACCAGTTCTTTTTGTCTGAAGACCTCACGGTGTTGTTGTTGGAGGTGGCACCGTAAGAAATCGGGCCTCTCCCAAAACGGCCCTGTGTGGTCGAACGATGTAGGCTGTCTGCAGCTGAGTGGAAAACGATTGTGCCCGCCCAAATGGCTTCCAGCTGTTTAACGACAAGAGGATGAGACAGGAACCTTTTCGCTTGGGCCCGAATAGCGATTTCGAGACAAGAAATGCGAGCAGCACCGGGGCGTGATTTACCGCCGGCCGCAGAAGTCCAGCCTGGCGTGCGATAGGCATTTCCATTTTCCCCAACTTTCTGGCCTTGGAGAGGATAAAAGTCGTAAGAAAGAGCGTCAATCAACTCGCGAGTAGTGTACTCCCTAAGCAATTTGATAGCGAGAAGCTCGCTCACCATTGCTCTGGTCTGGTTTGTGCCACTGTTTCCTGGGTTCAAACGAATTTCCCTGTCGAATTGTAGGCAGTTCGTCATCAGTGCATACAGTGTGGCCCGCGTAAAGTGCAATGCTTTTATTTTCTGCTGAATAGGTTTCACCAAGAACTGCGAAATCTGAGGCGAGCGTAGCTGGTCCCAAGTCAACGTCGTTTCGCACCGCGAAATTATCAGAGACCGGATAGCATGTGTGATATCGTAGATCGGGAGGGCGTCTAAAATAACAATACGTCAATAAAGCCGCACCCGAATAATACCTGCGATGGAAACCCATACCTAGGTGAGGCGCTGAAAATATCGGAAGCAGAGGCGAGGACTCGATTGGGGCGTCCTCTTCTTCCCCGTCGGCATCCTCATCTTCAATACTCTCATCCTCCGCATCGTCATCATCGGTTCTATGTTCGCGAAGTCTGCTATATCCACCATCTCCGCTCAATAACGGCCATCGGGACTGGTCGGCAGGGTCGGGTGAAGGGAATAGGGAGGTTTGCGCATACTCTCGTCGCTTCTTAGGGCGAAGGAGAGACGCAAGCATGGTTGGTGCTCTCCTTGTTAATCAGCGACGAGTCGAGGTAATTATGTCAAAGCATGTTCAGCGAAAGGTCGTGGATCTAAACGGGCGATCCAACGAGCGAGAAGGTTGAAGAAGAGTTTTTGAGCCGGAGGGCAGGTGACGACGGATTTATTCCGGGGCTGCTGGCGATTTGCGGGTTGAAATCACGCGCACTGCAGGTGGTGCAGCAAAAACCTGGAAGGGAGGGGAAGATCTTTTTGGTCAACTTGGAAGCTCTCCAACGTGAAGCTGCAGGGCCGTTTGCTTGGTGGCGGGACAAGACGCACGGGGCATGGTCTGGGCTCCCAGATTCGCCGTACATGACGCTAAACCGACCAGGTCTTTATTTCAACAAGTCGCCCAGTGCGCGTTGACATGGTAATCTTGCAATTTATTCTTCTTGAACTCGTCGCCCAGTTTTAAATATTAGAACTATAGAAGCGGCATCTCCCTAGCTTCTTCCGTTTGTGGTATTGTTATATCTACACCGGACCACTTATACTTTAGTGTCATTGTTTATATATTTTGCTACCTCGGTAGTACACCGACCCCGCGCCGATAGGGACATAAAAGTCCGATTTCCTTAAGTATTGGGGTGAGAATTTTCACATTTAATATGGTTTTGGGTACTACAAAGATGCAGCTGATACTGTTATGACAGCTACACCTGATAGAGTTTCTTTCTTGATCTCAAGGTAGCTGGGCTCCAGCTTGCCTGGTAGCTTGTTGGATCGGGATCCAGACCGACCGGCACAGCTAAAACGCCGCCCACGCCTGTGTCGTCTGCAGACTCTGGGCATGCAATCCTTTCTCACCGCCTGCATCGCGATTACTGCAAGCGTCGGCGATACTCGTCGCTGATTTGTCGGGTAAACATCCCTGACTCCGATCCACGCTCTTCCCCTCAACCTTGGAACAATCCCACTTTTACGGTTGCCTTTTTTTTAGCTGAGTTGAAGCGCTCACCGGGAGGAAATTGAAGTTTGCAGCGAGTGGGTTGTCAGGGTTTACTGTCTACTGCTGTAATTGTAGTGTAGTGAACACGGATTGGATTTGCAGTGAGGAGCCTGGAGGCACAAGCTATCTAGGAAATGAGGTGACAGCTGAGTTACCGGGAAAGTGGTCACGACGCGATCTCCATTTAGAGAAGCTGGTCTTGATCCCCGGCCCAGAGAGGAGTTCAGAAATCCACATTATGTAATTCCATTGCGAAAAGGCACAAAACCAGCTGAAATCGGAGAAGAATTTTTTTACTATAAGCGGTCGCCCCGCCGTGGCAGAAATCGGCGAAATATTCAAGTCGGTGAAGCAGTCGGCCAATAGGAGAGCTCAGTCTGCCCGCCATACTCAAATTTTTTATTCTGCCATTTCAGCATTTCTCGCTCGTCCGAGTCCCTTCTCTCTTTCCTATATTCCTCCCCGTGCTGAAGCAGCAAACAAAGATACCCTCACTTGGTCCTCCATTGTTGCTCAAGGAGAGTTTTGGCGGCTGCTGATGCTACGGTAGAGTGAATACCCTGCCACACTGTCCTCGAGAGGACCATTTCCCCTCATTCCCCCACCACACACGATCGCCGACAATGTCTGAGACCGTCGGCCACGAGGAGTCGGCTCTTCCCTCGAGCCCCCAGGCTGGAGGAGCCGTTGCCTATAACCCAATTAGCAAGGAATTGCAACCCATCCCCTCAGTGGACACCGCCAATGGCGCTGTCATTCCTCCTGCATCCTCAGGAATCGAGGGCAGCACTGGGCGACAGAGTGTGCTCGAGCTTGAGGATGGCACGGTCTACCAGGGCTACAACTTTGGCGCTGAGAAGAGCGTAGCAGGTGAATTGGTTTTCCAGACCGGTATGGTCGGATACCCTGAATCCATCACAGATCCCTCCTACCGTGGCCAGATTCTCGTCGTTACTTTCCCTCTGGTGGGCAACTATGGTGTCCCATCGCGGGAGACCATGGATGAACTGCTGAAGACGTTACCAAAGTACTTCGAGTCCACCCAGATTCACATTGCAGCATTGGTCGTCGCAACATATGCCGGAGAGAACTACTCTCACTTCCTTGCAGAGTCTTCATTGGGTCAATGGCTCAAGGAGCAAGGTGTTCCCGCCATTCACGGGATCGACACCCGTGCCCTCACCAAGCGTATTCGCCAGAAGGGTAGCATGCTCGGTCGTATGCTGCTCCGCAAGGCCGACGTTGCTGAAAGCGATGCACCCTTGACCAAGGAAACTTGGAAGTCATCCTTTGAACAGATCGACTGGGCTGATCCCAACACCAAGAACCTCGTAGACGAAGGTGAGTTGCTCTTCCATAGTCTGGTTTGACTTGGCAGGACCTTCTCTGACTTAATCATTTTTAGTATCTATTCGCGAGCCGAAACTGTTCTCGCCCCCGGAGAACGTTGCTCTCAAGCACCCCTCCGGCCGCCCTATCCGCGTTCTCTGCCTGGATGTCGGTCTCAAGTTCAACCAACTGCGCTGCCTACTCGCCCGCGGTGTTGAGGTTCTAGTTGTTCCTTGGGACTATGACTTCCCCACACTTGCCGGCAAAGATTACGATGGTCTATTCGTCTCGAACGGTCCTGGTGACCCAGCCACCCTTTCTACGACAGTCAACAACCTGGCGAAGACCATGAAGGAAGCGAGAACTCCTATCTTTGGTATCTGTCTTGGACACCAACTGATCGCTCGATCGGTTGGTGCCCAGACATCGAAGATGAAGTTCGGTAACCGTGGCCACAACATCCCCTGCACCAGCATGGTGACTGGAAAATGCCATATCACCTCGCAAAACCACGGTTACGCTGTCGACTCTTCCACTCTCCCTAGTGACTGGCAGGAGTTGTTCGTGAACGCCAACGATGGCAGCAACGAAGGTATCCGTCACGTTAGCCGTCCGTACTTCAGTGTCCAATTCCACCCTGAGAGCACCCCCGGCCCTAGGGACACAGAATACCTCTTCGATGTTTTCATCAACGCTATTAAGGACACTATCGCCTCATCTGACGCCCTCCAGAAGCCTGTCAACTTCCCAGGCGGCACTATCGCTGAAAACACCAAGCTTGCCCCCCGTGTCTCAGTTAAGAAGGTCCTGATTTTGGGAAGTGGTGGTTTGAGTATTGGACAAGCTGGAGAATTTGATTACTCTGGAAGTCAAGCTATCAAGGCGCTGAAGGAGGAAGGAATCTACACAATCCTCATTAACCCTAACATTGCCACCATCCAAACCTCCAAGGGTCTGGCAGATAAGGTGTACTTCCTGCCGGTTAACGCCGACTTTGTGCGCAAAGTGATCAAGCACGAGAGGCCTGATGCCATTTACGTTACCTTCGGTGGTCAGACTGCCCTTCAGGTTGGTATTCAGCTCAAGGATGAATTCGACGCACTCGGTGTCAAGGTCCTCGGTACACCTATCGACACCATTATTACCACTGAGGATCGTGAGCTCTTTGCGCGCAGCATGGACTCTATTAACGAGAAGTGCGCCAAGTCGGCTTCTGCTTCCAGTCTTGAGGAGGCCCTCGGAGTGGTCGAAGCCATCGGTTTCCCTGTCATTGTCCGTGCTGCCTACGCACTCGGCGGCCTTGGCAGTGGTTTCGCCGATAACATGGATGAGCTGAAGGACCTCTGCACTAAGGCCTTCGCTGCCAGCCCTCAGGTGCTGATCGAAAGGAGTATGAAGGGCTGGAAGGAAATCGAATACGAAGTCGTTCGTGATGCTAGAGACAACTGTATCACTGTCTGCAACATGGAGAATTTCGATCCTCTTGGTATTCATACCGGTGACTCCATTGTTGTTGCCCCCTCGCAAACACTTTCCGACGAGGATTACAATATGCTGCGTACGACGGCAGTTAACGTGATCCGTCACCTTGGTGTTGTTGGAGAGTGCAATATCCAATATGCTCTGAACCCCTTCTCCAAGGAGTACTGCATTATTGAAGTTAATGCCCGTTTGTCTCGGTCTTCCGCACTTGCTTCCAAGGCTACTGGTTACCCTCTTGCTTTTATCGCTGCTAAGCTTGGATTGGGTATCCCGCTCAATGAAATTAAGAACTCGGTTACCAAGGTTACCTGCGCCTGTTTCGAGCCCTCCCTCGACTACTGTGTGGTCAAGATTCCTCGCTGGGATTTGAAGAAGTTCACCCGTGTCTCTACACAACTTGGCTCTTCCATGAAGAGCGTTGGCGAGGTTATGGCCATCGGCCGAACCTTTGAAGAAGCCATTCAGAAAGCCATTCGCTCAGTGGATTTCCACAACCTCGGATTCAACGAAACCAACGCTCTCATGTCCATCAAGGGTGAACTGCAGACACCTTCTGACCAGCGTCTTTTCGCCATCGCAAATGCCATGGCTGCTGGATACAGCGTTGATGACATTTGGGAACTCACTAGCATCGACAAGTGGTTCCTCAGCCGACTTAAGGGTCTCAGTGACTTCGGAAAGCTCATGACGACTCTCAACTCTAACACCATCACTCCTCCACTTCTGCGAAAGGCCAAGCAGCTCGGTTTCTCTGACCGCCAGCTCGCCAAGTTCCTCAGTTCCAACGAGCTTGCTATTAGACGGTTGCGTGTGGAGGCTGGAATTGCGCCCATCGTTAAGCAGATCGATACAGTTGCTGCTGAGTTCCCTTCAGTGACCAACTACCTGTACCTTACCTACAACGCCTCCGAGCACGATGTCAACTTCGACGACCATGGTATTATGGTTTTGGGATCTGGTGTTTACCGTATCGGTTCTTCTGTCGAGTTCGATTGGTGCTCTGTGAGAACGATCCGTACCCTTCGCGAGCAGGGCCGCAAGACTGTCATGGTCAACTACAACCCTGAAACTGTCAGTACCGACTATGACGAGGCTGATCGGTTGTACTTCGAAAACATCAACCTGGAAACAGTCCTCGACATTTACCAGCTCGAGTCTTCCGGCGGTGTGATCATGTCCATGGGTGGTCAGACCCCCAACAACATCGCTCTTCCGCTCCACCGTCTCAACGTCCGCATTCTTGGTACTTCACCTGAGATGATCGACGGCGCTGAGAACCGATACAAGTTCTCCCGCATGCTTGACCGTATTGGCGTCGATCAACCGTCATGGAAAGAGCTTACCAGCATTGAGGAGGCGACTGGCTTCTGTAACAAGGTTGGCTACCCGGTGCTTGTTCGTCCTTCCTATGTGCTGTCAGGTGCTGCCATGAACACCGTCTATTCCGAGCACGATCTGGCAAGCTATCTCAATCAAGCCGCGGATGTCTCCCGCGAGCACCCTGTCGTTATCACCAAATACATTGAGAACGCGAAGGAGATTGAAATGGATGCCGTTGCCCGCAACGGTGTGATGGTTGGACATTTCATTTCTGAGCACGTGGAGAACGCCGGTGTCCACTCTGGTGACGCTACCTTGATCCTGCCTCCCCAGGACTTGGATCCTGAGACTGTTCGACGCATCGAAGAAGCTACCCGCAAGATCGGAAACGCTCTGAACGTCACTGGTCCTTACAACATCCAGTTCATTGCCAAGGACAACGACATCAAGGTCATTGAGTGCAATGTCAGAGCCTCTCGTTCCTTCCCATTCGTCTCCAAGGTCATGGGTGTCGACCTTATTGAAATGGCTACCAAGGCAATGATTGGTGCTCCTTTCGCCGAATACCCTCCTGTCTCCGTTCCTAAGGACTACGTTGGTGTGAAGGTTCCCCAGTTCTCGTTCTCCCGACTTTCTGGAGCCGACCCTGTTTTGGGTGTTGAGATGGCCTCCACTGGAGAAGTTGCCTCATTTGGTCGCGACAAGTACGAGGCTTACCTGAAGGCTCTGCTGTCCACCGGATTCCGTCTGCCAAAGCGTAACATACTGTTGTCAATTGGTTCATACAAGGAGAAGATGGAAATGCTGCCGTCCATTAGCAAGCTTCGTGATGTTGGATTCGAGCTTTTCGCCACGTCCGGTACTGCAGACTTCTTGAAGGAGCACGGTGTTCCCGTGAAGTACTTGGAAATCCTTCCTGGTGAGGAAGAGGATGTCAAATCCGAGTACTCCCTCACTCAGCACTTGGCAAACAACCTCATTGATCTGTACATCAACTTGCCGTCCAACAACAGATTCCGACGGCCTGCCAACTACATGAGTAAGGGTTACCGCACTCGTCGTATGGCTGTGGACTATCAGACCCCGCTGGTTACGAACGTCAAGAACGCGAAGATCCTCATTGAGGCTATCGCTCGCCACTTCGCTCTTGACGTGCAGACTATTGACTACCAGACTAGCCACCGTACCATCATCCTCCCCGGTCTCATCAATATCGGGGCTTTCGTTCCTGGTCTCGGAAACGCAGACTCCAAGGACTTCGAGATCGTGACCAAGGCTTCGATTGCTGCAGGTTTCAGCATGGTGCGCGTCATGCCCGTGGGCGTCAAGTCTTCCATCACGGACACTCGCGCCTTGAAGGTGGTCCAGCAGAACGCTGCGAAGAGCTCGTACTGCGATTACAACTTCTCCGTTGTCGCAACCTCCACCAACTCTGCTGAGCTCGGACAGCTGACCGGAGAAGTTGGCTCTCTATTTATCCCGTTCAACCACCTGTCTGGTAACATCAGCAAGGTCGCTGCCGTCACCAGCCACTTCGGCGCCTGGCCATCAAGCAAGCCCATCATCACTGATGCCAAGTCCACAGATCTTGCCTCCGTTTTGCTGTTGGCAAGCCTGCACAGCCGCAACATTCATGTCATGAGCGTCACCTCCAAGGAGGACATCAAGCTCATTGCGCTCAGCAAGGAGAAGGGTCTCAAGGTGACTTGCGATGTTTCGATTTACTGCCTCTTCCTTTCTCGGGATGACTACCCTGCGGCTGGCTCCTTGCCAACCGCCGAGGACCAGAAGGCACTGTGGGAACACCTCAGCACCATCGATATCTTCTCTATCGGCAGCATTCCGTTCCAGATTGCTGGCGAGAAGGCATCCCCTGCTGCCGGTATTGCCGAGGCCTTGCCTCTGCTCTTCACTGCTGTCTCTGAAGGTCGTCTGACCGTGGAAGACATCATTGCACGACTCTACGAGGACCCTAAGAAGATTTTCGAATTGCACGAGCAGTCTGATAGCTCTGTTGAAGTCGAAATTGACCGTCCTTACCTCTACCAGAGCACCGAGGCCTGGTCTCCTTTCAACGGCAAGAGCGTCAAGGGACTTGTTCAGCGCGTCAACTTCCAAGGAAAGACATCTTGCCTTGACAGTGCAATCACTGCCGATGCTGCTAAGGGTTCAGACATGTCCGGCCACAGGATCATGCCCACATCTCCCTCTCTCAAGGCAGTCTCTCCACGTGTCGACACTACCGTGGACCGAAGACAGTCCATCACTGGCACTCCTAGCCGCCGCAAACCTGTGGAGCAGTTCCCTGCTCTTGGTGTTAACGAACTTGGCCCTCCTTTGTACGCTCCTGTGCCTCGGGCTTCTTCGCCGCTGCTCCAGATGCTCGCTCGCTCCCCCTTCAAGCAAAAGCACGTGCTCTCTGTCAACCAGTTCAACCGAGCTGACCTCCACCTGCTTTTCACTGTGGCCCAAGAGATGCGTCTCGGAGTCCAACGTGAGGGTGTCTTGGATGTCTTGAAGGGTCGCCTCCTCTGCACTCTCTTTTACGAGCCTTCTACTCGCACATCTGCTTCATTCGATGCTGCCATGCAGAGACTCGGAGGACGCACGATCGCTATCGCCACGGAGCACTCTTCAACCAAGAAGGGCGAGACTCTGCAAGACACCCTCCGCACCCTGGGCTGCTACGGAGACGCCGTTGTCCTGCGCCACCCTGACCCAGCCAGCACCGAGATTGCCGCCAAGTTCTCTCCGGTTCCGGTCATCAACGGCGGAAACGGCAGCGTTGAGCACCCCACCCAGGCCTTCCTTGACCTCTTCACCATCCGTGAGGAACTCGGAACTGTCGGTGGTCTGACCATCACCTTCACTGGTGATCTGAGATACGGACGTACTGTCCACTCTCTCATCAAGCTGCTCCAGTTCTACGATGTTCGCATCCAGCTCGTCGCACCCAAGGATCTGTCCCTGCCCTCCGAGATCCGCCAGCAAATGAAGGCAACCGGCCAGCTCCTTGCCGAGTCCGAAGAACTGACCCCCGAGATTGTCGCACGCTCTGATGTTCTGTACTCTACCCGCGTGCAGAAGGAGCGGTTCGCCGACCTCGAGCAGTACGAGCGCCTCAAGAACAGCTTCGTCATCGACAACGCTCTTCTCAAGCACGCCAAGAGCCACATGGTCGTGATGCACCCTCTGCCCAGGAACGCAGAAATCGCCGAGGAGGTTGATTTCGACCAGCGGGCAGCTTACTTCCGACAGGTGAGTTTTCATCCACCCTTCAAACCCGGCCGCCTTGTGATATATTATGCTAACGCTGCAATTAATAGATGAGATACGGTCTCTACTGCCGTATGGCCCTTCTTGCATTGACAATGGCGCCTTGAAAACGCGCGTTATCCATGTCATATGATCTAGGGGGCTTCAATCATCCATGTTATTATTATAGATTTCCAGCGAGCAACTTCCTTTACGTGTTTTCCTTTTCCTTTTCTTTTCTTTTTTTTTTTTTTTTTAACCTCTCTCCGCGGCGATGATGATCTCTTTACGTTTTCTGTTGGATCGGCTCTCGATGTTTATGTTCCCAAAAGTTATACAGTCTTATATACCTTTGTAGGACTGGCGAGGCAAACGTACTTAAAAATGCCCGCCAGGTAGATAGATGAATTCTCTTTCATGAACTTGATGACTCCGTGATGTTTATGTTATGTTTATGTTTTCAATATGGTGTTTTGTGTGTATGTTATGTGTTGTGTGTTGTGTGTGCTTTGTGTGTGGAGTATGTTTTGGCATTTGTTTCTCTCATTATTTGCATTTGCTCCTTTTCATTTCAGCATTTGGGCGCCTTGGGACTGGGACTGTGATTGGAACTGGAACTGGGACTGACTGGGACTTATTTTTTGGGTGTTGGTGGCCATTTTCACGGATTCACCGGTAGCGCTCTGCAAAGGCCGGATTTGGGGCTACCTTATCTTACTGGACTGAACCCGACTGACCTTACAACCATCTGACTATCAATTAATTGATAGCGACAGACCTATGGACGAAGTGACCACCAGGTTCATTTGGATCATTGTACAAACAAACAAACAAACCTTTTAATGCTCTACTGGAAACCAACCCGGCGGACTGACCAACAAATGGTCCAAGCACTAACATAGGTATACCCTGCAGTTGCACTGGCGGTTTTGTAAATATACCTGCATGACCTGCTCTCGTAATTCAATTGATCTTTTCTTTTCTTTTCTTTTTTTGCCTAATTTAATTTCAAATTGGGATTCATTTTGCCATTTGGAGTGCTTGGAATAGAATCTGTAAATGCCCTCAAGGTTTGACAATGTTTATCCACTGAATACATTGGTTGCTTTACGCGTCGTGACTGATTTACCATTTACATTTCACTCCCCAACTCCTTGGATCAAAAGCTTCCACCTAGACATCTTTGAGTCGTCTATTTCGACCACAAATTAACTTAGAAATCGCCAAATGGACTGCATCCAGATTTCGATATTTCGAAGTTCCTGACAGACCAGCTGTCTCCCACTAAACTATTATCACCGACATGCTCACCTTACGCCAAATCTCATTTCAGATTCAACATCTCGAACTGAGAATGCGTCGCTTTCAAACATCTCTCACTCGTTGACCGATCTGGATCCTATCTCATCTCGAGAATGCCCAGGCCCTTGGTGTTGCCGAGCAAACCATGTCTGCACCGCCTCGACTCGCTTCTATTGTGACAGCATTATTTATAAATCGATGACGGAACGGAAATTAAACCCATAAATGGAATGGTAAACCGCCGCGATGGTGTTTATTGCGAAGTTTCTCCGGAGTCGACGGGCTTCATTTCGCCCAAGCCGCACGTGGTAGATCCCCGGCGGCTGAACGGCGCATCTTCCAGCGCTTTAATCTATTTTCAACACCCCGGCCTTGAACGCCTCCTCCACCGTCCGAATCTCTCAGCCATATACATTCTGTTTGTATATCGAGTGGAGTATTCTTAATCGCGATGGTTGATTATCCCAGTCCAAGACCGCTTCTGGTCGATTTGATCTCTTAGTATAAGAGGTCCCGCTGGACACCGTCGGGAAATCCCCAGCGAAGTTATTACTCTCAATCCCTCTTATGGAATAGAGACCGACAGAATGAAACAACATCTGTTATGGTTAATGAGCCTAGGCTCTACGAGCCATGCTGCCTCCTTTGACCCATTGGAACATTTAGGTGCCAATTCGCCGTGGGCTGCCGGTATATCGACTCCCCTTTATCAGTCTAAAACGTACACTAAATGAAATAGGCCCGAATGTGAACGGAATATCCTCCGCTGTACCCGAGGGATGTTCTGTCGACCAGGCCGTCTATGTCGTCCGCCACGGCAGCAGATACCCCGACCCTGGTGCATATGAGGAATGGCAGGCTTTGCACAAAGCGGTATGCTTGTCGAGGCTGAACTTCAACTTCTAGATATCTAATATACTGTTAGATCGAATCTGCTGATTTCCATGCATCTGGACCTTTGAGTTTCCTCTCGGGCTGGAAACCTGTCTTAAGCCACCCAGAGGAACAAATCGCTCAAGTATCTATCACTGGGTATAAAGAATTGTGAGGAACCTGAACACTACAGCCAAAAACTGCCGGTTTTAATACCATTGTAGGTACAATCTAGGCGTTGATCTGCGGTTCCGATACCCAACGTTCTACGCAGACAACACCCCGTTTCTGCTCTGGGCCAACAAGTACCAGCGAACAGTCGATTCTGCGAGGTAAGTCGGCAGTCCTCTTACAACGCGGCGATTCTAATTTAGGTAGACTATTTGCCCGTGGCTATCTTGGGCCCAATTCCACATTTGCCGACATTTACGCCATCGATTCTAAAGCTGCAGGAGCGGCAGGTAACTCCTTGGCTACCTCTGACCAGTGCCCCAACTTCGAAGATGCTAGCGGGGGAGACTACGCTACTACTTGGGACTCGATTTACCTCCCTCCTATCACGAAGAGACTGAATAGGTTGATCCATGGTAATCTAACACTCACAGACAGCCAGGTCTCCATATTTCCTTATCTTTGTGGATTCGAGTCCCAGATCACTGGGAGCACTAGCCCATTCTGTGATATCTTCACAAAGAAAGAAATCTTGGAATATGAATATCGCCAGGATTTACGATACTACTATGGCACTGGTAGGGAATACACGTTGTTCTTAAGAAACATGAATGACATTTTCTCTAGGTGCCGGTGCTGGCAAGAACATGACTGTCCAATACCCGGTTCTTCAGGGCATTGTAAACCTTCTAAAGGAAGGCCGCAACGCTACCACCGAATCCAACCGTGGCTCTGAGAAGCTGCCTCCTCTTATTGTTGCCTTTACTCACGACAACCAGATCAATGAGCTTGCGTCTATTCTCGGTGTCTTTGATCGCCAGAAGCCGCTATCTGCAAAGAAAGTTGACAACGACAGGGCAAGTCCATCCATAATCCTCTGGTATTTCATATCTAACTAGTCTTAGATTTATGTCAGTAGCCGCACTTCACCCATGAGGGGCACGATTGCATTCGAACGCCTTAACTGTAAAGTGAACAAGGGAGATTCAGTGAATGTGCGCATTTTGCTCAACAATGCTGTTTATCGTAAGTGTCCTGCTTTACGTTGTTCAAAAACCAGTACCTCCTGACAAGTATAGCTATCCCATCATGTCGCTCGGGACCAGGAAGTAGCTGCCCCGTAGACGAGTACGCCAGATATGTCGCCAAACAGAAGCGCAAATATGGTTCTTATGCATCTATTTGTGGTCTTGGAGACGAGGAGTTGACCATTGGGGAAGATGAATCTGTCACTTTCTTCAAGAACTTGACACTTCCTTTCTTGAGTGTTGTTAAGCCATGATTGCCCTGTTAGTATGGACGAGACATCTATTCCTTTTGGCTGTAACCTATAATGCGTATAATCTAAATGAGCACATATGTGTTGTTAATAGTGGATAATGAAGTTGTGACCAATGCCGCCTTCTGGTGAAGGAGAGTACTACCTTGATATTCACCGAACTCGTCCCAGCCTAGCAATTGCCTGCAACATCTCTTTTCTATCGTCTCCTCCTTTTCAGGTTCCCCATCCAGCTCTTTCCTCGCCTCTTTCCTCTATCCGCCTGCAATCATCCATCCACCATCTGCTTCTAGCACCAACACATACTGCCATAACCACCAAAATGCCCTTCCTAACCTCCATCCGCCAAAAGGCTCACTTAATTTTCATCACAATCAAAGCAAAGCTTCTCCGAGCTTTTATCCTCACCTACGCCCACCTGAGACCACACCAGAAACCATCCCCCGACATAATCGAATACATCCCGGCAAAATCCAACACAACAAAAACCAGCAAAGACCGAACTCGCAAAATCAAAACCTACATCTACCTCCCTCCAAAGAAGACGCCCTCCTCATCCTCCTCTCCCTCCTCACCACCAATCCCCTCCCCCGTCCTCATAACAGCCTGCGGCTCCGGCTTCATAATCCCAGGCCTGGGCCTCGACGACCCCTACTGCCGCACGATGGCCCTAAAAACCTCGCACGTCATAATAGACATCGACTACCGAGTCGCGCCCGAGAACCCCTTTCCCAGCGCCATCAACGACGTAATCAGCGTCGTGAACTGGGTCCTCGCGCAGCCGGCGCGGTTCGACAAAGCCCGCATCTCGATCGGCGGGTTCAGTGCGGGAGGGAACATTGCTGCCAGCGTTGCGGTGAATTATTTCCCCCCGGGCACTTTTGGGGCTCTTGTGGGGTTCTATCCTGTTGTGGATGCGTCGCATAATCCGGGCGAGAAGGTGCCTGTTATCCCTGTTGAGAGGTGGAGGGATGCGATGGGGAAGGGTAAAGGGAAGGATGGTGGTGGTGGGAGCCAGACGCCCAAGCCGCCATTGGGTGGAATGGGGTCTGTACCGGATGGAGTTATGGTGTTTATGAGGGACTGTTATCTGGCTGGGGATGTGAGTGAGGGGAGGGTGAAAGACCCGAGGGTGTCGCCGGTGTATGCGGATGTGGGAAGGTTTCCGCGCCGGGTTTGTTTTGTGACGTGTGAGTATGATGTGCTTGCGCGGGAGGCGGAGGAGCTGGCGGAGACGATTAAGGAGGGGAGAGAGGTGGTTGTGCATCGTGTCAAAGGGTGTGGGCATGCGTTTGATAAGTATTGTAAGCCCGGGAGTGAGAGGGAGAAGGCAAAAGATCAGGCCTATGAGATCGTTGCGGATTTTCTGAGGGGTGACTCGTAGGATACCTACGGAGTATAGGGGGAGGGAGATGGGTTGGACGGAGTGTGGGAGACTGCTTAACCAAAGACCTGTTTATGAGATTGTTCTATATCTATTATACCCGAGCAGCAAGCGTGCCTTTATCCATCTATCTATTCATCACCGACTCTATTATGCCAGCTCAGGCCAGTATTTTTGTACGACCGTCTTCTTGTTCACCTTGCCCATAGCGTTGCGCTCAATCCCATCGACAATTTTCAGTACCGTGGGAATTTTATACGGCGCCATCTCCTGCTTCAGGCGCGAGCGGAGGGATTGTAGTTCTAGTGTCTCCGTCTAAGTTTTCATTAGTATATACGTAGGAAGAAATAGAATGGAAGGGAATAAAAACTTACACCGGCTCTCTGCTTCATAACAGCAGCGACACGCTGTCCCCATTCCTCATCTGAAATACCAACAACGGCAACCTCCTGCACCTCATCCAGCGCAAGCAACTTCCGCTCCACCTCCAGGGCGGAGATCTTGTACCCGCCAGATTTGATAATGTCCACAGACGCACGGCCCTGGATGAAATACGCCCCGTCCGCGTTCCGCTGCGCAACGTCGCCAGTCTTGAACCATCCATCTTCGGTAAATTCCTTGGCCGTGGCCTCGGGTCGACGCCAGTACTCCGCGAACACATTATCGCCCTTCACCTCGATCATGCCGTCGATATCAGTGGATTCCACTACAGCGCCGGTCTCCTTGTCTGTGAGTCGGATCTCCACGCCTGGGAGCGGCCAACCGACGCTGCCGTCGATGCGCAGCTCCGGGTCAAGGCCACAGCTGAGACCCATGCCGATTTCGGTCATACCATACCGCTCGAGCAGAGTTTGGTTGGTGATGGCGGCGAATTTGGTCTTGATGGGGGTTGGAAGGGCAGCGGAGCCGCTGACGAGGAGGCGGAGGGCTGCCGCGCCTTCGCGCGCGGCGGTCTCCTGCTCTGTGTCTCGGATGTTTGTCTCGAAGTAGTCGACAAGACGGGAGTAGATGGTTGGGACGGCGAAGAACATGGTGGAGGAGCCCTTATCTTGCCAGCGGGACCAGATGGTTGCGGGGTCGAACTTGGGGTGCATTTCGACGGTGGCGCCACTGAGGAGGGTGGCGGTTAGGCCGTTGATGATGCCGTGGATGTGGTGGAGAGGGAGGACGTGGATGAGGTGGTCGGAAGGCGTGTATTTCCATGCATGGATGAGGCATTGCGCCTGGAAGTTGATGATTTTGTGGGTAGTGACGCAGCCTTTTGGGTTGGAGGTTGTTCCAGAGGTGTAAATCATGAGCGCGCGACGTTCTGGGTAATAGAATGGCGAGAACTCGGGGACCTGCGCAGGTGAGGCGGTTCGCGCGAACGGCAAGAGGCTCATGAAGTGGCGTTCAGAGTTGGACTTGTCCTCGCGCAGTGGTGCCTCGAATTTCTCAAATTCCGGGTGGATAATGATTAGGGAGGGATCAGAGTCACCAATCGTATACTGGAGCTCTCGGACAGGGTGGGATGTGCCTGGAATCTGTCAATTGTCTGCTTGTTATACACAGCACGACTGGCCGGGCTACATACAGAGGGGCACGCACACGCCGCCAGCGGCCCAGATGGCCCATTGCGTTACGACGTAGTCATATCCATTGGGGACTAAGAAAGCGACTCTTCCCTCTTTGAGGTCTCCAGCGTCAGTGAGATCTAATTCCTTAAGGATGGTCTGCTTCAATGTCGCTGTATCGGCGAGCAGCTGAGCGAAGGAGAATTGTTGGTCCTTGGTGGTATCGATAACGGCAATTTTCTCAGGATCGGCCTGCGCATGCTTCCTTGCCTGGAGGAAGAGCGGGATAGAAGGGAGAGTGTCGAGCGACATGGTTGCTGGCAGAGATGCGGGTTGTGAATAATAATGCGGAGGGGAGAAATGCAATGCGGATGACGAGGGGCAGCGGGCAGGGGCGATTCAGCCCAGTCCGCAGATCGGCAGGGCGCTGGAAGCCACAGGAACCAAAGACCGGGGAATTCGACGCTGGGTCGGCAAAGACTCGGAGGCCATGCGATGCTGAACGTGGCGGGTTAGATGAGGTGATATGGCAGTGCACCGTGAGGCAGGCAGCTTCTTAAATTCGCAGATGCTTCGGATCGGCCAATTACCCATTTCCATGTCATCGCGACGTTTCTTGCACTCCAGCAACTGAAAATCATTACTCTGAGAAGTATATAGACGGTACCTGGAGACCGCGCCCGGAGTTGGCGCTTTGGTCCGAGAATGCGGAGAAGCCACCCACATTCAGCACTATAATAATATCCTCCAGCTGCTTGAATATCTGACAATGCGATTACCCCTTTCACATCATTCGTTTCTCCTCCCTGTTTTCCCTGTCCTGGTTCTTCCAAGCTGTTTGACTGCTGTGGCAAGCCGCACGTGACCACAACCTGGGAATTCAGGCCGACACCGGAGCTTTTTTGGATACCGTCAAAGTCGCCGACGAACAGCACAGCTGCCCTCATGCCAATGATGTTGCGATTAGCGACGCCAAGGGCGAGACATTTTCGTCCCTGTTGCTTCCGATCTCCATTTCGAACGGTATCTTCCGCTGCACCACCGCTCATTCGCATTCAAGACGCCACTTTCTACGAGAACTACCCGACCCCCGAAGATGAAGCAAAAGGCGTGAACCAACCGATCTTTTCTAACCTAAACTTCACTCTTCCGTCTTCACAAGATGCTACCGGCCCTCAGCATTGGGCTGTCATAGGTGCCCCGTCCCGAACCCAGTTCCTCGACGTCCTCCGCGGCCAACACATTTGTATCCCACCTTCCGGGCGCAGCTATCCGTACCTGCTCACCGACGAAATTGCGCAGAAGGACCCTCGATTACGGTATGCGGCGAACGCAGTTCAATATATTGGCTTTAGTGGCGAGGGATCGAGTGCCATTGGAGGCACGCGGGGCGCATACTTGAGTGCTCGATATGAGAGTCTGCGGGAGGAAACCGACTGGACCGTCGAACAATACCTTAGGGGCCAGACTTCGCTTAATCCATTGGATGAGGATAAGGGCGGCACTGTTCGTGACGAGGCTTTTCTATCTCAGGTTATCGCCCAGTTGCGTTTGCAAGACCTGCTCGACATGCCCGTCGCAAACCTAAGCAATGGCCAAACAAGACGGGCTCGGATCGCAAAGGCTCTGCTCGGAAGACCTGAGCTTCTGCTCCTTGACGATCCTTTCAGTAAGTTCTACCTCGCGGAATTTAGGTTCAGCTGAAATTAACAATATTATTCTAGTGGGACTTGACCCCGCGACAGTCAGAAGCATATCAGATCTTCTTCATCAGCTAGCAAGCAATTCTGATCCTCGGTTGGTACTTTCTTTACGGCCACAGGATAAAATCCCGGACTGGATCACACATCTCCTTATCATTGGAAGGGCGAACCGTATTCTCATGCAGGGAACACGGGAAGAGGCCGCGGATGTGTTCTACGTATGGAAGTCGATGATGGGAAATCGGAGATACAATAGCGAGAAGCACAGGTCCCTAGTCCGTCAAGCTAGAGCCGATCTGAGAGATGGCTATCTTGATAACCAGCTCATCTGGGATTTGCAACTAATCTCACCGCGTGCTACAACACTCGCACTTAGTGTGGCTAAGGATGGCGAGCCTCTCATTGAAATGGATGGAGTCCGTGTGCAGTATGGGGACAAAGTTGCTTTGGGAGGTTGGACTCAGGAAATCAAGAAACAACCACAGGAAGGTCTACACTGGGTTGTCCGTCGTGGACAGAGATGGGCGGTTCTAGGACCCAACGGCTCCGGCAAGACGACTCTCCTCTCTCTCATCACCTCCGATCACCCACAAACCTACGCCCTCCCCGTTAAGCTCTTTGGCCGCTCTCGCCTTCCCGAGCCTGGCAAGCCGGGGATCTCAATCTTCGAACTCCAATCCCGCATCGGCCATTCCTCCCCCGAAATACACGCCTTCTTCCCCCGCCAGCTCACAATCCGCGAGGCAATCGAGTCAGCTTACGCAGAAACCTTCCTCTCCAAGCCTATTCTCAATCATGGCCACGATCTCGACATCTCCGCTGCCCTCCGCTTCTTCAAACAAGAGCTAGATCCCAGCTTCAACGCGAACGAGAAAGAAGAAGCGCCCAAGGTATTGATAGATCGCGTAAACTTCCCCAAGATGACCCGCACCTACAGAGGCCACACCCTTGCCCCAGACTACGACATCGAATACGCGGACACAACCACCTTCGGCCAACTCCCCACAGCCCAACAACGCCTCATCCTCTTCCTCCGCGCCATAATCCACAAACCAGACATCGTCATACTCGACGAACCTTTCTCCGGCATGTCCAGCTCCCTCCGCGACAAATGCATCCACTTCCTCGAAGTCGGCGAACTAGCGCCTCGCGCATCCACCGCCACTAGACGCTCCGGCTTGAAGAACGACTGGATCCGCGGCTACGTACCCGATGGAGGCTGCGAGACATCCTCGCCTTCCACGCCCCCGCGACACCAGGGTCTCTCAGACGACCAGGCCCTTATACTAATCAGCCATGTCCGCGAGGAAGTCCCCGACATTGTGCGTCATTATATGCTTCTCCCGTCTGCGCACGAGAACGACGAGACCGGGCTGGACTTCCGATTTGGGTACCTTAAGTCTCAGAGCTCGTTGAATCAGCAGAAGATCTGGGATACATTGTGGGCACCCAAGGAGGAGTTTCAGGAGGGGGCCAGGCGGGCTTTTCACCGGTGGGAGGAGACGGAGTCGGAGGATGGGGTGAGGAAGTTGAAGGAAGTTGATGAGAATGTTTTTGACTGGCGGATTCTTTAATTAATAATATTTATACTGTTTTTGTATTATGTCTTGTCTGTTGAGCGGGATTCGCTGTCTTGGAGATTTATTTATGCATTGGGATAGATATAGCGGTCGAGATCATTAAATGAAGAAAAAGAAAGATAACCGTATGTAAAATGACCATTCGTGTCCGGGGAAGAGATAGCTACTCGCGTCTAGAAGTCTAGGAATACATTCAGAGCACACCACTATAATGTTTCATACCAGATGAACGAGATAGAGCGCTAAAGGAACAATACTAGCAAAAGACTGAATAGAAGAATTTCCGGACTAACCAAGTCCATTAGTGCTCCTTGCTTGCAGCAGCCTCCGCCAAACCCATAATTAATGATTCTGATCGAGTCATCTCAGGCCTCGTGGTTTTCTCGTCCTCCGTCATCTCCAACCCTTTGGCAACCAAGTCGGTAAAATCAACTCCAACCTCAGCCAAAATACCCGCCTGCTCATGTACAATGTCAATGCATTTCTGCCATACGGTTGTACCACGTTGTACACTGCTCAGTTGGCGCGTCAGGAGCGCGTTGAATCCGTCCAGGTGGTGTTTCGCCCATTTTATGCATGCGCTGGTCATCACAGACGGGAAGCATTGTTGATAGATACCAATAGTGTTCTTAATAAGTGTGAAGTAAACATAGGATATTTGGAATATATAAAGAGGAAGGTCGCCCTCGAATACACATGCTCTGCGGGGAGATAGTTAGGTACGATATACTATGTGTAAACACACAGCAAGGTGAGGAATGCTAACATACCGAATTCGCTTTGAAATATTGTCAGATCGAGCTTTGAGGTAGGACTCCCGGGCCTGATCCTCAAAGCCCAGCCGGGTAAGCCAGGTGACATTAGTCTTCGTCGTCACCGGAAATGAGTGAGTGTCAACCAAAGATCGTGACAACACCCCTGCCAATCTGGCAGCCCGCTCATCAACCTTGACATTGATAATGTCTTGTGCGACTGCGTTTCCTTTCAAGCCCCGGGCCAGTTTCCGCAACCGATCGATGTTTGAAACAGCTTCTTCGAACCGCTGGAGCGCAATATCAATGTCGAGTTCATCCACTTGGCTATCGACCCAGCGCAAGTTTTGTTGTTTCCCATCAACATCAATGCGAACTTCAGGTTTGTCGCGTGAGTTCTCTGTATTTTCGTTCAGATCTGGTTTTGGCGAGTACAGCAAGGAATTTCTATTATTCATATACCCAAGCGATTCAACGTTTTTTCCGACTGTCTCATTTTCGGTGCGAAGGGTGCGTCGGAGATCCTCCACGGTTTTCCGGAATGTAGCCAAAAGATCGCTCTTAGCAGAGCTGTTTCGTTTGTCATGGCGATAGGTGAACGGCTTTGACCCTACACGGACGTTGATCGCATTCGTAATCCCACGATCCTCAGCCTCTTCGCGAGCCGATCCAGTGCCCAAGTTGGCACCCAGGTCAATCATATCAACATCCTGCAGTGGCCAACACTCTTCCGCAATTAGTTTTGTCGGTGCTGGACCACGGTGATTTGGGCTGGACTGGTTGACTCGTTTCCGCTTCTTGGCCGCGACTAGCAAATGGTCGTTGAGAAGCACGATGTGAACGGGGCGTTTGGGTTTCCAAGTTGCAGAGTCAAGTTCAGCCCAATTGCCGGTCTCTAGAACAATATGACGACCTGGGACCATGGGTAGGAACTTCTGGGATCCCTCGACCGTTTTCCATAATGTCTGAAGCTGGACGTTCCACATGCTCTCGAGGTTGGCAACTGAACTACGGTTGCTGCGCTTGGATATCCGCTCATCCGTAGTAGGCGACATGGGATTTGGTCCATCCCCGATGGCAGTCTGTCCCAGTGCAGTAGTGAGTTCAGCCATTAGAGAGCGGAGAGTTTTCATTTCTCCCTTTAGCTTGTCCGCCTCCTGGCTGATCCGGATGAACTGGGTGCGGTTTTGATACACATTCTGCTGAAGATCGGTCGACGTTCTGTTCTTTATTTTCTTGAGGCTTTGTTGATACTGCCTAATATCGTCCTCTGAGGCATTTGCGAGCAAGCTAGTCACGTCTAGACGTTAAAGAGCGCAGGGTTAGTACATAGGCCATAATATAATGCCAGGGCTATGACGCAAGGGGCATCTCACATCGATCAACCGGTAAACTTGGATCCCGTAGGACATTGAGATCGACTTCTGGAGGTCCTGATGATTCCGTTGATGGTTTCCGGCTCGACTGCGGGGGTTTAAGCCCTGTATAAGCGGAGGGGACTTGTGGTACACTCGGGACTGGTGGAACTCCGTCGAAATCAGGGGTTTGGTTGAAGCGAGTGGAATATCGCCGCTTGACTAGATCCGACGTCGCATGGTTTGACGGAGCATAGTCGCGCGAACCGGAGCCGGAGGAGGCAGTAGAAGTGGTAGCTCCTTGGTGATTCTGGGGTAGTGGACCCGATATGGGTTTCGGGGCACTGATCTGTGGACGGGGACGGCGAGACTTGCTGCGGAGGGTGAGACCCCGGCCTTCCATTGTTCAGATAGGGCGCGAAGCACGAGGAACTGGGAGCAGGGCGGGAGGACAGAGCTAGGGTATCGAGCAAGAGAGGAGTCGTGGTGTCCGATACGTAGCTCAAGGCGGAGAGAAACGCCGAGGCGGAACAAAGATGATCCCGGCAGTCAATCAAAATTATCCCGTCGCAGCTTCCCGTCATGATGCCGACGAGCTTCGAAAGTCCGCATTCAACGCCGCGCGAGAACAACCGGTGCTTTCATCATCAAGAACACATCTCTCGAGACTAAACATCCACCTTTGTTTCTCCTTCAGTACCGATAACCCTCTGTTTTAACTACACACTCTTCATCATGAGGACCTCAACGCTGGCCTACGCCTCTGCTGGCACCATCATTACCGGCCTTCTCGGTAAGGATTGATACAAAAGCTACCCATTGAGGCGTGTAATACAAATTCTAACTTTTCCTGCGCGTAGCTTATGCCGTGTACTTCGACCACAAGAGACAGACGGACCCCGAATTCCGGAAATCATTGAAGCGTAACAACCGACGACTGGCAAGGGCTGTCAAGGAAGAGGTGGAGGCTCAGGGAGCTCAACAACGCGAAAACATCAAAAAGGCTCTTCAACAGGCGAAGGAGGAAGGCTTCCCCACTGATCTCGAGGAGAAGGAGGCGTACTTCATGGGTCAAGTCGCCAAGGGCGAGGGCCTTTGCTCTGAAGGTATGTCAATCGGGATCTCTTGATAGCCGTGTCGGCGGCTCACATATCAACTCTAGGCGCAGAAAAGATCGATGCTGCATTGGCCTTTTACAAGGCACTTAAGGTTTACCCTCAGCCCAAGGACCTGATCTCCATATATGACAAGACCGTCCCCAAGGAGGTGTTGGAGGTGCTTGCTGAAATGGTCGCCATGGATCCTGCCCTCAAGCTCGGCAGTTTCACTGGCGAAGGTGGCAGCAGTGCTGCTGACCACCACGGTGTTGAGTAAAAAGCGCCACGCCCTTGCCCTCGTTCGCCCACTTTTTTCTCGGCATAAGACCCTTGGCCTGTCGACGCCTTTCTCAGTATCTTGTGTTTCTGGCTCACGCTGGGCCGTGGCCTGGTCATCTTCCCATAATGTGTCTTCTCGACCTTATATTATGCCATGTTTGTTGGGTGTGAACGGCCTCTCCACTACTGTTTGATTCGTTCTCGTTCCCCTGTATAGCTGCATCGCGCCTTGGCCCTGCTCGACGTGGCGGAGCGCTTGGTATTTTCTCGGCGCCATGACTTTGTGTCTTGTCCCGACCAGTTTCGTTGCCCCCTTTCTTTGTCGGTGTCTTCGTTCCGCAATGGTTTGTGGGTTGCTGGGACTGGCATCTTGTGTTATTTTCAATTTCCCCGGAAGCCCCTAATGAGGGATTCGGATTGTATTCTAGAGATATTGTAGTAGCAGGGAGAAAATTGCATGATGATAGATTATGTTTAGCACTTTTGACACAAGCTGTGCACAGGCAGTATGTTCATGTGTTCCAGACTCGGGTCTGACAACTTCCTCCAGGCCCCAGCAGCTGATACTGTTCACATCTGCAGCTTCCCACAGTTCCAATTGGGCCGCCAGAGATCATCGGCTAGGATTTCCTCAGCGCTGCGGTTTGATGGAACGCCCGCCAGGAACCAATTGAGCGGTCCCCATTCAGGGGTCCCAAGACAAGTGGAGCGTTTGTGGGCTTCTGGGCGAGAGCTAGTTCTAAGCAGCGGCGCCCCCGCCGAGCACCCTAGTTTTGAAACTCGCCTGGTCAATGGCTGGGAGATTATGGGCGTCAGTCCTGCCCAGCATTCATTTTGTGTTTCGGGCTTGGTTGTTTTCTTGGATGGAGTCGAGGGTGATGGGACCCTCGCGCTCTATTAATTTGCTTCAGGGTCATTCCTCCGAGGATTTCTCTCTTTCCCTCGCTCTTATTACTCCTTCAACGCCTTCTCTTCTTTCTCATGACTTTATTCTAACAATCTTTATTAACTACCCACGCTCGTTTATCTTCGGTCTATAGTACCGCTATCGCTCCTTCAGTTTCGAAATTCAGGGTCTTTCCGGGGGAAAGCCCTATTATACAATCGTTCACCTATTCCACCTCGAAATTTAAAACACCATTTGTGGCGTAGAACCGCTCAGTAGTATACAAGATGGTCCCCGTTTGTCCTCCTTATTCGACGTCTCTTGGGAAATCCTGGAACTGACACCAGTGGCAGGCATACGGTCGCATTCTCGCTGCGGTTTGCGCTCTCGCAACTACCGCCAACGCTGTCGTCCCCGTTGAAGTCAAGGGAAAGGACTTTGTCAACAGCAAGACGGGTGATCGTTTCCAGGTTCTCGGTGTTGAGTAAGGATTTACCTAGATCTCCCGGGGATATTCGATCTCGTTACTTGGTTCAGAAAGTGGTCGTGCTGATCATGGCGTGCCCTCCAACAGTTACCAGCCCGGTGGTACTTCCGCCGTCAACGGCAAAAGCGACCCTCTCAGTGATCGCGATGAGTGTCTACGTGATGCCGCGCTTATGCAGCGACTGGGTGTAAGCGATCACATTCCGCTGTATTGGCTGATGGAATCGCCCTAATCTCATCGCAATTTAGGTGAACACCATCCGTATCTACAACTTGTCGCCTGACCTCGACCACGACGAGTGTGTCTCCATCTTCAATGCCGCTGGTATCTACATGATCCTCGACGTCAACTCGCCTCTGTACCCCGGTTATATCGACCGCACTGCTCCTTGGGAGACCTACAACAAGGACTACTACACCCAGGTCTTCGGTATCATTGAGGCGTTCAAGGACTACCCCAACACTCTTGCTTTCTTCGCCGGAAACGAGGTTATCAACGAGGACAGTGTTAAGCAAGTACCTCAGTACATTCGTGTATGTTTAGCCATACTTATACTCCAGTCTCGAGGGACTCGGGATATTCATAGCTAACCCGGCGGTAGGCGGTCCAACGTGACATGAAGGAATATATCGAAAACCACCTTGACCGTGCGATCCCCGTCGGTTACTCCGCTGCTGATGTTCGGCCCATCCTTGAGGATACTCTCAACTACTTCATGTGCGAGGATGAGGATTCCCCCAAGTCGCACTCCGACTTCTTCGGCCTCAACTCCTACTCCTGGTGCGGAGATTCCAGCTACAAGAAATCCGGATACGATGTCCTCACCGACATGGTTAGCGATGCCACTATTCCTGTCTTCTTCTCTGAGTACGGCTGCAACGAGGTTCAGCCTCGTGAGTTCACCGAAGTCGCCACCATCTACGGCGAGGAAATGTCCCAGTCTTTCTCCGGCGGTCTCGTCTACGAGTACACCCAGGAAGACAACGACTACGGTCTCGTCAAGCTCAACGACAACGACACCGCCTCCTTGCTTGTCGACTTTGAGAATCTGCAGAAGCAGTACGCTAAGCTCGACATGGAGCGCATCAGCGCCTCCAACTCCAGCCAGACCAACGTCAAGCCCGTCACCTGCAGCTCCGACCTCATCAAGAACGGTACATTCAGCAGCAACTTCACCCTCCCCGCCAAGCCCCCAGGTGTCCAGAAGCTCATCGACAACGGCTACGACAAGGTCAAGGCCGGTAAGATCGTCGATGTTGAGGATGAGGACGTCAAGCAGACTATCTATGACCACACCGGTGAGAAGGTGACCGGTCTCAAGCTGAAGGTTCTGGCCTCCGGCGAGTCCAACGAACCCGGCAGCTCTGGCTCTAGCTCCAGCTCTGGCTCTGGTTCCGATGACGATGACAACGCCGCTGGGATCGTCGCTGTGCCTGTCGGCCTGGCTACTATTGCCGCAACCCTGTTTGCTCTGGTAATGCTGTAAAGATATTGACCGCTTACTAAAGAATTCCGCTTTACTCTCATCCACAGTCCACTTTTCCTCTTTTATTAACTAACTGTATGTATTTGATTCTGAAAAGATGTTCCGCTTCGTCAGTGTTTATAAGTCCTTTTCTCAGGTATATTTTTCTTCAGCATAGATAGGAATAGGTTTATCCATGACTTTTAAGATCTTTATCTTCAATGGTTCTAAAATAAAACGCCTCCATGAAATATTGAATATCATATCCTGTGTGGGCGATTTCTGTCAAGGGTAGGAGCAACTCAAATCGAAGTAAACAAACCTCATACGGCAGGTCCGGCAGATAGCCTAAGGAAGGCACGAGGCAGGCCGTCCTTTCTCTTCTAAGTCAATTCTGTCCCCGAAAGCGAGATCACCACTATCTACTACCCCTCATTTCGCAACCGTGGGCGAAGCTGGATAGTGATTGAAGTCCAGGACTTCCGGAGACCTGTCCGAATCCTTCCTGGCCGCCATCATCCATCAAATTACTACTCGCCGAAGACAAGTGTCCCATAGATCTGATTTCGCTATCATCTAAACGATGGCGTGGTTGGACCAGGGCGCGGCAGACAAAATACCCCCCAGGATCATATTCCCAATGAAGTTATATACATCACGGCAATACGGTTTAGAGTATGGTGGCTACCCCGAGGAGCCCCAGCCTCTTTACAATGAAATATTGCATGAGAACGATAAAGTGTAATTGAATTCTAACAACGATGTATTGAAGGATAGCGGTCGAAACAAACAAACATTTCAAGAATATCAGCGTTGGATATGTCGAATGATGATCACCAGACCACCCGAGCCTTGCCCTTGTTCTTTGCTGATGCTGGAGACTGTGGCGCTGGAAGAGAGGGGAACTCCTCGTCTTGATGCTCGGAAGGATCGTCAAGGTGCCCATTGTCATAGCCATGGGTCTCCACAAGACTCAACTGGATGGCTAAATCCAGATCATCGATCTCCTGCTGTCGGCTGCTCTCTGCCCCCTCTGGTTTAGGAGGGGACGAGGCGCTCTTACCCGACGACGTGCCATTCGAGTACTTGACAGCAAAGGATGAAGATGGCTCAAATGTGCCCTGGCTTGCAGATTCTTCAAGAAGGCTCAAACGGATCGCTTCCGCGATTTCCGGATCTAGGTCATCTTCGACAGGGTCGTTGCACGGAGAAGAGGCCGACGAAAGCTCATCGGGTGCAACCGAACTATCATTCGGCCCGATAGTATCACTGGGCGACGAACTGATAACAGAGCCTTCCACAGGATCACCTCGCTTCGTAGCTTCGCTGCTGTATGCCTCCTGGCTCAACAGCTGTGCATAGGCAAGCATTTCCTCTTCGCCAACATCCGGACCCAAGAGATCGACCCCAAACCGGTTACTTAAGTGGGCTCTCTCTTTCTGGTCAGCTTTCGCTTGTCGCTCCATTTCCCGTTTCTCATCCTCAATGTAATCGTTGATGGTCCCACGCCCACTGTTGTTGAATCGCTGACCGCCGGCGCCTAGGTTGTTACCCCGTTGGCCATAACGAAGCCGTCGCTTGTTACTCTTATACTGGTCTGCAGCGGAGGAACTATACGACCAGTAGCGAAGATGGGTGCCCAGGGCCACCATGCCTCTTAGGCGAGTGGGATCTGGATCGAGGCTTATAGCACCCGTTGCATAGAAATTATTTCCAACGCCATTAATTGAAGCTTCGGCCTGGACCAACCGTCGGCGGGCACGTGTAGAGAAACGGGAATTGATGGTTCGAATTGGGCGGCTTGTGGAAGCGAGGGGGTCCCAAGCTTGCACTAGTCCATCATTTCCACCATGCACCAGATACAAAGACGTCAGAGCGACACAAGACACACTTGGGGATTCAGTGAATATGCATCGAATCGGCGCCACAGAGTTGACGATCTCGGCATTTTTTGCGGTGGGCGAGCGAATGTCCCAAACGAAAACCGAACCAGTGGCAGTACCAACAGCCATATATCGCCCACGTTGCCCTGGGATCTCAGAACCGGAAGGCCGTTGCATGTGCGGCAAGGGTGACGATACAGCAGAGGATGACTGGGAGTCGCTTGACATAAGAAGATCCTCATCAGGAGCCAAGACGGAATAGGTCGAATGGTCTAAAGCACTTGTTGTGATCTGTAAAGACTTTCGACCATCAAAGTGAAATTCGGTAATGTACCATTCGGTGTTTGACGCGGAGCAAACGGTTTCTGTGAGTTGACTTGAGGCTCGAGAGGGTGGGAAACTGTTTGTGGCGGACGAAACTCCCGGGGAACTGGTAGGGCCACCGAAAATCGAAGAAGTGACGACGGCTGGAGGTAGCGTATCCGGCTTGGAAACGGGCATCGGCAAATGAGACGGTATGATTTTACGGACATATCTGCGAATGCCCGCTTTTTGGTCCTCTCCATCACCCCGTTGAATCACGATGAATGCCTCACCGGCGCCATGGCCATCGCCTCCAGCGAAATCCACTCTCAGATCGCGCCTCATATCCCAACCCTCACAAAGCTTGCGGAAATGCTTCGGTTTGAAAGACAAAAATTGCTCGACTTCCTTCGTCTCTGCTGCTACCTGCTCATCGCTAAGTTTCATTGAGTCAGAAGACGATCTTGGGCTATAACTGCCGTCGACGAGCTCGCGGTTAAACGGATCGGGTCGAGCGGTGCGCCTGCTGACCTCGACAAGTTCCCATCGGACACTGCGCCCGGTCTTCCAGGCTTGTTGGTCGGCAATCTCAGGCGTTATATTGGTCGGCATGGGATCGGTTTGCTGGGGCAGATCGGAAAGATAAAACACTTCCCCCAATGCATTGAGGACAGCCGCCCACAAGCGTCCACGTTGATGGCGCTTCACGGAATAGTTGTCATCAACCGCAATTGAGACGATAGGAACACCCGGGCTAAGAACCCATCGAGCTGTAACCTGACCTCTCTCGAATCGCTTCTCGTAGGTTGGATGAGGGCCCAAGGCATAAGCGCTCAGAATCCCCGACGACGACCCAGACAACATTCCAACCAACCCGCCGGTCATTTTGAGTACGTCAGCCGATTTCGCGATCCATACTGCAGTGATGGCAGTTGTGATGTGGTTAATGGCAGGAATACCGAACTGAGGTTGCGATCCACTATCGTTAGGAAGACCCAGAAACCTTCCCCTTTGCTCGGTCGTGGACAAATAGTAAATACGTCCTTGCGGGCACCCTTCACCGTAGATCATGCCATAAGGCTGGCTGACATCCATGGAGTTGGGCACCCCAACAATATTACCAGATCCAAGTCCATATTCTGTCTCTCCAGGAAACGAATCGGCGAAATGGCGAGAGAAATTGTGATCGGCCAAACCCCAGGTGCCAACTTTGACAGTTGAGGGGTCGCTAGCAGTCACGGCACACTGCTCCGAGGCACCGTGGATAAAGAGAGGCTCCTTCTTCGAAGATTCGTTTCCGAAATTTCCATTCAGATGGCTGACAGGGTACAAGAGCTGCGAAGTATAGGTCGCGATCGCGCTTCCATTGCGGACTGATGCGGTTCGGACCGCTGGACTCCTCTTAGCCAATCCGAATTGAGCTGGTTTGCCTCGCGAAAGTGATCGCAGCAAGCGAGTTCTTAGGATATATTCGCTCCTCCATGATGCTAAGGCAGTAAGCCTTGAAAAGTGTCGTTTGTCTGACGTCAATCGATCGGAGTCATGAGGATCTTCCAAAGCCGAGGGGCCAGGAAAGTAGCGTGAGAAGGCGATCCTCCACGCATGAGGGGTAGTAACAAGACTGTGGAACCGACGGGACACCAGCGCAATAGATGACAGTGCCGGCGGAGGCAGGTGGGATAGAATATGGGTTAAAACCTCTGGGATCCATACGTTAGGCACATGATTGAATTAGCACCGGTGATTGGACAAACACACCATTCGGGAATGCATCGAAAGACAACTTCGACTCCTTCGTTGACGGTATCACAATGAATCCAAAATCCGACTGACTCCGATATTTATTCTCGTACTCGCTCACTCGATCGATTGCTGACGAGGACTCGGTGTTTAGGAGCGATAACTCGTCAGCCGATGAGTCAGAGCCCAGAGGGGTGTCTCCGGCACCCCAAGGGAGACGGCCAGAGACTTGGGAGTCGCCATAAGAATCATGTCCATGCTGGGTGTTTTGGAAGTCGTCTGGGGAGCGGTTTACAGTGTGTGAGCGATTGGAAACGTCAGGAGGCGCTGGCTGCATATAAGGTGTTCGCGGGGTATAAGATAAGGACAATGACGACTGAGCCAGGTACTAGGTCTGGATCAGCCGGGGTGTAGAAGGTGCGATATAAGCGTGGTAAGCGTGTGAAGAAAGCGAGACTCGTTTGAATGAACGCGCAATGTTCAAGGAGAGGGAGGAAAGGGAGGAAAATGCGAGGGGATACGATTAAAAGGATAAGGGACTGAGGATGAAGTCGGAGATTGACGGGTCGCCCCCCAATGCAGGTTTCGCGTCAGATCACGTGATGTCGCGTGGCGGTCCAGAGCGTGTTGCAGCACGATGAATAGAGCTACAATTCCACACGAAACTGACCTGTGTCTCTTTGCTGAAAATGACATCAAAATCAAGGGATAACTGAAATCCTGCAGATTGCATATTTCCACTTTGTCATAGGAAACTCGCCCCAGGCAGCAGTGGATGCTGAAGCTAATGGTTGGCTACCTACTCTATCTGCCTATATTGAAGGCCTTTGAACCAAGTCTTCAGTTTGGACTTCTTTTCAAGTAAACAACATCATAATGGCCAGCCTTGGAGGTAATATATCGAAATCCGCTGAGTTTTAAGGATCTTGCTAATGCCACGCAGAGGCGGAAACTATCCGCATCCTCGTCTCAACAGATAACCATGTCGGTTACAATGAGCGAGATCCCATCAGAGGCGATGATAGCTGGAGGAGCTTTCATGAAGTGATGTGCCTGGCAAAGGAGCGTGATGTAGACATGGTACTCCTCGCGGGCGATCTGTTCCACGAGAACAAACCCTCTCGGAAATCCATGTATCAAGTGATGCGCTCAATCAGAATGAACTGCCTCGGTGACAAGCCTTGTGAGCTTGAGCTGCTCAGTGACGCGAGCGAGAACTTTCAAGGTGCTTTCAACCACGCCAACTACGAAGATTTGGATATCAATGTCGGGATTCCCATCTTCTCCATCCATGGAAACCATGACGACCCATCCGGGGAGGGCCATCTTGCCGCTTTGGATATTCTACAAGTATCAGGGCTGCTCAATTACTATGGGCGGACACCGGAGTCGGACAACATCCAGCTTAAGCCGGTATTGTTACAGAAGGGTCGAACCAAGCTAGCGCTTTACGGAATGAGCAATGTGCGAGACGAGCGGCTATTCCGCACTTTTCGGGATGGAAAGGTCAAGTTCTTTCGACCATCTATTCAGAAAGATGATTGGTACAACTTGATATGTGTCCATCAAAATCACCATGCATACACAGAGACAGGATATTTACCGGAAAACTTTCTCCCGGAATTCCTTGACCTTGTCATCTGGGGCCACGAGCACGAATCCCTGATCAACCCTCGAATCAACCCCGAAACAAAATTCCGCGTTATGCAGCCTGGCTCCTCGGTTGCCACCTCATTAGTTCCTGGTGAAGCGGTAGCGAAACATGTTGCCATTCTAAGCATTACGGGCAAAGAGATGAAATCTGAACCGATCCGCCTCAAGTCGGTACGTCCCTTTGCCATGCGTGAAATTGTGCTTTCCGAAGAGAAGGGGGCTCAAAAGTTGGCGCGCAAAGAGAACAACCGTACAGAAGTCACTCGTTTCCTCATGACAATCGTAGAGGAGCTCATCGAAGAAGCCAAGGCCGACTGGCTCGAGCTCCACGGCGACGAAGCAGAAGACGAGGAAATAGAAGTGCCATTGCCGCTTGTACGGCTCCGGGTTGAAACATCTACACCCGAAGGAGGTAATTTTGACTGCGAAAACCCACAGCGGTTCTCCAACCGTTTCGTCGGTAAAGTCGCGAATGTCAACGATGTAGTGCAGTTCCACCGCAAAAAGAAGACCGCCTCATCACGAAAAAAGGATAACGACATCGATGAAGAAGCAATGTCTCACCTCGCCACCCTGGACACGGTGCAAGTTGAACAGCTTGTCCGCGAATTCCTCGCCGCACAATCCCTCTCAATCCTCCCGCAAAACTCCTTCGGTGATGCTGTCTCCCAGTTCATCGATAAGGACGACAAACACGCCATGGAAATGTTCGTGAACGAGTCCCTGGAGGGCCAAATAAAGCACCTCCTCTCACTCGACCGCGACGGCGACCACGAAGATGAAACCGAACAGAGTTCCTTGCAAAATGCTATGGAGAAATATCGCAACCAGATGGAGGATATGTTCTCAAAGGGCGTCAAGAAACGCACTCGGGGCAAAAAGCGTTTCAAGCCAAAGCCTGATGGCTGGGACACGGAATTTGATGGCGCCTGGGAAGATCAGCCCGGCGCCCTCATCCACTCCGATAACGAGGGCGGCGATCCCAACGAGGAAGAGGCTGGCGAAGACGGCACAGAGCCACCTTCCGGACGGTCGTCTGCGCGTGGTCGTGGCCGCGGCAGAGGAGGGAGGGCCGCAGGAACCACCTCAGCCCGCAAACCAGCAACCACGAAAGCGGCCGCAACTAGGAAACCCGCACAAACCAAGGTAGCCGCCTCTCGAGGGCGTGGGCGCCGCGCTGTATCCGAGGACGAAGAAGAAGAAGAAGACGACGTTGTCATGATTGACGATGATGACGATGAGCCAGAGGTTACAGCAAAAATCGAGGATGACGATGAAGACGAGGACTCCCAAGCTCTCTTCGTCAAGCAACCAGCTTCCAAGTCACGTAAGGCAGCAACCACATCTACGACAACCACTCAGCGTTCGCGCCAAACGAAACGCACCGCTCCCTCCCCAGCCCCGTCTTCAAATACCGTCAGCCAGGCTGGTACAACCGCCCGCCGTGGCAGAGGAAAGCAGACGCAGATGACGCTGGACTTTGTCGGTTCACAGGCAAGTCAGCGTGCCGGGGCTGGGTCTGTTGCGAGTAGCAATACCAGATCGATGAGACCGAACCGCACCACGAGGAGCGTGAGTGTTCTTAGTGAGGACATCGATGATAGTGATGGATTTGAGCCGATGCCTAGTAGTAATCGACGACGGAGATAGTTAGGGCCGTCTTTTCTCGGGATAAATATGAATATACAATAGTGACAATACCCGTTTCAAATGAATGAATAAACAAACCGTTTCTTAAACATCTTACCTTTAAACTTTCTCGTCTTGACGGATTTCTAGAGAACTACGGTAATTGCGAAATACCTCAGCATATGCGAACAATAACCTTAATAATATCAACTGGTATATAACCTTACAAACAAACAAACCACCTACCCTCACAACCTCCCCCGATTCAAAAACCTCACTGGCAAATCCACCCACCTAGCCCTCAAAAACTCCGCAACGTTCTTCCCCAAAAAGTCCACCGTGGTGGTACTCGAGACACCACGATCTAGCAAGTTCCGGAACAAAAAGTGTACACCCCTCAGATTCGGCAGCTCAAAACGCTCAATCGCCAGCTCAGCGTTGGAGTTATACTCGGGCCCTAGAAGCTCCCTTATCTTTTCCGTTGAGAGTAGTGACCGCAGCCAGGCGTATTCATCGCTGTGGCGCACCCAGAAACCGCAGTTTGCGTCGGGGCCTTTGTCACCCGAACGAGCGTGGATGAGCCACCCTAATGGACCGGGCGTTGTTGGGCCGAAGTCGGGGTTGGGTATGGGGGCAGTTGTTAAGGCTTGCGAGGGTTGGCGGAGTGGGTATGTTGCTGTCCTTGGAGGGGCAGGAATGTCAAGGACCTTATTTTCTTTGAAGGGAAGGTGAACACGGTGTTGAATGTCTTCTTGGGGAAGCAGAGCGACATAGTATTCGAAGATGGGTTTGGGGAAGCCCTGGCGGAGGTCTAGGTGGAAGGTTGCGCCAGGGTAGCCCTGCATGATATTGTCGGTAATGTGCCGGAGAAAGCGATTAGGGGCGATATCTTCAGCGGTACGAGCTTGAACAATAACCCTGAAAGTGACAGTAGCGCTATTTTGGCCTTTCGGATTGTCTGGGGCGGATCCGAGGGTTGAAAACATGAGGGATGTGTATTTCGAACTATACGGGGCTAGGAGGTGTCGGATCTGTGCTTCTAGCATGCGAGCCTTTGCGTCAATGTCGAGTCCAACAAGGAACCAGGATGCTTCTGCTTGGAAGCCCCCACGAGCTGTGATGCCAACTTTGGTTGTTGGAGGGGGTGGAGCGGAACGGACGCCGTGCAAGGCAACTCGGGTGGTCCCGACTTGTTCGAAGTGGACGTCGTTTAGGATGGCTGTGACATCGGAGTTGAAGTACCACGGGCCCTGGATCTCGTATAACAGCTGAGAAGAACAAGTGTCGACAGTGACAGTGCCTCCGGCGGCATACGACTGCATGGTGATGATCACTTTTCCTTCCGCTGATATCTCAGCAATAGGGTAGCCGATGTTGGACCAGCCATCTTTGCCAAGGTGTTCTAGCTCTTTGAACCCAGTATAGTTTCCCCCACAAACATAGTTACTGCACTCGATAAGATGTCCCGCGACAAACGCATTGGCTAGTTGATCAAGGTCACTTCGGCGCCATTGGTGGTACCAATATGCCGCCCCAATGACGGGAGAAGCATCAGATACCCGTCCACAGAGCACGATATCAGCACCCTCAGCAAGGGCAGCCGCAATTCCAAGTCCGCCCAGGTAACACTGCGCAAATATCGGCTCGAACGACCAATCCGACAATACCTCATTCGTATATATGTTCTTGAAATTCGACTTCCCCGATGATAGCGCTGTTCTCACCGTGGACAAAACCTCATCACCAGACACCCAAGCGACCTAAGTACCACTGCATAAGCAAGGGAAACAGGTCATAAGACAGAAAAAAAAAAGGTAACTAACTAACCTTTAGATCTAACCCCCTTGCACGAATCATTTGTGTTACTGCGTCGTACAGCCCTTGTGTATCCGTATTCCCGGCATTAACGGCTAATTTGATACGGTGCTTCGCCAGGTCTTCCAGCGCCGGCTGCAAGGCCAAGAGGAATGACAGCTCATATCCTGGTGGAATATCGGTGGAATTTGTGCTAGGCTTGCCCTGAGTCTGAGCTTGGTCTACTCGCCGTCCAGCGGCGACGACCATATTGGCTTCGCTCATGAAGTCTGCGATTATGACGTCCACCGGATCCTGCGGGTAGTTACGGGCGAATTCTGCAATGGCATGGCGTCGGTCAGATGCAGAGCCAGAAGCACCTTTGGATTATTGATTAGTGATGAGTTTTGTAGATGCGATGGTCGACATACCTGCGATGCGAACCGGTCGAGAGCTCATTGTGATGGTGCTGAGTTCCTGTGATAGAATTGCCTAATTATGAGATGGATAAGGGTGCAGGATGAATAGGAACGCCCCATATTTGATCAATAACGTATAAGTAATGATATGACTCTGGATTTCCCTTGGATCGAATAGATGACGGCGCCTCGGTTGTCGGTTTGGTGATGCGGGGTCGGGAAGCTGTTTTGGAGATGGAAGCCTAGGTACAGAGTACAGATATTCAGCATAAGCGAGGGATGGAAAGTGACTAAATTAATCAAGTATTTCGTTGCGCTTCAAACCCGTCTTTGTGCTAATGAAGCGAGTAAAAACTAAGATATCCAGCCCACTGCAGGATCGCCATCGCAACAAATAGCAACAAAGCAGATGTCTTCACAAATTCGATCTCATCTCTATGATAGCGAGTCCAATTCCCGAAGTTAGCCAGTATAACACTTTGGCCCTTGTCCTGCAAGGCTGTTCGAAGTCCTGGCAGCCCGTCCAAGCTACGACTGTTCCATTCTCCCTGGTAGGCCCTGATATCGCCAGCTTCTACTCTCTTGCTTGCCCAGTTACCCAAGGTCTCCCGATCTTTGAAGTCAGGTTTGGGCTCGTTTGTTTCTGAGTCAAACGACAGTGATAGCTGCGGAACCCCGTAACCGCAAGATGTTTGCACCTGTTTATGGTATTCAGGTTAGTGGTTAGGACTCCCATCGGGCATGGTCCATTACCTTGAAGACATCCAGCCTAATAATTGCGCGTGCTCCGACCAGCTTCTCTCTTTGCATGCGCGCGAGGTATGACTCAAAGTTAGGGTCACTCCATTCAATTACAGACCCGGTGCAGAAGAATCGTAAGATGCGGGGAGACGCATCGAAGGAGCAGAAGAGAATGGTGATGCGGCCGTTTTCGCGTAAGTGGCTAATTGTCTCCCCACCGGAGCCTGTAGCATCAACGTATGCCGCCTCGTTTGGTCCAAGGATGGCAAATGAAGCATCTGGGAGGCCTTTGGGAGAGAGGTTGATATGCCGGCCACTGAGAGGGGCAGAGGCTGTGAAGAACACTTTCTGGCTCAAGGCCCAGTCGCGCAAATCGGGTGATATTGATGGGTAGAATTTAGGCATTTTGCGTGTGTTTTGCAAGGTGAACGAAGGACGGAGAAGATTGAGTCACAATGCGACAAAGGAGTTGAAGTATCCCGTATTAATGCAAGTGCGGAGAAGGCCTCCAACTCCGGTGGCTGGCAGGGATGGAATGCCCAAGACTTAGCCTGAGCATAACAATTATTGTCAGCCTTGTGAGACAAGATCTTTGAGAAGATATTTAGGTCATCTTTATGAATCGCAAATCAGGACTAAAAGACGCCGGCGATGTCGCACATTACACGCCATGCTCTCAACTGATGGTGTCAATATCGGTCATTGGTGGAGTATGAGCAAAATCACAGATATTATATACATATATACTCAAGCTGGTCGGAAACAAAAATATTAGCGTATCAAGAAGCAAATTATCATCAGTCCATGGCCAACTTCTATGGTGTTGATATCAGGCATCAGAGGTACTTCGCCCAGAAAAATGGCGGGTCCTCACCCTCAGAGAACCACCCCTGGAAGTACGGGGTAATTATGTCGCCAGTGCCAGTGAAGTCTGATGCGAGTTTCCGGACGGTCGTCATAAGCTCAAATGCATGTCCTCTCATACCTTGAGCATTCGACTCCGGTGTCTACAGCGCGGGGCTCTCGTGCCAGGGTAGTGGTAGGGGATCGGATCCGGGGTAATTAACTTCTCAACGATAGTTTCGGATGCATTCGGTGCTGAAAGGCATTAGCTTCCCTCTGAATTGCGCATTAGGCCTGTACTAGGACTATTAGCAGTATACTAATAGTAGATCCAAGCTTCATTCCGAAAGCCGCTCCGCTGGCGGTTATCCACAGCGTTGCAGGAACGCAAGTCCCTCGGAAAACCAACCGCCTCAGAGATGCCGGAGCCTTTGACTGGTCCATGAAGCAGAATGGTACCCAGACTTAAGGGTGTCCGTGATAGTGGTATATCGGAGCAATGCTATTGTCTAGTGGTGAACGGCATTACGACCGCGCGGTTCCGCGGCGGGGCATTTAGCGTGTCAGCAACCCGCATCGTCTCAGGAACCCAAAACACCAAACACGGTGACAATCTCGGGGATAAACAGTTGGAGGGGCCTCCTGAAAATTGGCCCTTATGAGGGGTTGGTCAGCACGTGGTTAGTAAGTTCATTGACGTCTGGACCAGTCGAGCGAGGGGCGTTGGGGAGATCGACAGTATGTACAACCCAAACCTTGTGGACCCAGAGTCGGAAGAGAAGATACCTTGAGGCACGTCGTGGGCAGCTCGGGCGAGACCTTGGAGGCTGCAGCTGCTAGACGGGAGGTCGGAAGAACTTCATGGAGAGAGAGCAAGGGGACCCGGCGGTTTCTTTGCCCAAAGCAGCAAGCGGCCTGTCTGCTATACAGCTGTTGGTAATTAATCAGAGTCGGGGCGGAGACCATCCGACGCCAGGAGACCGGTAATTTATGACGTACGGCGGTCTTCTGGGGGAGTGATTGGCTCTGGAGGGGGGAGGAACCCCGCACGATTGTCTTCCTCACGTACCGTTTGGTCCAGTTGGGCTGTCCTGGACAGCAAAGATTGGGAAACTGGTGGCGCTGGAAAAGTTGTAAATCTGCGATACGCCCTCGGTTACTCGCGCTGAGCTCTTCGTCTCGGCTTCCCAGACCGACGTGCGGAACCGCATAGCAGTGATTTCATCTGGGTCGCTGGTGGGGTGGTCACAACGTAATTTACCCTGAGCTGCTCCCGCTGGGGCTTCGGTGCCATTCATGAAGTTGCCATAGCATTCCCCTCCTTCCCCTCTTTTGCTGCCCCGCGAGAAGTATTAATATGGAGGCCTCGTCTTCCCGCTTGGTCTGATCTGTTTTCTACCTCTCTTCTCAAGATACCCCAACTCTACCACTCTCCTCTCAAAATGTCTAACCTATTCGCTACCGTCGAGACCCCTGTCGCCAAATATGAGCAGCCCACTGGCCTGTATGACGTTATACCTCCCCTCGTCCGTAAAGTACGTGTCTTCTAACTATTCTTGTCTCCTAGGTTCATCAACAACGAGTGGGTGAAGGGCGCCGAGGGCAAGACCTTCGAGACCATCAACCCCACTACCGAGAAGGCCATTATTTCCGTCCACGAGGCCACAGAGAAGGATGTCGACACCGCTGTCGCTGCTGCCCGTGCTGCCTTTGACGGCTCATGGCGTCAGGTCACACCCTCCGAGCGTGGCCGCCTAATCAACAAGCTGGCGGATCTTATGGAGCGTGACATTGACACTCTTGCTGCTATCGAGGCTCTCGACAACGGCAAGGCCTTGACCATGGCCAAGGTCGACACTGCCAACGCCATCGGTTGCCTGCGCTACTACGCTGGCTGGGCCGACAAGATTCACGGTCAAACCATCGACACCAACCCTGAGACTCTTACCTACACTCGCCACGAGCCCGTTGGTGTTTGCGGCCAGATCATTCCCTGGAACTTCCCTCTTCTCATGTGGTCCTGGAAGATCGGTCCCGCTGTTGCCGCTGGTAACACCGTTGTCCTGAAGACTGCTGAACAGACCCCTCTCTCTGGTCTCTACGCTGCTAAGCTGATCAAGGAGGCTGGTTTCCCTCCTGGTGTCATCAACATCATCTCCGGTTTCGGCCGCGTTGCCGGTGCCGCTATCTCTAGCCACATGGACATTGACAAGGTTGCCTTCACTGGTTCTACCTTGGTCGGACGTACTATCCTCCAGGCTGCTGCTAAGAGTAACCTCAAGAAGGTCACTCTTGAGCTGGGTGGCAAGTCGCCCAACATTGTCTTCGACGATGCTGACATCGACAACGCCATCTCCTGGTCCAACTTCGGTATCTTCTTCAACCACGGCCAGTGCTGCTGTGCCGGATCCCGTATCCTTGTCCAGGAGGGTCTGTACGACAAGTTCGTCGCCCGCTTCAAGGAGCGTGCTTCTCAGAACAAGCTCGGAAACCCCTTCGAGCAGGACACCTTCCAGGGACCCCAGGTCTCCCAGCTCCAGTTCGACCGCATCATGGAGTACATCAACCACGGTAAGCAGGCTGGTGCCACAGTTGCTGTCGGCGGTGACCGCTACGGCAAGGAGGGCTACTTCATCCAGCCCACCGTCTTCACCGACGTTACTTCGGACATGAAGATCGCCCAGGAGGAGATCTTCGGCCCTGTCGTCACCATCCAGAAGTTCAAGGATGAGGCCGATGCCATCAAGATCGGAAACAGCACCGACTACGGTCTTGCTGCTGCCGTCCACACCAAGAACGTCAACACTGCTATCCGCGTCTCCAACGCCCTGAAGGCTGGGTAAGTGATTACATTATGAATTCAAGTCTTGTCCAGCATTAAAACTAACCTCCTTCACAGTACCGTCTGGATCAACAGCTACAACATGATCTCCTACCAGGCTCCCTTCGGTGGCTTCAAGCAGTCCGGTCTCGGCCGCGAGCTTGGCTCCTACGCTCTCGAGAACTACACCCAGATCAAGACGGTGCACTACCGCCTGGGTGATGCTCTCTTCGCTTAAAAATTTCTAACGTTATGACATGATGAAAATATTGCGTATACAAATTGAATTTATTTCGTGTGCTACGGCAGCGGTTCCAAAGTATTTGTCCATGTGTATAGCCAAGTGCTTCATGTAAAAAGAAAAAGAAAGAAAGAAAGAAAACATAAGATAACCCCCGATATGATTTCACGATTCATCTCATTCTCCCGTAATATAAAACAGCACTAGTAAACTATTTCGAGCACGCCACCCCTGGGAACATGGAACCTCAAAAAAAGCTCCTAATTAAATCTTGGGACGCTCTGCTCCGCATCCAAGTTCCAACCAACCCAGAGTGGCGTATTCATCCATAATTCAACATCCTCCGGGCACCGGGACAATACCCCACGAACTTTCCATTCTCGGGCTAAGACCTCCCGAGGGAATCACCAACAACAACGCATGGACTATTCTTGCGCTACAGTGGATCGTGAAAAGAACTGCCCCTCCTAGAGCGTGGATTAATCAGCTACAGTACTTTAACTAACTTACTGCTACATACTTTGCAGTACGGTCTGTATTAAAATACCGCACTCCTTGTTTAGTCGTAACATCCACCAGCAGCGGCTCCGAGCCCACTTAGTATACTTAAGTCAAAACGGTAGTCTACTTCCTTTTTCAACAATAAGCTAAGTGTTTTCTCTTATCGCAACACGTGTATCTATAATTTACCGCTGATGTTTTTTGTATTCGTTGGGGTTTTTTTTTTTTTTTTTTTTGTTGGACTTGGGGAGCTGATTCGGCTGCCTTATTTATAGGTCACTAGTTCGGTTGACCGGCCAAGTTAGATTCGGCTGCGATAATAAGGTTAACTGAAAGGCTAAGCTTCGGTTTCAGGAACGAAATAAATACAGAATTGTTATATAAAGAGAGGCCCCTCCCTCGTTAGTCGTTGCGATAATGACAAAGGCGGGTATATACATCAAGTATGAGTACATCAAATCGTGTCACGGCATCAGTAAACGTTGCCTTGTTGCAGTAGTGGTAAAAAATGCTAATTGAGAAACGAGTCGTCAATAAACGGGAACCTGTCCCATAATGGTAAATCCATTCCCTCCCACCCAGGGAACTCAGCAGTAGTGGCAGATACATCGGCCATGGCCGGATCAAAAAGAGCCGGGTCTTGGTCTTCGGGACCGGGGTATAAAGGACCGACAGTAGGAGTAGTCAGAGGTTGCACAGCTAGCTCTGATGTCCGAGTATCGGGTTCGGGCAGGGAGGTGGTGATTTCTGTACCTCGTTGCGATTGGGAGGAGTTATTATTTCTACGGCTATTCAAGCTGAATAGTTTGCTGACGTATTTTTTATCCGGCGGTGGGTTTTCACGGAGGCGCTGACGCTGTTCGTCGATTGCGTTTCGGAGGAGGTTGAGGATCTCGAAGTAGTGGGCTGCTTGGGCGGATTGGTGGGAGAGGAATCGGAGTATTTCAAGGGCACCGTTGAATGCTTCTTCGAGGGTTGAGTCAAGTTCTTTTTGGGAGAACATGGAGAAGCCTGGGATTAGGGCTGCGGCGAACACGAGGGCCCTGGGGACATTAGTGCTAGGTCCTTTGGTGTGTTGGGGGGAAGAATGCTCACTTTAGGATGCGCATGTTTCCTAGTAGCAAGCCAGATTGATATACTTCCAAACATGTTTGGATCATGTATAATGCAGACTCCACACAGGCATTTGCCAGCCTTGTATGGGCTGGATCCTCTAACAGCATCTCGTCTTGTATTATTCCCGGCGAGTCCTGGTGTAGTCGGGCAAGACGGACGCCCAGAACCGAGATCATAAACGGCCGTGTTACTATTATGACCGCAAAATGGTAGGCACACGCAACGTGAAGACTTCCAATTATATGTTCCTGGGCGGCAATGCGTTCTTGCGGAGTGCTCGGTGAGGATAGTACTGATTCGGGGAGGTCGATGCTCCACTGTTTAAGCTTGTCAAGCAGCGACTCTGCTACTTCCGTCGAGGCTGCTTTTTCGTTGTACAATTTGGAGATTATCTCGTCCAGAATCCTAGTCATTTGGTAAGAAGCCACAAGACTGTCATCCATAGCTTGCGTTAGTGGCGTGGATTCCATATCTGCTAGTTCTGAGTGCAGGTTGGCTGTTGCTGGAGGTCGTCCGAGAATCGAGCTGACTAGTAGGTCTAACGTACAAAGACTCATCCATATTCGGGTCCTAGTACCACGTTAGTGAGAAACAAGGAGCAATTCCGACAGACTACTTGCCGTTTTTGTTGCTCATCTGCTTCGAGCTTGGCAAAAGAAGTCAAGTGAAGCCCTAGCGCAGCAGCCGCTCTTGCAGCAACTCCTAAGTACATGAACGCAGCGTTCCGACGACAAGCACCTAGCATGTAAAAAGACATCAAGATGAAGAGGCGAATCAGGTCTAAGCTCGGGTTCTCCAGCATGCCTGCGAAAGCACATTGCTGGGCACGTTTGAAGAAAAAGCGTTCCACTCGCATAAGAGTAACTCCATTCTTCGACGACTGCGCCCCGATGGCAATCATTATATCGCGCAAAGCCACCATCGTCTTATTGGACATCTCACGGGTTGGAGGTGTTGTTCCTAGCATTTGGCGAGTCTCCACGTCCGAGAGAACGTTGATAAAACCGCTGGTCTAGACAGATCACTCTGTTAATATTTGAATAACAATATTCTTTGAAAGGGCTAAATACCGCTATTTGGTAGGTCCGGAGGTGAGACACTTCATCCTGGGGATCAGTATCGTTCCCTAAAGACGGCAGTATCTCATCCGGAGTCTCTGTCTCGAGCATGTCTTCTTTTGTGATATTGTGCGAAAATTGCGACGGCCCGATATGCTGCGTGACAGTGTCTCGAAGAAGCTGCAGGAAAGATAGCGAGGCGGCTCTTCCAATGTAAACTAAAATTGCCCATTAGGACTGCTATTCCCGACCTTGTAGCTGGGTCTTTGAGAGGCCGTACCTTGTTCACCCTTTCGATCCCGTAACATGCGAGAATGTGTCTTGTGAGGTGCGCCTGATGTCCCGTTCAGTGCGGGAATAAGCTGTGGGAGGCTCCCAAGACCAGCGCTGGATGTGTTCCGTGACCGACGTCCAGCGCCTGGGGTTGTCGGAGCTCCATATGCATTGTTTGTCTGCCGCGGGGCGGAAGTGCAGGTGGTATTCGATCGCCGGAATGGAACACAGCTGTCGGCGCGTCCATTTCGAATGCACTTGGAACATGGAAAGGTTCCGCTACAGCGCTTCTTGGAAGCCCGGCAGGCGAGACAGGCTTCCGGGGCCCGTAGACGGTTAGCAGGGAGGACTTTGGGTCGTGGCATCGGAGAGGATAAACCCAACTCTCGATCAAATCATGGCGAGTAAATGAATAGAAACTGAGTTAATCTGCCGGAGAATGATCGGGAGGAGAGTGCATGAGAAGGCTAAGTTGGACTCCAGCGTTCGGCAATGCGAATGCGGAGTCGTGGGCCTGAGCAGCCAGTCGGGTCAGCTCCCCGCACTGATAACGACGATAAGGTCTGCTATCCCAAGGCTGCTGGACAATGAAGTATGATATCAAGGGTATATCTATATTTAAGCTCATTAATATATTGTTTGCTGGGTCTGACTGGACATTCCAACTTGGCTTCCCAAAAAACCGATGTTGGTTGCTGGTACATGAGTGTTTTTAGAGCTCCTCCGCATTCCGTAAATAGCCGTGGCAAATATATATAGAATGTCAAAAAGGATTCGCACCACACGACTTACATTTATTGACATAGCTAAATGCCATCAGGGTGCAAGTGCCTCCGTTTATACTAAGACCACTCTTTTGCATTGACGCAGTGTGATTTACCTCGCATATTCTTGGCGCATTAGTTCTATGGAAAGACTGGGTTTCTAGTGAATGTCTGAATGAATATCAACGCTCAAAGACCACTTCTAAAGACCCTTTCCGCCTGTGGCGTAGATTGGCGATACTTGATTCGTTTACTTGAACTACATATCTATCCTTTATATTGTTAGGGCTAACGCATAGGAGCTATCTTACGTATGTGCCTACCGGACTCTATGCAGAACACTGTTAAAAGCCAATGGAACCAAGTGTTTCATGCATCTGGATGGATAACTATATGCTGTACTAGATTTGAAATAGACATCGTATTGCTGTGCGAAAGTGGTACTTGTCCTAAGCTAGAATATTCTGCTCCATATACTACGATGTTTTTCCGGCATCATTACTGTTGACCGCTTCTCCCTCATATTGTGGTTCAGTCTACCAGTCCACGAGATGACGAGAGACCTTCCGAACCTCTAGTCTCTGCGCTGGTGTCAAATTTCAGCTGAAAACCGATTTTGACGGCTACGAGAATCCACCCAAGCTTCCCGACTGAAGAACTTCGGCAGGCGACCGTCTGCCAGTGCCGGAGAACCAGCTGCAAAAGAGATTTCGACCGAGAAGACAGCAACCAACGTAAAAGTATTTGCTAATAGGAAAAATGCCGGTGGATGCACAGTAACAGGCCTCTCAACATTGGACAGATGCAGCAGCAGGACCCTCTGGCTTGAAAGTTCCAGAAGCAGTGGGTCCGCGATGAAAAGTTTTGCTGGGCAACGGTTGGCCAGCGACGGCTGATCTCGCTTGTCGCTAGCGTGGTCCGACCCTGCCAGCCAAATTATAAAAGGCCGCTCCCTCCCGTCCATTTTGAAAATCAAGCGACTCTACGTACGTTCTCCTGCCCCCTACATTGGGCTTTCCCTCTCTCCCAAGCATCGTTGCTAACCTCTTCGCCTGCAGTTCAAAGAATCACTTTAGAGTAGACGTCCCTCATTGAGCTCATCTAATGAGCCACACCCCCTACCCTTGCTGATGACTGCTATGTCCTCGATGCCCTAAAGTGAAGCCGTGTTTACTCCCGCCTCGACTTGTCTTCTCTGGTACGAACTGCTTCGGCAGGCTCGTTCCGAGTTGGCGCCGGTCTAGGGAGTGGTGATGATCTTGACCTTGTCTTGACGTCTTGACTTCGGTCGGTCGGACTTTGGTGGGTGTCGAGGAGGTCTGAAAGGCTTTTCCTCTTCTTGTTTTCACCTTGATGCTGGTGTTGAAGAATTGGGAACTGGGGTTTGATTAGCAAAAATACAATTTGGTTTTCCATCGAAAATATTGTCCTGGCTTTGCCTTCCGTAGCGCAACTGTAGGCTCACCTGCAAAGGGTTCGATTTCGAGAGCAAATTTTTTTCTGTTGGCGGGAGCCGATTTTGGTGCCTGAGGCTCTTGAGAATCCCAGCCTTGCAGTGGTTCGAATTATTTACTTAACAAGTCCGCATCATACTAAAAAGGACCGCTTGGGTATCATTGACGTGCACGACAATACTACTGACAATACTACTGACGCGGTTTGCGAGACCGCAGTTGTCGAGTACTGTCGCTCGACAATGAAGTAGTCTCAACACGCTTCGACACGTTCGCAGGTGCCTTTTCAACCCTGGGTTTTTTCGTCTTCACTGTCTTCTTCTCAACCTTGAACGTCTGAGTTCCATTCCCCTTTTCCTTCCCCTTCCCATTTCCCCTCGACATCGAAACCTCTCCCCTGCTCAACATATCCACAACAGCCTCAATCTTCTCCGCCCTCTTCGACACCGTTCCCGTCTGCAACCGATGCAGGACTAAATACCTATCCGTCCGATTCAACCCCTCAAAGACCTCCTTCGCCCTCCCATCCGCACCCAACGCCTCCTCCAAATCCGGCGGAACCTCAATGTTCGCAGGCCCATCATAAGCCCTCTCCCACCTCCCATCCCTCTTCGCCGCCTCTACAGCCTCCAGCCCAGCCCTCCTCATCTTGCCCGCCTCAACAAGCTTCGCAACCGTGCCTACATTCTTCGCAGACCAGAGACTCTTCGCCCGCCGCGGCGTATACCGCACCAGCCAGAAATTCTCGTCCAGCCCGTTCGAGCGCCCGTCGATCCACCCGAAGCACAGCGCGACTTCGACGGCTTCGGGGGCGGTTATGGATGCGATCCCTGAGGACTTTTTGGCGAGTTTGATGTAGACCCCTGCGGCGGTGCTGTGGTTGTTTTCTAGGAAGGTTTCGAATTCTGGTGCGCTGGCGAAGGCGTGGATTGGGAGGTCGGTTGGGAGGGGCTTTGTTGGGGGCATTGTTGTGTTTTTTGATGCTTTGCGGAGGATGAATCTGGTTTGTATTTGCGCTTGTAGAAGCGGGCGGATTCTGGGTGACGGCTGCTGCTGGAGAGGAGTGATGGTGAGGTGAGTGAGATTTCTACTTGTAAGGCGTAGATGTCTCTTTAGGAGATGAAGCATGGAGATAGGAGGGTGCTGTGATTGGCATAAGCGTGGTGGTTTTTGGAGGCTGCAAGGTGAGATTGCTTTCTGCCTGGACGAATCACGACACAAAAGAGGCCAAGGGCGGCACGTGGAGGGCCAGCCTGATGTTCTATAAGTAGTCAGGTCGTTGGTACTTTGTGTTTGTGCTCGTATATTTTCATTGATCCATTATCATAAGGTAAGGTAGTAAGTAGGTACATCATTTCGTTTCCGCGTTTTTGCTCTCCGATGCGTTTGCATTACCACCACCACCACCACCGCCGCCGCCGCCGCCTCCGTTCCCTTTAGAACCGCCCTTGTTTCCTCGGCCACTGCGTCGTCCATGAGAAGACGAGTTGCCGCCTGTGCCTCCCTCATTAGATTTCCCACCACGGTTGGCATTGGCATCTGCACTAGGGGCAGGCGGTTTGGCTTCGCCACGGCCCTTTCCGCGCCCTTTCTCCGCGCCCGGGTTTGCTTTCCTCTCAAGAACAACAACTTGGCTTTGGGCGACGGTCACAGGGCTGGCAGCGATAGATTTCTGCAGCCCATCAGGCTCGGCAAAGTCAACATATCCAAAGCCCTTCTTCTTGTCAATTTCCACCTTAACGACTTTCCCAAATGGCGAGAAGGCGGTTTCGAGTAGTGGTTCCGTCACTCCCTGAGATGGATTGGCATGTTTGAGGAATGCTTGAGTAGCTGTAGGCGTGGGTGCTGGTGTTGCCGCAGCTGAAGCCTGTTTTCCTTTCCCAGATTTGGGAGCTCTTCCTGAGGTAGGTGTGGTTTGTGCGGGTGAACTAGTTTCAGATCGCTGGGTGGATGATGTTTCGCTAGGCTGAGGGGTGTTACCTCCCTTAGCCTTTGAATCCTGGGCTGAGCTTCCCTTTGGTGACTTGGCGGAGATATCCTTCTTGCTTGCCTCTGTAGTCATGCTCGTATCAGTTTTAGCTTCGTCATCTCCCGCAGCTCCTCGTCTGCTCCTTCGACGGTTACTGGATGGCGCAAGCCCCAAATCTCGTTGCAATATCTTTGCGGCAGCAGCCGCATTCCCGCGTTCTCTCTTTCGCTCAGGCGCTGGTGTCGTTTCTTTCGGCGAATTTTGCGCCGTAGAGGCTTTAGAGCCCTGCTTGGAAGCTAAATTAGCAGCCTGCTTGTTCGCTGCTTTCACGGCCTCCTTTGTAGCTTTATCACCCCTTGATTTTTTCTCCGTCTTCTCGCTACTGCCAGCCGTAGCTTCCTTGTCGGGCCGCTGCAGAAGCTTTTTCGACTGAACCTTTTCTGATTTTGAATCCTTTTCAGACTTGTGTCTTGATGATCGGCTCGAGGCTTCTTTTGCCTTGTTGGCTTTCTTTTCTTTGATGTACTGCACCAGTGGTGTGGTTGTTATAGTTTCCTTCTTGTCCTCCCCTTCAGCGGTGGATTCGACAGGGCCAGATTTTGCAATAGGCTGGGTGAGGCTTTCGAGAAACTGGATGAACTCTGGTTCCTGATCGATAGATCCCTGGCGAGCATCTTTGCGAACACGACTTCCAGGAATTTTGGCGTACGGTGCAAATTCCAAGTTCGGAGGGCCTAGGAGTACCGGATCGTTGGCAGTGTTACGGGCGTCCAAGAAAGATGTCGCCCGGACCTTATCAGAGAGAGGTCCAATATGCTCGCTCGAAACGACGTAGAGGTATGCTCGAGAAGGTCGAGAGGGTTTAGCTGGACTGTTGGTTTACACCATCAATTAGCTGCAGTTCGCTTTCCTCTTGGATGTGAACTACTCACTCTTTTGAGACCTTTCCAGGCTTGTACTGACTCCAACTGACCTTTCCGCCTCCGAGTTTCCATTCCTCGCCCAGCGCTGTCTCGAACTCCTCCTGCGTCAAGCCTGGAGGCAGGCGTCGTACAAGTAGCTTTAACCGCGGGGCTGCTGGTTTCGGGGCCTTCTTAGCTGGGGGCGCATTCTTCTGAGTCGCGGACGCAGGAATTTGAAGGACACCTCCGCTAGATTTCGACAGAATTTGTGTCATGATAATCTCCGAATCTGGAGGTCACTCCTGGTCCACTGTGAGAGGAAGGTCGGCCAGGAGCGAGGAGTACCGAAAAGGACTAAGTAGAGAAATATGGAGTAGTTTCATAAGCTTCACAAGCAAAGTGACGCCCCAGGTGACAAATATTTCGTAGCTGAGGTCTGCAGATGACCATTGATGAGAGAGGAGGCTGCTTGAAATTCCCCGCTGACCACCCGGCATTAAATTCACACGTGACTAAAATCCGCGATAACCAACAGGGCTGCGGGGAAAGGGTGAACAGCACTTTCATAACTACATGAGTGAAATTTTACAATCTGCATTTGGTGTTGCTTATTCAAAACATCCTGGACTTTACTTGTTTCTTTGGCTCTTTCTGCGGTTTATCACTTTTACACCATGTCCGACAGCGGGGTCCCTCAGCCAGGACCAGCGAAGCTGAAGCGCAATGCTGGGCCGGATGAGTGGCTTGAGGCAGCCAAGAACTGTAAATACCTCTCAGAGGCGCATATGAAGCAGCTCTGCGAAATAGTGAAGGAGTACATGATGGAGGGTATGCTACGCTCTGAGCCGAGTGACGTTGTAGTGCTTTTCGTGCGTGAGCTAATCTTTGTGTGTGTGCCTTCAGAATCGAATATCCAACCCGTGTCCACACCCGTCACAGTTTGCGGAGATATCCACGGCCAATTTTACGACCTCCTAGAGCTCTTCCGCGTCTCCGGTGGAATGCCAGATGCCTCTCTGACAGAACCCCCAAAGGCTGCGATTACATCGGAAGACATCGAGCCGCCAACATCCATAACGGATCCGGAGCTGAGAAAAAAGCTGAAGAATCCGGGGGCTGCGGATGATGATGATGATGGAGACGCGGCCGATGACACGGCTCAACGAGAGCGATCGTCGAGTTCAGGATCTGCAGATGTGAGAGTCGACCGCAACTTTGTGTTCCTCGGCGACTATGTGGATAGAGGATACTTCAGTTTGGAGACTTTGACTCTGCTATTGTGTTTAAAAGCCAAGTTCGTTGGCCCATATCCGTGCCGATGGGATGAACACTGACAATCCTGCAGATATCCTGACCGAGTAACACTGGTTCGCGGCAATCACGAGTCTCGACAAATCACACAGGTCTACGGTTTCTACGAAGAGTGTCTGCAAAAGTATGGAAATGCTTCCGTATGGAAGGCTTGCTGTCAAGTGTTCGATTTCATGACCCTCGGCGCTATTATTGATGGCCGGGTTCTGTGTGTTCATGGGGGATTGAGTCCGGAGATCAGGACCCTAGATCAAGTCCGTGTCGTCGCCAGAGCCCAAGAGATTCCACACGAAGGAGCGTTTTGTGACCTGGTTTGGTCTGATCCAGACGATGTTGAGACATGGGCAGTTAGCCCCCGAGGAGCCGGTGAGTTCCAGCAAATACACTTACAGATGGATACCCGTGCTAACATCCGTTCCAGGTTGGCTATTTGGTGACAAGGTTGCGGATGAGTTCTGCCATGTGAATGACCTAACACTCATTGCCCGAGCCCACCAGCTGGTAAACGAGGGCTACAAGTATCACTTCACAAACAACAACGTGGTTACCGTCTGGAGTGCACCCAACTATTGCTACCGCTGCGGAAACCTGGCATCAGTATGCGAGATTGGGGAGGACCTGAATCCAAAATTCAAGCTGTTCAGTGCCGTCGCTGACGACCAACGGCATGTCCCACAGTCGCGGGGAGGGCGCAGCGAGTACTTTTTGTAGAATATCGTTTGTCCTACACGCATTCGCTTTCGTGGCGATGAAGGCATTATTGGCACCGGCGCTGGCGTTCGGGAGTGTATACCTGATGTATTGGCCTTCCTCAAAAAGGCGGTTGACGGGCATCGTATCATATATAACGATTTTAGAGCACGCTTAATGAATGACATCCAATTTGCGATTTTGCGCCGAAGCTGGTATATTGTAGACGCGGTTAGACACAACTTTGGAGGCACATGCACATGCCGTATCCATCTCCGTATAGTTTTAAGAATTTACCCATCTACTAACCGTGGACTATAGCCAGTACACTGCGGAGGCGACCTGCTGGTTCCATCCGAGGCCCAAGTAATGTGGCAGCCCCGGGACTGGTTCCGGACTCTTCGGAACACAACCCGAAATCGACTCCGAGCATCCATAAGAACAACCGACAGCCAATACAACGGTTAACTCCACGCAGACAAAGACATACGCTATTAATGCCATCTTATAACCCATCGTCCAGCCTTATTATATAGCAGTTGGCCCAAAAAACACATCACAAAATGCCACCAACAACACAAACAGACGTCCTAATCTGCGGCAGCGGCTCCGCCGGTCTCAGCGCCGCAACCTGGTTGGCACGCTACGGGATTCCCTGCAAGATCCTCGAGCGTCGCCCGGGCCCCATGACAATGGGCCAAGCAGACGGGGTACAGTGCCGGACAGTTGAGATCTTTGAGAGTTTCGGACTGGGCGAGGAGTTGCTACGCGAAGCGTACCATGTGCTAGAGGTAGTGTTCTGGGCGGACGATGGGACGGGCTCAGGGCGGGTTGTGAGGTCTGGGAGGGCAGCGGATGTGCAGCCGGGGCTTTCACATTGTCCGCATGTTATCTTGAACCAGGCGCGCATTAATGGCCTGTTTATTGAAGCGATGAGGAGGTTTAATGGGCAGGAGATTGAGTATGGATGGGATGTGAAGGGGGCGCAGGTTGTGGGGGAGGGGGAGTATCCAGTGAAGGTTACTGCGGAGAAGGATGGAAAGGAGAAGGATTTTGAGGCGAAGTATGTTTTGGTATGTTGTTTTGCCTGGTGGGTATCTGTCTGGTTGTGCATTTGGCTGACAGGGGATCAGGCTTGTGATGGAGCGCATAGCACTGTTCGCAAAGCGCTGGGGTACAACATGATTGGGGATAGCTCAGATGCTGTCTGGGGTGTTATGGACATGGTTCCACGGACGAACTTCCCTGATATTCGCAAGAAGGTCTCAATCCGTTCGAAAGCGGGCAACTTGCTGATTATTCCCCGCGAGGGAGAGAACCGTAACCTTACGCGGTTTTATATTGAGCTTCCTGCGGGTACAAAGGCGAAAGATGTCAAGCTCGAAGACTTGCAGCAAGCGTCGAGAAGTATTCTAAGCCAGTACGAAGTGGATTTCACGGAGACTGTATGGTGGTCTGCATATGCCATCGGCCAGCGATATGCAGACTTTTTCCACAAGGACTACCGCATCTTCCTGGGAGGCGATGCTTGCCACACTCACTCGCCAAAGGCTGGCCAGGGCATGAACGTCAGCTTACAGGATGGATACAACATGGGCTGGAAATTGGCACATGTCTTGAAGGGGCTGGCTCCCCCGTCGCTCTTGGAAACATATGTTCTGGAGCGCCAAAAGGTAGCTATCGACCTGATTAACTTTGATCGATATTTCTCGAAACTTTTCTCGACAAAAGGGAATGCATCTCCAGAAGAGTTCCAAGAAGGCTTTGTCAAGTCTGGAAAGTATACGGCTGGACTGACCGCGAAGTATGACGAATCACCCATCACCTCTGACCTGGGATTATCAGACTTGGCCAAAAACATTATCGTCGGAATGAGACTTCCTAGCTCGCAAGTCGTTCGGCACTGTGACTCAAAACCAGTCCAGCTTGCAACTTCGTTCAAGTCTGATGGGCGTTGGAGGGTGATGGTGTTTGCAGGAGATCTGAGCATTCCCCAGAACAAGACTCGATTGGATGCGGTAAGTTGTGATAACCACTCATTCCATGGGGCCTGTAGCTAATAAATATCCCAGATTGGAGCCTACCTTGGCTCAGATGAGAGTCCACTACAGAGATTCCGCTTGAACGGCGGCGATTCTGATAGCCTTATCGAGCCAATTCTCGTCGGACATGGACCCCGACACAATGTCGAGCTTGAACAGATTCCCTCGGCATTTTATCCAATTACTGGAAAGAATCAGATCAAGGGTCAGTAACTGTGCATACTTTGAGACAAGAATTAGACTAACATCAACTAGACCTGCACAAGATATTCTTCGACGACGATGCCTACAACAAAACGCACGGCCACCTCTATGAACACCTTGGGATTAACCCGCAGAATGGAGTGATTGTTATTGTCCGGCCTGACCAATGTGCGTATATAACACCGCCCATCCTTAGATATATTCTCACTGACGAATATATCAGATGTTTCTTCCGTCATTGCCATTGATGACTATAGGCGAATTGGACAGTTCTTTGGGGGATTCCTCATTAATCAAGAGACAAACTCTCTGAGCGTCAGCAAGCTGTGATGAGGAGTGTTCAACGACGAGGAATGAGCTTATGAACATTGTTGGGCGAACATCCGTAAATATCAATTTGTATAGTCCTGGAACCTGTATATACAATGCACGTACTATTAAGCTTTTTATCTGGGCCACCTAGATTAGGCAGAGATCCACCATAAGTATTACAAACCATGAGATAATATCCTATGCTCAGTGATACTGATAAACTGTTTAACAGGCAGCATAGTTTTTTTGTTCCTTCTTTTTTTTTTAAGTTCATAGAATAATATGTGCTGTGAGTGAGCTGCACCAAAAATGGACAGGAAGTAGCCTGGAGGTCAGCTCCATGTCAGCTCGGAAAGAAGATGCACCTCGTATAGGTTCTGAGTCACCGTCAACATTCACAGGCAGAACATTTAAAGCTCCTTTAGAGCCTCCAAAACCTCTCGGGTTTATCTTGACTACAAGTTTAATCGGAGAAAGCCTTCATGATGAGCTCCCAATTCAACTACACAGTTGCCCCGCACCTTGAAGAATTCGCCGTCCCATTTCCCACCTTCCGCGCCGCCAACCCCAAATATGCACACTTCGTAGGCGGCGGCCTGATATTTTCACGAACCGCAGTGCCAGGAGACCGGGGAATCAAGAACGGGATAGAGGGGGAGAAGCAACCTTTCCGTCTTCTCCTTCTCCAGCGTGCCTTTGAAGACTCTTACGGCGGACACTGGGAAGGACCTGGCGGATCCTGTGACCCTGAAGATGAGACGCTACTAGATGGAGTCGCGCGTGAGATTTTTGAAGAAGCCGGCTTGCATGTCTCGAGGTTCGTCGAGCTTATTGCGAAAGATGAGTGGGCGAAACTGCGACCGGACCGAGTCGATATAGTGGTCAAATATACGTTTCTTGTGGAAGTACATGAAGCGAAGCCTGTCATTTCTGGAGACGGACACGATGAGAGTCGATTACCGGCCAATAAGCTGGATAATGGGACTGTGATTCCTGGTTTAGAGACAAGCTGGGAGCATAGAATCAAGTTGGACCCTGCGGAGCACCGGGCGTTTGAGTGGGTTACTGAAGAGGAAATCAGACAGGGCGAAGAAGATGATTCAGGGAAATTCAAATCGTTTGCGAATCAAGGGAAGACGATGTTGGATGCATTTCAGATGCTAAGAGAAAGACCTCTGTTGGCTTAGGGTGGTGATATTGAATCTTGATAGAGACAGCGAGATTCGGGAACGGCCCGTCGAAATTGTATTTCCATGATCAGATACATTTGCTAATAGACACGTCTTTGAGCTTAAAAAAAATGCTAGAGGATACAGATATATTTGCCAGTTCGTCATGCAGCCATAAATATGTGTAAAGTATGCCTGAGGTGTCGAGGTGTCGATTTCTCCATGGTTCAACCACAAAAATTCCCAAACCTTCATTCATCCAGCCCTTCAATTCTCTAACAGTCTCACGATTCTTCCCTCGTGGTTTTACTTTCCCCGCAGGTTTCAAGTCGCCGTGCCTGCGATGCCGGGTCTCAACTAGACCGTCTTCCTCGCTAGGAATTTTCCGCTTCGCGACAAGTGCATCCCCGCTCTTGAAGAGGGGCGATATCCAACTTTTCCCCAGTCCAACATGGCCGACTCCTCTGCAGCCGAAGGTTTGTCCGTCCATTGAATCATCCCTGCTTTGTAGCCCAAAACTGATAAATTTATCTCTTAGGTCTGCTGACCATCTGGCACTCCTTCCGTCTTCCTTTCCTCGTTGCGATCGCCTCCGTCCTAGTTATCCTCCGCTTCCGCCGCGTGCTCCAGACTCGGTCCAAGGCCGCTACCGCTTCATCTGTTCCACCATCCCCGCGCAGCTTGACACCCGAGAAAACTCCAAAGTCAGATGTGCTGCCTGAAATCGTGGAAAAGAAAGACGCAGGATCGCTCAGCAGCGGCCGTGTTTCGCCAAAACCGACGGCAGGCCCGAAGAGAGTGACAGGCAAAAAACCGACAAAGACCGCCGGGAAACGATCAGGATCTGCCGCTAATGAAGAACCACAACCTGTGACTTTCATACAGCCTATTATATTCTGGGCGTCGCTGACTGGAAGTACCGAGAGGTACGCCCAGACAGTACTGGAAGATTTGCGGACAGCGGCGCAAAGTCAGGCCAACCTTGAAGACCGAGAGCGCGGGCTTTTGCCTCCTCAGATTCACGACCTGGCTGAAGTCGATTATGATGACTACTTCACGACTGCACCCAAACCCCCTTCGACTTCGCCTGGAACACGTTACGTCTATTGCTTCCTTATTCCTAGCTACAATATCGACACTATCCTTGATACTTTCCTGGGACATTTGGATGAGACTCACCATGACTTCCGCATTGACACGGGATCTTTGTCAAACCTCGCCGGATATACTGTTTTCGGTTTCGGAGATAAAGAAGGTTGGCCTACTGAAGAGGAAGGATTCTGCTCCCAGGCCAAAGAGCTTGATAAATGGATGGCCAAGCTTACCAACAGGAAGAGAGCTTATCCTCTCGGGTTTGGCGACGTAAAGAGCGACGCCGAGTCTTCACTCAAAGAGTGGATAAGCGGATTCCAGGATATCCTTGGTGATATCGTCAAAAACGGCGGCTTAGGAGAAGGTGTTCCCGGCAGCGGTGACCCCCTTGAAAGTGACGAAGAACAGTCTGACGATGAAGAGTCTGGTTCCACCAAGCCAAAGGCCCGCGGCCGGAAGAAGGCTCAGGCAGTGGTTGATCTGGAGGACATTAAAATGAGCGCCAACGGACAAGTCGGGAGCTCACCCGTCCCGGTGGATTTTACCACAGCTGGAGCCGGCTCCCAGGCCATCCAGCCGACGGAAAAGGAAATGGTCCCTAAAACTTCCCCTACATACACCTCTCTCACAAAACAAGGTTACACTATTGTTGGTTCCCACTCTGGTGTTAAGATCTGTCGCTGGACCAAATCCGCTCTCCGTGGACGAGGATCATGTTACAAATATTCATTCTACGGAATTCGATCGCACTTGTGTATGGAGGCAACGCCATCTCTTTCTTGCAGTAACAAATGTGTGTTTTGCTGGAGACATGGTACAAACCCAGTCGGAACTACCTGGCGCTGGAAGGTGGACTCGCCTGACTTGATTTTCGACGGCGTTAAGGAGGGACACTATAAAAAGATCAAAATGATGCGTGGTGTTCCAGGCGTCCGAGCAGAGCGCTTTGCAGAGGCAATGCGCATTAGGCATTGTGCCCTCAGTCTTGTCGGCGAACCAATATTCTATCCCCACATCAACCGCTTCCTCCATCTTCTTCACAGCGAACAAATTTCGAGCTTCCTTGTCTGTAACGCACAGCATCCAGATCAACTGGAGGCTCTACACCGTGTCACCCAACTCTACGTCTCAATTGACGCAAGTAACCGCGACAGCCTACGGAAGATCGACCGTCCGTTGCACCGCGATTTCTGGGAACGTTTCCAAAAATGTTTGGACATTTTACGGGAAAAGCGTTTTGTCCAGCGAACCGTATTCCGCCTCACCCTAGTTAAAGGGTTCAACATCGATGACGAGGTGGTCGGTTACGCCAACCTTGTCGAAAAAGCACTCCCATGCTTCATCGAGATCAAGGGCGTGACGTACTGTGGTACAAGCACCAGTGCAGGCGCTGGGCTAACGATGCAGAATGTTCCATTCTATGAGGAAATCGCTGCCTTTGTTGTCTCGCTGAATGATGAGTTGAAGCGCCGTGGTCTCGACTACGGCATTGCCGCCGAACACGCTCACAGTTGCTGTGTTCTGATCGCCTCAACCCGCTTTAAGGTCAATGACAAATGGCACTCGCGGATTGACTATCCGCGCTTCTTCGAGCTTCTAGAAAAGGAGAAGGCCGACGGAACCACGTTCCGCCCGGAAGACTACATGAAGGAGACGGAGGAGTGGGCTCTGTGGGGTAACGGTGGCTTTGACCCGAACGATGAACGTGTGTACAGGAAGGGTAAGAAGAAGGCCATCCAAGAGGCGACAGAGGAGTAAGATAGGCGTCCTTTACCTTGGGCCTGTCAATTAGGCACACCTTTTACATCAATTAAACTCCTTGATTATGTTGGCGAGCCACTCTACCACAGCAGTGAAAGCCATTATGAGCTTAACCAAAGACGGGGTTGCCATTAATAGCAGATCCCGAGTTGTTACTACCGAAATGTGTCAAAAAAGCATTACCCAAACTGTTTGCTATCTTGCGTATCACAATACTAAAGCTAGCCAGCACCACATCTAAAGCATCGTCCAGTTGCTTTGGACATAAAAAAGCTCTTATATAAGCAATGGAATTTCCCTAGTATTCTACCAAACTTTATCCACACTGTATATCAAATATCAATTGTGATAATGTTAACCAGAAAGAACAAGGTGGGGGGGAAGGGGAAAGTACCCAGTCCCATCCACCTTTATACCCTAACCCAACCCCTACGCTCCTCAAACATCTCATCAATCTCCACGACCGACTTATCCTTCATCTCAGGAACAATCATCCAGGCTAAACCCAGTGCTACGATACAAAACCCAGCATACACAAACCCCGTCTTCGCACCAAGCGCGCCCTCATCGTCATTGAAGATATAAGGTAGCACCAGGCCCAGAATCCCGTTTGAGAGACAGTTGACGAGCCACCCCAGGCCCTGTGATTTGGCGCGTAGTTGGAGCGAGGAAACTTCGGCGCCGATGGCGTATGAGGCGGGCCAGGCTGTTAGGCCTACGGTTGTTATTATTATCATTAGGGTTATTTGGGTGTACCTATTTTCAGATGTTGGTTAGCAAACGTAGGATGGATTGTGCGGATGCCGAAATGGAGAGAGATGGGATGAGATGGATAAATGGGTAGGTATACCAGACTGTGACAGTCCCAGAGAAACAACCAGCAACACCCATTCCCGTCCAGAGGAAGATGCAAACAGTTAACCCGAAAATAACGAGAGGACGACGCCCGAATTTGGCTACTGTGAGCATACTCCCGACGTTGGCGGCGAGACCTAAACCGATGCCCACCTGGAGGAAGACCAGGCTGTTACGCGCATTCATGCCGACGATTTGCATGAAGTAACTGCCCTTTGCTAGTAAGGTTAACCCGAAGAGTTGTGGAAGGAGGCTTGCGAATAGGACAATCCCCGTTCGCCGGCAGTTCGGGCCCTTGAAGCAGTCGATGTATCCCGGGGTGGAGCCTTCGTTTGTTTGGCCTTCTAGCTCGATGGGGAGGCGGGTTTGTTCGAGGACTGTATCTGTATCCTCTGACGAAGAGACGAGTCGCTGTTGGCTTTTCCGGGCTGCGTCGAGATTGTTCTTGCGGATCAAATATGCCGGGCTCTCTGGCATTAAGAGTGAGACCGCTAGTGGTAGGAGAGAAAAGGCCCATTCGGAGATGAAGCAGTGCTTATAGCCGTCGGAGCCAGGTTTACCCAGTGAGATATAGACGACTATGCTTCCTATCAACTGGCCTAGGAGGGTGAAGATAGGGAAGAACGCGAGGATTGGACCGCGTAAGATGGGAGGGAGGACTTCTGACATGTAGGTCTGTGTCGTGCACATGACCATATTGACTGCGAAACCCTGGACCAGCTTCGCGGTAAAGAAGACGGACCGTCGACCGGTTATGTCGTTGGAAAGATTCGATACGTATGCTATGGCTACCCCGACAGCAGATATGATGCTTGCGACTACTAGCGAGCGGCGCCGCCCTGTGCGGTCCTGGATATAGCCTCCTGCAAGAGCACCGAGTATGCCGCCAATGGGGTTTGCGATATTCCAGAGGCCTAGCCAGAGGGCTGGAATTATAAGCTTTCCATCCAGTTCACGGCCAAAGTCTTTCCTTTCAATGGTATTAGATGGAATAGAAACTTTTAGGGCTTGGTGCAGAAGACTCACTGGAACTCAGGCATAGATGATACATTGCCCACGATGACAAGATCATATCCATAAAGAAGAATGCCCGAGGTTAGAGCCAGGCACCATACCAAAGTCTTGGGAAATCTTCTGATTGATTGTGTAACCGACTCGTTCTCTTGTTGATTTGAGTGTGGAGGCGGTCCGCTCTTGTAGCTGTTCATAGCCATTGGCTTTCTGTCCATGGTCATTTGCATTGTCGCTGATATGGTGGTAGACATGATTTCCGTGAGTCGGGGACTGCGGTTACAGATATAATTACTTCAGATGAGCGAATTGTGGCTGTTTCACACCATCAACCACAAAGTATGACGAGCGGAGATAAAGTTAGCCCGTACAGCAGTGCAACAACTGTGGGTTGATCAACGGAAATCCCAGCTTCCTTCCGGTTGGAAACATTTCTTTCTGGGTGCCATTCAGGGGCTCAGTGTCTTTGAGCAAAGGTACCAGCGTTCAATTCCAGCTAATCTACGTCTGGCCTTGAAACCATTGCCTGACAAGATACGCCATCGGCGGTTGCCATACAAACGTCCTTGCATCAATCCAAGACAGCGCATATCATACAGCAGTTCCGATATGCAGCTCGCCGTCTTGCCCTGGACTACTTAACATCTCTTTTCACCCTCCTTAGCCAAGTGCCTAGATCGAAGGTGCCATCACTCAAGTCTCTGACATTGCCGACAAATTTAAACACATGGCCAAAGTCTTCCACAGGCTCGCATCCGTCAGTATAGGTGATGCGACACGGAACGGCCTGGTAATTATCTGTTTCATAGCGGGCGAGTCTCTCCCCATGCTTTTCAGTCTCGACATGATAGACGGCCCCATGGACAACCTTTTCTGGGGCGTCCAGCAGAGCTGGATACTGGCCCCATAACTTGCATTTATAGCCAGTAATAGTAGCGGGTCGAAGCTTTGGTTCTGTTTCTAAGCTAAGGATATCGCGGAGCATAGCCGGATCAGACAGCGTGCCGTAGAAGAAATACGGGCCGGTGGGCGCAGCAAATGAATCCGTATGAGGAGGTGGCCTTTGGGGTTGGAAGAAATAGCCAGGAGGAGCAGACCTCAGCTTCTGGACGAACGGGGAGACCTTCGAGTTTGGATCATCAGGCGGAGGAGGTGGAGGAGGGACGGCATCCTTGTGTCCTTGACTGCCAGGCATTTTCTAGGCGACGGTCAACAGTTGTCAACAGGGCAGAGGTGAAGATTAGATGAAGATTGAAAGCTGACAGCTGCAGCTTTGTTGACAGAGCCACGTGATGGTCTCTCCTCATTCAATTCTGCAGTCCTCGCCAACACTTTTACAAGTTCGATTGAAATACACGGCCTGTGAAGCAATAATGTTTTCCCACAATTTGCAGGAGCGCGCCCTGATCTCCATCCTGACAATCTAGCTGAAGCCGCGTTCTTGACGGTATCCTATAACTGTGAGGAATAGAGCTTGCCACATTAATCGTCACTCATATTCTAGCGCTCTACATAACTGGGATAGGACACATACGGGAAGGGTTCACGGACTAGAAACCCCCGGCCTACTTCTAAAGGGATGGTAGTAAAGCATTTCACTCAGTGGCCCCAACTAACACGCTTCATCCAAAAAGAAACCCTTTATCCGTCGATCCAGCCAGCCAGATTTGTAGATCTTTGAAAGCGTCGAGGTCATTTTTCGCGAGCGAAGTGTCGACAGAAGCGTCGTGCCAGTGGTGCGTTCGTTTGGTTTCGGTGTCGCGCAATGACTCCCCGATATATCGACAGCTATCAAGTCTATGAGGATAAGCGTACCGTCTTCGTCAAGCATGATATTTGCAGGGTTAATATCATTATGGACAATGCCGAGACGTTGAGAATTGACTGTTTCAAGTAGTGTAGATTTGTATCGCTTGAAGCAAAGTCCAGAGACTCGACCATGAGTCTCCTGGTAACCATAATAGGCTGCAATATTTGGGTGGGGGTTCTTGCGGAGGATTTCACAGGTTTCAACTTCGCGAGCGATTCGCTTCTCGAGGTTTCCATCAACATACGCGAGGAGACTTGGAGTTTTTATATAGACCGCCGACCAAGCAGGATTCACCTCTGGCCCCCTGCCCTCGGTCGGGATTCTCTTGACTTCATCAAGGTCCTCCATCGACTTTGGCAGCTCTAATCGATTTGTCCATTTTCCAGAATATAGTAAGCCATCTTGCCGGACAAAAATCTGGACATAGGAGAATTTCATTTGGCCATCAATTCTCTTAAAGGCCTCGTTCTTTTGGATAACTTCCATGTTATCATGGAGTATCAGTTATGGGAAGCTGTGCGGAGGAATCGTGTCAGCATAGAAAAGATCCTCGCCAATAAGGGTTCTATCCATCACAACCTGAAGGTAAATGTCCGAGTCCAAAAGTGATTGGTATTTCTCATCCTTTGCTTTCACAGTTCAATATGGGACCTGAAAACACGTTTTGTGCTTGGGCCTCGATCTTTCTTTGTTGTTTGTTGTGGGTAAGAAACTCTGGCCAATGGTGTCTGCATCTCACATCACGCCTGCTCCGTTTCTTTGTTACCTCGTGCCAACCCCAACACTGATACAAGCAAACATCTCCGTCATCGAGTCATCGACACGGTGTGGCCATATCGGAATGACCTCGTCCTTTGTCTTCGACGCCGAATAAACTTCGTCCGGCAACGTGCTAACCATCGATCGACCGGACGTCGGACCAAGCTCTTTCCAGAAACCGCCTCAACAACAGCGTGGGTGAATATCGAGGTATTCTGAACGAATATCTGTTTAAAGGCGCTGTGACGGCGTTGAGATTCTTAACGAAGCATGGTTGAGGCCCCCTGGGATACAACCACCGCAGTGCAGGCAGATTTGTTCTGTTTATTCAGATATTTCGATCAATACACAGTCCATCTATGCTATGGATTCCGTCGAGCGAGCTCTTACCTCGAGTCCTGTCGAGGGAATCTCCAACCGCCAGTAGGCCAATCCGAGAGCCCAGTTAGATGTGCCCGGTTTTTTGGATTGCCACTCTTTCGGCCTTATGTTTGGAGTACAGGATGCAATCCACCTCGTACTTTTGCCTTCCCCAGAGCGTTCTCTTTATGTCTGCTTATATGAAGCAGCCACCTCGCTGCTGGGGAGCATCTACCATTTCTGCTTATATCCAAAATGCCGGAAGTCGACGACCGAACAGCGGATACTCGGGCCGTTTTCATTGTATTCATCCCGCTGGTGTGTCTTTCTATCGCATTGCGCTGCTATGTGCGCGGATGGGTCGTTAAAGCATTCGGCTGGGATGATGGACTGATGATCCTAGCATTTGTATGCACCTTTTCACATCTACGCCGTGGATCTGCGGATCTAACAATTGCGGATTATCTTAGGCAGTGTATATTACGGGTTGCGCTTTGACTATTACAGGGACGCATTATGGCTCTGGCCATGGAATCAACGACCTGACGAAAGTTCAAGGCGCGACTGCGCGGATGGTATGGAGATCTAGCGTTCCTGAAACTCCTTTTTGCCGTTTACAATAGAGAACTAACCAGAGGAAAGTACGCGTGGTTTACCCAGGTTTTCTATGTAGCTTCAACAGGCGTCTGCAAAGTCTCAGTCTGCTTTTTCCTGATTCGAATCACCGTTAGACCACTCCATCTTCGACTTCTCTATGCAATGCTCGCTTTCATTTTAATACACTCAACTTTATATTTAATTTCCTGCTTTGTCATGTGCCAACCGCTTGAGTACCTTTGGACCAGGTTGCTGCCCGGCGCGACAGGCACCTGCGTGGGTTCAAGGGCCTATATGGCTACTTTGTACACGGCTGCTGCCGTCTTATGTCTCATTGACATTGTCTTGGGCATTGTTATTCCATTTTTGATTGTCCACAGGCTCCAGATGCCAAAAGCAACCAAACTTTCGGTGTTGGGTATCATGGGTTTGGGATGTCTGTATGTCTTCTCCCCCGAGGTGTCACACTGTTTAGACAATGCTCGCCACTAATCAGAAATAGTGCAACTGTTGCTCTTTTTCTGCGATTTCCATACCTGGCTATGTTCGACTCCCGCGAACCTCTAAGTGCGTTTGTTGTGCCTACTATTCCTCCTGTTATTCATGTACTAAACAACCCTATTATTCATAGATAGCATGGTCGATGTGACAAATTGGTCCTATGTCGAAGTCAGTTTAAACATATTTGCCGGGAGCCTCGCAACCCTTGGCCCGCTCCTCCGTGCCTGGTTCCGGAGACACCACAGAGGCGGACATGCACCCACCACCGACACGACACCCAATCCCAGACAGAGACAACTAGGAGGTCGACCTCGTGGTGTCCTAGATCTTTCTTTCCCACTATCAACGCTCGATGAGTCTGTCGAAAGCAGCCTTCGGCCTGATAAACTTTGCGTAACGGTGACGCAGGTTCGGAGTCAACGCCGTTCGGGGCCGCACGATGCGAATATCAGCCAGGAGGAACTAACGGTTCGAAGAGCGAGCACGTCGGCTGGTAGTGGCGGGGAGCTTGAAATTTATAGGACGACTGAGATGATGCAGACTTCGGATGTAGAGTCTGACATTGCGAGGGAACGGGTTTAGTTACGATCCGGCGGCAAGTTCTTTGGTGATTAAAATGATTGCTTTGAGGGTTTTCGTTAAAAAGGCCTTGCTTTCGCTGATATTTGCTATGATATATGACTTGCTTTTGGCAGACGGTGTAGCGCCTGATGTGGGGTATCTATGCCCAGATATTAAAAACATGCCTTGCCTATCATTATTCTCAATCATTTCTCCAAGGCCTACTCTACGCAGAAAAGTATATCAGGATTTCGGAGTGACGCCCAACCTTGCCAAGGAGAACGTGCCTAGGCCAAGGTGGCTTTGCAGTGATCCTATCCGAGTGAGAACACCCAATGAAATACGTCCCGAGGTTATTGGGAAGATACGTCACTTGTTGAATATCTATTAGGAAAGACAGAATGTTTCACGCTAGACACCTGGATAGAAGGGGCCAAAAGGAAGCTCAGGTGGACGGGAAAGTAGTGCTATTAGGACAGGCAGACACCCTGAAACCTGCCGCAAGTAGCAAATCTAATAAGCGCCGTAGTGTTTATTTAACAGCAAATGGATCCAAATAAAGTATCATGACGTCTGGACAGTTGATCAATGTTCTGAGTATTGGCGCCGCGCTCTTGGGCTCTACCCGGGCGTCCATTCAGAAGTAAAAAATTAAGGGCATGACTGCATTGCCAACTGCTGTTTCTTTCAGCCGCTGCGCCTCGCTGCGCCTCGCTGCCCAGGTGGCTTCACTGCCCATTTGATTCGGGTTACCAAATTGAGAGACTTGGTGCGCTTCCAAGATCCTTCCAAGACCCTTGTGGCTCAGCTTTAATATCGACGATCGAATCAGCTTCTGTCTCCACGCCCATCCTCCACATGCAACGTGCGGGATTCGGGGGCCTTACAACGCCCCAGACAGCTGATAATTCACGGAAGTGATATGATATGACCCCTTTCGGCGGGCAGCCTTGATCAATATATTAAGGTGCATCCCCCAACTTCCGTTGTTGCAAGTCTGCCCTACCATCTCTTCGTTCTATTGAAAACCTTACAACACCATTGCTATTCATACTACACCCATTATGCGCTCTCTCACCGTACTACCATTTGTTCTCCTTAGCGCCACCACTGTGGTCGCCGACCAGAGCTTTCGCGAATTCCTAGAAGACAAAATCCCAAGCTGCGTAATGGACTGTACAACAGGATCCCTCAACAACGTCACCACCGACTGCAGCAACGACGCCGCATCCAGCAATAACGCGGAGGATATCAATTGCGTCTGCGACGTGCTGCGCGAGGCCGACAGCTCTGTCGTGGTAGATTTTACCGAGAGTCTTTCGGGCTGTATAGCCAACGCGGACTGCAGCTCGGAGGATCTGGAGGAGTTGAGTGATATCGAACCACAAAGCTTCCAGGACGGCATGTGCCAGAGTAATGGCGGCGGCGACGGCGTCGACGGAGACAGTAAGTTAGCGGTTTTTACAGTTTAGGGATTTTACTGACAGTTCTTAGACGGTGCTTCTCTCCTTACTGCGGGCTCGACCTTCCTCCTCACTGCCGGTGCTGCTGGTGTTTTTGCCATCTTCTAATACGCCTTGCTTTCATGATATGTATGATATTGAAGCGTTGTTTGTCGTGTTATATAAGTAGTATACCAGTTGTTCCTTCCTGTTCTGGATTACCTCCATCGTTCCTGCTGTTCTAGAATAAGCTATAATAGACCCGGCTGCTCCTTCCAGCTCAATGCCCCCATCTTAGAAAGGAAGGCACGACTTTGCTGTACATATAATGTATTACTCTCCCCCCCAGTTCAACAGCATTCGATCACAGCTCCCCTGATACCGCGCCAACATTGGTAAAACATCAGCGGCGTCCCGCGCCTCCGCCAGTATCCTGCCATTCTCGGCACTGATAAACCCCTTGCCCACCGCATGGCGCAGCCACGCCAGTAGCCCATCCCAGTAGCCATTCACATTCAGCAAAACAATACCAACATGATGGATCCCCAGTTGATTCCACGTCGTCATCTCCATCACCTCCTCAATCGTCCCAAACCCTCCAGCCAGCGAGACAAAGCCCGACCCGGGCCCTCCCTCCATCACCTTCGTAGCCATCAGACGCTTGCGCGTATGCATATCCGGTACGACCGTGGTGATGCCGTACTCGGACTCGGGAATGCCTTTGCTTTCATTGATATCGGTCGACACTACGCGTTCAGCGGCTTTTGCGCCGCCGTTCACTTCGGGCCCCTCGTGCTTCGCTGAAACCTGCACCAGGGCGCGTGGAATCACCCCGTGGACGGACTCGGGCCCGGAGAGTGAGACGAGCGTCCGTGCGATCTCGCCCATTAGTCCTGTTGTGCCCCCGCCGTAGACGAGGCGGACATTTTTCTTGTGGAACTCGTGCGCGAGGGCGCGCGCGGCTTCTAGGTGTTCGGGCTCTGTGCCTGATGTTGCGCCGCAGCTGTAAGTAGATGGGCATCTTGGTTAGCTTGGACTTAATGGTCTACTCTTGCATTGTTTGGTACTGCTAACGGGTAGGACATGGTATTGGGCATTGGTGTCGACGTCCTGGGCTACAGTGGGAGTGCATAAACTTACAATACGCAAACAACAGCTTGTTTAGTATGGTCCATGGTAAATGATGATTGTATGAGGGGAAGTAAATTGTTAGTGGGGATGGTGAGCTGTCATGCTCGTAAACGCATGGAGTCGAGATTTTCTGGTGGGGTGGCTTAGGGCTAAACTGCCTGCGAGTGGTCCGTCTCCACGGAGTCTCCAGTTCATCTGCATTGCAGTATTTAGTGTCTGTTTTTGTTACTCTACTATTCTTTCGCTACTTTCTAGAGTCCACAAGTAGTCAGAAACAGGACGGCTAGAACAGGATAGAGGTAGAGCTTTATCCTAAAAGAGTACGGACGGTATACGGAGTCTATTTTAGCTACGGTGTTTTGCGGGGTTACGGCGCATCATGCAAGAACTGAACTCTTTATACCAGCTAGTGAAGCATCCCTCTGATGATCCGGGACTGGCCGGATCGGCACAGTTTGAGAGGGAGGGCGTTTGAACTGATTCGTGGAATATAGCATGCTTGGATGCTTGGTAATATAGACGTGGGACCGTGCTACAGTCCATGCGCTTCTCACTACTACAGACGATGCTACCTCGGCAGCATATGAGTCGTAAGAGAGGACAATATATTCATTTATCTGAAAGTCGGGCAATGCAACCATCCTGAATACATTCCTAAGCTAAGAAACAATAAACAACCACATAACTTCTTGTCATCACACCCCACCCACTACAGGCAGTGCTACCTAAAACGTCGACCCAATGGGCCCAAACTTGATGTTCGAGTAAACAACATAGGCATTCGGATGCTGCGCCTCAACCTCCTCAGGCACCCCCGAGCTTGTCGGGCACGTCCCCCGCGCAATCCCAGGCTGACTGGGATCCGCATCAACAGGATAATTCGAATCAAGCCAGAGCATATGCGCATAGTCATCGTCCCACAGCGACAAAACAAGGACCATACCCTGTTCCAGCGCGGCGCCCATCCCCGCCAAGCCACCGTGGGCACTAAACGATCTTTCATCCCCGAAGAGCTCCTTCTGGGACTCACAGAAGGGCGTCGTGATCGAGTTCCCCTCGTTCCCGGTCCAGGTGGACTCGGAGTTTGGGATGGTTACCCCGTTCTGCACGTAGAAGCGCTTGATTTCAGAAAGGGCGCCGGTGTCTGTGCCATCGGCCGTGATGAACTGCGTCACCAGCGTAAGAGGGCTGTTCGTGTCGATGGTCATGCCGGGCCCGTAGAAGGTCTCGTTCCCCTGACGGAAGGGATTAAAGTCACACCCATCCGGATCACAGGTACCACCGTACCGATCGGCGCTATATGTCCCGCCACACGAATCCCCGCTGCAGATTGTCTGGCCCGGAGTATCGCAGGGATGCGGGGTATACGCGGTCGAAATGCTATTCGCTTCCCAGATATCCATCTCAGCGCAGCAGGAGCCGTGTCCGCCCACGCCCGCGTTCGGGTTCGTATCTGACGGTTCCCACCCCTCGACGTTGGCTTGGCCGTTGATGAATTTGAGATCGCGCGGGCACTGCGAGTCGCAGTAGCCGGTACCGTATTTGGCACCGGCTTCGTTGGTGGGGTATCGCGATAGCCCGCCGTCTGCGTCCATGGAGACGAAGTATACGGCGCCGTTGAGGCCGCAGGGCAGCTCGGAGACGTCGACGTCGAAGGTGAATTCGCGGTTGAGGAGGTGGAACATGGTGTATGTGTCTTCGTCGTCCATGAGGTAGAGGCGGGAGCCGATGTTCTTCTGCTGCGACTGGGTGACGAAGTTCAGACGCAGCGAGTCGCCCGAGGTCGTGATGCCATAGGTGGAGGAGTACTGGGCGCCGTCGAGGGCGCACTGCTCGGCGCAGACTTCGTTGTTGGTGCAGATTGAGGTGTCGAATTCATTGCCCGTGTAACAGTTGGTGTACCCGTCTACTGTGTGTAGCCAGCGCCAGTTTGCGTCGATGACCACCTCGCCGTTGACGGTGGTGCAGCTGCCGCCGCTGCTGCAGGTCTGCCAGGTGAGGCTGGGATGGTTCTCGGCCTGCTGGGTGCCGACCTTCTGCGCATGTATAGTGGATAGGATAGAGGCGAAGAGAAGAGACTTGTACATTTGAAACGAAGCCATCTGTGAGTTTACAAGATAATATCAGCGTGTTTGTCAATTATCTTACACAACTTGAGGGCTAACACCCGGCTTTATACCTGTGCTCGTCCTCATCTCGAGCGATGCCAACACGGACTCGCGGTCCGTATACCGTAGCAAACGGCTTCATGAAGCCCTATAGCTCATCTCCACGGTCTCTCCAAGTTGGACTTCAACTGCCTTGACGAAATGGGCACTCCGTCTCTAGCCTTGAAACTATCATGTGCAGAGCAGCTAAACATGATGGTGGCGAGAATATAGTAATATATTAGATTAAACCCAATCTATCGGATGTTAAACGTAGTACTATACAGTTGGCCCGAGGGAACAATACCCGAGCTGTCTGCGAATGAGGCGCATTCTTCAATGCGGGGAATTCGTCAGACTGCACGTGGAGGTGGGCCCAGAATGGACGGATACATGGGTCAATTGTCAAGAATTTCTGCAGCTCATGCAGTCCCGGCGATACCTCCGTCTTCGCTTGCAGGTTGTATAACAGCATAAGAATAAGGTGGCGAAGAATGACCTCGCGAGCCCTGGCCAAGAGCCCTAAACCCTTACCCTGCTTTAGGCGTTCTCGATCTTATCAATCTAATCACTGACTCAGCACTGCAAGCGGATGCGAAACGCACGTGAGGTTTCGAGCTTCTCCGAATTCGGCAATGATCCCCAAAGTTTTACAGTGAGTCAAATCGGGTGGCACACTCTGGTCCCCTCATTCCTCTCATTCCTCTCTTCATCTCAGTTCTCCCAATATACGGCCTTGAAAGATTCAACACAAGCCAATTCGTTCAACATGAGCTTCATCCTCACCCTCTCCTGCCCCGACCGGCCCGGGATCGTCAGCGCCGTCACCAACTTCCTCGTCCAGCACAACCTGAACATCATCGACTCCTCGCAATACGGCGACCCTACCTCCCACAGCTTCTTCATGCGCATGCACTTCGGCCCGGACACCACCGGCTCCAGCGAAGCCAGTGCGCCTTCCCTTGAATCCCTCCGCAAGGCCTTCGACCCCATCGCCACCGCCCACTCCATGTCCTTCCAGCTCCTCCCCGCAGATCACAAGCCCCGCGTGTTGATCATGGTGTCCAAGATCGGCCACTGCCTCAACGACCTCCTCTTCCGGCAATCAACCGGCCAATTGGCCATCGAGATCCCCTTGATCGTCTCGAACCACCCGGAATTCGCACAGCTCGCCGCGACGTACAAGGTGCCGTTCATGCACCTCCCCGTGACGGCGGACACAAAGCAGCAGCAGGAAACCCGGATCCTGGAACTCATCAAGGAGTACGAGATCGAGCTGGTCGTGCTGGCGCGGTACATGCAGGTTCTGTCGCCGACGCTGTGCGAGGCCATGTCGGGCAAAATCATCAATATCCACCATAGTTTCCTGCCTTCCTTCAAGGGCGCTAAGCCCTACCACCAGGCCTTTGACCGCGGCGTGAAGCTTGTCGGGGCCACGGCGCACTTCGTCACGAGTGATCTTGACGAGGGCCCGATTATCGAGCAGAATGTCGTTCGCGTCAACCACGCCCTCAGTCCGAAGGAGCTGACCCATGCCGGAAGTAATGTCGAGAGCAATGTCCTGGCTGCGGCGGTGAAGTATTTTGCTGAGCGCAGGGTTCTGCTGAACGGACACAAGACAGTTGTCTTCAATTAGATTTGAGCCGTCGTCGTCGATAATCGCTGTTTTGGATAAGTTTGTTCGTCTGTACAGCAAAGCGCAAATGCATAGCCTGAGCTGGATTCCGTCGCGTTTGGCCTCGTGCAGATTCGTCCATTGCGATGCATCCATTCCTGAAATCATATCCTTGAATACGTTAGCTAGCCGTACCAATCAGAAAGAAGAATGAAAGCCGCAACTCACTCATAAGCGAAGCCTCACGCCAGGAACGTAGTCTGTAAGCGATATTAAGGAACTGTCAGTTCGATAATAGTAGTGACCATTCTGCATCGACTAAGCCGTTGACTGAGGATATTTTAACGGTTGATAAGTCGAATTCATTCATCCACACGACCGCTGGCGCAGCAAAGCCGCTACATCGGCATACTGCCCCTGACTTGCATCCTGCAGAGCAAGGATCTCATCCGCCAGGTCACTAGCCCAGAGGTACTCCGAATGATATAAGCGCAGCTCAAGCAGGCGCTCTCTTAGCCACGTTCGCTGCGCCGTATTATCCGTCTCAATGACCGCCATGAGAAGCGGCCAGTGGAGACGGCGCATGAGGCGCGGGTCTACTGTGTACTGTTTCTGCGCTATCTCGATGATGTTTGACGCGGCGACGCGGTGGAAGAGGGAGGGCGGGCCTGGCGGGTATAATAGCCGGCGGTGGAACAGCACCTGGGCGTAGAAATTTGTGACGGCCATGTTTATGGTGATGAGGGTGCGGCGGGGGGATACGAGGCCGGCGAATTTGGCTGTTAGGAAGAGGTCGGAGAATTGCTATAGTAATTAGTTATATTTCAGCCGTCAGTTGGGCAAGTCACGTACTTCACGGATGGCCATGATTTCCTTCAGAATTGCTTTCGCTTGGTCTTCTTTCTCAGCCGGATCGCTTATCAGCGCTTGCCACGTTTTATGGCGGAGCATCATGTCTGCGTGCACGAGCTCCAGAGCACGGTAGTTCTCTATGTCGTCCGTGACTTCCTGGTCAGGGTACTGTGTGCCCCAGAAACACCGACCCCATAGGCGAGCGCAGCGATAGAGCCGATCAGGATGGATAGCTGGATTTCCTGAGTTGAGTGCGTATTCGTACAGCGATTCCGTCATGCCCATTGGCCGACAGCTCGAGTCGATGTACCTAGGCCGGAAGGTTAGCAGGCGTTTGGTCAGGAATAGTCTGAAACCTACAGAATCCAGAGGAGCAATTGCTCTGGGATGAACGACACCCTAGGAATCGAGTCTTCTGCATGAGCGGGATCCATGGATAGGATCATCTCATCCACGTCTTTTATCTGGAAGAGATTAGGGTGCGATTCCAGAAGCGAGCGGACGCCGCGCAGATGAAGCTGGAGATCCTGGATGGATTGGCCGAACTGCCACTCGTACGAGATCATCAAAAACATCGTCGCAAAGACCATCTCCAGCTCTGTTTGGGAAACCGGACCCTCTCGGGTCTCGAGGAGCTGGCGGAATTCCTTTACTGCCAAGCCATAATGGTATCGAGCGTGATCGTCTGCTGTTGGACGACCGGGGGACCGCAAAACAAGACCGTTTCGGTGCATATCACTCGCGGATAGAGCAATGATCATGCGCATAATCACCTTGCTGGAGATGGCAGGGCCTTGGTAGAGATAGTTGAAACCGCTCCAATCCCATGACTTTATATAGTAGAATACAATGGAAGACGCCGGAAAATACTGAAAGTATTTCTGGTCATGTTCAGTGAGCATCAGCGAGTTGGAGCATTCGATGTCCGTCCCAGACAGCGGAGGATACAGCGGAGTCGGGACGGTGAACGTGAACGGCGTGGAATTCCATATTCCCGAAAAAAGAGCCCCCGGAGAAGCAGGGCCCAGCGGGACGGCGTCGAAATTGGGCACGGGTAGTTCAAACGCAGAGGGAGTGACAGCGGTGGTGGCCGGGGGAGTCGCTGGCCATTGATGGTGGGCAGGTTGGATAGGGACAGGAGCATGCGACCTTCCCCGTTGCACGACTCCCCACTCGCAGGTAAGACCGAGAGAAGAACATCGCTTGCAGACTGGATGTTCCTCTCCGCACTTTACTTTTCTGCGGCGGCAGGTGCTGCATCCTAAATAAACGAGCGATCAGCAGCTGCATGAGTTTCCCGCGGAGAACTGGCTGCAGTCAGCATACCATTCTTGGAGCGAGGCGCATGTCGACCGGTCATGGGTTAGATGGCCCGCGAGTCATGTACAAAAGTGAGCCCCGCGGGTCTGGAATAGACGACAATTGACACAGTCCAGGTGTCAGGAGCTGAAGCGTAATTCAGAAGCGTAACTAAAGAAAAAAGAACGTTGAGTTGTCCGCGGAAGAGACGGAGAGGACAAAGCGTGTATTAGTCACGGATCGTGGGTCATGACCAACCCAAATATTGACAACGATTGATTTATGTTATTTATATTTACTTATTATTTATTTATGATTATTTATTGGGTGAATGCCTGATCTCTGCTTAATACAGTATGTCAAGCATTAAACGCAGCCATGCCCATAATTAGGTGTGAACAGTGCATCCGGGTAAGAGTATAGCACTGACAGATTTGGGTGGAGACGTCCATTCTTTACTCAACCAAATTGCGCACTGTTTTGCCAGAGGCCAGCTGTCATCGCGTCGACGGCAGACCGATTGGTATTAAAATATACCGCCTGGGTTGATGGATGCAAAGATTGAATGATGGCTGCTAGTTATACGCTGCCATACGTTTATCGACGGAATTAAATTCCGCGGCGGAAATAGTGACATTTCCATCTAGAGGTCCCCTAGTAAAGAAGAGAAAGGAAGAGAAGGAACGCTGGTTATTGGTATATATACATCCAAAATAAAAAGACAAGACAGCCCAACTCGTACACAACCCAGATAGTGGACAATAAACGCCGAGTATATTCTCGCCACACTCCTCTCCATCTCTTAGCCTAGTCAGTCTATCCACGTATTTAGTAACTAATTCCCATATCAGCAAACGAAACCTACACTCGAGCCACGTAATTTCAAAACATACCTCAACTTCGACTCACCACCCCTGCGGTCCATGCCCGTGGTGTCCAGGATGCCCATGTCCAGGTCCATGTCCAGGCCCATGCATACCCGGCCCCGAAGGGCCCTGAGGTTGGAATCCATGAGGACCGGATCCAAAACCAGGTCCAGGAGGACCACCAAACCCGCCAGGGCCATGACCCGGAGGTCCCTGTGGATGAAATTCGTGATGTCTCGGACCAGGACCATGATCATGACCGTGTCCATGGTGTCCAGGCGGGGGAGGACCGCCAGGACCATGATTATGATGTAACTGTACAGGCCCTGATGGTCCGCGGGGACTAGGAGGACGGTCTCCAGGGCCGGGACCCTGGCCGTATACCCAGGAACCGTTGGGGCCATTGGGGCCGTCTGATGGTTGATGGGGATTGTGGTTATGGTGCGGGTGATGATGATGAGGATGGTGATGGTGACGAGGAGGAGAGTGGTGGTGAGGCCCTGGGGGACCAGGAGGCCCAGGAGGCTTCTGCCCAGGCCCGTGGTGATGATGGTGGTGATGGTGTGAGAATAGACCCATGATGAAATCTAGAGATGCTCTTAAACCGAAGTAACGGAAACCGACCGGGATGTTAAATAGTTAAGTATCACTGGTGAATACTGTTACCTACGGAAGGTTAACGCAGCCGCAGACGCAGCCCTATGTACGTAGTGCTCCTTACTGCGTGCTTGTCATGGTCCACGTGGCGGGCGGGATGAGCACCTTTTCCAGACATCGTCGTAAGAATCGAGAGAGTGGGTATGGAAGCTAGGCGTAATTGCTTAACAATTTCTAGAAAACGGGGATGCCTGATGTCTTGCGTGGGACTGGCGCGAGGTAATTCCGATATTTATTCCGTACTGCGCAGGGATCAGATAGAACATACTGCCCAGTGGCAATAATATTTACTGTTCAAGGAGTATTCGCCGTTACGTATGCACTCCACTCGCCACTACGGCGTCAGCTCAGCCCTACTAATGCAATTGATTTCAAAAGTCTATATTATTATTGACGCGCTAATTATTTGCTGATATGCCCAGCCAATCAATCCCGATATGATCCAGATCCATCATACAACGCTATGCTGAACATGAGATAGGCACCAAAACAAACTCCTCTAATGCTCTCCTCCAAGTCCACGGATATTTCACTTAAACTCACTTCGCAAGCTCACTCGCCAGCTTACTTTTCCCCCGAATAGTCTGGCCATAGATCACCAACACCCAAGGCACAACACACAACGCCGCCCCAATCGCACCCAACAAACTCGACGCCTCAGGGAACCCCAGGTTATTAAACATCGCATTCGTGACAAGCGGGAACACTCCACCAAGCAGATTCCGACAGCAACTCTGCGCCGCAATCGCCGAGCTCGCGTACCGGTGGTACGTATCAGCCAGGTAATTGAAGACGGCGAGGTAGACGGAGAAAATGCCCATTGTCGCGCACCCGATTGCGATTGTCGGGCTGATCCAGTGGATGTGTGGGAAGGAGGTCCAGCCGAACCAGAACAGGCCGATGGGCATGAGGATGCTTTCGAGGCAGACGAAGTAGAGGCGTGCTTCGGGGGTGGCGGGGAGGAGGTTGAAGCGGCTGGCGACTTTTTCTTGGTAGATGCTGATAACGGTGATGAGGAGGGAGCCGACGCACATTGCTGTTTGGTTTTGATTAGTTTAGTCAATGATTGGATGGGGGTAGAGGACGTACAGGTGAAGGTCGCGCCGACTTGCTCGATGTTGAAGACGTGGTTCTTCTGGAAGACGAGTGGCACGGAGCCGAACTGGAGGTACAGAACAGCCCAGCTGAAGGAGACCCAGAGGGAGAAGAAGAAGACGACGGGCTCGGTAACGAGCATATCTATCAACGTCAGTACTCGAACTCAAAGTAGGATAGTTCACAAAGTAGGATAGTTTCAGGGACATACGGAATGGCCGATACAGCGAAATGCTAATCATCTGCACCAGCGACGCGCGCTGCTCATCACTCTTGACCTTCCACCGAATACGTCTTGGATTAGGGTTCTCGCCAATCAAGACGCCAAAGTGCCCTGCTGCCTCGAGCTGGTCGTAGTACTTATTCAGGGTATGCGCCTTACGGCTCAGAAGCACACTGCCTCTAGTCTCCTTGAAGAAGAAGAAGATAACAACAACAAACACACCAGACACAATGGCATGAGACCAGTAGACCCAGCGCCAAGATGTATGATGCACAATGACGCTCGAAATCAGCGGTGCCAATCCCGTGCCAAACAGCGCAGCTCCGGCAAAGAGCGCCATGGGCGTGTTCCTATCTTCAGCATGATAGATATCGCTAATAACACCACCAACCATGGTCGAGAACGTCGAAGCTCCAACACCCTGGAAGAACCTGGCAACGAGGAACCCAGCAAAAATCCTTGTCCCCCCGCAGGCAACAATACAAGCAACGAAGAGAATCCCACTCGCGACGAAAATGGGGCGTCGCCCGTTAATCTCTGAAAACGGGGCCAGCACCATAGGCGCCAGCGCAAAGCCAATACAGAAGATCGTGATGCCCAAGTTATACACCACGGAGCTGATGTCCCACTCCTGCGTCAGGGGGCCCGAGGCCGGCGTGATCTCGCCTGCAGAATACCCCGCCAGCGCCGTCACCGCACACGAGATCCAGGTCATCAGCGACTTGCGCCATTTCGGCCACAGGAACGGCGAGATGTACTTGTCGAGATTGGGCGGGTCGGGGGGCGGCGACTGCCCTGGTCCTGGGGGTGCAGTGATCCATGGTGTTGGGAGGGGCGTGTCGAGCTCGAGATAGAGGAGGTCGATTTCCTGTGACGAGGCCTCGGCGGTTTTCTTCTCGTTCATGTATTCGGGACTTGGGATTGGGGTCTGTGCGCGGCTTTCTTGTTGTGTCGAGCTTGAGGCGCTCGAGATGTGGCCGGTGGCCATGTTGGAGATTATATCAAGACTCGAGTGCTGCGCAGTGAAGTCCGGCTTGTGAGCTTGCAAGATATGATTCAGAGAGGGTGTTGGGATTTATAAGAGCTTGAAGCCGGATTCAGTGCCGAGAATTGGAGAACTTGGGCCTTATAGTTTAATGGCTCGTACTTATACTTATACTTACTTGTAGATATGTACTACAATAAGAGCTTACTTCTGAGTATATTAAGTCGTTCTTAATATTTAGCCACTCTATCTGAGCTGCCGTTCTAAAGCAACTATTACAGCCATCTTCATGTTCTCGAGTATGAAAATCGAGTATGAAAATTGAGAACGGCCGAAAAATTCTGGATAAGAATTGGGGGATTCCCCACTTTCAGGTATCTCCGAATTGGAGAACCAGATGACTCAACAAGTCAACATCAGTCTCAATCTTCCACGAGCAGTCAATTTGCAGTTAACGATTTTATGATTAGTGAATAGTGATTCTTGTCCATGTAAGATTATTAATCCCAAAATCTATGCAGCGACATGCTACCTCCAAATTGGACACTTCAGCACAGATGCCGAACTCCGACATGTATAGCTACATCCCCAATTCTACTTCGACTTGACGATCAATCACTAATACATATTATTAATCGTTATGATTGGAATGCATCGTTTTTCCCTAGAATATTGCCAGGCCTGAAGATGTCTCACAGCATTTCAATCGCTGCTTTTTACTACTACCAAGACGAGCTCCCTGTCAATAATGGCCTCGATATTGTTGCCCAGACAGATTCAGGCCTAACCCCGCTTCCCCGGGTCGGACTACGTTGCGAACTGGGGCCAATGACGTGAGACATCTTGCTTATCTTGTAGAAAATAGAGTAGGTTTATTTCGTCAATGAAATGTTAGAGGCAGTTTAGGGGTTGGGTTATTTCCGTAAGACATTTAGTGAATCCTGCCGAATGTTATATATTTTTGTAAGTATAGAAGACTGCCTGTTTTTATGCCAAGATTACTATACCAAGACTACAGAAAGAAATATCGTAGCAAACAAGCACATAAAAATGGATATCATTCATTCATGCATTGAAAGTAGCAACTCTATCCTAGCCGTGAAATCTATTTGTGGTTGATGGAAACAATCAGGTCACCGTTACCACGAGCCTCATTGTAGCCTAAACGAGCATTGTTAGTAAACTACCTTAGGAAGCCCAAGACAACGGGAAGGAATCTCACCTGCAACCTGCTGCTGAGAGTTAGTGCAGCTATCAATAACCGCCTGGGCAGCAGCAGCAACGTCACCACTACAGACCGTTAGTACTTGTACAGATTAAACATGTTAAGACAGGCATACCAAGAAGAAGACGTGCTGTCCTTGCCGCTGATGTTGCTGCCGGCGATGACAAGATCGCCGTTCTGGCAGAAGATTCCGTTCTCGCCCTTGATGGCGCAGTCGTCGCCGCTCTTGTTGTTGAGATAGTCGACGCAGCTCTGAGCGGCCGAGACGGGCTGGTAGCCGCCGCCGTTGTCTTGACAGGAGAGCTCGCGCTTCTGGAAGATGTTGTCGGCGGCGGGTGCGGCGAGGGTGCCGGTGGCGGCGATGAGGGAGAGGAAGAGAGTTGAGGAGAACATTGTGAGTGAAGATGGAAGAGTAGAAAAGTAGAAGTGTTTGTAGAAGAGTGTTGGAGTTGTAGTGATGCTGTTTGATGATGAGAAGATGGAGGGTGTCGGGCCCTCTTTATACCTTTGCCAGGCAGGTCAACAGGTCAATGCTATACAGGCCAGACATCAGGTTGCGGGCTTTCCAACACAGGGCGCAGTGAAATCAAGATGAGGCAGTGTTTGGCTTATCCCAGAGGTGGGCATACTGTGGAGTCCAGCGCCAACAAACAGCTCGACAAGCTGTCAGCGCAGATGTGGGTACTTCATATCCGATGGAGGCGCTTTTGTGACAATTGAGGCGCTGCTAAGCCTTGAACCTGCTGTGATCGTCGCGCCAAGATGACGCCTCAGCTTGGATATCCAACATCCAGCCGTCTTCAGTCGATTTCAGTCGTTCCCAACTGTGGCCCTGTCGAGTTGCTCTGTTGTTACACCGGTTAGGCATCCAGCCTCATCCTTCACGATCAGATTTGGGGCCAAAACAGGCGAGATGGAAGTGTGGAGAAAGCACAGCCGTCATGGAGTCTGCAAACCGAGAACGCCCTCCAATTTGCTGTTCCTGGATCAGCCCCAATCGCCGACGTGCCGATCTTGCCAAAGCCTCCAGATGTCAGGGGCCAAAAGTCTTCTGCACGCCCAATCACTCGAGTTTGCGCGCTCAGCCGCATGCGACGGAATATTGGCAGGAGGTTGAAAGATTCCTGCCGGGGAACAGGCCTCTTCTGTGTTCTATCTTTGGACTGTCAGTCATACGATGTTTGGCTTACTTCCCTCAACTCTCGAGACTGGATAATGCCGATCTCCACCAAGATTCAGACTAAAAAACTAAACTGCTTCTTCGCCCGTAAGCCACTTCGTTTAGGCTTTAGAGAGCATGGATTCTTTCGTTTGGCCATATCCACATGTAGATGCCGAGGTATTGCCGCCTGGTCGCTCCTGTTTCCAAAGACTAGCTCATGAAGCAGAAAGAATTTCCATGCCTAAGAATCTTTTCTGCCTTGGTAACAGCGTTGCCAAGCTGCAGTTCTTGCAGCTTGTACAATACTTTGAACACTTGATTATAGATATGTCAAATCTGGCTACTTGATAGGATCTCCGCGAACCAATTGGCTGACAGAGAATAATGGCGGCTCGAGCGACTTTACCTCAAACATCCCTAGTCCCCATTCTTCTTCTATCAAAATGGGAGCAAAGCGAGTGATTCTGCGCGTCCCAGAACACGAAATGAATTACCAGCATCCTGGCGAGTTCGTCGACTTTTATTTCACCAAATTCCCCTCCGCCGCTGCCTCAGACTCAACGCGCTATACTTATAGTATTATTGAAAGAACAATACCGAAAGTCAACTCAATATCTATAAGGTATCTTCTATCATGTATCTATCATTTAATTCTATATATCCATCTACCAAATTATTTAGTCCATCCCAACCGGCCCCTCCCCCGCCGCAAGATTACACTGCCTAAACAACCTCACCTCCCCCTCCCCAAACGCCCCAACAACAGAATGCAGCACCCCACGGTTATGGAAGAGCACCAAGTCCCCCTCTTCCCAGTCATGCGGATACACAAACCGCGGACTAATCGCCGGCCGCTGCATGCCGTACACGATATCCCTCACTTGCTTGAGATCGTCAATCACCGTCCCGTCGGCAAGATGGATCTTGCGCACGGCGGAAGGGTGGATCTGTAGCGCCGGCTTGCCGGTTACGGGGTTCTTCCAGACCATAGGCAGGATCTGGATTTTGGATTCGTCGATAACTGGCAGGGAGGAAGGGGGGAGTTCGAGATTTTCGGTGTGTAGCCCTAGTCCTGTGGGGAGGGAGCGTGCGGGGGACATCCAGATGTATCTGCGTTAACTGGTTAGTCGAGATAACTGGATGGAATGGGTGGATGGGACGGGTGGATGGGACGGGACGCACGGATGAGCTGCGTACTCGATGCGACTGCTCAATGCAAACTCCTTATCTTCCTCAGAGAGGAGATTGAACATGCGCTCGCCGCTGACGAAGGCTGTTGTGCCGAGGGGGACATCGAGGGTCTCATCAGATCCGTCATCGTACCGGAGTGTCTGACGGCGTCCTTTAGGTACACGTACAGCTAGTAGCGTCGTTACGTGCGGCGGATAAAGGTCGTACAGCGCTGCATCGATATGCCAGCGGTAAAAGCGGGTGAAGTCGTAGTCATCTTCGTCTGGGATGGCATCGCGGTGGAAGGTGCGGTGGTGGGGGTGTTTGAGCTGGATGTTCTCAAGGCCCTCGTAGGAGTCGACGAAGCCGTGGCCGATGACCTGGACTTGGGGCTGGTGGGGGACGGTTTTCAGGTCTGGGTGGAGGATGCTGCGTTTGGCGTCGAGGGTCTTGCCGTGCCCGTACTGCGAGGCGGAGGGGTCGAAGCGCTGGGTGAGTTCGTACTGGGCTTTTGGGGTGAGGTGGTGTTGGTTTTTCACGACCACGACGAGATGTTTATACAGGGCGTCGCTTATTGTTTTGAAGACGTCGTCTGGTTATGTTAGTACTAAAGTGCAGCTGAGAAAGGGGTTGTACCTGTCAAGTTTTCCAGGTCAGCATTGGTAACGACTGCGCCAAAGTCGATATCGGACCCCGCTGGTGGCGTCAGAGGTTCAACTACAGGTGCAGGCATTTGCGAATGTGCTCCAAACTCGTCGCGGTCACGAACTGAAGCACGGCAGCAAAGAATACTTATAATTATTGGCGACGGCTTCCCCCGCAGCGGGATCCGCCGATGATCGCTTATCGATGCTTATCGAGCGGATTATCTTATCTTCTGCGGCGAACGCCGTCAATTATTGGTTGATTTACGTGAATTATTGAGTCGGATTCAATATCAGAAATGCAGACATACTTCTCTCCTCATTTAGGCTAAATTGCTGAGGCTCGAGAATAAGCTTTGTCCCTGAACAACCCTGTGCAAGAATAGTATGCTGTGTCCATTGAATAGATGAAACAGAGACCAATTCGACTAAATCAAGGAAGTCCCCAACCCCTTCCAAGACAATAAGCCATCAATCTCCTGTCGCATTCCACACAGTACACGTACGCAAGAAAGTTCGCTCGGTCCAGTGATCATACTGGCGATCCCGGCCATTCCCGCCAAGCAACAAAGCCGAGACTTCCATTGGACAGGCACCGATCAGCTTATCCTGTTGTAGTTTAGCTCCCCCTTGGCGACAGGGATCTTGCGAGCCTAAACCATTTTAAGCTCAACATTTACAGCCCCATCGCAAGCTCTCCGAATAGGTCTCTCCAGTCCACCTTGTAAAACAAATAGTTGACTCATTCCTGCGAGCCATTATGTCGCACCGCCTGTTCAATGACGACATGGAGAGGGCAGGGATGGCCTATAAATCAGACACCCTTCCCACCTCCAACGCAGATTCTTCTACAATCCCAATCCTCAAACAAAATGGTATCGTTAAAGACCGTCCAAGCATCCAACGCCCGCCTCCGGGCAATCCCAAACTTAACCACCCTCTTCGTCGGCGGCACCAGTGGCATCGGCCAGAGCACCCTGCGCCAGCTCGCCCGACACGCCGACAGCCCTACAGCGTACATCGTCGGTCGCAGCCAAGCTCGCGCGACACCCTTCCTATCCGAACTGCAGCAAACAAACCCCAAGGGCCGCTTCCACTTCATCGAAGCAGACGCATCCCTTGCGCGCAATGTCGACGCGGCATGCAAAGAAATCCTCGCCAAGGAGAAACACTTGAACTTCCTCTTCATGACGCCTGGGGGGATTTCCCTCGGCGGGCGAAACGGTGCGCCACACAACCCTTAATATATACAGGTTACATCACTAACAAGTATAACCAGAAACAATCGAAGGAATAGATCACCTCTTTTCCCTCCGCTACTACGCCCGCATGCGCTTCATCCAGAACCTCCTCCCCTTACTCTCCTCAACACCCAGTTCAAGTCCAAGCAGGGTCATAAGCATCTACGGCGGCGGGTTCGAATTCCCCATCAACACATCCGACCTCGATCTGAAACATACATTCTCTCTGTTAAACGCATACAAGCACTCCATCACCATGACCTCGCTGGCGATGGAGCATCTCGCGAAAACGAACCCGGCTGTGAGTTTTGTGCATGCATACCCGGGTCTTGTGGGGACGAACATCTACAATAATAGTTTCCCGGCACCTGTGGCGGCGGTTTATAATTATGCCATGTGGCCGCTCATGTGGCCGTTTTCGGTTGATCTGAAAGAGGCCGGGGAGAGGCATTTGTTTCATTTGGCGTCCGGGAGGTATCCTGCTAGAGATGCGGTTCCGGTTGATGAGGAGGAGGTGGCGACGGGGATTACGGGGGAGAAAGGGGGTGGTGCGTATTTGTTGGATTGGAAGGGGGATGTTAGGAGCAGTGCGAAGATTCTGGAGCAGTACCGTGAGCAGGGTGTTGCGGAGATGGTTTGGAGGCATACGGAGGGGCTGTTGGAGGAGGCTGTTAGGCGGTGATTTCATGTAATAAAAGGTGTATATAGATTTAATGTTTTTTAGTTAAGGAGTTCCATCTACTGTGCTCTCAGGACTTCTTGGAATGTATGAAAAATAATTAATAAAATTGCATAAAAACAGCGTAGTCTCATAAAAATAAAAGGTTAACAGACAAGCATTGTCGAACCCAACGAAGATTACATCCATCAGATCAAGAGTATCGCAAGAGTGCCAAGCTGACACGCTATTGATGACACCTCGGCCCGATTCTATTCTGTGGGGTATTCTTGTGAACCAATTTAATTGAAACGATTAGACTCACCGACACTGACTCTGTAGCCTCCAACAGGAGTAGTTTTATCGATACATCAGAATAAACATGAACCCTTTTCAGTGCCGTTACATGCGGGAAGACCAGTAGGGCTGATTAGCGCCAAGACATGAACACACTCAGCGTAACCAGATACTAGGCTTGGGGTTTATTATATTAATACTATTGTATATTTTCTTCCTTGCATTAATTGACTGTGAAATGTGGTCTACCAACGAGTAATACAGAATACAGATTATAGTACTGTTATTGATGCCTGAGGGTTATTTCCATCGTGTTTCAACTATCCATGTGAACTGCCTCAGGCATATCAGTTCGTATAAATGGTTTATTATACATGCATAACTGAGATGCGGGCTATTTTGTCTTATTTCGTGGTCTTGCTGGCTTCCTGCTCTAGACTCGCTTATGCCATATCCCATTCTGCCCTGGCGTGCTTGGCGATACGGCTGGACGGAGCGAACTCCGTTAGTGTGTGTGAGATGCAGACTGAATGACCCCTGCAGGTTGTGCCTCCTGTTATTACTGCTGGATTTATTGGCCATGGCGTCTGCTTTAACAGGTCGGTCGGCCAGCCATCGACCAACCCAGCCAGCGCCGTCCGCATCTGGCAGAGAGGAATCCCCCGTGTCCGTTTTGTCCACGGATGCTGCTCTGGCCTGGTTTCGCTTGTTCGGGACGAGATCCTGTCTGCGTTCTTGATGCCATAGTCTGGGGAGATAAAAGGGGCCATGTCCCCGACATCCTGGACCCTGACACAACCTCCAGTCTTGCTCCACTGTCCAAGACTTGGTCGCTTTCGCTATGGCTAACGACGAGAAAAGAGAGTCCCATGAAGCCGGGGGTTCGGTGAGTCGTCCTTGAGGGTGACCGTCTTCCACTTCTGACTTTGCAGGTCGATGAGAAAAATGTGCCGGTCGTATCCAAGGTGGCCATTGGAGATGAGGCCTTCCAGCAGGCCATGATCAAGGAGCCGCCCGGCGTATTCGAGTCGCCTGTTCTCATCCTGGCGAGCTTCGTGGCATTCTGCTGCTCAACAGCTAACGGCTATGACGGCTCGCTCTTTGGTACCTTGCTTTCCAGCGACATCTTTACGGCCTACTTTACTGTCGATAATGCCGGTCTATTCACAGGTACGTTTGATCCATTTTCATCTTCCATCAAGCTGACGGTCTAGGAATCGTCACGGCGATGTACCAGATCGGCTCGGTGGCAGCAATCCCCTTCGTCGGCCCAGCCATCGACACCTGGGGCCGTCGGGCTGGCATGTTCATCGGCGCGTTCATCATCATCATCGGCGTCATCATCCAAGTCACCTGCATCACCAGACCCGACACCACCAACCAGTTCATGGGCGGCCGGTTCTTCCTCGGATTCGGCGTCTCCATCATGTCCGCCGCCGGCCCTACCTACGTTATCGAGACAGCCCACCCCGCCCACCGCGGTGTTGTCGGAGGTCTGTATAACGTCATGTGGCCCGTGGGTGCCCTCGTCGCCAGCGGTGCTGCCCGCGGTGGCCTCGCTTACGCGGGAAACACATCCTGGATGATCCCCGTCGGTCTGCAGCTGATGTTCCCCTGCATTGTCGCCTTTGGCGCTTTCTTCCTCCCCGAGTCGCCGCGTTGGCTTTATACTCGTGGAAAGCGTGACCAAGCAGTCGCTTCGCTCACTCGATACCACGGCAGAGGGAACCCGGATAGCGAGTGGGTGAAGCTGCAGTTGATGGAGTATGAGCAGAGCTTGGAGATGGATGGGTCGGATAAGAGATGGTGGGATTACCGTGCCTTGTTCAAGGACCGTGGCTCTACCTATCGTATCCTGTGCAACTGCTTCGTGTCGCTGTTTGGACAGTGGGCTGGAAATGGTATGTCTGATTTCATCCTTCAAGCTCTGTACAGTAGCTAACAGTTTCAGGTATCGTGACGTACTATTTGAGTGCCTTCCTCGACACCGCCGGTATCCACGGCCAGGTCACCCAAATGAACGTCCAACTCGGCATGAGTGCCGTCCAGGTCGTCTTCGCCGCTGCTGGAGCCACAATCGTAGACAAGGTCGGTCGTCGTCCCATGCTGATCATCGTCAACATCGTCTGCTGCTTCTGCTGGATTGGTGTCATCGTCCCATCATCCATCGCCAACATCACCGATCTCGGCTCCGAGGCGCAAACAAATGCCGTCCTGCCGTCTGTTAGTAAGGCCGTGCTTGCCTGGGTTTATATCTTCCAGATCTGCTACTCGTTCGGCTGGACGCCGATGCAGGCGCTTTACCCGGTGGAGGTTGTCTCGTTTGAGATGCGTGCGAAGGGAATGGCCTTTTCCAGTCTCTTTACCCAGATTGGTATGCTGACTTCACTTTCCTTTGATTTTTCTTGCCCGATAAGTTTTACTGACTTGACTTGATAGGCCTACTGGTAAACCAGTTTGGTATCCCCGTGGCACTCGACAGAATCCACTGGAGGACATACGTCGTGTACTGCGTCTGGTGCATGGTCCAAGCCATTCTATTCTACTTTTTCATCCCTGAGACCAAGGGCAGAACTGTACGTCCCATACTACTTAAATACCTCCCTATCTCTATTGATGATGCTAATATGGGTCAACCAACAGCTCGAAGAACTCGACCATATCTTCCACTCCAAAAACCCCGTCAAGGAGTCGACTAAGAAGAAGAAACTCGATATCGACGCGAATGCCAATATTGTCCATATTGAGAGTACCGATAATGTGTCTAACCCTGCATAGGTGGCTGCTCGGCTCTTTTGGTTTTAATAAGAATCTTGTGAAGGGGGCAGTATGATTCAAAGATGTATTTTTGCTGAGATGTTGAGAGGTAGTGTGCTTTATTCTATTCTACTCTATTTATTATTATATATTTAAGAAATAGTTCGGAGGCGAGAGGCCAGTTATGGCTCTGGCTACAGTCATGAGAATGTTGGTTAGGTACGGCACTGGTCAGAAAATATCAAACCCACGTATCCATGTATCCAAATCCAAATAGTTATTCACGGAACAGGAGATTCAAGATCCGGAGCATCCGCCGCCTGATCGGTTATGTGTTTCGGTGTTTAGGTGTTTTAGGTATTTATTAGAGTCTTCTTGCCACCTCCTCTGACTGGTGGGAAAACTGTGTCTGACATTGGCTCAATCCTCACACCGCGGACCGTTTGGATTAAATTAGTGGTTTCGGAAGAAAAATGAGGATGGTTTCTTTTTCTCGTAATATTAATAGAGACTTTATTTATTGACGAAAATGGTCATTGGAAGAGTTACCTAGGTCAGCTCTAATTAGTGCTGGATGGCATAGCCCTAAATCTTCATGTCAACAGAAGCAGCTAATATATGTTGGTATTTCGGAAACCAAGGTCTCCAAAACACGGAGCTTGCCTGATTTAAGTCAGCTTGGACCAGGCGTTCGCGTGACAATGTATCAGTGTCGGTGCGGTTGTTACTTTGGTCGGGTGGCATTATATTGCTTCAGCTGTTTATCGAGACACATCCCGAAACATGCCGGGATTCATCCAAGCTGTCGCATTAAACCCCTAAAGTTGCTACGCAGCAAACTTGTCATAAAACCCCTTCAACCCCTCAAACTCCCTCTCTATAACAGCCACACGCGCCTCGCTCCTAGGCGTAATCCTAATCGGAAACCTCTTCGGACAGACCAGAAACCCACCCTCATACCCCGAGTCCACAGAACCATCCACCTTCTGTCCACCGTCCCTCTCAAAATCAAACGCCCAAACCAGCTTCGCAATATTAATCTTCAACGACGCCTCGGCCATGTTCTGCCCTGAACAGACCCGCCGTCCTGCACCCCAGCCATAGGACGTTCTGCGGTGTATGTCCAAATCAAGGATGTGTGTTGTGCCGTATTTATTTCCCAGCCAGCGGTCCGGGTTGAAGACGGCAGGACTGGAATACTCGGTCTCGTCATGATGGATGGCCCACGTGTTTGCGAAGAAGATTGTCCCTGCAGGGAAGATGTAGTTCTTGTATGTGTCTGTCTGGGTGAGCAGATGCGGGATTCCACCGGCTGCGACGGGTCTCCAGCGGAGGGTCTAACGGGATTATTAACAAGTGAAGGATGTACATATGTATGATAGTGATACCCACCTCATGCATACAAGCCTCAATATACGACAGATCTTCCAAATCCTGCATTGTAGGTGACCGCTCCAGTCCAACAACCCGATCAACATCCTCCTGGGCACGCTTCAACGCATCTGGGTTTTCAAGAACAGCCAGGAGAAACGACAATAACGTCGACGAGGTTGTGTCAGAGCCGGCCTCCATCAGAATCCCCCCCAGATACGCCGTATGTTCATCACTCAGCCCATTCTTGCCCTGATCTTCAATAAGCTTCTCCATAAAACACCCCGTCCTGATCCCGCTAATCATTCGCTGCTTAGTGGTGTTATAAAGCCGGAAATACAGCTCGCGCTGGTCCCGACGGATTTCTCTCGCCTTCCGCTTCCACGGCGCCAGACTCTCAGGGAGATACCGCAAGAACGGAATCGCATCGACAGGCGGCGCAGCGCCCGGTTCTAAAAGTGCGGTGAATCGGTTCTGCACATCGTACAGAGCCTGTACATTCGGCGAGTTAAACTCTTCGCCGCGCTGCCCAAAGACCGAGGCGAGGATGACGGCTGTTGTGTAGCGCTGGATGTGTTCGTAGTAGTCGTGCGGGGAGCGGAGGATGTCGAATATTGTCTGGGTGGCTTCGGCTTCTTGGATGGGGAGGATGCGGGCGAGAGAGCGCGGGGTGAAGAGGGCTTGGGATGCCTTGCGGAGGGACTTCCAGGTGTCCCCGTAGGGCGCGAAGAGGATGTGGGTGTTGTTTTTGCAGATGAGGGTGTTGGCGATGTAGTTGTTTGGACGAGAGGAGTAGATGTGGCTGCGTTTTTCGAGGAGTCTGGAGATGAGCACATATACAGATACTTATATAGTAATGGATGAAAGCTCACTCTTGAACGTCTCGCCAGTTATTGAGGACCACGACGTTTGCTGGGCCGAATTTGAGGCCGAGTATGGGACCGTATTGCTTGGTCCATTGGTGGAATCTATGCCATTAGTCCAGACCACAAATTAGAGGAAACACTGACAATGTGAATGCTTTTGACGGAGGAATCAGATTCAGATTCCCTATCAATGGCAGTGGCTTTGGGCCTGGGGGAAAGTTCTTCGGTCGCAGGCTAGCCCAGGTATACGGAGCGAGTGCCAGGGCTGGAGATATAATAATAGCTAGAAGTAACGAGACAAGCAAGATCCAGACATCGTTGCCGAGTGAGAGACCCATGATTACGATTAGGTCTGTTATGAGAGAGAAGAACATTGAACACTGAATTGTTTAATGAACCCCGCGCGGAGTACATCCACTAATATAGCGACACTAATGCATATTGACATGGATCAATGCCAAGATAGAATAATAGAAAAGGACAGCAATTAAGAGAGAAAAACAACCGCCCACGCCATGCCAAATACTTCGAGATATAAAATTCAAATGACGAAAGGTTCAGAGAAACATGGTCGTTAGCCTGTAGCTTCCATATATGCTCAAGGGCTTGACGATTGCGTTTGGGGCCGCAGAATCCAATCCAGGTCGTGATCTGGTACGGCCATGGGTTTTATGTCATCATCATCGCCTTCAAAGCGCAAGTCCAGGTTATTAAGTAGTCCAGATGCACTCATGGAGACGATACGGGCAAGGTGCCACGCCATTTCAAGCAAATAAAACCTTGACAATGGTAGTCGGACTGGATCAGACATGGTAAGAGTAAAAATGGACCCAGATATCACCCTTTACCCTGATTCTCGAAAGATGAAGCACTCTTCGACACTTTTAATGTTTCTTGTTGACAAAGGCTGTTGAATGATAGGTATGTTGCTGTCATATGTGTGGTTATACCGCGGCATCTCGTGGAATTCGAGGTTGAGCGGCAGCGATTTGCCGCACGAGATTTTCCGGGACATTGATTGATATTGGCCAGTTGACAAAAGGCCCAGAAGGGGACTGAAACCTCGAGTTCGTCTAAGATAACTTGAAGCTTCCGTAACACTGCAGTGCGTCCCGGGGAGCGCTCGCTGAAATTTTCATCATAATTCGTCGCTGAGATGGTGGTTCTGTGGTTTGGGGAGTTTTCGGTAATAGACATACCGTCCATGTCCGGACATGGTTCGATGTTATTTCTCCCTTGGATTCTGGCTGAGGAATGATATGTAGATGGAGTGGTGGTTCTCAGTCGATCAGTGGAGCGAGAGAATGACGGAATCTGAGGTGAGTGGACAGACCGTCATGTGTTGTGGGCCGTCAGGTGACACTCTATCTGTCATTGGATCCAGAGGATTATGTCATGTCTTTAAACGAGCGATGATGGCTCAAGTAAATATTGGCAACTATCTACCTGCTCCCATCTCAGAATGGCCAGTCTCCCAAGTCTAAGTGAATCAATTCTTCTATATCTAAAGCATCCAATACTTGTTCAAGCAGTCTCGAATTTGGACTTGTCCCCTCGCAGCCGATGGCCCTGCAGATGCAAAAACACCGTCGGGAAGAAACTCACACCCATAATCAACGCCGTCACCACCCCAGAGCTGTTTGCAACTCCCACGCTCTCGAACATGGACGTGAACCTGCACAGTCAGTCAATATATCAAATATACGCGAATAGGGAAAGGTAGGTAGGGTTACCAAAACGGCCCAATAAACCCCCACGTCGACCTCACAAAGTTAATAAACACACCCACACCCCCCGCATCAGCAGGATAACTATCCACCGCATAAGTCGTGAGCACCGTGGTAACAACCTGATTCCCAAACGCCGCAATCCCCGTGCCCACAACCGGCGAGACAACCCAGCTTCCGCCTGCCTGCTCCGTGCAAACCAGAAAACACAACCATACCGGCAATCGTCACCAGGAACCCGAAATAGCTCAGCCACAGCCGGAATTCGGGGGGTGGTCTGGTGTTGTTGGGGAGTTTGCGGGCGCGCGTGCTCATCCACAGATCGGACATGTAGCCGCCCATTTGCTCGCCTAGCAGCGAGCCGATGATCAGGCCGAGGAATTGCAGGCCGAGTTGTTCGGCGTTGAGGGCGAACTTTTGCTGCAGGAGTTGAGGGACTTCGACGGAGTTGAGGACCGAGGCGAAGAGGAAGACCATGCTGTAGGCGACTGCGGCGAGGAGGACAGGGATGTTGGTGAAGAGGGAGAGAGGGCGCAGGAATTCGGACGCCGTGAAGGGGGTCGAGTCGATGCGTGCGAGGGTGAGATATTCATGTTTGAAAGGGGTCGACGACGGGCCGATGTATCGTGTTTCAGGCCCGAAGAAGAGGTATAGGATGAATTGGCATGCGTTGGTCTGGTCTGTTAGCTTAAGGCTGATACAGCATTGATGGATATGCGGCACGTACAATGGCCAGGACCCAGTAGATCCAGCGATATCCCACTCTCTCGGCGACGAAGCCGAAGATAAACGGCCCAACCGGGACTCCTAGGGTCACCATGACGGTCCAGATCCCCATGTACGCCGCGCGCTGGTGCTTGAAGAAAGTCTCCATAACGACTGCACTGCCGAGGGCCATGGCAGGCGAAATGAAGAACGCCACCAGGGCCCGACAGGCAGCCATTGAGGCATAGTCTGGACTTTTGGCGCAGCCAACGTTACACACACAGCTGAGAACCAGGGACATGAGGAAGATCGGACGACGACCGAACCGATGGGACAGCGGTTTCCAGAGCAGCGGAGCGCCGCCGAGGATGGCGATCTGGAGGGAGGTGAGATAGCTGACGCGCTGAATAGAGACACCGACGTCTTCGGCGATGGCTTCGTAGGCTGGGATGATGGCCGCTGCGGTGAAGGTGCCCATGCAGGCGTGGAAGGCGACGAGAGCTAGGTTGAAAATTTTCTTTTTTTTGTTAGATTCGAGCTTCAACTGTTGATTTCACTTACCTTCCACTGAGGCCAGTTGTATGGATCAGCCGGGTCCATGCTGGGGATTGGATCGAGGTCGATGGTGCCATGACGCTGTAGCAGATACGCCTGGTGCTGCTCTGACAGAGAACTGGTTTCGATGGTGTTTATGCCTGCTTCCTCCACGCAGGAGGACTGTGTCTTGTCCAGCGTGTTCATATTGTGGTTGTCCAACATGCGACCAGGGGTTGGGGCCAGCCACCTCTATAACAGCGACTTGGAGTCGCGGGGGATTCACAGCGGTGGGTCGCTGCTGTCATTCTGGTATCGGAACCTGGAGAATCAACAGGGGGTCCGGGGTTGGCAAGCAAGATCTGTCCTATCCCGAGCCCTAATTGTGCTGCCGGTGGAGATGGCGAAGTCGGTCGGTAGATGGGCACAGTCGCCAATGCCGACTCCAAGCTTTAACCAAGCATCCTGCGAGGCTTGACTGTTTGGGGTTATTCCGAGGTCTGGATTCCAACTGCCGATGAGATTTCCGGCTGGTTGTATTTGGTCAGCATTATAGATCGTGATATACGCTGAGTATTGATTTCTGAATATAACCTGTCTAAGATATATCCCAACCCAGCACTCCATTGAATGGGTCGTCGTAATCCATCGGATATAAAACAGCGGATTATGTACAAAACGACTTGCATCGCAAGCTGAGACGTTATTAGCACCAGTGAGTGAAGCCAGCTCATACAAATCATGTTTTCGGGACGTTTAGTCCCGTTAATTCATGAAGAATAAGACCGTTGTATACAGAAGTGATTGGTGTAGCCAGACTGAGACAACGTTCCAACTTAAGACACTGGACTTTAGTAACGAAATTGAAACAACTATCCCAGCGAAATTATCTAGTTTTATACCAAAAATGATACCGTTAGCATAGAGTATTACAGTTTTCTCGCCCAGTGGCGCGAGGATCCGCTGACCGTTGGAACTGAATTTAGGGCTAGAGTCTAGAGCAGCACAGGATGTAAACCGGGCACTTTAAATCGTAGAATTATACGATGGACTAATTATTAAACTCGTCGATACTTCCAGATTACCAGATATATTGATTATACCAGATAGATGCGTATTGTTGAGGATCAACACACAAACACCGCCTGGTTGCCCATAACCTCGCTCTACAGCAGTTAGCCTATAACCAGAACAAGTAGAAAAAAATTAAAAAATAAAAAAGAGGAATACCATATAAACCAAATTTCTCACAACAACTCTCCAATTCCCATCCTCCTGTCTCCGCCACAAATCCTGATACTGCCCATGCGCCGTCGCAACCTGCGCCGCCATCCTGCCACTCCTCCCAAAATGCGACGCCGTGAAGTACGTCACGCTGCGCGCCTCCAGCGGCGAGACGACATCGATGATCTGCGTGCCCAGGCTATGCTGCGTCGAAACACAGGCTAGACTAGCGCTGAGCGTGTCCTGGATGGAGTCCAGCGGGGTGAGGACGTTCAGGGGCGCCGAGTAGTTTGCGACAGCGTCGGGGGCGAAGATGGAGGATAGCGCGGCGAAGTCTTTCCCGTCGATGGCTAGCGGGTAGAGGGCGAGTGCATGGCGGATGGAGTCGGTGGTTGCTCGGTCGATTGTACGGGTGGAGGGGGAGGGGGAGGATGCGAAGATGGAGGGGAGGAGGGCGAGGGGGGTTGGTTCTGTTGGTTCTGTCGCAGTCCTGGTGGTGTCGATCGGTGGGGAGTCGAGCTTGGTATTGACATTAATTCCGATAGCAATGCCGGTATCAAGGTCCTGGATGGCGAGAGACAGACTGCACCAGCTGAGCAGGAGGGTTGGGTAGAGGAGGAAACGCATTGTGCGATGACAGGTCAGATCGGGGGGTTTGCTGGAGAGCTGGGAGGGTCCTGGGTTTTGTACTGGAACCTCTTCCCTTGGGCTTCGAGACTCGACGGACTCGCCGGATTCCAACTAGGGATCTGGCTTAAGTGACAGGGGAGACTGAAGGCCAATGGGGGCATTGGATAGGGCTGTAGCAGTTAGCGGGCGACTAGTGCTGCGTGCCGCCAACATGACAGCTGCAGAGCCCACTCCACCGCGTCGTGGGCCGTCCGGGATTGCCGCTGATGGGTCCATTTTATCTATGCAAGGTGATCTATCATATCGGGCTGTGTTGGATCTTCTGGTTGGCGCAGACTCACTCCTCGTGCGGGCGATCCGGCCGGAGCAGCAGATGAAACCCTAAGAGCCCGACGACTGATCGAATCAACATCTAGTCCACGATGTTCATGATTCATGCACCAGACATGCATCGCAGACCCCTGGCTCATTTATATCAGATGCTGCCCAACATGGCCATGGCCTGCGCCGGTTCTTGCAGTGCATGACCAGATCGTACCATGGCCTCGCCCTACATCTCCCAGCAGGGTCTCTCAGTATGCTTAACCAGCAGTCTTATACGAGGTACCGCTACTAACCGTCCAGGCCCTAATGTGGATCGGAATCATCCTATCCATAATCTTCGTCGCCATCCGCACGCACGTCCAGTACCGCTACAGCGGCCGCTTCTTCATCAACGACTACTGGATCTTCTTCGCCATCGTCTGCCACCTCGCCACTGCAATCGTCTACCAGATCGCCATCCCGCCCATGTACGAGGTCCAGGGCTTTAACTACCAGACGCAGACCATGGACGCCGCGTTCATGGACCGCGCCTCGCTCTTCCTCCGTCTGCAGTTCGCCGTCGACTTCCTGCTCTGGACGACCCTGTGGACGGTCAAGTTCTCGCTGCTCTCGTTCTTCTGGCGCCTGTTTGACTCGGTGCGCTCGCCGATGAAGATCTTTTGGTGGACGATGTGTGCTGTTACCGCTTCAACGTGGGTGACCCTCGTGGTGCTGCAGAACTTTGCCTGTGATCCCATTCGGAATTTCTTTACCCTAGGTACCACCTGCATTATGAAAGTATCATATGTGTATACTGATGGAAATAGGGAAGTGCAGCTCCGCGCGAGACGTCTACTACTCCAACCTCGTCTTCAAGTTCACCGTCGGCACTGATATCGCTGGCGACATCCTGAGTACCCCCCCCCTTAATTCACCAACAATCAACAGGGTTAATCAAACTAACATCTCCTATAGTAATGATAATCCCATTCCCCCTCCTACGCACGCTCCAAATCCCACCCCGGAAGAAATACGTCCTGGCAGCAATCTTTTCCCTCCCCTTGATTCCAATCATATTCGCCGTTCTGCGTCTGGTCATCGCAAACCCAGACAGCGGTAACGTCGACCCCATCAAGTTCCAGCTGTACAGCATGCTCGAGAACTCGTCCGCAATCGTCACCTCATGTCTGCCCTCGCTGCGTCTGTTCGTTGCCAAGCAGGGTTCTGGCCTTGGATCGCTCTCTTATCGGTATCGGTCGAGGTCTAAATATAATAAGAATCGGTATCCGGGGTATAACCTGGGAGGGGAGTATGTGGGTGGTGGGCAGGGGGATTTCTTTGGGAATAGTGGCGTGCATGGACATGGGGATGGACATGGGGATGGTGGTGTCGGTGCTAGGAGGAGTCGGAGTCGCTGTGAGTCGACGGTGGAGGTGTTTGGGATGGAGACGATGGGGAGCAATACACTAATAGATGAAGATGCAGGCACGGATAATTCTAGCGAGAGTCGGAGAGGGATTGTTGGGGGGAGCAGGGGCGTCCTTGTTACCAGGGGATTTTCGGTGCAGTGATGCTGCTTGTATAGATTGCATAATATCATATTCATAGATTCATATATTTTGGTCAAATTCTTTCATGACGGTCTAAAGCAAACACAAACCATCTACAGTCGCTAAACTGAATTCACTTTGGGTCGGACCTCAAGATGACTGAGGTCGTGGGCTCCCTGGAACGTCTTGGTGATCTCCTCGAGGCATCCCGCAGCTGCCGCGAAGAATCCGAGGAAACTCTTGCTGGGCGTGATAACGCGGCTCAGGTACTCCGGGTGGAACTGAACACCAACATACCATCGGTGGTTCTTCAGTTCGATGACTTCCATTCGCTTGCCGGACTCATCCTTTCCAATGAACGAGAGACCGGCGCTCTCCAGGCTTTCCACCAGATCCGGGTTCACTTCGTAGCGGTGACGGTGGCGCTCCCAGATCTCCTGCTTGTTACCGTACAGCTTGCGGAACTTGGACCATTCTGTGCCCTCCTGGAAGAGCGTCGGCCGCTTACCAAGCCGCATGGTACCTCCCATCTTCGATTTATCGATTTCCGGCATGTAGACGATGGCAGGCTGTTCACTCTCTTCATTGAACTCGGCGCTGTCCGCTTGTTTCATATCGCAGATGTTGCGGGCGTATTCGATAACAGCGACCTGCAAACCAAGGCAGATGCCAAGGAAGGGGACGTTCTTTGTACGCGCCCATTCGGCACACTTAACCATCCCCTCGGTACCCCGCTGACCGAAACCACCCTACTCCGATGTTAGATCAAATACAGTGAAAATAGAATCAAACTTACCGGGATGAGAATGCCGTCCGCTGTAGAAACAGCGTGCCAAGCCTTGTAGTATTCGGCCGGGTTTTCTTGTTGGTGGTCCTCCTCCAAATGTGAGGACTCTACCCAGACCAGATTGAGTTTCTTCTGGCAGTGCATAGCGGCATGTTCCAGTGCCTTTGTTACACTCAGATACGAGTCGTGTAGACTCGTATACTTACCAACCAGCACAATTGAGACAGTGTCAAAGACATGGTCTTGGCTCATGGCGAGACCGTGCCATTTCTGCCACATAATCTTGCCCTGTTCCACATATTTGTCCTCAATGCGAATGGTGTTGATCTCAAGTAGTTCCTTGAGTGTGTTCAAAAACCCTTGTGTTTCTAGGAGGATGGGTACCTGGTAAGTTGTCGACACGTTGTGGACGCCAACTACCTGGTCCCGCTCCACTTGGCAGGTATTGGCGATCTTGCGGATCGTCGATTCCTCCAATGGAGTTTCACAGCGGCACGCGATCAGATCAGGTCTGAGGCCACCACTGCGAACATCACTGATGGCGCGTTGGGTAGGCTTGGTCTTTTGCTCCGACCCAATCAGAGGCACATAACTGACATGGATCTGGAGGAAGTTGGCCTTTCCGACGCGTCGTTGAAGCTGGCTCATAGCTTCAACGAACGGAGCACTTTCAATATCTCCAACTAAACATAAGTAATTAGTAGCGTTCAAAAAATGACGCGTAAATCCGAGTCTACTTACCAGTTCCTCCCAACTGCACGCGTAAGTCATAGTTAGCCCAAGCATACTATAGCTTCGGCAGTCGGCTTACCTCAACTATTAAACGTTAATAAAGAAAAAAAATAGACTTTCAAAGGAAGAACATACTGATGCAAACGTCAGGTTCCCTTCCGGACTCATCGATAGGAACCCTAGCGACTCTCTCAACCCACTATCGACAACCGTTAACCCAGTCCCACAACACGGATGAATAGAATACTGACGTTCTGAATTTCGTTGGTGAGGTGCGGCACAATTTGAACTAGCCAAGTCAGCCCCATAATCCATACACACAGGCCAAAGCACAGTCGTACCCGTCTTCCCCAAGTAGTCGCCCCGGCGCTCCTTCTCAATTACATGTTGGTAGATTTTGCCCGTTGTGATGTTATTATCTCTGCCGAGCGTAACCCCAAGATAGCGCTCGTAGTTTCCTAGATCCAAATCGGCTTCACCTCCATCGTCCAAGACGAAGCATTCTCCATGCCTTTCAAATGAGTCAGTTTATGCGGGGGGCAGGGAGGGGGCAATGGCCGGGATCGTACTCCAGAGGCTATAAACACACAAGTTAGATTCATTCACAAGGTAAATGTTGGGAGACGAGGCGGGTAAGACTCACGTTCATAAGACCGGCATCCGGGTTCAAGTAAGGATCGATCTTGATGCTCGAGACCGACAAGCCAGCGGTTTTCAAGAGCAACCCGGTGCTGCTTGCAATAATACCCTTTCCGACACCGGATATAACACCGCCGGAAACGAGGACATACTTCATCTTGGCGAATAAGGGTCTCAATGGCGGCCTTCCTGGCGAATACCAGGGAGGTAGTAGAAGGTTCAAAAAAATTGATACACGATACCGATAACCAAAATTCGTTCACCGCCTGGAAAAATATGCGGCAGAAAATGTGGGGTGGGCTGTTCCGCTTTGGGTAGATTTATGCCTGAGGCTGAACTTCCGTTTTGGATCCATCTTCATCCACGGTTGGAGAAATGTTACATATTTATAGTTTCAAGGGTTGCAATTGTTACAATATAGCTCGCTAGGTTGTGTCTTTTGACATTCACGACATCAGATTCGGTGGTATATTCTTTCCCCTCCAAGTCACCGACTGTCGAGAAGTTATGCATCTCTGATAATATGTATTATATTATATTTACACATGGCTGCCCCATAATGGGGGATATGTCTCATTCCATATATCATCACGGCATTATAGAGGTGTGGGTCCTTACCACAAGCCCCAAGAAGAGCTGTGGTTATGTTGAAGTATACGCTTTGAGCGATCAAACTAGATTGACAGTCTGGAATCAACCATGAGTGTAGCCTGACGGCACGAGCTCGGAGTCTGTTAATCATCGAAAAAGGTAGACAAGACAATATTGTTTCTCATCATTTTATTTTCTTTCGATGGCTTTGCTGCGCGGGTTTGTCTCGGACGTGGAATCAATGTATCGAGCCCATCGTCTGCTAAGGTTATGCATGGTCGACACTCAAGAAACATCAATACCCTCGAGGAGGTCCGCATAGCGATTTAAAGACCGGCCAATCAAATTGACAAGCTCATAAATATAATCCGCAGTAAACAAGCGAGCCCAAAGCCTAGTCACAACCGCACTCAACCGCGTATTATTTTCCAAAAGCCACGTCCGCGAGACTCCATGCTGAGCCTCCATGACCATTTCAATGACGAACTCAAGAAGCTTTGTTTCTTGCTCGGTTAATTTCGGCTGGGGATTTGGCAGGGTAGCGATTTCGAGCCATTTGGCTAGAAGGACCGCACACTCTAATGAGCACAGAGCGTACTGGTTGGACCATGACACGACTAGTGTGCGGGCAACGTAGTTGATGCCCAGTTTTATGGGCGTGCTTAGTGCGTGGGCGCAATGCAGCGCAGCGCGCGTTAGCCTGTCGCTGCGCTGGACTGAGAGGTTCTGTCGAAGGGATCTTGCGACTTCGTCTGGGTTCCATGATTGGAGGCGTCGCGCGGAACTGAAATCAGCATTGAGGCGGATATATGCCAGCCGCAGTAGGGCTGTGGATGTAAATGAGATTGGGCCGTGGGGGTTGAATGGGTCTATAGAGGACTCCTGGTTGCGTTCCCAACATTGGCACCAGTTCTCGAGTGCTTGTTCCAGAGGAGTTATCTGGGCTGGTGATAAAGAGCTGCTGCTGCTCATTGGAACGCGGCACGCCTTTTGAGTGAGCCAGATAGTCTGAATGATAGCGTGGATCAGGACGTAGCCGCCAAGGGAGGTGAAGCTTTCCAACTGTCCACCCGCGCTGGGGCTGCGGGTGAACAATGAGTTCAAGGCATCCTGTAGCCTAGGGCTTTTCGGGCCCTGCTGCCTGCATTCCATCCACTCACTGGCAGTAGCAGCCGTCCATTCTTTCTCCGTGCAGGGCAAATCGAGTGTAATCTCTTCGGTCAGGATCAGGGACGGGATGTCAAATACGATTGTATGGATACCAAAGAAGCAGAACACGATTAACTTTGTTCTCTTGGCGCTTTCGTTCCGGATCCAACTCTCCCATGACCCATCCTGGGGTGGGAGCTCATTTAAGCCATGCTTCCGAAGCAATGTCTCCATCAAACTTCGCAGATAGAGAGCCTCGTAATGAGGCGGGTAATGTTCAAACCAGGAAGAAACCGACGTCAGCATAAGTAATGACTGAACGGTTTCCAGGATGTCTTGGCTTTGACTGCCGGACGACGCTACTCCATGGTGTCGACTGCCAGTACCGTTCCATTGAAGATCCCGGCGTATGTGCTCCAGGGTTACAGATTTGGCAAGTTGGAAAAGGCTGATACTGGTGTCATGTTCTCTGCAGTATTGGGCACCCAGTGAGGCCATGGATAGAATGAAATGCAGCGGACTCGCCTCAACATTAAACGTTGGTATATGCAGAAACGGATAATGGTCGTGATATCCATTGACATACCCCGTAAGGCAGCGCGAAAGAGCATGTCGCGACGGAATAGTGCCATCTGCAACCACATTCGAGTAGTCACGTAGTTCGCTAACAATTCGGTCGCGACACTGTGTCGTTACCGCAACTGGAACCTTGGGTGGACGGGCTCGATAAGGCTGTTGGGATTCCTCCGGCTGCAACGACGGTAACTGGGTTCCATGGCGAGGAAGCACTGGTGTTGTAGCATTAACATGGCCAAGGGTCGAGGGATATTCAGCCCCTGAATCAAACTGCAGCGGAGGAAACAGTGGTAATGGCTGGTAGGTTGGTGAGTACGGGTGACTAGGTAAGGGAATACTATCTAGGAACGACGTAAAATCGTCGCCTTCATATGCGAAAGACTCGCTGAATGGAGTGGGCTCGGTCGCTGGTGCTGTTGGAAATGTTCCATGGGTCGCGGGTAATAGATGTTGAGCGGTCACCGGTGTTGTAGGAAACGGATGGTCGGTTACAGCAGATGCCAACACATTGAGGCCATCAAAGACTTGTTGCGTCGGCGCTGTGGGGGTTTGGTCCGGGGTTTGAGCAGCCGGGGACGAGCTGTGGGCAAGACGCTCATGACGAACCAGCAGATCCTTACGTGTGAAGGACTTTGCACATTTATCGCAGCCAAACGGTTTCTCTTTGGTATCTAATCATGGTCAGCAAGTTTGATCCTCCCGGTGGAAAGGAACTGGGCAGTTACGCGATCGTTCGTGGCGCTGCAGATGTTCCAGGCGGGCAAAAATGCGGGAACACCGCGGACAGCTGTAGTCGCGCGTTGCTTTCTTGACCATCCCGACAGGACTAGCAACCAATGCTGCTAGTATGACCTCATATGGAGTCGTTGCATTGCTCGATTGGCATGATTGAGATCCGATCTCATTACAGTCAGGGATGGTGACGAATGAAATGAAGGCGAACGATAAAACCATCGGAGGCGGAGTATTTCCGACCTGCCGTCACTACAACCAACACCACGACTTACGCCTTCATCCCACATTGTTGCTCGAAATCATAATAGTCGAAAAAGGTGCAACGGGGCTCTTTTTCAGACATTCTAGCCTACAAGGTTTTACCAGAGATGGCTCGTCTTCAGGTACGAACGTCTACCAGATGGAAATGGCCAATCTTGAATCCCTTCCTGAACATCTAAAGGGTGGGTCAAGACGAGCTAGAGTTTGTATGTATATCTGGGACGTCTCCGGCCCATTGCCAGGAGAAAGAGACGGTGCAGCACAAATATTTCGACTGCTGGCATCTGTCTAGGCCAATTTCTACCACGGGAATGGCTTGGCCCTCTGTCTTTTGGGTTTGGGTCTTTTTCCTCCTTCAAATTTGCGTCGCCTTTCTTCGCTTATCAAGATTTCCGGTGCTAACCCTGTTGGATCGTTGATCGCTAGCGGTGTGATCCGTTCCTCACTGGTTCCGATTATTTTCGTCTGCGGCTCGGGTATTGTTGCGAGAATGGTGTCGATGTGGCATGGGATTTCGGCCAATAGAAGCCAAGTCTATCTGAGGAATTGCTTTTGAGTATAATCCAACTAGGGCAGGGTCTCGAGAGCAGTCAAGTGTGTGCGAAATAAGAAAACGTCAAGCCAGGGATACGGGGCATTTACCGAGCAACATCAGCACTGCATATCTTTTCGCTATAATGACGGTTCCATATTCTTGCTGGACGTATTGGTAGATTCATTGGAGGTTTCCTCGTCCAACATGTCCACCGACTGATTAACCTCAATGCTCGTATACTGATTATTCAGATCGCTACTTTTCACTTTTTAGGAAATATTCCTCTCCAGGTCCCGCCATTATTAAAGCGCCCTGTGGGGTGGATCCGGCATGCGCAATCTGCCGTCAAGCCTTATGATGCAATCTACTCGGCAGACGTAGTCAAACCAACCAAAGACATCATAGATAAGGTCGTACATCGCACTACGCAAGGTTTAGCTTGAAAGTGACCAAAGTCCAAACACAGAGGATCCGAGAGGAAGCACACTGGAGCCGAACAGTAGTCCACTCAACCAAGCGGGCGCTTGTGCCCTCCCCCGCATATACATACGTCTGGGACCGCCAACTGCTGTATAAGTCAATAGAAACACAGATCAATATTGGTTATGATCCACCCTTGTCTATGGGATTGGATTGGTGTTCCCTGAATGCAGAGCACCTCTTCCCACGCACTTTGCCACATTTGCGGAGATGAGCAATTGAGACTTTGTCGATCTGTTTCAGGGCTGGCACTGGATGTTGGTACGTAGGTGGTACGCATTTCATGTGCGTCCACTTCTCGGGAAGTTGGCCGAGTTTAGACTGCGAGGGATGCGCACGAAAGGTGAATTAGCATAGGTATTTGCCGAATATACAGAGTAGACAGGGTGAAAACCTGAAACAACCATATTCTGATAAGCGATCCCCGTCAGCATCGAACTATATTAGGCGGCGGTTCATTGGGTGCTCAGTGCGCTGGCGGCACGTGTTGGGACTGGCGCCGAGGTTGAAGTCCGGGGTGTGGATCTGGACCAATATTGACAAGTGAGATCGATTTGGCGAAGATAGCGAGCGACTGAGACAGGCTTCAAGATCTGGCATTGGCCCATCCACTAGTCTGGCAGGGATTATGGTGGCAGGCCAACGTCAACCGGGTGTCCGGTGTCCCCAGACTTGTCTAGTCGGCCCGGGGAGGGATGGAGGGATGGGGACGGAGGCCGTTGGGAGTTTGGTCGGGGCGATTCAATCGGGAAAGAGTCGCGAGCACTATAGCTGGGGCTTTCATCGGTGGGCTGTCTGCACGCCATCGTCATTGCATTTTCGCCGTGGAATTCTGCAAATCATCAGCAAAACAATGTGTGATCTGAGAGTCAGACCAGGGAAGAAACAGGATGGGGGAAACACACGAGAATCACAATGCCCCGCCATTCTGGTTGAGTCTGCCCCAGATTGACGTCCAGTGCCGTCCCGTTCGCCACTGGACTTGATGTAATTTGGCTCGAGCGTTATGGGGAGGATGCGAAATTGGGCTCTGGGGAAAGATGTGCAAGGGGTGGGTGGGCAGGCAGCACTGCGACTGGAGGACTGCAACACGCCATTCGAGTTAGCGCAGGCTTGCGGCCCAGCGACTCAGGCCCCCTGAGGCAAGTCACTCTTTCTGAGTCTTTGATTCCCTGTGCCGTCGAAGATCCGAGGTTCGTCGATCCTGGCGGGGGACTCGATTTCATATGCTTTGGCTCTGCTGCGAGGGGCAGATACCGGACCAGCTTGGAGTTGAGGTTAAATCGACCCCCTCGCCCAGTCTTCTCGACGTTGAATTCTACTCTATTCTTTTTCTTTCTCAATTTCTCTTTCTCACTGTACTTTCCATATACCCTTTTTTTTTCACCTTCAATACTATCTTCGAACAATGGCTTACGTCGGACACACACCTCCTGGCTGGCTGGGAAACCTGTCCGAGGAGCAGGAGGCGAAGCTCCAGCAGATGTGGAATGTCGTCCTCGTCCTGCTGGATGCTGCTTCGCTGGGCGCCCCCGACCAGCCCACTGAAATCCAGAGCGGCGACACCGGAAAGGCGCCTTCGACTTTGACCAGAACCGACACCTTGGTCTCAGCAAATGGGAAGAGTGCCTTCACTGCGCACCTATCACAAATCCTCAAAGAGACCGGCTTGAACACCAACGAAATCAAGTCCATCAAGGATATTCTGAATGATACTACCGCCGAGGAGCTGCGCGAAGGCCTGATGAGCACCGCCAAGAACGACCACCCAGATGGGCTGTTGCTGCGCTTCCTCCGTGCGCGCAAGTTCGACGTTGCCAAGTCTTTCGACATGATGCTGCGGTCGATGCTATGGCGGATGAAGCAGGTCCGGGTCGAAGAGAAGGTCCTGCTGAACTCTGAGCTGCAGGCTCTGCAAGAGACCAAGGATAAGTCCAAGCCCCACGAGGCCAAGGAGGCTGAGGGCTTCCTTTCCCAAATGCGCATGGGCAAATGCTACCAGCACGGCCATGATAAGCAGGGCCGTCCTCTTGGCTATGTGCGTGTGAAACTGCACAAGCCCTCTGCACAGAGCAACGAGGTCATCAACCGGTTTATCCTCCACATTATCGAATCTACTCGCTTGTTGCTTGTGCCCCCGGTTGACACAGTGGTACGTCTCATTCAACATAATTAATTAAAATGCCCTCTTCTAACTGTCTATTTAGACCATCGTCTTTGATATGACCGGGTTCGGCTTGTCCAACATGGTGTGTACTCGCAAGCCCACATACCCATGACCAACACTAATTATATCAGGAATACGCCCCCGTCAAGTTCATCATCGAATGTTTCCAAGACAACTACCCCGAGTCCCTCGGAAACATGCTCATCCACAACGCCCCCTGGGTCTTCTCCGGTACGTCCACCCCATCCATTCATAATCCCAACGCCAACCCTATGCAACTAAACTAACCAACCCATACAGGAATCTGGAAGGTCATCAAGGGCTGGATGGACCCCGTCATCGTCTCAAAGGTCCACTTCACATACAGCGCCAAAGACCTCGGCAAATTCATCGACATGGACAAGCTCCCCAAGGAAATCGGCGGCAACGAAGACTGGACCTACAAATACGTCGAGCCCGTCGAGGGCGAGAACGCCCTGATGGAAGACACAGCTACCAGGGACGCCCTACAGGGCGAGCGCCTGAAGATCGGCGAGGAACTGCTCCAGTCGACGTCCCAATGGATCAAGGCTGGCGGAGAGAAGAATAAGGATGAAGAGAAGGCTGTTCAGAAGCAGCGCGACGAACAAATTGAACGGCTGCGCGTGAACTATTGGAAGATTGACCCCTACACCCGTGGCCGGAATACGTTGGACCGCACGAATGTTATCCAGTCCGGTGGGAAGGTGGACTTTTATCCTACTGAGGAGTCTGTCCCGCCTGTTGCGGAGCTGAAGGCGTTGGATATTGAGCATGTTGAGAGGACGGAGGTCAAGGTTGCGAGTGCATAGATGGTATGATATCAGGTTTTGCTTTTTTTTAGATATACACGGATGGTTTAGGTTGTTATGATTCCCAATGAATTTTCTTTCTTCTACTTGAAATGTATTCTGTGTCTGGTTAGGCTCTTCAACAAAGGGTATGTGTAGAGACAAGGAACCCTAAAAGACACATGTGAATACTTTCGGCATAGAATTTGTCAAGCAACGACAGGCTAACCCATAGCCTGCTTGCTCCTCTAGTGATTTCCAAGGTTTGTTGTCTTGGATCTCGGGTCCATGTACTCACTTCTAATTCCCCTTTAAGTTACTATCGCCGGTTTCTCTCGTTCTATTAGTTTTCTCAGCTGGCAACGGGACACAACGCGTTTTAAGTAGTTTCTACAGGATAGTTTAAACTGTTTTGGAGGGCTAGTAGGGAAATTCAAGCCCACTACGAAGCACCTCATACTATAAACAAGAAACAGCGGTCAAATCATCAGGTCCAAAATCGGAAAATTTGCAGCAAGTCGAAAAGAAAAATCATTAACTTTCCTCCGTGGTCTATTTATAAAACCAAATGTACTTTTGGACAGTCTAAAACAGCAAAGATTCATAGCGCCATCAAGTCATTCCATCAAACAGATCTCATCGACCTGTATTTCCTCCACCCTGACTTCGGCAGCCTTGCACGCCTTTGTAAGGCCCGCTGCTGCAAAATCTGTCTCTGCCGGTACTTCTTCCACCGTAACCTCCGCCGCAGCCCCCTTTGCAATTCCCGCTGCAAAGTTTGCCCTGTGCTTCGCCGTCCCGGCCAGATATTGGAGCATGGAGTTCTCAGAGGCAATGTCCTCAACAAGAGTCTGGATATTGGCCTTATCGGACCTGGAGAACGGGTTCAGCTTGTTGCACAAGCCTTTTATTACTCCCTTCCTCGAGATCTTGCTCACTATAGAAATAAATGTTAGTAAATATCCAAAAGCTCGCAACGCGGGAGTGGATAGAATAGAATAGAATAACTTACGCGTTGCTAGAGCCACTCCAAGATTCTGAAGCGACATTCGGATACATACCAGCGCCGGTTTATCGTACCTGAAATACGCCTCCAGCGCATCGCTTTTCTCAAACTCTACAGCCCACTGTACAAACCGTTTCCCCTCACAGTGCACGGTTTCTCCTAGCTGACCGCTATTTTCGGGCGTGTAGAGACACGCTGCCGTTGAAAAATGGCCTTCGACGATCGCGCAGAGGTCTGCACAGCTGAGGTCTCCTGAGCTCATTTTGCTGAGTATGTTTCTGCTAAATACGTGCGTATATAGAAGCAGTAGATAAACCGGCGCAGCAGTTGGAGGATGCTGGGGATTGAGATTTAGATGGAGGCATCTTTTCCGGGTTTATATGCTCGACGACCTAGATGTCCAACAAAGTGCCTGAACCAGCAGTGTCTTTTGTCTGGAGATATGAATCGCTGCACAAGTAATTTTGGCAGGGACAGAATCGGCATCTCTATAGTTCTGCAGGAAATCTTTGGATTTAGAACAAGGCGACAACATAGTATAATTGGATTAAGCTTCACTAAGATCCGGCAGTTCGGCCATGATAATGGCACTCACTAATGAGTCGCCTTTGATGCATCGGGTCTGGACCCTTTAGAACCTCTTTGGATTTCGGCATTTGGGCCATTGTTGAACTCACAATTGGTCTTTTGTATTGGTTGCGGATGAGAGGTTGGGATCTTGCAAAGGTAGTCCCGCCATTCTCCAGTCGACTGTCAACCAGATCGTGATTATCAAAATTGATGCATTTGCTTATTTTCCAGCCAGGCCAAACAAAGCCTCATGTTGATCTCAAGTTGTGCCTGTCGTGTGCGCTGATCAGCAATTGACTGCAACGGTTGCAGCTCTAAGCTCGCAAGCCCAAGCTAAAAAGTCTGTCACATCCTCCACTGGCCGATCGTCTCCAAATCTCCGAAATATTCTGGAAGCATAGACAACGTCCAAAAACACCACTGTTCCTGGCATGCGTGAATTGCGTTCTTTGATTGGAAGAGGTATTTGAACGACAGCCTCCTCCATCCTAGCAAAAACGTGCGCTCGGCCAAGGGAACAAAACGTGGAACAGTTGCCCGGGGCTTTATCTGACAGGCAATCCGGCTGACTTGAGCAGGGATCAACGTGGGAACAAGTGCCTGCTGGATTGGCCGTTCCTGGGGCCACAATCTCCGCAAACAAAACAGTGGAATCCGCTACGATCGCATCCCAATCATCGTCCCGGCTGGCTGCATGTGTTTGACTGCCAAGAACGACCATGCGAGAAATATTATTTACGATGGACAGCTGCTGATGCCGATCGGCATAAATATAGCCAGGATGATTCCCAGCTGTCAGATTCTTCTTCAATTGTGCTCAATTCCAAGAAAGATCGGGTGACAATGCATGCCCTCTCGCTCCTTATCGCTGCTGGCGTTGCCGTCGCTGCCCCAGCCTCGAAGCCGCAGCAAACTCCTGCGGTGACCAACATCCAGGTCGGTCCGCGACCTTTCTGGCTCGTCGACCAGATGGACGAGAGCCCGCTCAAGGAGAAGCTCGAGTCGTGCACTGAGAAGCCCATCCGCCACGCGCCTTTCTTCTCCATCTCCCACCGCGGTGGCCCCCTCCAATTCCCCGAGCACACTCGCGAGGGACTCTATGCCGGTGCGCGCATGGGCGCTGGCGTCTTGGAGTGCGACGTCGCATTCACCAGCGACCGTCAGCTCGTGTGCCGCCACTCGCAGTGCGACCTGCACACCACCACCGATATCCTCCTGATCCCTGAGCTTGCGAAGAAATGCACTACGCCTTTCCAGCCCGCGACAGAGGACTCCGAGGCGACAGCCAAGTGCTGCACCTCCGACATCACCCATGACGAATTCCTCTCGCTCTGCGGCAAGATGGACTCGTCCAACCCGAATGCCACTACCCCCGAGGAATACCAGTACGGCGGCCCCAGCTGGCGCACAGAAACATACGATAACTGCGCTACCACCCTGGACCACAAGACCTATATCGAAATCACCCAGAGCCTGGGCCTGCAGTTCACTCCCGAGCTCAAGACCCCCGAGGTCAAGATGCCCTTCCAGGGAAACTACACCCAGGAAGCCTACGCCCAGCAGCTCATTGACGAGTACAAGCAGGCCGGCATCAGCCCCTCGCGCGTATGGCCGCAGTCTTTCCTCGAGGATGACATCCTGTACTGGGTCAAGGCCGAACCCAGCTTCGCTAAGCAGGCCGTCTACCTCGACCCGCGCGTCGACACGGAAGAGGGCTACCAGACGGCTGTCCGCGACATGGAGAAGCTGTACAAGCAGGGCGTGCGCACCCTGGCGCCGCCAATCTTCGCTCTGCTTAACGGCACGGACAGCGGCGAGATCGTCCCCTCGTCGTACGCGAAGGCTGCGAAGAAGGCTGGCTTCGACCTCATCACCTGGTCCCTGGAGCGTGCGGGGCCCCTGAAGCAGGCTGCTGCGAACAAAGATTACTACGTCTCGACCATTGCGGACGTGATCAAGGGCGATGGCGACATGTATCGCATTGTCGATGCGTTGGCCCATAAGGTCGGTGTGAAGGCCATTTTCTCCGACTGGCCCGCCACAGTGACCTACTACGCCAACTGCTTCGGACTGAAATGATCACCCCACCGAACCAGAAACCAGAGACCAGACATAGAGACAACAACATGTTATATATATAGAATGAAGCAATCGCTGTATAATAATGATATAAAATAACCTTTGTTCGCCACATGACATCACGACCTCCCCGGTCTATATAAATCCCCCGCCCCGCATCCCAAGCTCCCCCCAGTGACCACTCACATCTCTGATCAGCTCTAGCTGTCAAAACCAAACGTTGCATCCAAACATCCACATCAACAACAATAGCAACAATGTACGCCCTCGTCGCAAATTCCTTCAAAACAACCCCTGCGGTCCGCCGCATCGTCCCCTGTGCTTTCTACCACCCAAATCATGCCCTGCACGCACCCCAGCCGCAAGCCCACTCCACCACAAAGGTCGACTCGTTCTACGTCAACCCGTCGTTCCCGGATGACTCGGAGACGCCGCCGACGATGACGCAGCACCGCACTTCAATCCATGCTTCGTCTGAGTGGGCGGAGAATAATGCGACGCAGAGTGAGGCTGATGTATGTTCTCTCTAGCTTGCATACTGTTCAACAGCTAGATTGGTTGAGAGAGGCTAATGCGTTGTGGCGACAGGTCAAGGCAGATCGGGGCGAGGCGCAGAATGCAAAGATCGAGGATATGATGCAAACTGAGGAGCCGAAGATTGATGAAATGTGATGGTGAAAGGAGTCCAGTGGATAATAGGTTATCTAGTTTATGGTGGTGTTTAGTGGACGATTGAAGGCATCTGGTACTATATTCCTTTTCATTTTCCCTTTCTTCTCATTCTTTTGTTGGTCCTTTTGCTCTTTCCTCCCTTTGTTCTAAATTGTGTATTGTATTGATATCTCTTCTCAATATACTGTGTGTGATGAACAACTGGTGCTGATGATTTTGTAGATATATTCAAGTTTTGCAAGAACGTGAATACTTATCACAAACCAGCAATTTATTGCTATCATTCACTGGTAAAATACTGTTAAAGACCCTGCAAGAATCCGGATTGAACAGGCCATGCAATAGAATTTAAGGTAGTGGAGACTGTAATTTCTATATAATGCATGGCCGAGTTTCTGCAGTGCTCTTTGGCCTTGCAGGCAATTATTAGTGAATTATTAGGCGGTTATACAACGGCTTGGTCAAATTATCCTTTGATAGTTACTGTTACTGTGAATCCTTGGGTGCTCCTGAAGTGCCTGAGTGAATGACCTTTGTCTGCACTCAACAAGGCAGGCAACATCGTAATTACCGTTACACAACGAGGCTCTGCTGCCTGGAACCCACAGCGGGAGGGGCTGTAACGATGTAAGGGGGGGTATGAGGCCGCCCCTCCAGCCAACACTTCTGGGTAAACAAACCAGGCCACCTCCCAGATTCTTCATTTGCCTTTCTTTAAACTTTGTGGACTTTGGGCTTCTTTTCCCTTTCTTCCTGCATGAAAGAGTGAGCTTACCATAATATGGAGCCCGCTCTTCGTCCATTTCTACTCCTCTTTCCAGCTTCCACAAGCGATCGTTTTGCCGCCGACTTTTGAATACTTGATATCCAACAGCGCCATTCTTGCATCATGCCCCGGAGGGACTTCCAGAGAGATCTCGCCGAAGTCCGTCTTCCAGATACGTTTCCGCGACTGTCTGACGTCAGATCCGGAAGCGAGGATGGATCCATCTACTTTACCTACACCCCTCTAGCGGGCGATCATCATTCGCTTGACGTTGAAGTCTCCGTTCCAGGTAAAGTAAACCCTCTTTCCCCTCAGTAGCTTTCTTAACTAGCTATGACCAAATCCCTGCTGACTCGCTTGTGCAGATACCGCGGAATACCCCAAAGATCACCATTACTTCGTATTCACAGTCTCAGAAAATGTCCCCCAGTCTGTCTCGCGTATTCTAGAGGACTCACTACCCACTTTCCATGGCCTCCCTCTAGGGACCTTCCTGGAGACGGTATCGGAATGCCTGGACAAGGCAACTTCACCCGATGACAGTGTGTCAGACTCAGTGCAACTGGACAGCGATACTAGTGACACCGAGGAAGAAAACGATCCGATGGAGTGGGAAGATGAGGAGGAGAATATCGAAGCAGGGTTCAAAATAGGAGAGGCCATCCCTGACGTACGCGATTACATTTCTGCAGACCTACGCAAAGCTCGCCAGGCTGGGTTCCGGGTGGGCATTCTGGGTGAGCTGGATGGGCCTGTGATTTTATCCGCATCTCGCCGCATCTCGAAGCTGGGAATCTCCAATGAAGCTATGGAGGCCTGGGGTGTCCGTCCTACAGACTACCTTGTCCTTCTTGTTCGTTATCCGTCCGGTTATCGACGTTTACCAGATGTGGTACTCTCCTCTGCAGGAACTAGCTCGATGATTCAGTTATATGTTGGGGTCTGTGAGATATACAAACCTAGTTTGAACTCCGCCCGTCATGTATTCGCAACTGGGGTAGTGTCTGGGTTGGATGACACAGATAATGTGAAAATGGAGCCGGCACTAGGGTCCATCCTTATTGGAAAGTCTCTTCAGTCCTTACTCAATGATCGCTTTACAATGATTCTTAAATACCGGTTGGAGAATGGCTTTTCATGGACAGGGGCAGAATTATACTTGAACGATGGTCAAGGAAGACTGTTGCATGCCAATGAAAAGAGCCAACCAAAATACTTTGAGTCAGAGACCTGGCGTGTGCCGCCACCGGATTTCTTGAAGGATGATCATCTCGCACAGGGTGGACCGCCGTCTGAGATGTCTTTGATTCTGATCGCTATGCAGTTCACCCTTCGCCGTTTTGTGAAATGCACCGAGTTCTGCCTCAACTGTTACTGCAAAATCGACGCTGGATTCGAGGCTCTTAAGCCGTTCGTGTGCTCAAAGGGACTGTGCTTGTATCAGTACATGTCTTTGGGGATGGGACCCAGTCTGGAATGGGAAATATCATCGCAACCATATGTGGCCGACCTGCTGATAAGTTTTGCCTATACCAGAATTGCAACAAACAAACTCCACGATTTTCCAACTGGTTTCCCGCTGAAGGTTCCACATCCAGGTCGGACTGCAATGAATCCCGCCAATTTCTCTTCAACCGCCTACCGCGGAAAACTCACGTATGACGACGCACTGGGGTCGCGCCTTTGTATTTACAGTAGTTGTGATATAAAGGTAGGCGACTGGATTGTAATTCTGGTGGACTATGCGACCTCGGACCAAGCCGAGATACGGAATCGGCAAGAATTGCATGCGCGTGTTAAGGACACCACGGACAAGTCGAATGTCATCCTTGGGGACCTGATTGCTTGCGGGCGCCGAGAAAGCTTCTTTCAGTTACTCAAAGATGCCCAGAACGGACCGGTGCACTTTGTGATGTATGATACGGATCTTGCCTCGCTTCCTGACGTTTCAAGGACAAATGCGCTGATGGACCTTTTGGGCACGCTGCCTACCGTATCAGAAATGAAGGCCTGGATTGACCAGAAGAAAGGCGGCCACCTCAGACCCCTTTCCGAGTGGCACGATAGGATCCATATGTCGGCTCTGTATGTCCTCCAATGGATTATCGGATCCAACCGCTCAGTTATACTGTTTGACGATGACCCGCAGCACCAAGTGTCGGGAATGGAATCGTACATCCAATTCAGGTTTGCCCAAGGTGCCCCAGACAAGGAACAGCGGTTTGTGAAGGCCGTAAACACGACTGCTTCTCGGCTAAATCTCCAGTATCCAACTCTATTCGCCTGGCATGGAAGCCCCTTGTCTAACTGGTACAGCATAGTTAGGGAGAGCCTCCATTACAAGGAAACCATGAACGGCCGAAGCTTTGGAAACGGGATATATCTGACTCCAAACTTCAATACTTCGGTTGGCTATTGTAGGAACCACCACAGAGATTTAGGTCCTGTATCACTTTCCTGGCCGAAGAGCGAGCTGAAATGCACAATGGCGATATCCTTAAACGAGGTGGTCAACGCTCCGGCCGAGTTCACGTCAAAAGAGCCTCACTATGTGGTGCAACATGTGGACTGGGTCCAGCCTAGATATCTTTTTATTGAGTGCGCGCAGCCCATGCCGGACCACGCTAAGCGAGCAAAGTGCGAGAAATTAGCCCACGTTTATTCGCAGGAGCCTGGCCGTACTGTCTTCGGACCCAGAGGGGCCCTGACTATCCCCATTTCCGCCACAAACAGCCACCGCTCTAGGGATTCGGCAGAGCCACCATCGAGTGGAAGCCCGAAGCCTGTCATCAAGAACGGGAAACGGAAAAAGGCCACTGTCAAACGCGATGCACCTGACAATGACGACGACGACGATGCAGCCAGTGTGGAAACCCTTCCAGAGGACCGGCAGGTGCTGCTATCCGACGAAGAGTCAGCCCCCCGTAAACAAAGCAAGCTGTCCGTCACCTCTTTCGAGCCGAATACCCTCGATGTATCTTCCATCCAGCTACTCGGTGAGCCAGCGTACGCAACACCACGGGCAACAAAGACCCTTCAAAAGGTACTCCGTCAAGCCCTCGATACGCAGGACAAACGACCCCAGCACGAACTAGGCTGGTACATCAATGCCAACCATATCGACAATGTCTACCAATGGATCGTCGAACTCCACAGTTTCGAAAAGCACCTCCAAATAGCACGCGACCTCGAACAGGCCGGACTGCGAAGCATTGTCATGGAAATGCGCTTCCCCCCCGAATTCCCCTTGTCGCCGCCATTCCTTCGAATCATCAAACCGCGTTTCGTCAGGTTCGCTGAGGGCGGCGGCGGACATATCACCGCAGGCGGTGCAATGTGCATGGAACTCCTCACGACGTCGGGCTGGCTCCCTGTATTCTCAATCGAGAGCGTCCTCTTGCAGGTTCGACTGGCTATCACGAATGAGATACCCCGGCCGGCGAGATTGGACTTTGACTCTAGCCGCAAGGAGTATGGTATTGGGGAGGCTATCTATGAGTACAAGAGAATGTGTGTTGCTCATAACTGGGAAGTTCCGAAGGACCTTGACAAGGTTCGGTGGTAGATGGCATACCGATGGTAGACTGAAATTGCAACGAAAAGTCGACTTAGCTAGATAAATTACGACATCTAGTGTTACCTAGGCAGTTCGCTAGCTTTACTAGGTTATGAATTACGATCTCATGACATGCACACACCCATCTCATTATAATGGATCAAGATAGCAGTAGTATAAACAAACAACCCTCTAACATAGTCATATTTATCTATCTACAACTTCCCCTCCCGTTTTCCACCCTCGCCTTGGCCTTCATTAGCCTCCCTCCCCCCAACAAACCTCACATGCCCATACCCCCTCCACCCATCATTATGCTGTCCCAAAATCACCCTCTTCCTTGCAAAGTCCTTCGTATGGTGATAATCATCATGATCCTGGATACTCTCCCACCCAACATAAACCACATAAGCCTCGTATCCCTCAACAGGCTCCGCAATCCAGCCCCCCGTACACCCCAGACAACCCTTCACAGAGGGAACGAGAGTTGTCCACAGCGCCCAAGTCTTTTCCCACCCCGGCGCTGAGGTCGTGAGGTATATGGCCGTGCCGGTTACCGGTGCAGAGGAGATAGTTGCGGGGTTAGTGGTGAAGTTCTGGAGAGCGCAGTGGTGTACTGATACCAGTTTTTCTAGCTCTTGTTGTGATTGTGAAGGGTGGAGAGGGGCGAGAATGGATGTTAGGCCCTTCCATTGTGGTGAGGATAGGAAGGCGTAGTGCTGGTTTAGTGTTTCCCGGGCTATACCGTGCCGTCATTAACCAATGGTTTTTTTTTTTCTATTTTTGTACTAACTGGGGAATGATATAGGCAGTGTAGATGAAGAATTGGATATAACTCACCAACAAGAACCTGTACCTTCCATGCCTCCTCAACATGTCGCCCCCAGTAGAGTCTGCGAAAGCCATGCCAATTCTGCAGGGCATCAAGCGCCTGGTTCCAAATTTTCCCGTCGGGCGAGGCCGGGTCCTCGATTGTCGCGGTTTCGCGGATGGGGAGGGTGATTATCTGCGTTGGGACTGCTGGGGTTGGGGCTGCGAGGGGCGGACTGCGGATTGTGTGGTTTTGGGTGGTGGTTTCACGGTATGTGTGTGTTGGGATATGCATTTTGCTGGATGGAATGCGGCAAATGGTTTGGTTGTGTTGGTTTATGGGTGAGAGTGGAGAGGGTTGAGATACGCTGTAGAAGTTGGAGAAGACTGGGGCGGAACGGATGTCATAGTTTATGCTAAACTTGCGGTAACGGGTAGATGGCGGGGAAGTCTGCACATCTTACGCAGAAGGCGCCTTAGTAGCGTTGGCTGACTCGACGTCTTGTGATGCTGGCTGGATGGTCCGAGATACCGTTTGCCGAGGAGCACGCTCTTCTCAGCCTGTAGTGCCTCGAAAGGAATGCTATTATTGGGGGCCTTAAAGGGTACAGTAACTGGTTTCTACAATAGATTCATACTACACTATCACAGTCCTGTAGCTATAACCACCGAGTAAACTATGGCTAGATCTTAGGGTTGAAACGCCGCTTAAACCTACCAAAATCACCCCCAGCATTAGGATTGATGGCATTATCATACGCCCAATTCGTTAGTCCAATTGGGTAGCTTTGAATGTCAGCTTCTTCATACCTCCCAGGTAGAGAGACTACTTACCAGCTCTCGACCAAGAACGCCATGGTGTCATCCGGTACACGCTCCGGACGCAAGACTTTCTTCATTGCGTTCTCCGTTTCAGACGCTGACAAGCCGTGAGGACTAAGGACGTTGTTTAGTCCGCTCATGCCGTACAGCTGCGGTGGTACGCGGGATAGATCGAATCCTCCGCTCAGGACAGACGAGAACTCGGACATGGTGTTTCGATGGAAATATGGGATTTGGAACGTATCTTCCATGACCATCCACCTAGGGCCGAGGACAAGGAAGTCAACGGCAGCGTGGTCTGGCTTGTCGGATGGGCAGGAGAGAACAACGTAGATTGATGGATCCTATATACTTGGTTAAGGCTTAACCAAGACAATGCATTTGGAGTACTTACCTGGTGATCATAAAGGGTCGACCCCATCGGCATGAATTTTCCTAAAATCGTCAGCTTTTACCTCAGGCAAATCAGAGATCACTCACCCAAATCATACTTGAAAGGATAGTACGTCCCATGCCATGCAACAGCATTAAACGCACTCCCTTTCATCTCCGTCTTATGAACCTGACCCCCAAACTTGGCAACAACCTCCGTGACCTCTTCTGTATCAACATATCGAGCCTTTGGAATCTCAAAGTCCCGCACATTCGCGAGTCCCAGTGATCCGATCGGACCAAGCTCAGGAACATCAAAATGTCCAGAATACGCCTCGATTACATGTCCACGAGATGGCCCAGAAGGCAGCGATACCCGGAACCGAATCCCCCTAGGGACGACACAGATCTCACGCGGACGTACCCGCATGTCACCCAGCTCCGTCTGGATATCCAACGCCCCGATCTGTGGCACAATGAGCATATCGCCGTCGGCAGAGTAAAAGGCCTGCTTCTCGTCCATGCTAACTCCACAGGTGAAGAAATAGTAAGCTACGCCATTCTTCGTGGTTGGATCCCCTGCGCCCCCGATCATCTGCAACCCATCCAGAAAAGTCTTGTCTTTCTTGACTTGGGCCGGTGGCCATATAAGCTGGTCAGGGACGAAGCTGAGCTCTGAGTGCAGGCGGTGGCTTAACGGGTGGTCAGGGACTCTAGTCCACCCAGACTGCGCAGTAGATGGAAGAATCCGGTATAGGAATGTCTGCTTGTTCAAGGCCCGTTTAGCTGTGAAGGAAGTTCCGCTGATGCGCTCAGGGTATAGACCTAGAGCATGGCGTTGGGGAAGACTCTGGGGTCGTGGAAGCGCATCTTTCACGGCCTCTGACCTGACTTATGGTTAGAAGATGCACAGTTCTGATCGGCAGCCAAGGCACAGTTCGTACTCATGGTATGAATTGAGAGTGGTGTGGTATGCAAACGGATCCTCGATGGCAAACTTCGATCCCGGCATTTTGTAGCTTCTTACCTGGTTGTAATATAAGGTCTGTATTGTATATCGCTTTCAAAAGAGGTCAGTCAGGCTATGACAAGATGGATATTTCAGGATTCAGCTGGATATAAGCCTCTGACAACGTTCGAGTAGCCGAGGAGCCGTTTCCAGGAAGGAGCAGAGGGCAGCTGCAACACTTACTCATGGTGAATGACAGAGAACTAACACTCCAGTGGGTGAGCTTCGACGATCAAATGGCCCCATCGTTCATCCCCGCAGGATCCGCAGCGCTTGTGTTGTCAGCCTGAAGAATGTGATGGGGCTTTGACCGAGGAGATTAGCGGGCACCAATAATAACAGTGATGGACAGTGCAAAACCTCAGAAGGTTGAAGGTGGCTGGCTTGGGGTGCGGGAAAAGAAGGAAACCTCATCGGGCAAGACCGTCATTTTATGATGTCTCGACTTGGAACCGTTGAACGACTAACGCTGGCAAACGAAGTTGACCTCAGCCTCCACCTTTATTTCTACACACTGGATTATCAAAATTCCGTATCCTAACAATCAGTTCAGCGTGCCTGAACTATAGTAGTATTCAGGGTATCCATATAAGCGTTCTATGTGCTGTCTTAGATCACATCGCCAAAGGCAGAAAAAGCATGCTACCGTGCAAAATCCCAAATATGCGCCAGGAACCAATAGTGCCTCGTTAGAAATGTACCCTGGGCGCTTAGGGCTCCATTTCCCGTGGGTTGTGCCGAGATCCCTATTCTCATCTCCAATGCTAATACTGTACATAATATACAACCAATGGTGACCACTGGTGTGTTGGTGGTGCGTCTGTGAGAGGACGTAAGGTTGGTCTTCCGCCGCTGATAGGCCTGTCGATTTGTAAGTAAATATTCAGCAGAAGATGCAGATACAGACGGCCATACCTTCGCCATTATATCTCAAATTGAAGTTTTCCCATCTATTTGCGAGGGCTCTTGGCCGTCTGACGCGTCGCAGCCTCCTGGTCTAACTCTTCCTGCTTCAGAACCTCCTCGCCATTGTCCGATGCCCAGATATCAAGAAAGTCCTTGCCGCCAAATGCCCTATCCACTGTGTAGGTCTTGTTGTTCCGCTCGATATCGTGGGTGTATCTGCTCTTCGTAGGGGCCATGACTTTTGTCACGAATGGTGTGAGCTGCAGACAGCATTAGTCTTTATCCATAAAATGACTGAAGCGCAATGCGATTGATAATTCACCTTGAAGTCCTTCAAATTCTCCGGGACAGCATACGTGCGGACTTTCTTCCAGTCAATCACGTACGATCCATTCTTCGCAAAATAACCCATCGACCCGGTCCGGTTTCCCTTGTAAAAGCCACCATTGACCTGTTTCGTAGTCAAGCGCAAGCGCGCCATCATCGGCTGTGAAGGTCGTACCATATTGACGATGTAGGAGGACAAAACAATTGCGCAACTCCTTCTGGCTAGTCAGGCTATTCTCGTCGTCGGCTGGGATGCGGAGGATGAAAGTCGAAGTCGGTTGGCGGTCGGCCGAACTCTCCGCCTTGCCAAGCAAATTATTTTTTTCTGCCGCATCGATAAGGAAAATTGTTGCACCACCACTTGAGAAGCTCCTCAACGCATTAGATCTTGCCGAGGACTTTTCTTTTTGTGTCTGTGTGTTTTTCTTCTGTAGCGTCTTCTCTATCTAGGCGCACAATGCCTCGCAAACACACCCAACAGCGGGGTCCCCGAGACGACAAGGCCAAGAAACAGCCCGCCCAGAAGCGAAAATCCGGAAAGATTCTCAATGCCTTTTCTATCGCAGAAGCTCAGAACCCAACAAGGGCTAAGATCCGACGAAGCCGGTTAGGCGGTGATGATGACTACTTCAAGCGCAAGCGAAACACCGGCCAAGACGACGACGAGGGCTCAGATGGGCCGGGCAACAAGCGTCGCCGCACGGGCGATGACGAGGGTTCCGACATAGACTCTAACGCTGGAAGTGATGGTGAAGGACACCAATGGAAGATTGGTGTGGACAGTGATAATGATAGCGAGTTGGATAGTGACGAGGCGATGGGCTCGAGTGATGACGAGAGATTCGAAGGCTTCACTTTCCGAGGGAGCTCAACGTACAACGCTAAGCCGAAGGCGAAGGCCCAGAAGCCAAACCGTGGGCGGAAGCTCGACCTATCGGAAGGCGAGGGCGAGTCTGATGCCGACGAAGACATGGATGAGGACGACGATGATCTCGGAGAGGACGCCATCGACCTGGTCGCTGCGTGGGATATGAATGCCGCTGAAGAGAAAGCGGAGGCTAAGAAAGCTGCAAATTCCAAAAAGCGCGAAGAGAGTGAAGAATCTGAAGAGGATGCTTCTGAAAGCGAAGACGACAGCGATTCTGATGACGAAAAGGAGGATTCTGAATTAGAAATGTCCGACGACGAAGCTGGTGGGGATGGACTCTCAAAACTACAGAGTTTTGTGGATTCTATGGATACAAGCGCTGCTTCTAAACCGCAAAAAAGAACCAAAAGTGGCCAGGAATACCTGAACCCGACGGAGTTTGGACTGGCACCCTCTCGAAAACTTACAGTTGCCGATCTCCTTCCATCCGTCACGGATTCGCGCCTCAAGAACTCGCTCAAACATGTCGACTCTGCCGTTTCCTCTCAAAAGACCTCTACAGGAATCCCTGGCAAATTAGATGCACCTCTCGCCAAGCGGCAGCAGGACCGCATTGACCGAGAGGCGGCATATGAGAAGAGCAAAGAGACTCTCGGGCGATGGATTGAGACAGTCAAGGCGAACCGTCGAGCCGAACACCTCACGTTTCCTCTTCCTGATCCAGATGCCCAGATGACGCATAGCATGGGTGTTGTTCAGCCGCAAACTGGCCTTGAAAACACCATTAAGGATATTCTTGTTGAGAGTGGTCTCGCTGATGCGCAAGGAAAGTCCGCAGAGGATCAAGTGCAGGAGTTTGAGGAACTGCAAGCGCGCAAACTGCCTATTGAGGAAATTCGAGCTCGACGAGCCGAGCTGCGCAAGCACCGTGACCTCATGTTCAGGGAAGAGGTCAGAGCTAAGCGGATTAAGAAAATCAAGAGCAAGTCTTTCCGCCGAGTTCATCGAAAGGAGCAAGAGAGAATGGAGGAGAAGGAGCGGCAAGCTCTCCTCGATGCTGGGGTGGATCTAGAGGAACAGGACCGGGAGAAGAATGAACGACTCAGAGCCGAGGCAAGAATGGGTAACAAGCACAAGGAGAGCAAGTGGGCAAAGAGTCTGAAGCAGACTGGCAGAACCGCGTGGGATGAAGACGCCCGACACGGTGCTGTTGAGCTAGCACAGCGGGAAGAAGAGTTACGGCAGCGCATTGAAGGGAAGCGCGTGTCCAGAGGTGGTGAAGACTACCTTGGATCCAGCTCTGAATCCGACTCTGAAGACGAAAACCCTTGGGAAGAGCAAAATTCTGACACAGAGAAGCGCAAGCTCCTCAAGAAACTCAGCAAGCTTGAAGACGGTGATGCTGCTAATGAGGAGGCCAAGGGTCCTCATGCCAAGTTATTGTCTATGAAGTTCATGCAGAACGCAGAGGCTGCCCGCAAAGCCGAAAATGACGCCGAAGTTCGCCGCTTAAACCGCGAACTACATGGCGAGGACTCTCAGTCTGAAGCTGAATCTGAAGAGGGCCGACGCAAGTTCGGTGTCTCGGACAAGAAGGCCGAAAAAGACAAGGGCAAGAAACAGAGCAACCGCAATGAGTTTGAGGAAGCACCAGGATCAGACGAAGAAGCGGAACGTGATGCTGAACGGGAAACCGAGACCAAAGCCAAGGGCGCCTCAGGTACCAAGGCTAAAACAACAGCTAAAGCCACTGACAAGCCACGCGCTCCTCCGCAGATTGATGCTGCTCCTCAGAACGAGTCTGACGACGAAGAGGACAACCCTTGGCTCATGGCATCATCAGGAAACAAACGCCGCTCAAAGACAAACGACGCCCAGCAAACCGTCGACATCATTCCAGACAGCACAGCCCCGGCAAAATCCAACTCTAAAAAGCCTGCCGCAGTTGCAAAGACCAAGGCAGCGGCACGCCAAAACAATGCGGAGGAAGAAGCCGACAGCGAGGACGAGGTCCCCGTGCTTCTCAAGAACCACGACCTCGTGAAGCGAGCATTTGCTGGAGACGAGGTAGTCCAAGAATTCGAGCAAGAGAAGCTTGACACCATCGAAGACGAGGGTGACAAGGTGATTGACGAAACCCTTCCCGGCTGGGGCAGCTGGACCGGCGATGGGGTGAGCAGGAAGGAAAAGCAGAGGCAGAAGCGCGTCTTGACCAAGGTTGAGGGAATCAAGCCCGAAAAGCGAAAGGACGCCAAACTCTCGCGCGTCATCATCAACGAGAAGCGTATCAAGAAGGTAAGAGATCAATCAACCTTTGTTCGAGGCCGTGGTGTCATTGTCATGAACTAACGCATTTATTTTTTTTATAGAACAACAAGTACCTGGCCAATCAACTCCCCCACCCCTTCGAGTCGAAGCAGCAGTACGAGCGATCTCTCCGTGTCCCTATCGGTCCGGAGTGGTCTACAAAGGAAACTTTCCAATCGTCCACCAAGCCTCGGGTTATGGTCAAACAGGGCGTCATCAAGCCTATGGAGAAGCCCATGGTTTAGTTGCGTTCTACTTGTTGGTTGTTAGTTGGCAGGTATGTGCTGTATCCTTCTGGGAACAGGATATGCCGTGGATTATAAAATTTTTGCATCAACGATACCATTCATCATTTCGTGAGAGTATATAGATAGGGGCTGAATAAAATACACTCTTGGATACCCAGATTGTACCCCAGCTACGGCAATACCCAATATTCCACAAATAACATCCTATCAATCCTAAGCTTCTAGCCTCCGCACCAGCACCAGCAACTAGCCTTACCAAGTTACCAGAAGCCCACTCCTGTTTCGGCCTCTCGGGCTGCCATCGTAGATGGGCCACTCCCTTAACTGCCTAATTCCTCACAAGTCCCGAGCTCGCCGACTCAAGGCCGTCCGCGGAAAACCCTAACTTCGGCTAAACTGCTACTTGGGTTCATGTTTCAGTAACAGGCCGACTCCAGCTGCCGCTCCAGCTCCAGCCTAGTAGCAGATCACTAGATTCTCTTAGTCAAGTTCCGGAATTACGTCGTTCGGAGCTACGCTGCTGCTGGACACCGCATGTAGAGATGTCGTGTGACCGGGGCGCGCTATAGAGTAAGACGCTTATGCCAAGCTTTCGGTGCGCGGTTCCTGATTCCGGTCTCTTAGTGCTCTGGGCTTCTCCGATATATAACTAGTGCAAAAGTGGGGTCGGTCTCTGGCACCTTCCAGTATGATTAGTAGGTTAGGTGGTGTGGCTACGGAAGTAGAAAAAGCTGTAGTTCAGAATTCGTAGATTCTCATATTCTAGAGAAAGTTATGCCATATATATATCGAACCCTGTATTTTGCTTGACCGTAGACTTCGTTCTCAGTTTGATCGTCATCTTTCACACAAGATGAGGCCCGAACAGACAACAGACGGGCGACCTTTCGGGGAGCGAAAAAACGAAAGGTCCTCCACTCCACAACCCAACATGATTTGGATAATCTAAGTAAGATATCTGAATCCCTTGTGCATCCGGAGACTCTCATCCGGATCTTCACCGACCACCACATCAGCAACGGGACGCCCGGCACTAACATCCGCGATCTCTGCCTCGGCAAGCTTCTTGTTCAGGTTCTCCAAGACAAGCTTGAACACGAAGCACCCGATGATCGTGAATCCGAACATGGCGGTGACGATACCGTAGCTGTTGCGGTATCCGTTGGCCGTAAGGTCCCAGACGTATGAGCCTGCGACGTTGCCGAGCTGGGAGAAGGCGTTGACCAGGGCAATTGCGACGGCACGCTTGGCTGGTGGGCGCGGGAAGGATGAACTGATCCAGGAGTAGAATACGATAAAACTGGCGGGTGTTAGTGGGTTGTTTGAGTTTGGTTGGTTTGGTAGTAGCTTACCCAGCGTAGGAGGCGGCTTGGAGGAAGAGAGCAACGTAACGAGCTGCGACGTTGAGCGTTGACATGCAGATGATGAACCCGACCAAGCCGATGCAGATGGGGCCGACGATGTGCCAGAACTGGAAAGGGTTGTTAGATAATTTGGGATTTTGGGATTAAGGAAGGCTGGCTGGAGTGGAACAAACCTTCTCCTGGTATCGATCGGAGCTCCAAGCAACGCAGAGCGAGAAGAGGCAAGAGAAAACCCATGGAGGGGCACTCATGAGCAAAGTTGGGACGTATCCGAAGCCAAGGGTCTCGGTGAGAGAGGGCTAGAATACCATGTTAGACTTGGAATGTGGTGAGATTGTAATGGAGAGACTTACGAAGAAGGCGTTGAAGGAAAGGCCAACGACGTAAGCGGTAAAGGTGAACATCATGATGTAGATTTTGACATCCTTGAGAGCCATCCACAGGCCATCCCAGGGCCCTT